CCTAACCCTAACCCTAACCCTAACCCTAACCCTAACCCTAACCCTAACCCTAACCCTAACCCTAACCCTAACCCTAACCCTAACCCTAACCCTAACCCTAACCCTAACCCTAACCCTAACCCTAACCCTAACCCTAACCCTAACCCTAACCCTAACCCTCGAATTCTTCGCATTTTGTAACGTCTACCTTAAATACTACCAAAGTACCGACAGATGTATCCCTACCTTCCCAGATTCACCACCTCAGTCCTTAGAATCGATTAAATCTACATCTTCTGCAAGCAAGGATGTTACATTGTCGACATTCGAAGATATAATTTGGCAAGAAATCATGACATTCTTCACATCGGAATCTCCCAGATCGGGTGCTCCAGTTGAAGTGGTCACACTCGTGGTGGTCTCGTAAGTTTTGCATAATGCGGCCAAGGTTCTCTCTCCGATCCGCCGGGGGAACATAGGGACCCCGATTGTTGGCATGGTTTCTATTTTCAATCTCCTCGGCGCGATTGAGAAGACGGTGCTCGTCCCAGTGGCGACAATCGCAGCTTTTCCATAGTTTACTACAAAGATAACAAAACTCCGAGCCGCACTTACAGCTAAAGAGATGAATGGTTAGCATCTCACTTACGACCCTATCTGTAATACTTACGTCATGTGAAAGCAGCCAGTTTCTAATTCAATCATTGAAAGGCATCCCGGGCATCGTTGCCATCTTTCTTCCTTCGCAATTTCAAGAACCTTTTGTAGATCTTCATCGTGGGGGCAGTCCCCAGAGTGCGAGGGCCCTTTGCAAGTAGTGCACGTCTGGTGGCCGCAATCAGCACAAGTTGCGATGCCAAGTTGGCAGTTATCCGGATGGATGAATGCGGAACATGTTCGTCGAGTGCAGTACGTCCGTTGCGGTGTTGCAAATTCCACAGCTTTGACGCGAAACTGGCGTACCAAATCCTCGGCGAGGAAGAGGAGATTCTGGTCGAGCGGGATGGGTTGTCGACAGCATCGTGGTGGAAAAAGTGTCTCATCGGACATCGCATTCTGGAATAGCTGTCCAAGACAATCGCGACAGTACTCGTGTCCACAGGTAGCTCGTGCTAGATTTGTGAAATGCGTCTTGTCGTCACAGGCTAGACATCTCCGCTTACGAGTCACGTTTTGGGACTTGCGAGAAGCAGCCCAGGAAGAGCATTCGGGTTGCCCTGCTGTTTCTGTGTTGGCGATCTCAACGCAACCCTCATCATCAGTCTTGTCATCGTCTATACCAGTGATATATATCGCGGACAGCTTGTCCAAAAGCTCTAACTCTGCGACTGACGGGTCGGCGTAATCGATTTCTGTCTCCGACACTTCTGAATTCTGTTGTTGGATTAATGTCGAAACTTCGTGGTCGTGGTGGGCCATCTGCTCTTCACGCTCAGATTGAATGAGGGCCTCAGAATCCATCTGGCAAGCCATCTGGATACTCTTTGTCATCCGATGATCAGACGTGAACATTGCTGCCTTTTCCAACTCCTCGGTGTAAAGCTGAATAGCTAAGTCTATATCTGCCAGGGTACCCTCAACTTGCTTGCCCTTACCCGACGATGTTGCGTGCTTGATGTCATCTAGTAAAAGACTAAGGATAAGGCTGGTGGTCTCATCGTCGATAGAAGACCAGTTAGAGACTGGAACTTCGAGTTTAGACATTGCGGAGATATTCCCAACCAATTTTTGGGTTCAAGGTTTCTGGCGAGGTTTCCTGTAGGGCAATAGGACGTTGATGGGCCTCTTCACGAAAAAAGGGGTACAGTGGTATTGAGGAAGAAGAAAGATTTAGCATGTATGAGGTTATGCTAATGGTTGGGATGGAAGTTGTAGTTCATGAGAATTCTATGGGATTGGAAAGTAGAATTGGGCGAGCAAACGGGAAATTCATTAATGCTACCCAACAATGCAAACGGGCTACCCAACAGGATATCACGTGGGGGGGGTCATTGATCTATGTTGATATTCAGTATATCACATGATCTTGTTCTGAAAATATTCGAATTTCCTGCTCATGAACCAACTATGAGCATCATCAACCAATAAAGTACCTACTCTATTAAGTTTTTATGTTACCATATGCAGATGTCGCTATGACCTTAGTTCCGACCTGGACCTTTTCATTCCAAAATGCTGTAATAATCTCGAGGCCAATGTCCTTGAACCGGCAGCCATGCAAAGTTACATCATGATCCCAAACGCCCAAATAACCCAAAAAAAGACTGTCTGATTTATTTTCTAGCGAAACAACACATGATGCTCGTCTTGCTTATAAACCACAAAAACCCAAGGAAACGGACCAGGGCAAGGACCGCCGTAGCAAAGAGGAGGAAGCGAAAGTATCCAGGTGTTCGAGTGGTAGCTGCTACCTAAATCACACAATTGATGTTAGCAAGACAAGATACTGTTGATTTCAAGGGAAGAGAGTATAGTCCATACCCCAACACCCAACGACTGAAAGTCGTCGCTGGTGACGAAAACAATTAATAGCATGTTTGATAATATCCACGAGATGACTAGACCGGTTCGGAAGGACTTGTACGAGTCTTCTGTGTCCTTCTTTTCCACAACCTCCTCTTCCTCGACAGGAGCAAGGGCTCGATAGACAGTCTTCGCAAACAGACTATCGATATCATTCTGTTCTCTCTCTACCTCCTCGATCACGGGGGCGTTGGTTTTTTCATCCTTGAGGACATGTACGGATGGCAGAGCTGCTGTCTCATCAGAGCCCTTAGTGCCCCATGAAACATCGTGCCAGTTGTTGAAGGCGTAAACCATGACGATATTGATGTAGGTAGATGCCAGGATGAGGTACTGGGGAAACGAGTGGAACATGTGCCATGGGTCTAGGTAAATGAATGAAGCTACGTAGTTGAGACCATAGATGGTGATGATGGCAATCAAAATGACACCAGCCACGCTTCCGGTACCGAACATGCTGTTGAAAAACGCGCCGGCACTCGAGGTGTCTATCTGATCGGCAATGGGTGTTCTCAGGGCACGGAAGACCAGGTAGAAAGACAGAACTATGATGTAAGCCTGTATCAAACCAAAAACAACGTAGGAGGCAACATAGGAGTGCCTAGACCCCTTGGGACGATTTCCGAGGGCGAGAATGAACTGGACGACGATGAAAACCAAGTAAATATCCTTAATTAGCGTATTCACGATGGGGGTTGCGATGTCACCAAACGGCCAGCCGCGATAGCCACTAGCTGGGACACCGGTACCGACGAGATCCATGATGACGACTGTGGTGAGCCAATATGACGCGATGGAGAACCAACTGAAAAGGATCTGGGCAAAGTTGTATAGGAACTGGATGTGCAGGAAGAACATCCGCACGATGTTGTGTCCGGACTTATAAAGTCGATTGAAGTGTATGAGAGAATATAACGATGCCGCAAAGGAGCCGTTCAGCCATCGTCGACGTTGACTGAGGAATTCGGCGGGACCTGTTCCACGTTCAGGGGTTAGCAGCCACTCCACTTTCGGGGAAATAAAGATCGCACGATGGCCGTTTTAGTATCACGTGAACCACCTCCCAGACATTGAAGTTTGAATAGAAAAGGAACCAAGCCACTTACCTTCAGGTACATCTGTTTCTCCCTTGGCGGCTTTGATATAGCTCAAATGCCACTTCTGTCCAGCCTTCGCGACCAGCTCGAAGCAGAGAATTCTATCTTCAGCAAGGAACATGTTCTTCTTAAAGATGTTCATGTTGTCTATGCCCTTTTTGCCCAATATCTTCGACAGCGTATGGTCGCCATGAAAATACTGATCCAAGGGGCGACCCATAATAGCCCGGAACCGGTAAGCGGAAAAGGCGCCTGGCAGGACTGTGACGTATCCGAACGAGCTCTCTAGGGGCTTGTCTAGCACATTGGAGATCTTGTATTCGAAATTTTGGATGGCCACGATGGGGTTAAGTAGCTTCTTACCACGTCTACCCAGCATAGCATGGATCTCTCCGCAGGCGCCGCCAAGATCCTTGTCGTTGTAGAAGCCCTCCCATAGAGCGAGCAGGGACCGAGGACTCGGCTTCGTTCCGGCGTCTATGAGGATCACGACTTCGGGATTCAGAATGCGGCCAAACGCGTTAAATAGCCAACGATGCGAGTTGATCTTCTTACTATTCTTTTGCTTAAGGCAGAATAGGAGCTGTACAGGGGGTAGGTTGGTAGGGTCATCAGGCTTGGGCAGGATAAGCTGTTGATCAGGGGTAATGGAGATCTGGCTCGTGAATTCGAAAATGTGGGCCACGGTTTCTTTCCCGTCGATGTCTTTCTTGACCACGCCATCCTGGTAGACGCCGATCGTTCCGAGAACGTCGAGCACACTCTTGTCTGCCTTCTCGATACCATCGAACACCAAACATACCACTATCTTCTGCCATGCTGGGCCGCTCTTACTCCAAAACGTCGATTTCTTGAGCTTCACTATATCGCGGACATTCTGCATCACTCCATGCATCGTTCTGGCGAAGAGAATCTTGTCTTCGTTGTAGTATGTGATAGCGATCACAAGTTCGGTATGTCGATTATACATACGCGGACGCAGATCATATCCGTTCATAAGCGTGAAGTCGTTAGGGTCGCAAGTGGCAGCGGTGTATCGCATCGTCCTAAACTCCTCGCCATCTCGATACTGAGCTTCGGTGGCATTTCGAATGGGAGTGGGGACGGGATACTCGGTGCTCAGAACGGAACCTTGGAGGCCCTGTGCAAGCTTTATTTTCCTCGTGTTGCGCCGCCGGAGACCTCCTGCTCCATTGGAGTTATCAAAAGGGGCTTGCTGTCGCTCCGTCCAGGTTTCAAGCTCGTTGTAGGTAGACGGAGGCCTACCGTACCCAAAACCGCCGGCAAACTGGGCTTGCTCTAAATCATCAGCGGCGTGGGTTACACTCCGCGAGGGAGGTAAATGATATACCCCTTGATGGGCAGTCTCGCCACTGTATTCGGATGTGGGGGAGGAGATAGGCCGATCGAGTCTATCGGGGTCGTAGCCGTGAATTTGTGGGTCATGTAGGGAATAAGGACGGTCGCCGTACGCTTCATGCTCGGGAAAGTTAAGGCGTTCCTTTTAAGTTTAATATTAGAGACGCTGTTCAAAGTTATACATACAAACGAGATAGACTGAAGGTCAGACATACGGTTGATTCCCCGGGAGGGATATCCCGTAATTCGTACCCCCTAGAGTAGGGTTGGCTGTTTCCTGAGTCCATCTTATGTTCTCATTCCAGTAGCTAGTAATTTTTTTCTAAATCGATATTTGTTGCAGTGGGCCGTATCAAGCTATAGATCGGTAGGTTGACAAAAGTGAAGCCACAAATGGGTATGATTACACCTTGTATTTGGCCGCAAACACGATTTTACATCACAACAGAACTGGTGAATGAATTTACTTGGAGAAAAAGATATCTAAAGACCAAAGTGATGAATAGCAAAAAGCAACGCCGGGAAAAGCTGAGTAATACGAGAAACAAGACGTCAAAGGCGAATTGAAATAGGACATATGGCACCACAATCAGCATTACTAAATAAAGAAATCTGGGTCTTTAAGTGTACAGCCCAATCGCGCATTTCTTTATGCTAGTCACTCGGGGTTCTTTACGTCCCTTACTTCAAGCTATGCTGCCTGCGGGATTTCTTACTTACATAGGTACATATGTATGTATATACGCCTACATGTAGGTCCTACATGTACATACATACCTACATACCATGAATGTCGAGAATAACGTCATCGTGTGTGTACCCACCGGGAGTGAGTCCAAGGCATTACATTAGTCGGCCTTTTTCGTCCGGATCTTAGTAGTTCGTATAGCTGAGGCGGAGTGCCGGCTGCTTAAAGTCTTGGCTGCCGGGCGAGTTGGGTTGGCTTGAGCACTGTGGCTTATAGCAAACCTCCATAATCTGTACAGTTTATACGAGAAAAGAGAGTGGGACTTATTTATGCGCTTGTCCGTCCATCGTTCCCGATGCTACCTAACCCTAGTGAGTAGTAGGTACCTAAGCAGCTAAGGTAGTGTTCCACTGCACTGGAAATCCTACATGGTCGATTCTGTCAGCTCTGTTGTGGTAGGTACCTAGCCACTTTGAAGTCAACAGGTTACTCTGTGTGTGAATGCTAAGTAGGTACCTATGTAAAATAATAATGTTTACATATATGTATTTCCTTCTCACAACCTCATTTTAGAAACATGAAAGAAAAACAGAGTGAAAAGAAAAACCAATAGTTGATCTAAGCTAAATGATTCTGATTCGTTTAAAACTTCTCCCCCCCAAGCTTGGAACTAACCTTGAAAAATATACGATTTTCATGCTTGGCAGTCTTTAAGCACAAAATTGAAACATAAATAGCCTATCTAAATAGTTGACCAACTACGCGATGTTTTTGTATGCCTAACAATGCAGAACCTAGGAGTTACGCTACTATCCAGGTGCATGTACAGTGGGTGGCATTAAGTTTGAAACTTTTTTTTGTATTACAAGGTGCTGCTGAGCCACAATATTTACATACTAACCCATATGGGCTAGCTTTAAAAGTCCGCCACATTTGCAACTACTTACCCAACAACACCTGCCACACCGGATGGTGCCCAGCTTATTGAATAATCAATCCGTTTCAAATCAAATAACTTTTCGAAAGTAGCATTAATAAACATGTAATTAATGGAATAATATATATATCTAGCTCAGAAGCATTTTGAATTTTGTTGCACTATATTGCGACAAGATTTGCTCCATCTATTCAAATAAAAGAAAATACTCAAAGGAGATGGTGATGCTGAAGGTAGTCACGTGATAAATGTACCGTGGCTGCTTTTCATGTCAAGCGCTAGCCACTATTGAGCTAGACTGTGTCCAAAACCGGTCTAGCGGCTTAGTGCTACTTTGCTGTACAGAAAAAAGTTTCAAACTTAATGCCACCCACTGTACATATGTATGTGTGTGTGAAAATATTAATAGGATAAAGATCCATATGGGAAGATGTTTCTGGGTGCGGATTGATCTCCAGTGTGTCAATAGTACATTTGCCAAGCCCTTCACAGCCATGGTTCTCCTGAATCTCGCACGATCGCCGCCACGGCATCATGGCATTAAATAACATATTCCAATCCACCATCAACAAAATCAATAGTTTTCCTCTTGCCGAGCATCAGATCTATATTCCCTTCCATTCTACTTGATATTTTTGTCGATATTGAAAATAAAAACAATCATCACTATGGCCACTCAAACCACCTCAACTGCCGTCCCGACGACTTCGGCGGTGTGTACTAATCTCTACGATATTCCTTCTAGAGATGCCGTCTGCGCGATGCCCTACGCCGACAACTATATCAACATGATGTCCGAATGTTGCGAGGATGCGGATGTGGTCAGCTACTATAACAACTGCGGTCTTTACTGTCTGGCTGTAGACCAGACCGTAGCGGACCTTACCGACTGCCTTTACGACAAAGGTGCTAAGTGGCAGGACGTGTTTTGCAGAGGAAACACCACAGCGACAGCTACGGCAACCGGCGCAGGGGAAATTGACGCGAGCGCGTCGGCAAGCGTTATTTCATCCGATAGCGCGACGAAGACTGGCGACAGCAACAGCGATGATGATGATAGTTCCAGCACAGCCACGCCTGGTGCCGCCCCGCTCACCAAACCCCAAACCACGACGACTGTCTTAGGATTCGCTATCGGGGCTTTGCTCTTCTCGGCCACTGCATTCGGTGCTATTCAGATTTGATATCGCATTTGGTTTAATACTGTTGCAGGGCAAACTGCAACCAAACGGAAGGAAGAAGGATGGAAGACTGCTTGCTTTACTCCATACTATGATGGCGGAGTGCTAATATATGGCAGGCTTAGTGGAGCCATGGTCCATAAGACACATGGCTCCTCAGGCACCTGCAACGAATACCTATCTACGTATTATAATTCCTTTTCTTCTTTCGATATTCGCAATTATATCACGGGGGTGGATGAGATGGAGGACGTCAAAAAGCAAATTCGATATACATAACTACATTTTCATCTACTTCATGTTTTACTTCTATGCAGCTCTAAGACAATCTAGCCGCTTTTTTAAATAGTCACATCTTTTATACAAAGCCACCGCCAACAAATAGTACTTGGCCAACGCAATAAGATGAGCTGTGCTTGATTGTTGTGAACAAAAGCAATGAAGCAGGTTTAAAAGCTTGAATCTGGTGACTGTAATACTAGTATAGATGGAGTAGAAGTAACTAATGGATCCCATTAAAAAAAAAATACATTTAGCTTATGTGATAGCTAGCTGCCTGAGCCCGGTCCATCCGCCCCATCTTACTCCCATGACTTCCGAGGGCTGTATCGTAGATCCATACCTCCACTACAACGGGGATCCGGGGTGAGCAGCAGGGGCAATTAACGATCGAAAATTTCATGAAGACTGGATGTGGCGGAGCTATTTATTCGGTGCCGCGTGGGTCACGCCTCGGTTTTAGGTGTTATGTACATAGTAAGTAGCAATATTCTCGCGGTCAACAATACAAAATAATCACGATCCACTTCGGTTGCCTGACCTTCACCAGTTAGCTCAGCCTTATAATATAAACTAGGTTAGATTGCCTAGGTACCTAGGTTAAGTTTCAACAACGTTGCTATTCCCACATTATCAGACTACACATCACATCATCGCAAAATGTTCTCCGTATTCCTGCAGCCCGGCTTAACCAATACCCTCTATGCTGGATTAGTAAGTTTGCGAATCGCTGGAATTATTTATGATTAGAGAACAAATTTGAAATACATCTTTGTCGCATTAGCTATGGTTTACAAGGTGTGCATGTCTCTATCTGACCATGGAAATACGGAGTTGAGTTTATGAGAACCTAAGTACTGACTTATCAACAGCGCCTTCTACCAATTCAGGTTCAATGAACCCCGTCTTATGGACCGCACCTCACGTCGCAGGCAGTCTCCCCACACCAGCGTAAATCAACCGTTCCTTTCAGGCGACTCGTGGCACCATGACATCCTAGCTTACCTAGGGGGTATGAACTCGTCGCTAGCGGCCCTTGCCGCGCCCCGACTGTATGCTCTATGGCAGCCGTCGTCTGTGCTGGTGGGCGGGATAGAGCGCTGGATGTGACGGCCCTAATCTTCCTCGGCGTGGCGAACAGCTCCCCGGCGGTGCTCAATTTCACGCGTAGCCGGAACAGCGACCGTTTGGTCATGGGTAGGGGGTTCGATAGGATTACCGTCTTGGACGCTGTGTTCACGGCAGCTTTTGCGAGGCTCTAAGAGATATAATTATGTGCCTATTTACTCAGCGTTGGTAATCCCTCCAAAAAATATGCCTAACTTATCAGGTAATGAGAGTGAAAATGAGCTCAGTTACTACATGGGGTACTTAATGCATCGTCAGCAGTAGGGTTAAAGAAATACCACGTAAACTGCCTATACATGACAATTCTGCTTCCTCGCCTCAAATATCTCCACGATCTCGATTCCAGCTGGCTCTTTCTGCGACGCTCTCAACTCCGCATAATCCCATTCCGTCATAATAGTGTCATGCTTCTCTATTGTATCATCCGCCCCATGATCCAGCAGCCACTTCACCGCATTCTGGCCAGCAGAATCTGCTGCTGCTACCCAGTGAAGGGCAGTCCTGCCATCCATTCCGCGCGCGTTGATATCCGTACCCGTTTCGACCAGCACCTGTATGCACTCCGGCTTGTCCCAGCTAGCTGGCGAGTGAATGGGCAGACACCCATTGCCCAGTGCAAGCGAGGCATCAGCCGAGAGCTCACAGACTAGCGCCCGCACTACCTCACTCCTGCCTTTCCTCCCTGAGGCGATGTGGAATGCCGTCCAGCCGTCCTTCACCTGCTCGCTGACGTTAGCCCCGTGCTTGGCTTACGCGCGAACTATGTCCACCGAGCCGGAGCGGGCCACAACCATGATGGGCGGCTCCTCTTGGCTCTTCAAGCAACAGCAACGGTGGACATCCGCGCCGGCTTCTAGCAGCGCCTCCACAACCGCCACAATATTGCGCCTGCAGGCTTCGGCAAGCACGGTAACGGATTCGCCGTATCGCCCACCAACAGTGCGCTTACCGACAGCGTTCACATCAGCCCCCGCTTCGACTAAACACTTGATCACCTCCACGTGCCCAGCCCTCGCGGCTTCAAAGAGTGCAGGCGGTGCGAAGAAGCCCACGCCATCTTGGCTAATATCGGCACCGGCCTCCATGACCCGGCGGACCATATCGATGTCTCCGCGCTTAGCCGCAATGGAAAGAGGGCCGGTGGAGAAGGCGGGACCGCACAAGTTCACGTTTGCGCCGTGGTCGAGCAGCCAGTCGACTATTTTCCGGTCGGACTTCGCGACGGCGGCTTGGATGGCACTCCCGGAGACGATGACGTCGTCGCTGATGTACGGGCAGCTTGGACCCACAGGCAGGTTAATGTCAGCGCCGGCGCCCACGATGTATTGCAGCAGCTCCATGTCATCGCCCCGCAGGGCTGCTTGCACAGGGCCGCCATCGCAGCCGTCGCCGCACGTGAGCGAGGCGCCGTGGTCAACTAGCGTCTTGGCGATCGCTTTGTTGCCGTGATAGCAGGCGATCTGCAGTGCGGGCCCCATCCGCCCGTTGGCGTTAACGTCGGCGCCGTTCTGGAGGAGGAGGTCGACGATCGAGGCATGCCCTCCCATAGCGGCGCTATCTAGTGCGTACGTGCACAGCTCACGGTTTGCCGACCTTGCATTGACGTCCGCTCCTTTCTCAATCAAGTACTTAGCTATAGACAAATGGCCCTCGAAGCAAGCTTGCACCAGGGCTGATCTAGGTATCCTTGTGAAGCAACCGTGCAGGTCGGTCTCTGTCTTAGCGCCTTGCGATAGCAGATCCATCACCAAGTCCTTGTACCCTAAGGCTGACGCGAAATACATCACGACATCTGGGACATAGGGAATGAAGACTCCTAGAAGCTTAGGGTCTTGGGGGGGTCGCCGCTTTTGCCGAACTCGAAGACCTCAAACAATGTAGCCAGTATTGGTCTCTCGGAGGCCTTGGGAAACATCAGTGCGACACACTCCTTATAACCCCGTTTCGAGGCTGCTTCCACTGGATTCATGTCCCTAGGCTTAAAATGGTACTGGTCTGGGTCCGCACCCGCCCCCGCTCCCATCAGCAGGCGAATGATTTCAACGTGGTTTTGACGAGCAGCCTCTGTCAGCGCTGGCCCGTAGCTCAATAAAAACTGTTCGGGTCCGCACCGTGTTCTAGCAGCAGTGCCACGACATCGGCGTGGCCGGCAGCTGATGCTGCTATGATGTAGTTGCGGCATAACCATTCTACGTAAGTGTCTACCCCGTCTTTTACATTCGCGCCTGCTTTGAGCAAGGCCTTGACAGTTCCGAGATGTCCCTTAGATGCCGCTACCCGTAGGCAGGATCCATAGCCATGATTCTCATCGTCAGGGTCTACGCCCGCTTCAAGCAGCGCGGACACAATGGGCTGTAGGTCTTGGAAGCAGGCACTGTACAAGGGGGACAAGAACTTCTCGCGCTTGAGATCCGGTTTTCGCCAGGGTCGGTTAGGGTCAAACAATCTACACGAGTTCTTGTAAGGCTGTGCTTCGCCGCCGTTCTGCAACAGCTTCATAGATAGCCCTTCTAGAATAGAATCTTGTTGCGCTCGTTGATAATACAAAGTCCTTGATGCAGCTGCATGACGTGCTGAAAACCGGTTCTTCAACAATTCCGAAGTAAGTTTCTCTTTGAGATTTGGGAGGTATGCAAGTAATACCTGGGCTGCATGGGAATATAGTTGCGCTTCCCTTATGAATGGACACCTCTGTGTCTGAAAAACCTCAGACAGAAGGTATTCTTTCACGGTATAATGAGCCAGGCCTAGCTCAGTATACTCGATTATTTCCCCATTCGTTCCTAGTCGGCGTATCACTGTCGTATTAATGGGGGTTGCGCATGTAGCTATAATGTCCATCTCGTCAGGCATTCAAAGATCCTCGTCAAAACAAGGGGCTACCTCCGCCTCGAAATCAATTGCCAGAATGTCTATAGCTTCTTCCAGCAAGATCGGTTTGGATTATATGGCAAATAACAGCAGAATTAATATGGCATAGTCCCAATAACATTCGTCGGTGGAAAGAAGTGTTAAGCTGTATGTTTCCGATAGTGTCTTTGGAAGGGTTTTGGGTGCTTTCTTCACGCCTCTGATTGTCACGCATTTTCCGAGGATGGATAATTGGCAATCAACCCATCGCAACATCCCACCCGCCCCATTCGTGAGAGTGTTTTGAATCTTGTTCCGTAGGCTGATGGGCCATTTCCGAAGCTTTGGGTGCTTGACTACCTGTTCTTGAATAAATGTCTTGATGTCACCATCCACGATTTCGCTTTTTGCTTCCACACTTGCTGTGGCCCTCGAGTCTAATAGACCAGAAATTCCAGGCGTCGCTCTACTACTGATGAAGATTCGCAAGCCGTTGATGTCCCACGAGAAGATAGTATCCAGGATTTCAAGTAGTTCATCTTGGTCTATACACTCATCAAGGGCGTCGATCACCAAGACAGTCTCCTTGATCTCTTCCAGAATCCCGTGTAGTGTTTTGAGTAGATCTTCGACTGTTGGCTGAGGAATACCATCATAATAAATCAACGTTCGGTTAGTCCGGCAGCACGTGTTGTAGAAGTATTTCTCTGCGCAAGTTTCCAAAGCACTCTGTGGCTCCTCGTAACAAATCAATAGCTGTGAGATCAAAAAACGTAACATTGGGATAGGCCTTGAAACTGCGACACTGCTGAAGTCAAAATGATAATATACCAGTGCCGTAGACCTTGCTTGTGATGAATCATGATGCCGGGCGTGTTCGATGACGGCAGAGCTAAGAACGCTTTTGCCATAACCTGGGATACCATAAATCCAAAGAGACGATGTGCCAGACTAAGTCCAAGTTGTGAACTCTTCGCTAATCAACAGCCAAGAGCCCGTATCTTTGGCGCGTTTTCTGCAAAGCTCGTTATGTCTGGGAGACGGATCGGGGCGTCGAGCCACTCAAGTATGGTTTGAAGTCTTTCTTGAAGTCTTTCTTGCTTCGTCGAAATCTTATCGCTTTGGGAGTCGATTATCGTCTGTTTAAGGTCTTCCGTATTCTTCCGGATTTCGACGATGGAGAAAGCAGTATCTGCTAATAGGCTAAATTCAAGGACACCCTTCATCCGGTGGACTGCCTCAAGATCTTTCACGAGATCCTTTTCCCGCAATGGCCATACCAGTGGATGTTCCAATCGGCGCCATTTGTTAATTGGAGTGCGTAGGCGCTCTTCCAGTTTTCTAAACCCTTCTTCATAGCCTATCAATGAATTACCGCTTGCACTTATCTCCTTCAGCAGGGGTAGATGATAGCCATCGTCCGCCTCTAGTATATGAAGGAATTGCTCAATAACATCACACAACGATTGCACTTCTCGTTGCAGCCTAATGATTTCTTTTTTCGCATCTTAAACCGTTTGCTGATAGTCATAACATAGCGATATAATTCCGCCGCTTATTTGTACCATGGCTATTAAGCTAGCTACGGTGCTCAAAGGGTCTGCCATTGTTGTCGTATGAATAATAAGATGATGAATTAAAAAGGGAAAGCGATTCGAGTGTACACCTCAGTGATATATAGTGCCTACCGAGTGCCTGGTAGCTGCCTGGTAGCTGCCTGGTAGCTGCCTAAGGCTGGAGGTGCTATATATATCTCTACATTGGCAGCCTTGATGGGGTAGCATCAACGAAAGTTTCTGCATATTAGTCTCCCACGTCTTCGTGGTAGTGTCAGTGAGTTCTCTCCATGCGCCAGGTAGGTACTATGGTTTAAAACCAAGGCGTATATTTATATCTATGGACTCTTTCACGAAGCATTAACTTCTCATTTCCACGACTCAAGTATTTCCCCCCCAACCCCTGAAAGTACCTTACCTAGAATCTTCAGCACGATACAATAGGGCCCCAACTTGGAGAATGGCACAATGCGTTATTTATAGCAAATAGCATATACAGACTACATACATATATAATAGGTCCAATGTAATAGTAGCTAGGCCCCTAAGAATTAGCGTCCATGATGTATGTAGGTGATATCGAGGGGAGAGGATGAAGAAACACAGCAACATTCCCTGACTTCATTTCTTATTGAAAGCATTATGCATGTGTCACATGGTATTCAGTGTGGCAAGCCAATAATGGCAAGAAGATCTCCAGGTCTTAGAAAGAGCGTTGTTACATCATTACCACCATACGTTCACGGGGGCTATTGCTACTAGGTACCTATCTATTATGTATTGTGCAAAGCGGGACTTATCATATGAAGTAAAATATGAAATGTTGCTAATCTTAGGGAAGAAGACTCGGATACTAGATAAGACACCTCGTCGATTGTTCTATGTATGAGTGATACACACGAATGAAAAGAGCTGGGTTAAGTATAAGCAATTCATGATCTCGGTATAAAGATTTATATCCGACACAGTGATGAGTGTAAGCCTGTTAGATCTTAGGCATTACATCACGGCTTGCTAGTATATTGTCTCGGGGTCTTAATTGACTCAGCCCTACATTAAAGCCACCTTCCCGCCGTTAGTTACACTAGGTTGCGTGGTTAATTTGCCTTAAGGGACGTAGATAGAGGGACATGGACATGATCCCTTCATATTATGGCTTGTAAGTTGTGTAATGGCACAGCATTTGGCCATTGACAAGGCGCCGTTAGGATGGTTAATTCCCTTTAAAGTTCCTTGATTTGATAGATCGGGGAATAGTGTAGCATAGGTACAAAAGTACGAGGATTCTATTTCTTATATATCTAAATCCGAAAGGACTATATATTAGATAACTTTACGGAACTTGAAGGGGAATATGAATCCCCAGCTCATTGAGAAATGTCTTCTGAGTACGGAGACTCCACGAATCATAACGCGGCAGGCCTCACCGCGGTTATTGGTTGTGTCGTTTTCATCGGTTTTCTTGTTACCACGCGAGTGTATTCCAAAGTGTTCTGTTCGAAACAGATTCATTTCGAAGACGGTATATTCCTTCATACTTGGAAATTCAATGCTTAGTACTAACCTGTCTATAGTTCTAGCATTTGCTACCCTTGTAAGCTTACCCCCCTATGGTTAATACGGCACTCTTGTGTACAGTCAGAAACTCATCGGAAACTTCTAACAAATGGATTCAAAATAGGGTCCTTACATTGGCTACACTTGTATCCTCATCTACTATATTAAGTTTTATGGATTATATACGAATGAGCTCGATGCGAAGTCTACGTCGGATGTTCTATATGTACGTACGTGCACTCATTTACGATGAGATCATACAGACCTTCTAATATCCAGGCTTTTAGATGGTTAACATTGGTTCCAACCTGTCCCAAGTAATAACGATGGTCATGAAGGTTTGCATTCTAAAGGAATGGACCAGAATATTCGTACCATGTCCATCCAGAAATTCGGTTTGGTGGATATGTCACGGCCTTGCTGGCTTGAACGTAATATTCTATTCCACAATGATTGTGGTACTCAACCTTAGTTGCGTCCCATATGCTAGAATATGGGACAAAAGTATCCCTGGGAGATGCATTGGCTATACGCACCCATGGATCAGCGGGCCGATCATCAACCTGGTCTCCGATATTGCGATTGTGGCTCTCCCACAAGGAATCATTTGGCGCCTGCGAATATCTATGAAGAGTAAAATAAGAGTCGCCCTAATTTTCTTCTTTGGTGTGAAGTACGTATCAGATTTACCTGCATTCTGTTGTAGATCTTGACCCTCACCATGCTAATGTTGGTTCATATGATAGTGTCTGTGCCTGCGCAGTCGGGTCACTTAACGAGGGTATCAAGCTAGTTCGGGGTATTAGCCACAACGATGTCTACAGTCGTTTCACAATATCACTTTGGATATACGTTGAAATGACTTTCACCATCGTTTCCTTTTGCTTGACTGCCGCCCCAAAGGCCTTCCGGGATATTTCACTCAAAATACTAAAGTTGGCTCCGCTATGGAAATCAGAGAAGGGGCTAGAGAACGGTTCAAAGAAGAAGATGGAATCTCAATGGCTCATTGAGCACCCTCAGTCATTAGCAATAAGGGCAAAGTATCATGAGGTTGATGAAACCACTTTCGGACTTACTGGTATCGCATTAATAACACGGCCCACGACTACCATCACCGCGTCAAGGTCGGAACATTGTTTGGAATCTCAGCATCTAGCAAATACTGGGATTCTACGCACAACACATGTGGAAATCAAGGAAGAATTACATACGCTCAACAACTCAGATGTAGATGAAAGTGGTCCAGTACATCCCCCAGCAGTCTTTTTTTCAATAGCGAAGTCATTATGAGCCTTTTTGTGTTGGCATCCTCTTTTCCCGTTTCTTGGCTGCTGCTTAGCTGTAACGTAACGATAGTTATAGGGATTTCACATTTATTTGTTTATAAAAACCCCCTGATACCAGATGTATTTACCAAGCACAGTAAGATTAAGGACTTTGATAGTGATAGGACGTGATAAGATTGGCACCTAAAGTTTTGTTAATATAAATATCACAGGCAGGTAGATTCTACGAGCCGGTGTTAATCATGAGCAAGTCGAGAATCACGATATGTTAACGCGTAAGCAAAAATCTTATGCAGGGAAGAAAATCACCTACCCTAAGCAGCCTACATCCTTCACATGGCTCCAAGTACTTATTTAACACTTTACTCCATTTAGTTACACGGTGGATGGCTGCAAGCACTGTACGATGCATACTGTATAGTTAGGTGACTTCCGCAGGATAACTAGTTAACTACATAGTACTTTATATTATAGTGATTTAAGAATGATGGCACTCCAGCCCCATGGACTTCAAAAAGCCAAAAATATTCAACCTGATTGGTGGCAGTTTAATGGGATCCATCGCGATAAATGAGGCGCAGTTATAAATTAATGTAAATGACCTGATAAGAGAAGATAACTATGTGTAGATATGTAGGTAGGTACTGTGTAAATAGGTTAGGGAAAGGGGGGGGTACAAAAGGACAGGCTTTCCGCCTTGCAGATCAACTACCCAAACACAACTGACAGTTACATAGGCAACTTTACCTCGTCAATCATTTTAATGAAATCAAATTGACAGAAATAACTAATACGCGCTGCCTTACCGCTACATAAATCTCGATTTCCTCCGACATGAAACAGAAACACTACTAGGTACTACCTATATCATATTCTATGTATAGGTATCATCCATACTAGGTAGGTACCTAGTACTAGGTACTATTCAGACATTCTGCCCTGCGTGGACTCCGTGGAGTCTCTCACTGTCGTCCTTCATCAGGGACCAGGCAGCAATATAGTGGATACGGGACTATTTTAGCTGCCTGCACCCTCTTAAGCCATGAGACGTCACCCTGACCTACGCGCTAACATACCGCAAACGCGGTACAACCGGCCATGGCCGGAATGGGCGCACCCCGCGATGAACGGAGCGTTTGCGATCGCCACACTCATCTTAGGCATTCTATCCTTCATCCAAAAGCCGTATTTCTATATCATGTGGATAGTGATTGTCGTCAGTTGCATTGTTTCGGTAAGTCTCACTCTCTTTGACCCTGAGACTACGTTCGAGAGTCGCAAGATCATGCCTAATGGGGAGGTGGTGACGGTGCGAAGGCGGATTGTTGGCTTTAGAAAGTGCGAGAGAATAGTGGGTGTTACGGGGAACTACGGAGTAAGGTGGGATGAATATAGGTACGAAGAGGCATATATTCGGGTTTGACTAACCACTACATATTGCCTTCAGGCAAAAGGGTCTTTAGCTGAAAAGGGAAAAAAGAGAAAATTTATCAAATTCGGTTTGTGAAAATGGGATGGCGCAAAAGAACCACGATAGATGGACGACACATTAATCTCACTTACTTACTCTGCTTGTCCTGCACCCAATGTTTTCCTAATCCAATAAAACCCCAAGCCAATAACCCACACAACAATAACCACTAGAGCAAGCACCGGCGCGAAGAAGGCTCCTCTGATGACCACAAACCCGCTTACGATGGCGAAGACTATTGGAACAAGAATGAATGGCTTATACGGCCGGCGTAGGTCTGGCTCACGGTACCTTAGAACGATGGCGCCTGAGACGGTTAGGAAGAAAAACGAGTATTCGCCCAAGCCATTAAAGGTCAGAAGCGCGCGGAAGTTTCCAAGAAGGATGTACAGGGCAGATAGGATAGCTGAAAGCAATATGGCGTTAATTGGAGCATCAGATTTAGCTGCACAGGGAGGACTGGGCATTTCATCAGGGGATGATGGCTCCTCTTCCTCTTCCGCTTCTGTCCTCGGCTTCAATCCAATGTAACCGACTGAGGCGAAAAAGCGGGGGAACCAGTTTGAGTTTGCTGCTGCGACCGCCATGCGACCGGCGACAAATGAGTTACCGAGGAGGGAACCTGCGACAACTAGACAGATGAGTATCGCGGCCACTATACCGAATCCGCGACCTAGGAGACGAGTAATCGCAGTCTTCGTCATGTTTGGTTAGTAAGGATGGCACATCAGTATTGTGTCATAGCTAGGGCAAGGATACTTACCACAGCTACACTATCAGTGGTTGAGACAACGTCCCATGGCAGCAAAATGTAATAGGCGGCATTGGCAGTGATGAAGCAGAGTATGATGGTGGGGACAGCGGTGTTGATGGCGAGCGGCAGCTGACGGGCCGGTGAACGAAGTTCGGCTGAGATGTAGATTGCCTGTATGAATTTGTTAGAGTATCGTACACTGGACAGCTCAGGTAGGGGTGGCGGCTTACTTTATCCCACCCCGAGTAAGCCCATAAAGCCCCGTATAGCGCCGCGGAGTAGTGACCAAGTATTTCCCACTCGCCTAGTTTGTTCCAGTCGGTTTTGCTTCCATCGGGATTGATGACTTCCCGATTCCCAAACCATGACTTCTGGAACCAATCTCTTCCACCGATATCTCTCTGCGGGTCTGTAGCCTGGAGTATAGCGACTACTATGCCTGCTAATACTAGGGCGGCGATGGTGATGAATTTCGTGATGACGAAAAAGTTGTTTAGTCGGGTGCTGGCTTTAGTGCTGATAGAATTGGCGACGCTGATGACGACAAGAATAAGAATGGAGAAGAGCTTATGCTCAATATTCCCCGCCTGATCTGTCACTCCTATCGCAGAGTATATGCTCTCTACAAATACAATGCTGAGGATGGCGAGCGTAGCCGGCATGACCGCCACAATCCATGTCCAAGCGGCCAAAAAGCCAAAAACATCGCCAAAAATGTACTGGAGATATGGCTGCACACCACCTTTGGTAATTGATCTTAGTACTAACATTTCACATCTCATTTGATTCTGCAAGTGGTTATGAGAATTTGCATATCACTCACCCTCTCCGGGAATCGCAGTTCCCAACTCGGCCATTGTCGATGCACCCGTCCAAGCGAGGACACCGCCAATCAGCCAAACAACCAGAGCAGAACCAGGTGACGGCACATTCGTGTCTATAGAGCCAGGAGATGTGAATATGCCGCTTCCAATGACAATGCTAATGACGATGGCGAAAGCTTCCAGGGCACCGAGGTTTTTGATAAAAGTGCCTCCATCCTGGGCCGGGGTTGATAGCAGCGGGGGAGCATTCTCCGTTCCGTTTCCATTTTCGTCTCGAGCTCGTGACCGGCGTTGATCAGCGAGGAGAGGCCTTGCAGCGTCGTCCTCTTCTATGTCCAAAGACGTTGACATTCCCGGGATTGATAGACCGATATAGTTTCAAAGAAAACCCGAAAATAGCATGGAAAGTGATGATAAAGAAAGAAGGTTAAAATTGAAGCGGAGTTACTAGGTAGTTACCTAGGTTAGGTACCCTAGGTATGTATGCATCTATCGATCACGCAATCTGGTTAGATAAATACCTAACATAGGTAACGAACGGCCTAGTGGGGGAAATGAGGCGGGGCAATTATTTAAGATCTGACCTACTGGACATTAACTTGACCTCCCTTTTTACCGGCTATGAAGCATCATCTTTTCATACATACACGTTGTGAACGAACTTCAAGTATCATATACCTTCAATGTTGCCGATAACACACATCTAATCAGCAATCCCAGGTATAAATGGTTCAAAATCGACAATGAAGATGGGTTGGGTGATAGAACCATTTCAACTCTATATTCTATATGCCTTACGCGTACCCTATCCCAGGTATGTAGTATCATGTATGTAATTTACTCCAAATTTTGTTACAACGACCAGCCATTCCCCCACCAAAAAAGACACCCTAAGGAAATTCCAAAGATAAAGAAAGGTTAATACAAAAGATTGTCCACTACGAACTATTCAAGAAAGCCAGACATCTTCCAAGCCGACACATAAGACCGTACCACCTCATCGCTCACTGGCCCTTGCCTAGCCATAGTTTCAGAGTCTGCACTTGATCTTTCCGTGTCTAAGATGATGCCGCCACAGGCCATGCGCTCAAAGTGGCTTTCGAGAAAGCCGATGACACGAGCCGCCGGATTCTCCTTTTCGGAGAGAGGAGACTGGCGAACCCGTTTGACCCAGTCCTGGAAAGGAATGATGCCATGGGACGGTATTTCGAGGGCGGCTGCGAGAACTGCTGACATGTTCTTCCACGGCTGGCCGACGGGGTTATCGATGTGATACACCTGAGCCACCTCCGCCGTATCATTGCGGTCGTCAAGTCTTAATAGGTCGACCATGACGCCCGCGCTTCGATCGACAGGCAACCAGTGTAGCACCCCTTGAAGGTCAGGAAATGCCTTGAGCGCCTGCGCGCTTTTTACTAGGAAAGGAAAGTGTTCGACGGGATTCCAGACACCGCTGGCGGTCGAGCCGGAGATCTGTCCCGGCCGTGCTACCGAAGCTCGGAAGAACTGTGGGTAGCGACGGAGTGTCTCGGCAAGCATGCGTTCGCACACCCACTTGCCTTCGTTGTAGCCACTAGGTATCACCGAGGCCATAGGAACGGGCTGCTCTAGTACGTTGGGTCCGTCCGAAAAGCCGACCACGCCGATGGAGGAGACGAGTTGGAAACCAACCTTGTGCAGGTTGGTAGTTGTTGCCATGTCACGTGCCAGGTCCAGCAGGTTACGCATCACTCTAATCTGAATCTCGTAAGCCTTGAGTGGCCGTGTGCCGCTCATCGGCCATGCGTTGTGGATGATATGGGTGCCGTGTTGCGCCAGCCAGGCGTACTCCTCGACGGAAAGACCGAGCTTGGGCTTAGAGGTGTCAGTGTCGTACACCCGCAGCTTCCCGCGTGCGACGGGGGACAGCTTGATGCCTCTAGAAACCAGGGCATCTACCTGTCGCTCTTCCGCTGACACATTGCTGACGGGACGGTTCATACACACGACATTCGCGACATCTGCCCGCATGGCGAGGGCCTGAACGAGGTGTGACCCGAGGCTGCCCGATGCGCCTGTCACAACTACCGTGGCTCCCTTATGGTTGTGGGTGGTGGTGGTACGGCCCGCCTCGGGTAGGTCCGACTCCCATCCTGTCGTGTAGGCAGCCACCAGGCGCTTCGCCTCTGCCTCACGTGCCGCCACATCGCCCCTATTAAGCACTTTCGCCTCTACGGCAGATGGATCAGTTGTTGTGGGGACCGGACCTAACGGAGAGCTTGGAACTAACCTCTTGGCGGTGCTGAAATCTGACGCGTCGTCTGGAGTAGAGATATCAGAGGCTGTGTCATTGACCCACACCATACTATCACCCTCCCCAGAGACAGCGGAGTCATAGTCACTCTCATTGTCCTCGCTGATATCCTGTTCCTCCTCGTCATCCTGTTCCCCACCAAGGTCTCCTCCGGCTCTAGCCAAAGCATTCGATACGCATGCAATGAACTGGCGAAGGTTTGTGGCTTCCATCTGCTCGGCCTGGTCGAGTGTGCATTTGAAGGTATTTTCTACCTCGCGTGCCAGCTCCATACCCATCAGCGAGTCGATGCCTAGATCAGCCATCTCGCTATCTAGTGTCATGTCGCTAGCATCGATACCGGAAACGTTGGCGACTACATTGCGCACTTCCTCTGTGATATCGATCTTGCCGGGAGCCTTTGCCTTCCCCTTCCTGCTACTGGGCCTTGAAACCTTTGCCTCTGGGCGGGGGGGCTTGGCCTGAACAGGCGCGGAAACGGCGGGAACAGCGGGGGCAGACGATGGTGCAGAGGCTGCAGTGCCCCTTAGCACCGACTTATCCGCTGTGAACCTCGCTAGGATCTTACCCATCGTGGCCTTGGCGACTCGAGCATACTTGAGACCCATGATGACCTCATCCAGGGCCCCCGTCTCGGCATCGAATATGTAAACGTCCGTCACAAAGGCCTTGTCAGACATGCGTGCGTGGCGCGCAAGCACATGCCAGACACCGGGGCCGTTCTCGCGCCCATCAGTTACGGTCTCGGTCTTGGGCGAGCGCATCGTCAGCTCGAGGCCGGTGGCGACGTACATGTCGCTCGCCGGGAGGTCGGTCAACAAGTTCACATACATGCCGGCGACCTGACCGAATGAGTCGGCCTTGGGGACATCGAGCCAGGTATCACCACTGTGTCGTTTGTGCACGACTCCGGCGCTTTCACCCTCGCGGCCTATCACGGACTTCACGCCCTGGTAGACGGAGCCGAAAATGACGACTGGTTCGAAGGCCCGGTACACGTTGCGACCCTGCAGCGCCTCCACGCCCTCATCATTGGGTCCCAGTTTAAGGATGGATTGGCACTGCGCGTGGCTGACGGCGCGTTCGTAACGGCCGAACTCCTGGACGTAAGACTGCTCGGTGGGCGAGCACAGCTGGACGCGACCTTCGGCGTGCTTCTCCGTGATGGGTGCCGTGGTGGAATCACCCCCGCTGTGAATGGTGAAGTACCACTCAGTCTCGGTATGATTGACAGCCTTCAGATCTATGTAGCGGACGCGCGTGGAGTCAGCGCATATGGGCGAATGACTGATCATGTCACGCACCACCGCCGAGTACCCGCTAGATCGGCAGTCTGGGTTCAGGTTAAAAGCAGTCTCGATGGCAATGTCAATCTCGAGCGTGGCGGGGCACATCGGTGCCGTCTCGGCGATGACGTGGGTTGAGAACAGACGCTGGTACTTATCTGACGCGGTATTGATACGGAACCGCGCGGTCTTCGGCTGCTTCTTGTTCCCCTGAAAGCCGACGAAGGTCCATATGGGTAGAGTCCTGGGGTCTTCGATTTCCGGCCCCGGTGCTCCTCCACCCAACAGCAGCCCACTGCCTTCCGAGGCGATCAGGTCCTGGGCAGCCTTGAGGACTATCTCCTTAGGCGATTTCAGCTCGAGCCAATGCCGCGACTTCTCGAACTGATACGGTGGGAGGAGGAGCTGCGCGTAGTCGTTTGTCTGAAAACGATGGTGTGGCCAAAAAGACACGCGCAGACCTTGTTTCCAAAGGGCCACAGTTGCGTCCGTGAGTCCGTCCAATCCTTTCTTGGTATTTGTAATGGACACGGACTGGAAGTGAAGGGTGTCAGAAGCCTTGGTGGCTGCTTGGGCATGTGCGCGGGATGCCATGACAGTGATGGTCGAGTTGGAACCTGCCTCAAGGAAGATGGCTTCCGGGTGCTTCTTGGTGAGGCGCTGTACGGCGTGATCGAAGAAGACTGGTTGGCGCATATGAGACCCGACAAAACTCCAGTCTACCTTAGCGGTCGAATCGCCATGCTCGGTGGCTCGTTCGATCGGAATGGCCGCGTCATTAAAGGTCAATTTCTTACCGAGCTCGCCTAGGCGGCCCATAAGGCCCTCCACTAGAGTGGAGTGGAAGGCATTGGTGACATTTAGACGCTTACTCTTTATTCCCTCAACCAAGTTGCTCTTCTCAGCTAACGCTTTGGCGAAAGCGTCAATGCCTTGTGACGACCCAGCAACAGTGAAGCTGCGGCGACCATTGTAGCAGGCGATGCCTGCCGACCCGTCCGATCGGAGGTTAGACTCCTTCAGAACATCGTGCACAACTGCCTCGTCAGCCTCGACAGCTATCATGGCACCCGAATCAGGTCCCCAGGCATCCCGCACCAGCCTGGCTCGGCCAGCGATTAATTTCACGGTGTCTTCCAAGCTCAATACGCCCGAGATGCAGAGAGCTGTAATCTCGCCAAAGCTGTGGCCTACAACAGATACAACCTTGTCAATGAGCCCACAATCTATCCAGCTCTTAGCGGAGGCGTACTGCATAGCGAAGAGGCAGGTCTGGAGCTTGACTACATCCTTTATAGGCTCAGACGAGAATATGTCGGGATAGATACCATCCAGGCCTTGGGACATGATGGCAGCGTTGCAATGGTCCAGGTGATGGCGTAAAACGGCCACGCCTTCGTACAATGCGAGATCTAGCCCCACAAAGGTCGACACCTGACCACCAAAGCACAAGACGACGGGTCTCTCGGACTTTACTGGGGCAATGCCGATGCTGGCAGCTGTGCCCGTGGTAGCTGAGGCTGTCTGAGAAAGCTTGTCTTGTAGATCCATCAATGAAGAGCAGCTGAAGATCAGCCCTTGAGGCAAGCCGGGGTTTGACTGTCGCTTCATGTTGAAAGACACATCCGCGAGAGTCGCTTGTCCATCTACGGACCCAGCATGTGCTTGTAGATAAGGAACTAGTACAGTGCTGTAAGCTGCAATGCTGCGGGCGTCGAATCCTGAAATCCAGAAGGGGAATCGAGCTATCGAAGCCGATGAGCCGGTCAATAGGGTTCTAGTAGGCTGGTGAGTCGTGTGGGAAACCACCACGCTCGAATTGTTTCCGCAGGCACCGTAGTTGTTGATGAGAGCGACCTTTCGGCTCTCTTTCCAGGGCCGTAACTCGGTCACCACCTCCATCATGTCTGATGGCTTCGCGTGGATATGAGGGTTCATTTTGTTGAAGCTAGCTTGTGGAGGGATGAAGTTTTCTCTCATCATGGTGAGGACCTTGATCAAGGAAACGATGCCTGATGCACCTTCGGTGTGGCCAACGTTGCCCTTGACTGAGCCAACGGGCACAACGGTATGGCGCAAGGGGCCAGCCACCGCCATGCGAATGCTTTCGTACTCGGCAGGGTCTCCGACGGGGGTGCCAGTGCCGTGGCACTCGACTAACGAAATCTCATGCGGCTCCACGCGGGCCTTGCGGATCACGTCATTGAATAGTGTTGATAGCGAAGGTACATTAGGGACAAACAGTGGCGTGGAGTTGAAGTTCTGGTTGACACCGGTAGCGCGGATAGTTCCCAGGACCATGTTGCCGTCGGCCATGGCGGTAGAGAGCTTCTTCAAGAACACGTAGGCGATGCCATCACCACGGCAGTAACCGTCAGCGTCGGTATCGAAAGGCTTGCACTGTCCCGTCGGGCTAATAAAGCTACCGGCAGCGAGGTTTTGTGTCCATTGCAAATTGGTCAAGACATTAACACCGCCGCAAAGCGCGGCCGGGACTTCGCCCGAGAGCAGATCTCGGCAGGCTGTGTGAAGTGCCACAGTGGATGATGAGCAGGCGGTATCAACCGTCAACGCAGGCCCGGTCCAACCAAAATAATGCGACAATCGGCCGGGGATGAAACTCCTCAAGCCTCCAGTTGCAGTGAAGGCGCTAGTCGGGTGACAGCCAATGTTGATCTCGTACTCAAAAGAGCAGAGACCCACGTAAACTCCTACGTGCTTCCGTCTTTGGTGCTCAGACGGGCTGGTAGTTGCTAATTCGTTGAAATATCCCGATTGTTCAACTGCCTGATACGCCCCTTGCAGCGAGAGTCGGCCTTGCGGGTCTATGGCCATTGACTCGCGTGGACTGCGCTTGAAGAACTTGTGGTCAAAAGCATCTGGGTCTTGCATAAAGTTGCCATACCACTTTCTCTTGGGGTCAGCATCGGCATCGTCGCGGTACAACATGTCGTGAACCATACGTTCACGTGTGATCACTTGGTGCTGCGACTCTCCGGTTTTGAGCATCTCCGCGAATGATTCTAGGTCTTCTCCACCCGCCGTCTTTATAGACATGCCCACTATCGCAATCACTTCGTCTGGGTTTAGTTCCGGCTTCGCTTCCGGCTTGGCACCGAGTTTGCTCGATTCAGTGCGCTGACCTTGCACGATAACCTTTGAACTGTTACCAATGTTGTTGCTGGCGCGTATTTTGGCTGCGGATGCGAGAGACTTATTTACATAGTCCTCAACATCCTCAAAATGCACCTGCTTAGAGCCGAAACGACTCACAGCGGTGGCCGGCACGGGGCGGTCAAGACCAAAGGCAATAAGCGAGACATCCTCCCCGTTCATGGACAGTTTCGAGACGGTACTAGACCAGCTTAATTGATTTGCCAATATCGATCGCAACACGATGCCAATCAAGTCGACTTCTTTACCCGAGATGGGCTTCCCTTGGGGGTGGTCAAGGTAAGTGGGCAACGCCAGACCGGCAGCATCGGGGAACTCTAGCTCAGGCATCGCGTGGCATATGTCGATAATAGCGTTGGTGTGGCGTTCCCGTTCCGCACCAGGCGTGTGAAGCTTGCCCTTGAAGGCGAGCGGTATCGTGGTGACACCTGCTGCCCGTAGCTGTCTGATCAGTCTGGTCGCGAGGCGCTCCGAAGTCGTCACAGTGGCCCGAGACTCGTCGAAGAGCACGGAGACGTAGGAATCAGGAGACATTGATCCAACAATGCGTGCCATATCTTGGCCCTGCTTAGGTGTTCTCCAAGCTGTGGCCAACGAGACGGATCGTCCTTTGCCTTGGCCCTTGCTCCACTCATCACAGGCGCCTACAAGGGCCGCCATCATAACTCCGATGCGTAGAGCTGCAGCACCATACTTCTCGAATTCCAGTCGGTTGTGGGAGCTTGCCACAGCTACGGCGGCGATCATTCCAGCACAGAAACCCACTGTCTCTACATGGTTGCTTCCGCCGGACTCATGCAGGCGCACCAACTCTGCTTGTGGGTCTTCTACAGCTCCAGTCGCGTCGTTGAATCGGAACTCTAGATACCGCCAATATTGGTCAAGCTGAATAGCGATCATCATGAAACCGATCCAGATATCCGGAATCTCCGCATCGGGGGCTATCGAATCGCCGGCCGCTGTTCCATTTCGGAGCCACGATTCGAAATCAGCGAGTAGACGGGCACCTTGCATCGTCCCGGCCATCTCTGGGATCTTCTCTATGACAGCTTCCCAGTATCGTGGTAAGTCGGCCAGGGTATCTAGCATCCATTTTGCGTTTGGCCCGTTCAAGATTTGCCGTACATGCTTCTCTAGGGTTTTCTTGGTTTGTGGCCCGATGTGTCCTCCAAAAACAAAGCTCTTCGCCTTGCGCGTGTTTAAGGCAGGTAGAGTAGTAGTCGTCATTGTTACTCAATGTCGTGAAAAGGTAAGTATCTAGATAAGTAGGTAAGGTGGTAAGGAGGTAAGGAGGTAAGGATATAATGATATAATGAGGTAAGTAAGTAAATATTGTAATACAGTAATCTAGGGAAAGCCAACTGGCGTAGCGAATGAGAAATTGTTTAACGGCGTGGGCACATAGTAGTCTAGTCTAGAATGGAAGTGATAGTGATAGTGATGTGAAGAACATCTAAGGGAGGTTGTGCCAATACTTGTTGTAACCTGATTCTCGTGGGCTGGCCAAGGTCGACTTGATATATGATGGAGGCTACAAGCGATATCTGGAGCAATTCGCTATCTATGGAACGGCATACCCGCGGCAATGATTTGACAAAACGGCTATAGTTCAGCCTAGAACGTGGCGTCCTCTGCGTCCTGACAACATTCATCATTTCATCGTGATAGTCAACTCCGTCGTGATAATCCATTTTGTTGTGATAATCATTCGCGGTAATTTCACCCCGAAGGTGCGAAAGGTTATCGTAAGCCTTCCTCCAGCGCAAAAGTTATTGCGATAAATTCTGAAACGACATTACTGACTCTAGCTGGCTTACACGTCAGCTCAGCTCAATGGTCGAAATCCCCATTTCACATGCCCCAGTCCATGCCCTATCGTCAAGCGATCCGAAGAATTGGGTTGCCTAGTGGACCTGAAATGGCGCAGCAAATCCTTCCAGTCTTAAAAGTCTGGTTTATTACAGATCCTTCCTGAGCAATGAGTATGCTATCAAGGGGAATCAAAATTCCGGACCTGAGCTGTAAGCGATACTATTCTTAGCAGGAATCAGCCGCAAGAATATTCTATTCCATTAGGCGAGGCGACTTTGAACTGATTTTCAAAAATCGTCAGTTTATCGTTCGTTCGTCGACCTGGCTTCATTGGTGTGCTACCGGTAGCTACCTACGAAAGTAGGTATACATATTACGATGTTCGCTATCTATTCAGTAAGTACTAATCAACGAAACATAGATACCTGCCTCCTATCTAATATACTTCTTCTGCCTCTTTATCAGCTATTTTCTCAGTTGAATCCACAATTTCATCATCGTCCTATTCGGTGTCATTATCAACATCTTTGCCATGACTAGCAACCACAGCAACAACACCACCACCAACGGTGATGCAGCTCCCCTTGAGGTAGCCATCGTGGGGGGTGGTATAGTCGGTGTCATGACGGCAGTGGGTCTTCATCGTCGAGGCATCAAGGCTACTATCTACGAGCGTGCGTCGACCTGGACCGAGGTCAGCGCCGGGTTCGCGTTTACTGAGGCAGCCCGGGGTTGGATGAACCAGCTAAGCCCTGATCTCCTGGAGATCCTAGGCCGTATCAGCCAAAAAACAGACGCCGATTCTAGCAACAGCTACTGGGACGGCTACACCCCGCGAACCCGAGAGGATGCCGAGGATGAGTCTAAGGCTCTGCTTTTCCGAACTCCAAACAACAAGCTCTGTTTCTGGGGCTGTGTGCGCTCGCAGTTCCTCAAGGAGATGGCGGCCCTACTACCCGAAAATTCCGCCTTTTTCGGGAAGCAGCTTCTGACTTACGACGACAATGAAGAGAACGGCAAGGTCGTCCTTCACTTTGAAGACGGAACTTCGGCCACGGCTGACGTTGTGCTCGGCTGCGATGGCGTCCACTCCAGCACCCGCAAAACTATGTTTGGCCCCGACCATCCAGCCAGCCGTCCGGGCTACACGCACAATGTTACCTACCGCACCATGGTTCCTATCGACGTCGGTGTTGCCGCCATGGGCGAGAAGACTGCTCAGGGTGGATGCATGCACTGCGGTCCGAATGCATGCCTTTTAACATATCCCGTTCGTAGCCATCTCATCCCATTCACTATGCGCGCTGCACTAGTTTGCTAATGATGATACACTTTAAAACAGGTCAACAGCGGAAAAACGCTAAACATTGCCATTTTCGCCTACGACGCCAAGGACTTCCCCAACCCCAACCGGATGACCGTGCAGGCGGACCGCAGCGAGATCGAGGAGATCTTCCGGGATTGGTGCCCTCACGCGGCAGACGTGTGGAAGTACTACCCGGAGAAGATGACCAAGTGGGGAATCTACGACATGACGGACAACCCGCCGCCAACCTACGCGAAAGGCCGTGTCTGCATCGTCGGTGACGCCGCCCACGCCAGCACCCCATTCCTTGGCATCGGCGCCTGCACCGGCGTCGAGGACGCCCTCGTCGTCAACAAGGTTCTCGAGTCCGTGCACGCCCAGGCGAAGCGCGAGGGCGCTTCCGCTGATGCGGTTAAGGAAGCGTTACAGACGTATAGTCGCGCTAGGTTAGAGCGCGGCCAATGGGTCCCTCGTAACTCGGGACAGATCGGCCGCATGTACCAATGGAGAGATGGACGCGATCCCGAGGGCCTCAAGCTGAAGCTCGCGAGGGCTGCTCAGACGATCACGAGCTTTGATGTCTTGGCACCTTTGGCGGTCTGAAGGGGGGGGGAGGTTCGTTTCTAAGGATTGTGGATTGTTCTGGTTAGTATTGTGTTAGATAAGTATTTGTGGTTAGGGACATAGGCGGTCGGTTGTAAATTGCTGTTATGATAGAAATTGATAATTTCCTTACGGTACTTTAACCTGTACAGGTTTGTGAGAAAAATGAATACTGCCTAGTAGGTTTGTAGGCTGGATGGTTTAAGTCATCCATGGATGGTATAAATAGACATGGCCTATCTAAGTGGTAGAGAATCGGCTTGCGATATTACACTACGTGACTGGATAGCTTACCTAGATACTTACCTACCTAGGTAGGTGGTAAGTTTCAATTTAGGTAGGTAGTTACAGCTCATAAGAATCATAAAACACCTATCAAATTTTACTCCTACACTAATGGGCGAATGATTGCTCTCCAAAATTTTTTTTTTTATTGTCTTTATTTTATATCAATACATCTGTCAACAACCAACCTGACTTAAGCTAGTTATTTAAGACAGTCGGGCCATTAAAACATAGGTTCCAAGGTTTCTTACGCCCGTTGGATATTCGCTGAGTTAGTTGACCACAAGTTTCAGCAGTGATGAAGCAGCTCATCAATTCCATCACTAGAAATGCAGCTACCTATCACATATATCAAAGAACGAAGTTACAGTGAATGCCTTCGCAACTTTATAAACTTGAGCAGCGTTTAGGTAGTAAACTTAGGGACCTAACCTGAACTAAACCCAAGTGATAACTGCAAAATCCGTGCCTCCAATCTCCCAATTTAATACCCATTTCAGCGCCAATAGTCCCATGTGTGTTTTACGCACCCTTCATGACGGCGCGATCACCCTCAGACCAGACATGGTTCGACTCCATGTCCTTGAGGCGCCAGACACCGTCAGCCTTGACGGCAGAGCAGAGGTAGTGGGCGCCGGTGGTGTACTTGTTGGGACCGGGCTCGTTGCCCTTGCCAGAGCGGCAGTGGACGGCCTGGGCAACGAAGGTGACGCGCGCGGTGGTGGGCGTGTCAACGCTGACGCGCATGTTGGTCAGGTAGTGGACCGTGTCGAGCTTGGTGCCCACGTGGTCGAACACGTTGGCCTTCAGCTCGTCCGCGCTGTTGTTCGTCTTGTTCGCAATGAAGGTGTGGATGTCCGGCGTCACGACGGAGCGCAGCAGCTGCTCGTCACCGTGGTCGAGGGCCGCGAAGGATGCGTAGCAGATGTCGGCGACGGCCTCGCGGTCGCTGAGGGGCTCGCCGGCGAGCTTGGCGGGGAGGGCTGTGACGGTCATGGTTGCGGTGTTTTCGTGGATATGGATGGTTGTTTCAAGTATTTAGATGGTACTTTTGTCGGCTGAACTTGGAATGCTGTGAAAATACAGGTCGATGACATGTCTCTTTATATGTCTACTTGTCTATCTACTTTTCGATGATCTTACAGCTGAAACCATCCATTTGTCTCCTGATGTCAAGTGTACCATCACCGAAAGCTGTCATGATACTAACATAGTAGGAATGCTTACCTCAAGACCGCCGGCTCATCAAGTTCATCCGAACACTCATGTATGCGTGCGGCTTGTATGTGGCGTGTATATGATCCCGCTTCCGCCAGGACCGAGTTGAGCAGGTTGCAGCCGAAAGTATGGAAATTCTTTTATGCTGTAGGATTTGGCCGCGACCTTCGCGCCTGTTTGTGCCTGACATGCTTACTTATATGTGGTTTAGGTAGCCCCCCCACGCGCCACATAGGCGAATAGTACATCCGAAAAAGTGATATTACCTATTTCGGTAACTTTTCTTACAATGAGAAGATTTGATTGGATGCATCAGTCCACTTTCTTTTTTACGCTGGAATGGCGCTTGGAGTGATAATCACAGGGATTGATACAGGGATCACGATAGGGATGGTTGCCTATGGGATAGATAGCTCTGGAGGATTCATTGTTGCACCGTTAGTTCTTACAATTCTTAGACTGGTCTTGTTACACAACATCGCTTTCAGGCAAGCTCGGTCAGCCGGGACAAATCCGAGGCGACCATTTGTATATTTATATTATATTTATATACGATCTTATCTCCGGCCCGAGTGCAACAGTCATGACGGTTGTGAGCCAACACTGATTCGGGGTTCCGAGCTACCGTTCCGAGGGCGCGGTAACGTTTGTGCGAATGATACCTGATACTACCTAGTACCTAACAGGTGCCTGGCGTAGCACCCATAATTGGTACCTAAACAACAAAATCACAATTGCCTATGTTCAAGGTTTTCTTATGTTTTCCTTTATATATCGTTCTAATCCTCCTTCCTTTTTCCTTCCACCCTACCCCTCCACACAAATACAAACTCAACTTGTAAATGTCAATTTCACAATTAGCCAAATCCTCCTTATCCAACATGTCTATCCTTCTCACTGGTGGCAGCGGCAAGACCGCCCCCCGCGTTGCGGCATTGCTCGCCGCTGACAAGAGACCTTATCTCCTAGGCTCCCGTCAAGGCCCTAGTGCTGCGTCAAATGGCCACCCCACCGTCAAATTTGACATGGGTGATGAGTCGACCTGGACCAAGCCATTTGAGACCACACCGATCAAGGCCGTCTACATGATGGAGCCCCGGATTGCCACGCCTTGGATTCCCATGAACAAGTTTGTGGATCTTGCCAAGACCAAAGGTGTCAGTCGTTTCGTTCTATGCGCCGGTAACTCGGCCCAAATTGGCAAGGACGGTATGGGCAGAGTTTGGGAGCATCTGATCGAGTCTGGTGTTGACTACTGCGTGCTTCGCCCGTCTTGGTTTATGGGTACGTTAGGCCTAGCTCGTTGACCTTGATCGGTTCAGATTCAATGTTTATTTCGTCGCTAATATCTCTCACTTCACATAGAGAACTTGATTGAAGATGGACTGAAGTTCACCATCGGCAAGATGGGCAAGATTTTCACCGCTGCTCAAGATGGAGAGATCCCCTTTATTAGCGCAGATGATATTGCCGAGGTGGCCTATCACGCCCTGACGGATGAGAAGTCGTATAACTCTGACCTCAGCATCCTCGGGCCTCAGAACTTGACTTACGATCAGGTGCGATCACCCCTCATATTCATTTCTGTGTGAATGAAAGTCACCTAGTTCACCAATTACTAACATATAATGCATTCACAGATTGCCGAGATCCTTACTAAAGTTCTCGGACGCAAGATTGAGCACGTCAAGCAAGATGAAGCGGGCCGTATTGCGGGCCTGGTCCAGCACAACCTATCAGAGTACTTTGCCCGATTCCTGACTAACCTAGAGCTCTTGGCCTCCAAGAACTTCGAGAAGGGGACGTCGGATGCCGTCGAGAGGGTGACAGGACACCCGCCCCTAAGCTTCGAGCAGTTCGCCGAGAAGAACAAGGCGGCCTGGTCGTAGAGCACCCATTTTTTCTCGGTAATTGAAATATTGTTTTGGCAAAGGCAAAGTGTACCTAAAAGTTGAATAACGGATACTCCCACTCCCATAGACTCATGAAATGAAATAAATATACCTATCACCTTCACTCCGCTCTTCGAATCGTAAATCTGGCAATGCAAGCAGATAAGTAATCCTAACCCTAGCCCTATTGTGGTTAACCTTCTACTAGAGGATGTGTCAGACTATACCGCTACACGAAAAGGTGAATGATTGGTCTCTCATTCAATTGTCTTTGGTTTAGGTACCCTGTTATTAGTGTGTCTGACAGGATGTTACGGAAGGATTTCAGCTGCTGCCTGCCAAGCTTATATCCCTACTATAGGTAGTATACACTAATTCCGCCTTCACCTACCGTTATATCTAAGATTTTACGGCTTACACACTCGGGAAGGAACCAGTAATAAGCTCGGCAGGCGGATGCAGCCGTATCACTATCGTCTGACGAGCAACCGCTCAGCCAAAAGCTTAAACAATGCGAGTACCGCGCTTGGCATACTTACTCCCTTCAATATCAGACTAGAAAAAAATGGGCAGCAAAGATTTTTTTTTGAGTAAAAACATGAAGGTGGGAATACAAACTCATGTGATGTCAAAATGTCTGACAAAGCTTTTTAATGTTACAAGTTGATATTGCATCTAGGTACTAAGTTCAAACTAGAATATGTGACTATTATTACAGCCAACAGGGAATAAACCCATGAGAATTGAATACGATACGCAAAAAGCAAACGAAAAAAGGGGGATGCATCATGCTCAACTCCGGTCCTAGTACATGCCCAATACCCATGTATGTAAAACCTTCTAACCATCCCCTGCCCATCCCCTCAAACCAATCATTTAGTCATAGCAGGCACCAACACAGAGTTGGTATAGTTCCACAGGCCGGCCGAGTGATCGGAGATCCAGGCAGAGCCAGTGTACCAGGTGTTCTTGTACCCTTGCAGCTTGAACAGGTCCGTGTAAAAGCCCTTCTTAATCTCATCGGCCGAGACGCCCACTCCCGAAGGGCCGGCGTTGGAGTAGGCAATGATCTGCGGGTTAGACCCGGGGGCCAGCGTCTTGAAGTCCTTGATGATGTTCGCCTTGACCGTCTCGTCGGGCAGGGTGTTGACGCAGCTGTACCAGGCCCAGTACGTGTCCACGTCCTTGGTCGCCCAGATAAACTGCAACACCGGCAGTGTGGGGACGTTGTAGGTGTTGCCCGCGTCGGGCTTGGCGTTGTAGTAGCGGAAGCCCTCCTCGAGGCCGGTGTTGTTAAGTAGAACGGTGTAGAACGCCTTGTTCTGGAACTTGGAAAAAATGCCTGATTCGCGCGAGTCGAGTCCCAGTGGCTTCAGATTGTCGACCTTCGGGGGCGCGGTAACCAGCAACTTGTTCGCCTTGATGAGTTTCTTCCCCTTGGGTGTGTTGACCACAAGGCTGACCCCAGAGTTGGATCGGGTGGCACTGCTGACGGTGGAGCTGACCAAGGCATCGGACCCGAGAAAATCCTGAGCCTTCTGGAAGACTGATTGGGCGTCATATGATGCCGGGGCTAGGACGGCACCGTTGATGATGCCTTGGACGTAAGGAATGTCGGCAACCTTCAAGATGTACAGCGCCGGTTGTTCAAAAACATTGCCGTTGGAAGTGGCGAACTGAGCGAGAGTATACGCGACACTCTGGATCTTGTACTTCTCGACGAACTGGCCAAATGGCAGCAGCAAGTCATCCGGAATCGGGTTGGGCAAGTGCGCAAAGTCTTCCAAGTATGGGAACTTGGCAAGCACTTGGAGGTATGCACCGAAGTCAGGGTGAGGGAGTGTTCCATCCGCTAGCTCCTTGCCGGTGCTGAAGTCAGCGTACTTATCGCCTGTACCCGGCTGCTGGTACTGCACCATGGGAATGTTGAATCGAGAGAACCAGTCGGTGACGGCGGTGCTGTTTTGGAAGTTGGAAGGGCCATAGTTGACGCGTACCCCTGAAGAGGTGGTAAACGTCTTCACGTGGCCTCCTAGTTGTGCTTGAGGCTCAATGACGACGACAGTCTTGCCGGCATCCTTGAATTTGATAGCCGCGTGTGTACCTGAAGAGCCACCACCAATGATAGCAATGTCTCGCTGTATAGTGTCGGCAGCTGAAAAGGATGACGTATCCGGTGAGGCGCCGAGGCCGTAAGAGGCCAAGGAGATAAGACTGCCAAGCAAGAAATTCGCTCTCATCATGATGAACACAGTTGAGAAGGTGTGTTTGTATATCCCTCGGATTAAACGGATAAAAAGAGACTTAAAAAGAGAAGCAGCTGGACCAAACGAATGGATAAGTTTTCCCTATCGGCCTTGATGAGTTCTACAGTTTCGAGCTATGATCTACGGACCTGCATATGGTTATAAGTTCCATCAGTTAAATACCATCGAGACGACCCGTGTAAGTGGGCTGTGGAATTCTAGGCAGGGCTGGAAGGATTCTCCCCCCCGCCAGGACGTTGAACCCACAATCCTCCAGCTGTTACTGTTGGTTCCAGCTGAGCGAAAGTTATGGTACAGGCTACAGCGCACTGCATTCAGCTCGCGCATGTAAGATCAATACTAAAAATACTCCTAAAATAATGGTATTAAATTAATCAATCAGAGCGGAAGGATCTCTCAGCCTCCTTCGAATACTCCTACCTACGTACTGTATGTAATTATGTATAATTCTTTGCCCGGAATCACACCATATACTATTCCAATTAGGACTACGCCTCTGGGTTCGCTTCTAAGACGCTCCTGGTAAGGTGCTAAACTGAACTTCACTCCGGACAACATTTCCCACGCGGACATACTATTGTGCGCGGCAATACTTTATTTACATAATAAACATAGCACAGTCAGCCGCTCAATCCTCCATCACATGCTTACAGCTATCTATCGTGAGTTATGCGGTAAATTGATAAGTCGTTCAGGAACGGAGTGCTGACAATGCCGGCCCCTAGTCGGCATCGTAGAATTGATTGTGAGAATTGACTGCCTCAAGGTGGCGGCGTACTGTATATACTAAGATAGATAGTGACTTAGAGGATGGCCATATATACACTAGGCAGTAGCAAATTCATCATTGTGGTGTTTTGAGATTCGTCTGAATAAGAAAAGCCTCTCAACGATTCTTTATAGTTGGGTTGGTAACATAAACATCTAGCCCCTGAGATACGCAGTCTACTCACCTACTTCAACTAAAGAAAAGGCATCCTAAATAGACCACTGGTTCAAATAAATGCCAACCAGTTTCTTCTTCGATCTAACCCCCTGAGCCTTAAGCACAATTTAGTCCACTTCATCTTCATTCTTTTTACCATCATCATCATTGACATCATCACTGTGGGGGAGCGCATAGCCTTGACCAGACACCACATTATATCCACACAATACACACTATATCCAACCCAGAACACACAATGGACGCAGACAACAGCGAGTGGGCAAGTGAGCCCATTGCCATCATTGGCATGAGCTGCAAGTTTGCCGGTGGTGTCAGCGACCCCGACAAGCTCTGGGACCTTATGGCCTCAGGGAAGACTGGGTGGAGCGAGATCCCGGTAGATCGGTATGACCTGAAAGGAGTCTATCACCATAACCACGAAAAAACCAGCACGGTAAGTGATATCCTCCCGCGCATTGGCGTACGCATTCTTGGCGCAGAAAGGTACTAACTAAGTGATAACCGTGCTCAGACACATGTCAAGGGTGGGCACTTCCTTGATGAGGACGTGGCGGCTTTTGATGCGGCGTTCTTCAATTACTCGGCAGAGATGGCGCAGGCGATCGACCCGCAGTTTCGGTTGCAGCTCGAGTCTACCTATGAAGCGCTCGAAAATGGTGGGTTATGCTTACTACTGCCTCATCCCCCCCTCCTCCTCCTGTGGTCAGCTCTTCAAATAAAAAGAAAGAAAGAAAAAACTAACCTTAATCGTAGCGGGTCTGCCTCTCTCGCAGGTAACAGGATCCCAGACGTCCGTGTTTGCCGGTGTCTTCACGCATGACTACCAGGAGGGCATAATACGCGATGAGGATAGGCTGCCACGGTTCAACGTGGTGGGTACCTGGAGCCCCATGTCGTCCAACCGCATCTCGCACTTTTTTGACTTCCGAGGCGCGAGTATGACTCTGGAGACGGGATGTTCGACAACCTTGGTGGCCCTGCACCAGGCGATACAGACCTTGCGTAACCGCGAAGCCGATATGTCCATCGTTACCGGCTCCAACGTGATGCTGAACCCGGACACCTTCAAGGCGATCGGATCACTGGGCATGTTGTCTCCCGATGGCAGATCATACGCATTCGATTCACGCGCCAACGGGTATGGCCGTGGCGAAGGTGTGGCCGCCCTGGTCATAAAGCGGTTATCCGACGCGCTAGCCGACAACGACCCAATTCGGGCCGTCATCCGTGAGACCGCGCTGAACCAGGACGGTAAGACAGACACCATCACGACCCCATCAGGCGCCGCCCAGGTCGAACTTATGCGCGAATGCTACCGCCGCGCGGGCCTCGACCCCCGCGGTACTCAGTACTTCGAGGCCCACGGCACCGGAACTCCGGCCGGTGATCCCATCGAGGCCGGGGCCATGGCTGCCATTTTCAGTCAAGGTGAGGGCCGTGAAAACGAGGCGAATTACTTGCGCATAGGCTCCGTCAAGACGAACATCGGTCACACCGAAGCCGCATCGGGTCTCGCCGCCATGATCAAGGGTGTCTTGTGCCTTGAAAAGGGGCTGATCCCACCCACCGTGAACTATGAGACGCCCAACCCTAAGCTCAAGCTGAAGGACTGGCGGCTCAAGGTGGCGACTGAGATGGAGGCATGGCCTGAGAGTCTGGTTGATGGCCCTCGTCGCTTGTCCGTCAACAACTTCGGCTACGGAGGGTCGAACGCTCACGTCATCTTGGAGAGCGCTGACCCGTGGACCTCCACGGCAGATCTAGATGTAGTTACCAACGGCAACGGGTATTCGAATGGCAACGGGTACACTAACGGTAACGGCTATACCAATGGCCACCATCATACAAACGATACAACCGACAACGCCAAAGTATTGATCCTCAGCGCGCGCGACGAGCGGGGCTGCCAGCAAATGGTCTCGGACCTCCAGGCGTATCTAGAGAAGCATAAGTCGCTCAACTACGAGGCCTCGGAGCAATTACTGCGCAATCTCAGCTACACGCTGGGCGAACGCCGAACGCTATTCCAGTGGGTGGCAGCCCACCAGGTCCGTCTCGAGAAGGACGGCACGTTGGAGACCGCCATCCAAGCCCTCGCCACCCCTCGCTTCAAGCCCGTTCGGCGATCTGCAGATCGTCCGCGCATCGGAATGGTCTTCACGGGCCAGGGTGCGCAGTGGTACGCCATGGGCCGCGAGCTGCTGACGTCGTACTCGGTCTTCCGCCGGTCGATCGAGGCGGCGGAGGCGCATCTAAACGCCCTCGGTGCCGACTGGTCGCTCCTCGAGGAGCTGCAGCGTGACCGCAAGACCACCCGAGTCCACTCCACTGAGATTAGCATCCCTGTGTGCGTGGCGGTGCAGATCGGCTTGGTCAGCTTACTAGAATCGTGGGGTATCACCCCCACGGCTGTTACGAGTCACTCTTCAGGTGAGATCTCGGCTGCCTTTGCCGTAGGCGCCCTCACGCATCGCCAAGCCATGGCCACGGCTTACTACCGTGCCGTGTTGGCAGCAGACGAGTCTCTCCGCCCAGCCGGCGCCGCCAAGGGTTCCATGGCTGCAGTTGGCCTAGGTGTGCAAGAAGTGCAAGTCTACCTCAATAAGCTGAAGAAGGAGAACGGCAAAGCCGTCGTCGCCTGCGTGAACAGCCCTCAGAGTGTTACCATATCTGGTGACGCGCCTGCCGTCGAAGAGCTCGAGGAATTGTGCAAGGAGGATGGCGTGTTTGCGCGTCGTCTAAAGGTCCAGCAGGCCTACCATTCGCACCACATGGATCCGTTTGCGGATGCCTACCGGGAGCGTCTTCGGGTTGAGATGGCACGCGACATCGCACAAGACGGTAAGCGGCATCTGCAGGCAGCCGAGACAGAAACCAAGGTGATCTTCTCGTCCGCCGTGACAGGTGGCCGTATCACCGACATGAAGCAAATCGCCAACCCCGACCACTGGGTCGGCAGTCTGGTGCAGCCGGTCGAGTTCGTGGACTCCTTCATTGACATGGTGCTAGGCGATCTAGATGACCCTACCGGTAGAAGTGTGGACGTGTTGCTCGAGGTTGGCCCACACACGGCCCTTGGCGGGCCTATCCGCGAGATCCTGTCGCTGCCCGAGTTCGAGGGACTCGAGCTGCCGTACTGGGGTGCCTTGGTACGCGACGAGCATGCCGGCGACAGCATCCGATCGGCCGCCATCAACCTCTTCCGCGAGGGACACCCTCTCGTCATGAGCGAGATCAATTTCCCCGAGCCCGCATACGATGACGAGGGGCCCCGCGTCTTGACGGACTTGCCGTCATACCCCTGGAACCACTCGATGCGTCACTGGCAAGAGGCCAGAGTCAACAAGGCGATCCGCGAGCGCAGTCAGCCACCTCACGAGCTCCTCGGTATGCCCGTTCCCGGCACAGATCCCGGTGTAAACGTATGGCGCCGTGTACTACGCCTTGCCGAAACCCCCTGGATCCGCGATCACATGGTGCAGGGAAGTATCGTATACCCGGGTGCCGGCTACATCTGCCTCGCGATTGAGGCTGCAAGACAGTTGGAGGAGCAGGCAAACGCCGCAGGGAAGAACAAGCCTGCTACGGGATTCCGTCTACGTGACGTCAACTTCCTATTCGCCCTGGTAGTCCCCGAGAACGCTGACGGCGTCGAGATCCGGACTACGCTCCAGCCAGTCCCCGAGCGAGAAGTCGGCGCTCGTGGATGGTGGCGCTTCGAGGTATCATCTGTGACACTAGAGAACCGGTGGACGCTACACGCTCGCGGCATGATCACGCCGGAGCGAGAGGCGGAAGCTCCCGAGACGACGCGCCGCCCGCTATCCATCTACACACGCCAGAAGGACCCTCAGGAGTTGTTTGCCAATCTCCGAGCACGAGGGGTTGTCCACGGCCCCCTATTCCAGAATACGAGCAATATCATCCAGGACGGGCGTGAGCCGCGATCCTTATGCGACATCACGGTCCGACACGAAGCATCTTCTGACACTGATCCGAAAGTGGCAGCAGCGACTACGTTGCTTCACCCAATCACGCTCGATGCTGTTGTTGTAGCCTTTTATTCCACGCTACCCAGCGTCGGAGCCCTGCAGGAAGACCCCAAGGTACCGCGTTCTATCGCATCGATGTGGGTGTCTAACCAAATAAGCCGCGAGATCGGCCACACGCTGCGCTGCGACACGTCCCTGCTATACGATGACTCCCAAAGCGGGCGTGTAGACGTGACTGTTTTGGACAGCGAGACAAACGCCCCGGTGCTGGAGATGAAAAGTCTCGAGTGCGCCTCTTTGGGACGTGGCAGTGGCGCCACAGCGCGACAGGACGCAGCCAACAAGGGCGCCGCCACCACCGCTGGCACCAGCAAGTGGGAGCTAGAGGTATGCAGCAAGCTTGAGTGGGGACCCGACCTGTCGCTCAGACAGGCCCTGGCTCTAGCACAGGTCAAGAAGCAGCTAGTTTCCGCCCCCGCTGAGTCCAACGCCGAAGCGGATATAGTGAAGAAGCTCTCCACGCTACTGCGCAAGGTCGTGCACAAGAACCCGGCTGCCCGTGTCCTCCAAATTGGCGCCGGAGCCGGGCCTCACGCCACACTTCAACTATTGACCGCACTTGGTACGCCCAAGACACCTTTGGTAGGTAGCTGGCACGTGACAGAGCCATCTTCCGAGGCATTGGAGGATGCGCGTACTCACCTTGCCGACTGGGCTGATCTGCTCGAGTTCGACCAACTCGACATTGAGCAGGGGCCTGCGAAGCAGAAGTTCACCCTAGGGAGTTACGATATCATCGTCGCGTCCCACGCCCTGCACGCAGCCGCCAATGTGGCCAGCGCCGTAACCAATGTGCACAGCTTGCTGAAGCCAGGTGGCACGTTGCTGTTCGTGGAGAATACCAAGAACCAAACCGCCAGCCCGGCCCTCACGACCTCTTTCTGGGACGGTGTGCTTCTCGACGCCGGGTTCAGCGGCGTCGACCTTGAGGTCCACGACTCACAGAGCGACGCTATCCACAGTAGCAGCATCTTCATGTCGACAGTGCCCCTCACCGATGCGCAGAAGCCCAACCTGAGCCGCGCCAACGCCCGCAACGGCATCGTCATCGTATCCAGCAGCCAAACCCCTCCCCCACCTGGCTTCGTCAACCTGCTGACCTGCCGCCTCGAACTTGAGACCATAACCGAGTCCGGCTCCGCGGCCTCGCCCGCGCCCGTGCACCTGACGCTCGAGGAAAGCAGCCTGGACCTGTACAAGAACAAGACCTGCATCTTCGTGGGCGAGATCGACTCGCCAATGCTGGCGGACCTGGACGCAGCGCGCATGGAAGGCTTACGCGCGATGGTGACTCAGTGCAGCGGGTTGCTGTGGGTGACGACTGGCGGGGCTGTGGACAGCGAGACGCCCGAACAGGCCGCCAGCCAGGGATTCCTGCGCGTGCTGCGCAATGAGTACATTGGGCGACGATACCTGTCGCTGGACCTGGACCCCGCGCGCGCGACGGAGAAGTGGTCACTGGGTGGTGAGACGAAGACGATTGACACCATCGTGCGGGTGCTCGAGGAAGGCTTCGGGCACGCTGATGACACTGAGAGTGGCCCGACTGACTTCGAGTACGCGGAGAGAGATGGTGTGCTGCTGATCCCACGTGTGTATAAGGATGAGCAGGGCAACGATGCGGTAGTCGGCTCGCTGGTGCCGAACTGGAGCGAGTTGCTACAAGGGAACCAGGATGACAGCATCCCCTTAGAGCCCCTATTTCAGGAGACTCGCCCCCTGAAGTTGGAGGTGGGTATCCCGGGATACCTAGACACACTAGCGTTCGCGGACGACGAGGAGAGCCAGTGGAAGCACGAGGTGCTGGCATCCGAGACGGTGGAGATCACTCCTCGAGCATACGGACTCGGCTCGCGCGATGTATCGGCGGCCATGGCCCAGCTCAAGGATCGATCCATGGGTCTCGAATGCTCAGGTGTCATTACACGCGTCGGGGCGGAAGCTAAGAAACATGGCTACCACGTTGGCGACCGTGTCATGGCAGTCTTGCCGAGCTCCTCTTTTGCCAGCCGCGCCTATGCCCCGTGGTACGGGGTTGTCAAGATTCCCAATGGCATGGACTTTGAGACTGCCGCTTCCATTCCCCTAGCCTTCACCGTGGCGTCCATTGCACTAGTTCACACCGCTCGCCTCGAGCCGGGACAGTCAGTGCTCATACATGCCGCTGCCGGTGCCATTGGACAGGCCGCTATCATGATCGCGAAGCAGTACCTGGGCGTGACCGAGATCTACGCCACAGCAGGGTCTCCAGAGAAGCGTCAGCTGCTCCAGCGCGAGTACGGCATCCCCGCCGACCACATCTTCAACAGCCGCGACGCCTCGTTCACTCCAGCCGTTCTAGCCGCCACTAAGGGGCGCGGGGTCGATGTCGTGCTCAACTCTCTGCCTGGTCCGCTGCTGCAGGCCAGCCTCAGTGCGATTGCACCGCTGGGCCATCTAATTGAGATCGGCAAGGGAGAGATCGAGGCTAACAGCCTGGTCGGACTGGAGTCCTTCTCCCGCGGTATCTCATTCACATCACTGGACGTGCCGACGCTTTTGCGTCACCGCGGACCTCACGTTCAACGCTCACTGGTCGAGATCGTCCGTCTCTTCAACGACAGTACCCTGAAGCCAGTTCACCCTGTCTCCGTATACCCCATGCAAGACGTCCAAGCAGCCTTCCGCTTCGTGCAGACAGGCGCTCAAACCGGCAAAGTCGTGCTATCCTCCAAGCCCGACGAACAGGCCAAGGTCGTCCCTCGACCAAAGGGTCTCACAAGCCGCGTACAACTACGCTCCGATGCCTCCTACCTCATCGTCGGCGGCGTTGGCGGCATCGGCCGGTCCGTCGCTTCCTGGCTGGTTGAGCATGGTGCCAAGAACCTGATCCTCCTATCCCGCAGCGCCGGCGACCTTGACCTTCCGAAGAACCAGCACACCGACGGCGCACTCTTCATTAACGAGCTGCGCGCAATTGGCGGGTGCCGCGTACAGCCTGTCAGTTGCGACGTGTCGCGTGCCTCAGACCTAGCCAAGGCCCTCGAGTCCTGCAAGGCGGCGGGACTACCTCCGGTCCGCGGCGTCGTGCAGGGCGCCATGCTTTTGCGTGACGCGGTCTTCGAGCAAATGTCACTCGCCGACTGGCGCAGCGGCTTACAGCCCAAGCTCGACGGAACACGGAACCTTCACTCTGCCTTCTCGCAACAAGGATCGCTCGACTTCTTCGTGATGCTATCATCAGTCTCCGGGATCGTGGGTATCACATCTCAAACCAACTATGCGGCCGGTGGGACGTACGAGGACGCGCTGGCGCGCTGGCGGCAGACACAGGGGCTGCCGGGCGTCACCATCGACCTCGGCCCTATCTCCGACATCGGGTACGTGTCCAAGTCGGCGAAGGTGGCCGACCGCCTGCGCAAGGATGGCGATTTCACCATGCTTGATGAGGACATCGTGCTCCGCGCCCTCAAGGCCGCTGTGACACACCCGCTCGGCGGCCGCGTCCAGCGCATCGTTGGTCTTAACTCCGGTCCTGGTCCCCAATGGGACGCTGATGGCCGCTCGCAGCTTGGAAGAGATGCCCGCTTCTTGCCACTGCGACACCGCAGCAAGGCAGCGGCTGGGGCTGGCGATGGCGATGACCGCGGTGGCATGTCGCTCGCTGCGCAGCTTGGGGACGCTGGTTCCGTGGAAGAGGGAGCGATACTCATCGGCGAGGCGATCGCCACTAAGCTAGCCGATATTTTCATGACGCCAGTAGGTGAGATCGATCTCAGCAAGCCGCCCGCACACTTTGGTGTGGATTCGCTGATCGCAGTCGAGCTGCGTAACATGCTGGTTCTTCAAGCAGCTGCGGATATTTCTATCTTTAATATTTTGCAGACCCCGTCGCTGGCCGCGCTAGCTACTACCGTGGCGGAAAAGAGCCGTCATCTTGTGGTGGCTGCTTAGACAGAGCTCTATGTCGGGTTGTATTGATTGGAATCATTGGATGGGTAGCTAGTAGTTACACTATAACCGGCGCTATTATTTTCTTACTTTTAATTTATGGGTCTATAGGTAGACTACCGGGGTAACCTTGTACGGGGATTTAGGTGTTAAAAGGGTATCATGTCTTATGGTTGACAGTTGTATGTATAGGTATTGTGGTATCTTGGACTTTTTACGTGGAGTGTAAGGTACTTGGGTAGATTTCCTTCATAGAATACATGTAACTAGCGGCTCAAGTTATATTTTATTATACTTCAAGTCTTTGACACATGCAGTTCTACATATTTACTTTGGTCAATCCGATGTCCTTCAGTGTGATACTACATCTAGATGCACTCACTTTTGGAATAGAACGACTAAGTTCATTATACCTACGTACCTTCGAGTCTTTTATTTCTTGCATTGATTTGTATCAGTTATATCAGTTATGGGGTCGAAGCCCTCTAGTTACAGTGGTACAAGCATTGGCGCGTTCGCCTACTGATCTCTACCTTCTGAGTTTCCTCTATAGTGCCTGTCTTCCACAGTACTAGGTATCGTATCGTACTCTGACGGTCTATCTACTGCTAGTAGTACCTCATCATGATATCCGCTCTTGAGCCATCATGAGAGGGTTGCGCACTTTATGCGTAATATTCCACCCACACCTTACTCCTTGAATCCTTCGCGCCGGGACTGCGCCCTTTGACAAGTTCCATCTAATAAAAACAAAAACATAAATCTAGCTCTAGCAGCCATTGCTCTGTGCGGGTATATATATGAAACACCAATTCGTACCTATAAATCTTTTGCCTGGTCGACCCCCGGTAAATAACACCACAAAAATGACGTTGAGAAGAAGAACAAAAAGGGGACTCATATGAGCTGGAGAAAGTTCTGTGAAAGCCTATTTAGGTTGATACAAGCCTGCAGTGTGGATATGATGCAAGGCATGAGTTGGTTGGAGGCATCATTCAGCCCCGGGTGCGACTGCGAGAATCTAGCACCTAGTAGGAGTAGGATAGGTGTCAATGGATGTGTCTGTATGATGAGATTAGTCGTTTGTCTTCTTTCTTTCTTCCTTCCTTTCTTTCTTTTGGGCATGGAAAATCGGCGCGATGGCCGCACACTGTTCGCCGTCACTCAGGGGGCTTGTCTTACCTGAAAGTGCTGGTCAAGTGCGACAACCAGGTGAGGTATATCAGCCACAGCATCCAGTGCTTGCTGCTGATACTCGCCATGGAGAGCCTTAGTCAGCTGTGTTGCTTGTGCTTTGTTGCCCAACGGCTTGGTTTCGATAAAGTCGTGAAGCATAAGCACACAGATTTGTGATGCCAGAGCAGTAAAGGTAAGCACAGGGTCCAAGTGTCCTACTGAGGCATGTACTCGCTGCATCGTGATACGCTGTGTCAGTAGCGCATTGATATATCGGTGTCGGTGGCAGAAGTCGACAGTGGTATCGCGAGTTCTGGCTAGAGGTCTCTGTTTATGATCTAGGACGAGTCCACAGATGTGTGCCACGATAACGGTTTCTGTAAAGGAAGACAAGTCATCGTCCGGCCGCTCCAGGTCGCCATCGCGGACCAGATCCGTGATAAAGCTCGTCTTCTTAGGACGACCACTAGCAAAGTTTACTTCGGGGGCTGGTAGGAGGGTACGGATCTGGCAACAAGTCAATACATTGATACTCAGAAAGATGGAGTGGGGTATACTAACCATCCGATCGTCGAAGAACATGTGCAACCCATCGATCATACTTGTAAACCGATCAATTGTATAAGCGAGCCAGAATGTCCGCCTCCTGGTTTCAACCTCAATCCAGTCATCTTGGACTTGTGCTGAGGGGCTAAGCTGTGCCGCATATTGATCCTGGGCCTGCGTAGTGGGGGTGCTTTGGTTTACATCCAGTTCATACAACCTCAACATCTGGATCAAACGAAAAGCGGTTCCAGCGGACATCATCCATCGGTGGTAGTCTTCACACGTCAACTCATACATCGCAAGCAAGAGCCACGCTTGGGCCTGCTCGATGGATACTTGGTGGCAAGGTTCCTCTGACTCGATTGTATGCAGAAGCTGTTTTGTCTCTTTGTATAATTGTCGTACGGCAACTTGGAACTGACTGGAGAGTGATGACGCGAATGTCCACATGGCATACTGTAGGCAAGTCTGTTGCATGCTCTTATTCGGCTGTTTGGACCAGGAACGATAGCGATGTGCTTGCACTATAGGGGCAAACATGTAGGCCCGGTCAAAATAGAGTTGGTCACTATAGGAAATGTTAACATTACTGGTCTGCAAATTAGCCGTCAGGGTCCAAAACCTACAGGTCATTGTGCATCATAGGAGTGATTTGAAGTCCAACTCCCATTGAAAACGGAGCTGGCTCCTGACTATAGTCTAATGATGGGAATTCCGGACTTGGAAACGAGCTCTCGATACATTCCCATGGCGCTGGTTGCATGATGGGAAATTGGACATCTAACGGCGGCGTCCATAGCTGAATATCACCTAGTGTTATAGGGGTAGAAGTGGATGTGCTCTGAACTTCGATGGTATCGACGCTGCCGCCATTGTCGTTATCGGAGTTGATTTCTTCATGAGAAGGCGAACGAGTCCTTGTCTCCGTCGTCGATGCCTCTTGTTCGTTCAACCGGGCTTGTAGGTCCTCTACCATAGCAGGACTTTCCATCAGCCCAAATTCCAGAGGTGGAAGGTAGAAAGATTGATAGGGGGATTTACCTATCTTGTTCTGTAGCGTCTTGAGGTATCCCTTCTTTGGCCCTCTGCGTGGGCAGTTGTCTCTCACAACGCATGTTTTCCCAGAAGTAGCACAAGACATGCATTGTGGTATTCCCCTATCGCATCTTATCCTTTTTCGTCGGCACTCTTCGCACTTATCACTTTAATGTCAGCGTCACAACTTTTCCGACCCTCGATCTAGAGTCTACGACGGGGACAGCATCACCACCTACCGCTATTCTCATCTGTGGTCGCCATGTCTGCGCCGCCATGTCTACATCGGTCATCATTCGATTCTAGTTTTCGACGTAACACAATCAGCTAACTCCTGAACGACTAGGATGCCAAGATGCAAACGACGACAATATATATAGGCCATGTAGGTAGTGAAGCCGGGCTCAGTTCCTTTAATGGTTCCTTTAAACCTGTAGCTGAGGGTGTTAGACCCTCTTACCGCATATCACGTAGCACGACATGGCCAACCAATCTGCTTGCTCGTTGACAATCAGCGGGCATCCTGGTTCCGTATAACCTTCGATGAATCCCTTCACATAAGGGGAGCTGATTAGACCCACTTATCCGTCACAGAAACATATGATCCTGCTGGATCTCGCCTGTACCAGGCATCAGCCACATGGGAGACCATGGGAGACACGAGGCGCTATCTTGATCGAGTGCGTGGAGGTTCCACGCGTCAGGATTCCGCTGATTCCGCCCACCCTGAGGATTTAACGTACCGCGTTATCTCACTAACCTTGGTGTGACAAGTATGTTTGCCTAAACAGTCACTCACTCTAAGCTTAGAATAGGTAAGTGCATAAGAAATAATAGGCTGTTATTTACATACACTGCCCGAGTATAGTCTTCGACGTTCATTGTACGAAATATCTACCAGTAAAATCTCGATATCTTCATAACTAGGATAGCTTTCTAGAACTCGACTAAACGCATAGCCTAGGTAAGTTGGTAAGATACTGATGAGGTAGGAATATACGCCAAGATAATATTGAAGACTTAAAAGGTGGTTGGCTGATGGGTCTATAGCGGGATTGTGTTGTGTAAGGCGGACTTGAAAGGTTCTAGGTTAGCTAAGAAGGATTTAGTTGATTATACGAGGAGATGAAGGAAAGCTTAATTAGGTAGTTGGTAAAGCTAAGGCTGCAGGGCTGCAGGGCTGGAGAGCTTGTGCGAGAAGCTATGGCTAGGTGCCTACTTAGCAACGACCTTGGTAGAGTACGTAAGTAGGTAGGTAAGGGGGTGGTGATTAATCAACATGCAGACGGAATCCCCATGGAATAATGGAATCCACTACATTTGACAAATGATGTAACCTCGGGATAATGACAAATAATGTAACCCAAAGAAAAATAAAATAAAAGTGGCTAATTTGGGTATGTAGCAGCATTGTAGCTGGAGGTATTACATTATATTCGTATATGATAGAATTCTGCATAGCCCGTTCAAAGGGGGGATTTTACTGGCCCCCCTTTAGTAGTGGTTATAGACTAGTTATCTACTACATGTAGGTACCTGTCTAGGGTAGGTATAGACCATGTATTAGGTACCTAAGTTAGGAAGTTATAAAGCCTTTCGGTGTGTAACCAGGCGCAAAGGATTATATAAGTCTTCCGCTTTGAAGAGACAACTTACATAGGTATGTAGGACTACCGACTGGAGATATCGGGTTTAAAACTTGACTTCTAAATAATCCACTACCTACTTAAGCATGGAGGTAACCTTGAGAATCACACTATGTCTAGGTACGGGCTGCCTTAGGTAGTTAGAAGAGCTTGGCTACGACTCTACCCGCAGATCCAGTTGCGGCTCTGCCAACAACTCTTCCAATGGCCTTGGCTTCTGTTGCACATGTTCAAGAACAGCCTAGGCAATGTTTCATCGACTCAGAACATCGAAGATTTGCAGGCAGTTGGCTTCATGCATTTGAATATGTCAAATGTTCAAAAATAGCATCATACTACGTCGTATGTGATCATAGGTGCGAAGGTCGCGGCCCTCAGTATGGAGAATTTGGTCCTGGAGGTATAGAAATTATGGAAACTTCTTTAGAAGATGGATTGGATTGCAGTCCTAGTCATCCCACACCATGCTTTTGGCTGTGATCTTCGTATATTAGCTGGAAAAAGCTTACCAGTGAGAATTGAGGATGCCTAGGTACGCAAGTGAGGATTTGATGCTTAGCAATAAGGGCGATGCCCCCAGGTACTAAGGTACCAAAGGCAGGTAGGTAAGATTGAGCGAGGCATGTGTAAAATAGTGTTGATCATACAGTGAAATACTGTGACGTCTAATTCATCTGATTGGCTGAAATTTATTATACCAAACATTAGCTCGCATAAGACCCGCTTAATCTGGCGCTATTTTGTTACTAGGTAGCTTGGAGGATTCACTTTGAAAGTTGATCAGAACATAATACAGGCACATAATACAGGTACAATACATAATACTATGCCCACCTAGTAGCGGCATATTGGGGCCTAGACCCCGGCTTCGGCGTCTTATATAGTGGGGGTAATGGAATTTAACACCGACTCCATTTGACTAAAACTAGCGCAACGGAACAGGCAAATACACACAATTACCGTATCTAGTAAGAATACGGTTAGTGGCAAACGGGAGGTTCGGCGTGGGTATGGCCCGTCCCCCCGTCTGTCATGGCACATACTTACGGCGTAGTATGTAGGTTAGGCTGGTTAGCAGCTAACCTAGTGTACAATACAATACCTCATACAATACACAATACAATGCTATTACATACATACCTACATGGGCTGCATGGGTATGTGATATATAGAAGATTGGGGTGTGTGCCTTAAATTCCTTCAGGACGACGTAGTAAGCAAGACTGAGTTCGCGTAAATACAGCCAATGTTCTCTTAGCACGTTTTTTAGCCGTGAGTGTGAGATCTTCAGAGTCCAGACCCAACATTTACCTTACACCATCTAAATGATCTGAACGGCGTATTACATTTGGTAATTTTGAAAGGATGAGGAGTCCCATGGCTGTTAACTTACTTACATGACTTAGGCTGCCTTATAATAAGACGATTTAAAATAGACAAAGAGATAAGTCCAAGAAAATGCAGATTGCAGAATGCGGATCACGCAATGCGGGTAGACGAGCACCATTATATCGTGCCGGTGCCGAGCTTACATATTTTCCCTCTCGCCCGCAGATGGTTCCAATTTCTTTGTATCATTGCCTAAAGTCAGCTGAGAACCCTGAAGGTAATATATAAGCAAGCTGAAAGACTTCCAAGTGGCTCAGCCGTCTCCGAGCCACAATCGGATATCGATCCTCGGATCGGGCCTACCGTTAACAACCCATATTATATTACCTGTTCCGGTTGTCGTCGTATCTTAACACCGAGGGATTTCGAACTCCGAGTATATATACACATGTTTTACATGCTGAACTTTTTTAAGGTAAGCGGCATGTTTCCCCATAAAGGGCACCACCAAGATTACATACATAGGGAAGCATGTATAGTAACTCAACTTCACCATCATAGTCCTTAAGTTTCAAGAGATCGTGCCATGTCCGCGAAAGACCCAAGGTAGGCTATGTCAAATGTTCTCTGTAATATATAATGACAACTAGTTGACAACTAGTTAACCATATTTTAGAAAGGTTTCGATCCGGCTCCCCTCGGTGCCGGAGCCATCGACCCAGCGGTACACCAATCGAATCTCAAACACATTTGATCCGGACAGCGTAGAATCCCTCGCAGATTGGAGACGGAAGACCACAACGCAATGGGACTTTGGCTCAGAACTTGATCTCTTGGGAGAAAATGCCAATAACCAAAGCCGCCCTCGTGGTGGTCGGTATGAAGATCGCTTCACCTTTCTGGATAACTCGTCGGAGGAGGACGTGACTACGAGCGGGATAGCGAAAGCGGGGGCTACATATCCACCACACGAGTCAGACTTCTCAGACGTCGACCTCCCGAACACAGACGGACATGAGCCACCGAGGGAGAGTGACGAAGCAGCATTGCCGCCCGAGGTCTACCCGGGCATGGGCTTGCCGCTATGGCGCGAAGTCGCTTTCATCGCCGTCATCTGCCTGTCCATGTTCACGACGCAACTCGGCCTGGGGCAAGTACTACTCCTACTCCCCAGCATCGGGCGCACCTTCGGCATCTCGAACCCCGGCGACCTGAGCTGGCTCGTGGCCGGCTACAGTCTGACGGTCGGGACCTTCATCCTCGTCTCGGGGCGGCTGGGCGACATCTACGGCTACAAGCGCATGCTGTGCATCGGGTACGCGTGGTTCGCGGTGTGGACCATGATCTCGGGTCTCAGCATCTACGACACGAAGAACGGCTACGTCATGTTTGTGTTCGCGCGCGTGCTCTCTGGCATCGGCCCCGCCATCACGATGCCCAACGGCCTCGCCATCTTCGGCGCCGCCTACCCTGACGGCATGCGCAAGGCCATGGCGTTTGCGCTCTTTGGTGCCTGCGCGCCCTCGGGCTCCATCGTAGGCGCGACGTTCTCCGCGCTGTTCGACCTCGTGTGGTGGCCGTGGACCTTCTTCTCCTTCGCCATCGTGCTAGTCGTCTTGGCCGTGCTCGTCATCGTCCTCGTCCCGGTGATTCCGCGCACCCGCGCCCCGCCGGCCACGTGGAGAGAGTTGCTTCAGGCCGTTGACCTGCTCGGTGGCGTCGTGGGCGTCACGTCGCTTGTCCTCATCAACTTTGCGTGGAACCAGGCCGTGGTGGTCGGCTGGAGACAGGATCGCGACTACGTGTATATCTGTCTTTTGCTCGGCATGATCTTACTCCCGGTCTTTTTCGTCATCGAGACCAAAGTTGCCGTCGAGCCCCTCATCCCTTTCTCGGCCCTATCTAGCGACGTCGGCTTTGTCATGGCATGCATAGCCTGCGGTTGGGGCTGTTTCGGTATTTGGCTCTTCTATCTGCTTCAGTTTTATACGAATCTACGACACGGCAGTCCCCTTCAGATCTCGGCATGGTTCAGCCCCATTCCAGCATCAGGCTTCGCCGCTTCTATCACTACGGGTATTATCCTAGGGAAAGTACGGTCAAGTATTGTTATGGTCATGTCCATGACCTTTTTCCTGGTTGGGGTGATTCTTATAGCTGTAGCCCCGGTGGACCAAACCTACTGGGCCCAGACTTTCGTCTGCAGTCTCATCATACCGTGGGGTATGGATATGTCATTCCCGGCCGGGACCATCATTATGTCGGCGTCTCTCCCTAAGAAACATCAAGGTGTGGCCGCAAGTCTGATCAACACTGTGGTCAATTACAGCGTCTCACTTGGCCTTGGCTTCGCCGGCACCGTCGAGTTGCAAGTCGACCACGGCGGGCTCACAGAGCAGGACGACTTACTCAGAGGCTACAGAGGAGCGTTATACTTGGGAATTGGACTGGCAGCACTCGGCCTTGCCATCAGCCTCGTTTTTGCTTTCAAGCAGGGGCGGCGTGAGTCGGAAAGTAAACGGAAGAGAAGATCGGCAAGCATAAAGCTGCCAGATAAGTGATCTTAAGCCTTAAGGAATGAGAATGAGGGAAAGCTATCTACATCTTCCTAGCGAAAAGATAAAAGCACAGCAAACAACTAATAACAAGCACGCACTTGTTTTCCAAATCGCCACTTTAAAGAATATATCTCAATAAAAATTATTAAAATTGAGCAACGAGATGTCCTTGTCGCCGACCAGCCAGTGGGACCTCCTAGTACTGTACTACTGTGACACCTCAAGCAAGGCACAAGACTGTGTATATATAAACAATATAGCATTAACATATCGGGTCAGAGGTTGGTTGAAATTATTTATGCAATGGACGGCGTTAAAAAATGGCGGGAAGGCAAATGTGCCCCTGGAAACTGGAGGGAGAGGCAAGGGTTACGTTCCCGTACCTAACCTAGGTACCTAATCAATAAATTCAGATATTTACAGACTGGGGGATAAGCTTTTGGGATTACATACATGTAATATGCACGACATTATGGTGACACTTTGCTCGGACTGGGGAGGTATACCTACTAAGTATATGTATGACGCCGTGATACGCCAACACGTCACCATTTTCTAATATACACCTACTTATCCCCTAAATGCAGTTACCTACTAGGTACAGAGACTTCACATCAATAGGTGTACTATCCAAGAACATATTGAACTTCATTGCTTTACCTACCTAATACATCCCTTAGATATCTATGCTCTTGCCCAATTGCACAATATAATCTTCTTCTCACCACACTCTCGAAATGATACCTGCAAGATCTTTAGGGCGCGCCGGCTTGCCTAGAATAGCCCGGTCATCAAAGGGTCCAAGAATCTATCAAAAACGCTTCCAGTCCTCTTCCACGTCCTCTCCTTCAAGCAGTAATGCAAACATCAACAGCTCTCATTTCGCAGCCGGTGTCGCGGGTGGAGTTGCTACCGGGGCTGTGTTATACGCAGTATACCTTCTTTCCCCCGCTGGGAAGACGTCTAGGACAGTGAACAAGACAGTGAAGGAGGTCAACAAGAAGTACAAAGAGGCCGCTGAGAAGCTGCAAGAGAAGACACCGGATACCGATCAGACCATCAAATACATGAAGGATTTCTGCTATTCCTACGTAGCATGGATTCCTGGAGGTCGCCAATACGTCGACGCTACGTTCAAGGACATCGATAAGATTCGCGAAAACCACCGAGATGAAGTCGACAATATTATAAAGGATGCCTACCAACAGTTTCAGAAGCTGTCAAAATCGGGTTTGAGTCTGGAGACAGGGTCAAAGGCATTGGATGTACTGGGCGACTTGTCAACGAAAATAGGGAATCTCGCCGCCGGCGCACTCTCGGATATCCTAGACAATCACCCCGAGTTGAAACAAAAGTTCGGGGGCAGCATCGACCAGCTAAATCAGATGGGCGAGCAGTATGGACCCGAAGCGAAGAAGCAAGTCGAAGAGACGTGGGACCAGGTCAAGGGGATAATCTCTGGTGGGCTCAGCGCGGACAACTTTGAAAAAGCACGGAAGCTTATTCAGGAGAAGGTCGAGCAAGTCAAGAAGCTGGGTGATGAGGCTTGGAAGAAGGGAATGGAGCAGGCGAAACCTTACCTTGACAAGAACCCCAAGGTCAAGGAGCTGGTCGAAAACAACGCAAGCGCATTGAAGCAAGGTGACGCGAAGGCATTATTCGATACAGTCAAACGTGCGGTAGAGTCAGGAGACGCAAGTGAGATCGAAGATTACGTTAAGAAAGCTGTCGACAAGACCAAGTCCAAGGGCTCGCAGTTATCCAATGGTACTGGCCTGGAATATTATTTCGACATGATACCTCAGGGTAGCGAGATCCTTCCCAAGTTGAAGCAGCTTAAGGAGGTAGCTGATAAGCGTACGGGGGAAGGTGAACAGTTGGTCAAGGACACATTGTCTGAGATCAAGCAGGTGCTGGAGAAGAAGTCGCAGAAAGCCCAAGAGATTCTCGACAAGGCCAAGAAAGAGGCAAAGTAATCCACAATAATAAAAACCTCTATTATCACCATCGCTATGTCTGTGTAGGTAATTGTCATTATCCTCATCCTGGAAGCCGTCATGATGGATGCTTTAATTGATGTAAGCAATAGATGAACAAGGAACATTGAAGTTTAACTAACAAAAGAATTATAAATCAAAGGCAGCTGAGCTACTCTGTAACTACTAGGTACATAGTTATGTAAGACGGAAATCAACTGGTTCCTGTTCCGTCTAATACTTCATACATACCCCAACTTTTTTAAATGACGTATTAAATGATCTCCGTTTTCCCCGCTCGGATCTGATCTCCACATTCAATGCTGATACCCCATATCCGAACTTTTCTACCTATCCCTTAATAAAGCCGTGATGCCTACTCCTTCCCCGAACTAAAACCCAGCGAGCACATGGTAAGAAACATTGCACACTACTACATGTCAATATAGAGGTAGGTACATATGATACTTAGTACTTGTACGAAAGTTAATATTATTTCCAAATACTGAGTAGAAAGAGCGTTTGAGCGTTTGAGAGAAGGAAAAGGGGGCATGAAAGACCAAGGTTAGTTAGAGCAATCGAGCACCTAGATCCATGGATCCATGCCTACATATGTAAAGCTCCGTCTAACCCACATGTGCACTATCATAGCAAGTACTACTATGTATGAATCTAGGTATATACCCTAGTACCGTACCATTCATTCAAGTTTTTTTTTTCTTTGAACCCAGCCACCAAAGATGGAGATCTACACATCACTTACCCAAGTCCCTCTCGAACTGCCGGGTTGCTGTTTGCAAACTAAACCGAGGACATATATAATGCGGTGTCCGGCCTGATGTCACCCACAACTGTTCGAGATGCCGGACAGCATCCAGCCGGAACAAGCGATAGGAAATTCAAGATGATTTCTTTTTCATTTGCTTTCATTTTTCTCATAACAGGTGTCCTAGTTCGGGCCTTCAGCAGCTCGCCTTCATCCAGCTACCAGTCATTGGCGAAGCGCGAAGTCCCTGAGCAGGCCCAAGTCATTGACGCGAAGTCCTTCAATGTCTTGCCCACGGTTCTCCCCGTGACAGTAGCTAATGGCTCTTCGGTATAACCCCAATCTCACAATCGCTTTTATCAGCCACCTGCATATATGATCTTATGTCCTCCAAGTACCAGTAAAAAACTAACATTATATCAGTATTTCTTCATACCACCTGGACAAACCTTGGACACGTTAACAGAGAAGCCTTTCCACGTATATCATGACAGCTTTTACGACGTGATAGGGTCTAATCCCACTCTGACGCTCATCGCCAGTGGTGGGGAAGACCTTTTGTTTCATGAAGCTGCTGTCTGGTATGCTAGCAGACGATGGACATACCCACCATGAGTGTGATAATTCTTCTAACACGTTCAAATGTTAGGTATCCACCCACCGACGAAATGTTCTTCGTGCAAAATGCAGGTGCGGCGTCGGCGGGGACGGGCTTGAACAAGTCCAATATCATTATGAAGATTGCGCTGCCCGAAGCCATGGCTGTTTCGAGCCAGCGCAATGCCACGGGATCCGTAAACGTCCAGACCGTTGACGCGCCAGCAATTCGCAACTCAAATGGTAAACCCTACCTACCTACTTGAAACCTACCTAAATTCAATAGGATGCTTACGAACCTACTCTAGGCGCGACAAACTACAGGGGACAGCTCGTTTTCACGGCCGAGGGACAGGGCCCAAACTTGCCTTCACAGTTGGTGGTGATGAACCCGCAAGAGCCGTATAATACCACGAGTAAGTCATCCGGAGCTGAAAACTACGAACATAAAAAAAACTTACTAATACTTGATGATAAGTACTATTGAACAACTACTTTGGGCGCCAGTTCAGTTCCCTGAATGATGTAGCCGTCAACCCTCGCAACCAAGACGTCTACTTTACCGATAGTCTGTACGGATATTTACAAAACTTCCGACCTTACCCAGGAGTCATTCCTCAGGTATATCGATATAACGACGAAGCCGGTGCAGTCACCGCAGTTGCAGATGGGTTTGGTCTTGTCAATGGTAAAGTGTTATGCCCACTACCTACTTAAGCTCTTGTGTTTTGACTAGACTTGACACGTTTCTAACGCATTTCTGTTGATCAGGAATAACCTTCTCGCCAGATGGTGCATACGCGTATGTCACTGATACGGGGGCAAATCGCGGCGTCTGGGGATGGAACTTCACCTACCCGGCAAGCATGTATGCATCTATGATCCACATGAGAATTTATGGGTAATGACTCACAACCTATACCTAGTTACCGCTTCAACGTTCAAGACGACGGGACATGGGAGAACCGTAAACTCTTTGCTTATGTTGATAATGGTGTTCCAGATGGTATGTAGACTCAAAAGCCCCCCCTTCTTGAAAAATGTCAGGGCTGATTTCTGATGCTTCATCGTGCAGGCGTTCATTGTGATACCAACGGAAACGTCTACTCAGGCTGCGGTGACGGCGTGCAAGTATGGAACCCATCTGGCACCCTAATTGGGAAAATCTTCCTCGGTAAGACTTGTGCCAACTTCAATTTCGCCGGGGATGGTCGGATGGTGATTCTTGCGGAGGACGATCTCTACTACGCGACTGTCAATGCTTCAGGGGGTAGCTATATTGAAGAGAAGTGACCCCGGAACAACTTGTCACTAATAAAATAGGTAGCTAGCAGTTGGGTTAGTTAGGTACCTAGAAATATCTTAGGGTTGACTTACGAAATAGATACCTCTGGCCGTTAAGTAGGTGCTCTTAATGTCTGTAGATCACAGCACCGTATTTGAAGCACGAGTATGTAGCTCGGAAGAACTAGTGCCAGTATGGGCAACTCCGCACTCCAACGGATGACGGACACCCGACTCCCCATTCCATGACTCCTCACTACTACTATATACAATAAGTAGTTACCCGCTTAACCCCGCAACCCTTTTTCGTCCTCTCTTTTGTACGTGGGGGGTGGACACCTCAAGGGGGGGTGTTTCCTCGAAATATCCTAAAAGAAACCGAAGTGATCGGATCTACAGTTGACGAAATAAAATCCTTGAACTTACCTGCCTACAGACCCAAGTATCTTCCTACCATCCTACCATCCTACTGAGAACCTTGTGTTTAATTCGTGTCGTATACCTAAGCAGTTCATTAATCCATCCTTCCACTCCAACCCTCCCAAAGGCAACCATGGCACCAACCCCCACCAAAACCATCATCATCACTGGCGCCGGCGGCTTCATCGGCCCCCTCCTCGCCTCCCGGCTACTCTCCGACCCATCCTACCGGATAATCCTCACCGACCTGCGCAACGCCGCCGTACCGCCAGGCGTGGCGTACCCAGAGAACGCGACAGTGCTCGAGGGCGACATCAGCTCCCCCGAATTCGTCACCTCGCTCCTCCGCGCCGCCGGCACGCCACTCTCCGCCGTCTTCGTCTTCCACGGCATCATGTCGGCCGGGTCCGAGGCGGACTGGGACCTCTCGCTGCGCGTGAACGTCGACAGCGTGCGGGAGCTGGTGCTTGCGCTGCGGAGGGAGTACCCCGCCCCCAGCAATGGCCCGGTCCGCGTGATCTACGCAAGCTCCCAAGCGGTATACGGCCAGCCCCTCCCCGCATCCGGCATCGTAACCGACTCCGTGACGCCAACGCCGGAGGGGACGTACGGGTCGCACAAGCTGATGACGGAGATCCTGCTCAACGACATGCACCGTCGTGGTTTCCTGGACGTGTTCAGCCTGCGGTTCCCGACGATCTCGGTGCGTCCGGGGCGGCCGACGAACGCGGCGTCCTCGTTCCTGTCGGGGATGATCCGCGAGCCCATGCACGGCGAGCCGTGCGTCGTACCCCTGCGCGACCGCAGCTTCCGCTCCTTCCTGTGCTCGCCCGCGACGCTGCTCGAGAACCTCGTGCGCGTGCTGCACATGCCGAGCGACCGGCTGCCGCGCCATGTGCGGCACATCAACTTCCCCGGCGTATCGGCGTCGATCCAGGAGCTGCTGGACGCGCTGGCGAAGCACGGGGGCGAGGATCGGTTGAAGTTTGTTAGCGAGGAGACGGATCCGAATCTGGAGAGGATATTGAGGAGCTGGGCGCCGGAGATGGACACGAGTACGTCGCTGAGGCTGGGGCTTGTCAAGGATGAGAGCCCGGATGCGCTGGTGAAGCAATATGTTGATTCTTTGAAGTCGTCGTGATTTTTCTCTTAAGGCTTGTTTACCTAGTAGGTAAGTACCTATGGATGGGTATGGGTGTTACTAGATAATAAGTACCTAAGGTAGGTCGGTAGGTAGTTGATTTTATAGGCAGGGTTTGCTAGGTACTTATGCCAAATCTTCTAATAGGATTCCCTCTACATGCTAGAGAGGTGCGTACGACAATCATGTAGTTAAACGGAGTTTACATTTGGTTGTCCATGCATGGCTATAGCGTCTTAATTGTTAGAGACCTATTAAGTCAAATTCATGGTGTAAAATTACCTACCTACCTATGTAATTATGTATTTTGAAGCCCCTTTTAATTCTCCACCAAGCTCTACCAAGACCTACCTGGATCTACCCGAATCTCGACCTACCTAAGGGGACTGGTCCTGGCCCTGGCCCTCGTCGAAATAGTCTTCGTATTGCCTAGGTGCACTGTCCCATTGAGATCGATCGTCCATAGATGGAGTTGTTCGTTCAATGGCTTCGTAGTCGTGGTGATCTGAAATATACTGACTAGAATCACCTTCTAATAGCTCTTCCTCCTCCAGCGCGTCTTGCTCTTCGTTTGCCGCTCCCAGAGAGTCATCAACAACTTCCTGGGCGGAATTATACGGCTGGTTCATAAACGAAGCCATCGCCTGACTAGTTACCTCGTCAGGTTCAACACACTTCCATTGAACATCTATCCCGCGTTCGGCTAGGCTTTTGACCATTCTGATGAAGGTCACGGTCTGATACCGACGTTCTTCTGTAACTGGCCACCGGGCTATAGTGATCCCTAGTCCATTCCTTTCCACGTAAGCCCTGTGCTTATGGCTGTACTTCATACTATTCGCCATAAGTAAAAAGTTAAGAAGCTCTGGGCGAAGAGGGGCAATAACGATAAGTCGAAAACGCCAGGCTTGGCCGGCAAAATATTCGCTATTGGTGTAAACGACAGGTTCAACTAGCCTCTTCCGAAGCGGGATTATCCGGTGCTCCACATCGCGAAGAAGCATTATCAAGGTTGCTATCAATGCATTATCCAGATTCCAGCCTGCTGTGCCGTAGTCAGTATTCGGCGCACATTCGTAAGAAATATTCATGTCGCTGTTATGGCCATACACGAACGTTGAGGTACAGGCAATACGCTCCGATTTCCGCAAAAACTGCCAAGGAAACACTACGATCTTCAGATATCGCTGTCCATCCGGACCAATATGCGACGGATGAGACGCGTACATTCCGGGTCCGCCTCCTGCCAGGTATGAAAGTTGACAGTGAGGGCAGTAAAAAAAAGTACGATGGAAGTCTTTGCCACCAACTTGCAAATGCGCAGTATGTCGATACTTGATTCTGTCCTCGGGACTCAAGCCGTCTTGAAAACCTAAGCGGGAAATATTGCGAATACTTAGATGATTTCCTTCAAACAGCGGCGCGACGCTGTGAGCAGATTCGGGACAGGGAATCGGAGCCTCAATAGGAGCCAGGCCCCCGGCCTTCGAGTTGATACTGTGAAGGCATATTAAGCAAGTTAAGAGGCCATGATCTCTACAGTGCAATTCGATAGAAGAGGGATTTGCGTACTCCATGTTCGTTTCCCTGCCTGGAGAAAGTGTGGATGATAGTTGATCCTGTGTATGTAGGTAAGATTATGTTGTACAATTCCCGAGCAGGGAGAACTGACCTTGATATTGGATAGTGAAAAAGAAGAGTATTGTTGAAAGAGCTTTGTACGCTTTTGTATCCATCTGAGCGACTGCTTATGGTAGGCTACCATCTAGGTGAGAGGGAACAATGGTCTTGTTTTTGATACAATTCTGTCACATTTTACAGACAATACCCTTTGTTCTTCAACGGGGTTGAGGTGTTAGGTGCTTTCTGTGCCAGTCTTCAAAAATGCTTCCTATACACCTAACACAGGAATTTCCATGCCCTTTTTTCGTTTCCTTTTGATTATGGCTACACCCCTGATGGTCACGAGCAATATTGGGCGTGATCGGGGCTGCCATGGTGCTACGCCGTAGCATATGTATGTGGAAGTACTTATGTGGGAGTGAAAATTTAGACCATGAGACATACCTAGCATGAATTTTCAGCTCCATTGTCACGGGTGGTTTGGCTTGATTGTAGGAAAATGTATGCCTTCAATGATACTAGGTATGTAGGCCGCGGTAGGCGCAGGCTTGAAAACGGTTGACGATCGATAATATGTAATAAGGAATGTTAGGGGAATGTTAAGGTTGATGCCTCCTCGGCGCAGAAATTGTGTTACATACATGCGAGAGTACTGCGAGTACTTATTGCTCGATGAGATCACATAACTCCTTCAACATTTCAGATAGCGGATAGCACAAGCGTCATAATTTGCGGGATAGCTGGGATTCAGCAGCACAAGTGATCGCTTATCTTCAGGGGGGTTCCCTGACATTAAGGCACAAGCTAAGCCTGAAACGAATATAACTTGAAGTGTTTATACACTTTACGCCATTCGGGTCAATTTCAGCCAATCAAAACCTTATCACTTCTCTTCTTATCCTTTCTTATCTCTGTTAGCGGTGACACCGAGAAGTGGATTTGGCTTCTGTTTACGACTAGCCTTATCCACCTAGTACGGTACCGCGATGGGAATCTCATGAGTGTGGGGATCCTTGATCCTTGATATGTAGCTGGTGTAGGCAACTGGAAGTACAACTTGTGTTGAAGAGTAGGCGAAAATAGGTGCATGTATGAGGAAGTCTACTATAGTACATGTAGGCTTATACTTCCAAGGTTACCTACATATCATGTACTTACCCTAGTAGTACTACTATGTATGTAGGGCGCAGACGCAAGCTTACATAGTACATGGCACTACATGGTAGTAAATACAATTAACCTTGGCCTCGAAAGATGTGAAATCTTATATATCTTTTACCTACTTCTCTTTTCTCTTTCTCTTTCCATTCCCCCTGTCTCTCTACTGTCGTTACATACCTACCTCAAATATATATATCCTATATCCTATATATCTTTTGAAACTCCTTCATATATAGTATCTTATACTCCATTTACGGTTTACCTATATATATCTAGAGTTTTGACAGATGATGCTTTTACATGATACAAGGCAAACCTAGATCGTCTCCTAGATCATCCATCTTCCATCTCCCCTCCGTTCAGCTTCCGTGTCATACATGAACCAAACTACCCCCCTTAAACAAGATCAACAGTCCTCGATAATCAGTCGTAATGGAGAGGCTTCACAGCTCGAGGCTTAGCAGGTGGGCAGAGAAGGTCGCTGTGGATCACGAAGATGGCCTCACTACAGCCCAACTCATGGTAACACCGAACCTGGGTGCCACTTTATGGCCGTCGATCGAGCTTATTCCGAAGCTAACCCCTCTCAGTTAACAAATCACGATCTCAAACCTGTCGAACATGAGCGTCGTCAATGGGGGCCATGGAATTTTGTTGGCTTTTGGATTGCCGATTCCTTCAACATCAACACTTGGATGATTAGCTCGTCTATGATTGTGAATGGGCTTTCGTGGTGGCAGTCATGGCTTTGCGTGTGGATTGGGTATGCAATTGCCGGTACCTTCATCTGCGCGACCGGTCGCATCGGCGCCATGTACCATATCGGTTTCCCCGTCGTGAACAGGTCTAGCTTCGGCATTTGGGGTTGTCTCTGGCCCGTCTTTAATCGCGCCGCTATGGCTTGTATTTGGTATGGCGTACAGTCGTACATCGGTGGCCATTGCGTGTACCTGATGATCCGGTCTATTTGGCTAAGTTGGGTAAGTCGGACTGAGTTGACGCTCAAACGAGGGGAGAACCTAGAGTACTAAACTTCTCATAGGATCGCGAGACCATTCCAAACACGTTCTCGCCATCATCGGGCACGACCACAGCTGACTATGTATCGTTTTTCCTGTTTTGGCTCGTGTCGCTTCCCGCTATATGGTTTCCAGTACATCAGATTCGACACCTCTTCACTGTCAAAGCTTACTTCGTCCCTTGTGCTGCCATCGCCTACTTGATTTGGGCTTTGGTTCGTGCTGGCGGGCCAGGTCCTATTGTTCGACGAGGTGCATCGATAGAAGGAAGTGACCTTGCTTGGGAATTCATCAAAGGGGTGATGAGTTCGATTGCCAACTTCGCAACACTCATCGTCAACGATCCTGATTTCTCTCGTTTTGCCGGCAAGCCGCGTGATGCGCTATGGTCCCAGTTTTTCACCATTCCAATTGGGTTTGCCGTCACCTCTTTGATTGGTATTCTAGTTTCATCGAGCTCACAAATCATCTATCCTGGGACTGAGCCAATCTGGGACCCCCTGGATCTATTAGAACGGTTTATAAATGACGGCGGTTCCGGTCAACGTTTCGGTGTCTTTGTCATTGCCTTCGCCTTCGCTCTAGCTCAATTAGGCACGAACATTGCAGCAAACTCGGTTTCAGCTGGAACCGACATGACTGCATTGCTACCGCGATTCATCAACATCCGTCGTGGTGGCTATATCTGTGCCCTTGTCGGCTTGGCTATGTGCCCTTATAATCTGCTTACATCGTCTAATCAGTTCACCACATACCTCTCCTCTTACTCGGTCTTTTTGAGTTCAATCGCAGGCGTCATGTGCAGCGACTACTACTTGGTCCGCAAGGGCTATCTCGATATCAAGGAACTCTACGATGCTCGCAAGACTGGGCCGTACTATTTTACTTATGGTATTCACTGGAGAGCGTATGCAGCATATATCAGCGGTATCCTCATCAACGTCGTAGGCTTTGCTGGTGCCGTTAATGGGGGCAATGTTCCTATAGGAGCGACATACATTTACAACTTCAATTTCTTCTGCGGGTTCATTGTTTCCTCGGTGATGTATTGGGGGCTGTGTAAGTTATTTCCCATCCCAGCTTGCAGCGATACTTGGATGGAAGTGGGAGATCAGATCGACGAAGTCAGACTAGCGTACGATCAAGGCAGTCAAGACTTTAATCGGCCGACATATGATCCACCAGGTTTGGACGTGGAGGCAGTCCTGGGTAGCAAGTACTACAAGGACCACTCGAAAGATATATGATAGAGATGAGGTAGTGCGTAAATAGTTAATACGGTCGCATCATGATCGATCGCATACAAATGTATAGGTACCTAACCTAGGTATGTTAAGGATTGGGTACAGGGCAATGTCCTAATTTTCGGTATGACTTTCGATATTTGAGAATATGTGAGAATATGGTATTAATTGGCTTGGAAGGTAAAAAGAAGAAAGAAAAGAAAGGATACCATTACCTACCGTAGGTAGATATATATCATCGATACATTGTCGAGATTCTACATAATAAGGGACAATGGAGATGAATGTCAACGTTGAAGTTCGAGGTTGCAAGATGATAAAACACTGTCAGTGAGTCAGTGCTGTTGAATTCCCCATGTGGTACCTAAGCGGGCTAAGGTTAGTGGGCTAGCGGGGTGCGGGATGATATTAGTACTAGGTATGCATGTGCGATATATGTATGCACAGATCATTTTAAGATACTAGCGTGACTAACCTACCTAGCCTGCCTAGTGTTGCCTTGAAAAAGGAGAGCTAAGGCAGGCAAACGCTGTTCTGCCTGGAAACAACTTCATATACCTACCTAAGGTATGTATTTTACAATACCATAAATGTTGGCAGGTACTACATTTGATACATATGTAGTGGTAATATGCCAGAATGGAAAGTGTGACACACTGCGAGAATGTATTTATTTAATCTTCTTCAGCCTACCTTACCTTGGATTTGTTAGTTTTTTCCAACACGAAATCAATAAATGCATTTGGCTATTTCCATTGAACGTCAATGATTGAAATTCACACACCAAGGTACTTGAATACCCGATACCCAGGCGCATGTGGTGTGAAGATTGAATGAACATTGAACTTCAAAAAACCAACTTTAAAAACATATACGCAGACAACAACAACAACATTCTTTCTTCTTTTCTCACATCTTCATTCTTCTTTTTTTTTCTTTTTCTCCTCTTACATACGAATATCTATACGTCCATACTTTTCCTCAATCTTGGGTTTACCAAGTTCGTTACGTACTTGGGTGACTCGAACCTTTCGCGTTTCTCTACATATCTCCCATCTCATCAATTCCCTTACCATCATTGACCGTCAATTTATCTCTACCTACCTCAATTACATTGAACCTCGGTTTGGTAGGTACCTACTACCCATCCACTTACTTAGCAGTTAGCTGGGTCAGTTTAGTACCTCCATTACCTTCCACCAACATTGAAGTACAATAAAAACACGCCTGGAAGAGACATACCTGAAACCATGGATCTTCAACTCTCCCCAGTGGAGAAGCAGAGCCGCCTTCTGACCATTCCTCTTGAGGTCCTTCTCAACATATCCTCGCATCTCACCACTGCCGAGTATGGAAACCTTCGTAGAACTTGTCGACACATCGAGGCTTCCTTTTACAAGTCCTTCGCCAAAGAGTTCTTTACAAAGAGACAATTCATGATCACCCCTTTCAGCCTCGAGGCTCTCGTGGATATTTCCAAGTCAAGATTCGCATCTAGCGTAAAGTATCTCATCATTAGCCTTGAGCGACCGCCCGCAGCCACGCATATTAACTCACTATCCCCTCCTCCCTTTACGGATCTTGATGGGGCACTTAGCTTCAACAAGATGCGTCAGGAGAAGTCTCTTCATCAGTCCCTAGTCAGCTCAGGTGAGGACTCTATGCTTCTTACTGAGGCTCTTCAAGGCTTGACCAACCTCGAAACTGTCGGTCTACGAGACTTCGCTTCCTCTGGTCGGTGGCGTGAAGGCCTTGATCATAATTGGCAAACCTATGGCGCCCCGACATTTCTCGCCGAGACGGGAGGTTACATGCTTGAAGTGCCTCGGTTCGATCACCATATTGACATTACCGTCCAGGATGGCCCCATAAAATATATCAGCCACACCTTCTTGACGATATTACGGGCCCTAGGAAAGACACAGAATACACACAACCCTCCTCGGTTAGAGTGCATCTTACGACACTGTCATCTTCCGGATCAGGCCTTCCATATACCTCGTTATCTCGAGTCCGCCATCTTCCCTCTTCTCAACGGGCTCAAAACCCTCTTCTTAGACTTGGGATCAGCATCGTTTTCGCCTATTGTTATCAACGATGAGGGATCCTTCAAACGTTACCTCGCCCTGTCTGTTGTCATGTTTCTTTCGAAAACCCCAGCCCTTGAGCATTTGCGGCTCAACTTTCGTTCCTCTCTAGAACACGAAACGACAGATCTTCTTCAGTGGCTTGCGCAGGATCCCACGGAGTCGCAGACTACAGCATCAGCAGCGCAGGATATGGCACATGTAAATGACTTACGAGTCAATCTTCTTCCACGGTTGCCGCAGTCGCCCGAGTTCCCACACTTAGTGCAACTGGACATTGGGATGATAACCATCCGTCCATCTCTGCTCTTGAGCATTTTCAAGAAATTCAAATCAACCCTACGACAAATCAGCCTACACAGAATTGTCCTTCAATGTGCACAGATTCATAACACCGAAAGCAAAGTCAATCATTGGGCCAAGCTATTGAAGCATATTGCGAAGCTTCAGCTCGATCTCTCCGCCGTGAAGCTTTCTTATCTCAAACAGAAGCATGGTCATTCTATGTTTCCAGCATTATTCAAAGATCTCAGCAAAGATACAAATGCCCGAAGTGTTCTTGTCGTGGAATGGGCAGGTCAAGATTGTATGTGAATATTTCCTACATATGTCCTTTGGTATGAATTCTTGGCAGTGCTAATTCTGAAAACCTTTAGGGAAACGCTTTTCTACGGAGGTCATCGAGTCTGTCCATATCAATTGGCAGAATGGGTTGAATAATCAAGATGGGGAACTTGGTTCTTCGGATTCGGAGGGTAAGTAATGCACCACAGGTGTTATGAACAAGTACTTAACATTTGCTAATTCATGTCAGATGATCAAGATTCGGATTCGGATATGGATTAACGACATTATCAATGCAACCCTCGATGATAGCACACCAATTCGCATCAGGGAAATCCATTGTATATTGCTTTGGGATATGCTTGGGTGGTTCTCGATATCATGAGAACCACAGAATGAACTCCATTCGTCGAATAATAGCGATTGAGTTGCTTCAGCTACAGTCCCGATGCCTCAGACACGGGAATCCTGACACAGCTGGCTAAACTAAGAGAGCCGTGCAAATTTGCAGCAGAACATACAAAACTATGTAGCCTTCTTGGCACTTGCAGAATATTCGTTTACGTATACCGCATAGGGCCAATATTGCATTCAGTTTCGAGGAGGAACAATGAGCTAGTTTAACATCTCACCAGGTAGTGATCGCTTGGTTCCTACCTGATAAGTCAGTAGCTATAAGACAAACGAATGTTCATTCGTAAACCCTATAACTTCATATTTGACACATGCCTGCCAGGATAGTATCGTCAGACGATGAATCATGACTTCGCAGACTAGATCATAGATATACTATTCGCTTGCCTTGACCCAATCCGACAGATGATCGTAGCTATAGCTGCGAGTTAGAAAACGGGAAAATGCCTTACGATACGAGTAGGTAGTCGAGAACCATCTTCTGTGCTAAGTACCTACATAGTCAGTTAGGGGCTCGAAATACTTCAAGAAAAAGTCAGATGAAGACCACTAGAACAGACCAGTCCTGCAGCAACTTTTACCCCGTTATAGCCATTATATACGTGATAAAGAAGATACCTAGGTACTCTACGTAACTTGCCTTCAAGTAAGAAAGCTGGCAGCACCTATCCGCAATTTCATTTCGCACAATTCGATAAGCCTGCGCCGTGAGGTTTGCGATCTTATCTATACCACTCAGTGCGATTAGTAGGTAGGTCTACCGCACCCCTATTGCGCGGGGGAAGATATAGCTTGCCATACGAAAAACAAATCAAAGCTTGAAGCGTTAGAATTCCACGGTGAGCAATCAAGTCATTGGTACGTGATGTATATGATTGTAGATAAGGATGTAAAGCTACATACACTAGTAATGATAGCAGTACGTAATATATGGTTATAAGAGGCGTATACTACCTACTTAGTCATTGATGATCAGCCGCGTTACAGAAGACGCGTTATTTCTACCTACTTTATAAGACGTCTCGTGCAATCAGAATCTCCTCCATGAGCCGAAAGCTCATTTGTATGCTATGCTGCCCAACGCATCTAATCCCAACGCCTACCACATGTCTTGTGGAAGAATGAATAGACAAAAGCAAATCCTGTCGTGAAGCCATGTCCGAAATTCTATAATTTTGAGTGCTCAATGCTCCTGTCCCCGTGTCTAGCTTTGCCCGTGCCCGTTGACGCCGTTAACACCATTGCTCGAATGAGAGGCAGTCTCTTGTATCGCCTTCTCTAGTGCCTGCTGGATATCACGGAGCAAGTCCTCGGGTTCTTCAATACCGCTGCTGACACGAACGAGGTCATCGAAAACGCCCACAGCTTCCCGCTGATCCTTGGGAATACCAGCATGCGTCATGGCGCTCGGTAGCTCCACCAGACTTTCGATACCACCAAGGCTTTCAGCTAGCGTGAAGATCTTGGTCAGTTGGCAGAACCGCTCTGCTGCGACGCGACCACCTTGAATCCGGAATGAAAGCATGCCACCACCCATGCCGTCTCGGTGCTGCTTCAAAGCAATATGGCGGTGTGGGTGAGAGTCTAGGCCGGGATAATTGACGGCAATGACATAAGGGCTAGCTTCTAAAGCCTTTGCCACGGCCGTAGCGTTTGCACTTGACTGCTTGACTCTTAGATGTAACGTCTTCACACCTCGATGAGCAAGCCAGCAGTCGAAGGCGGATGGTACACCACCACAAGCATTCTGTAGGAAAGCCAACCGTTCTCGCAACTCGTCCGAGTTGAAAGCGGCCAATCCCATTACCACATCACTATGTCCATTGATGTATTTCGTGACGCTGTGGACAACAATGTCGGCACCATGGTCCAGTGGGTTTTGTACGTAGGGGCTTAAAAAGGTATTGTCGACGACGACGGCAACACCTCGTGCATGGGCTGCCGAGGCCACAGCCCGGATATCAACGAGCCTCAAGGTAGGATTGCTGGGGGTCTCGATCCATATCAGCTTCGTGTTGTCTCTGATATGTTCGGCGATATCGACCTCGATCTGCGGGGTAAATGTAACGGTAACACCGTGGGCTTTGGCGACGCGAGTAAAGTAGCGGTGCGTACCACCATATACATCACTCACGCTTATTACGTGGGAACCTTGAGCCAGGCTTTGAAGAATAGTAGCAGTAGCCGCACTTCCACTACCAAAGGCCAGTGCGTATTTTGCATGTTCTAGCGCAGCGACGGCTTTCTCGAAGTTGTCGCGATTAGGATTTGAACTACGCGAGTATTCATACAAGCCAACAGGCTTTCCGACGGCGGATTGTTCGAAGGTAGTAGATAAGGAAATAGGCTCAATGACGGCACCGGTGACAGGATCGTGGGGAGCACCGGCGTGAACGGCAAGGGTTCCGAAGCCGTGAACAGGGGAGGGTGCCCGCGGAGGGGTGTCGATTACGGGGTCGATAGGAACTGTCATGATGGTATATATGGTATATACTATTTGAAGTACCTAATAGAAGGCTAGACTAGTTCAATTGGTCCAATTGGTATACTAGGCAAACCAGACTTGAAGTTGATAGATGTCTCTGAGGACGATGTGATTGATTAAATTTGATTTTTCTTTTTTCAAGTGGTCGAGGTATCAATTGGGGATTATGTAATTCTTGCCTATATTGAATAACTTTGAAGTTAATAGGTCGGAGGCACCTGCTAGAGGTATATATAGTTATGGGTATATATATATATAAAATTGAGGAAGTCACAAGCAATATCGTCCACTTGTAGGACGGTGTATAATAGGTATATGCGTTAGTAATCCATATGTTTTGTCATCATCATGATTGTAACTCCGATATTCGTCATTTCAAGACGGCATGAGGAAAGTGCATGGACCAGTAAGCTTTCCGACTACCGTATGTATTTATACATAATTGGTACGTAGATACCAGTTCCAATTGTTCTCAAATCTCAATCCACTTCAATGTTCACTTTGTACAACTTCATCAATCCAACAATGAACATTGTACATACATTAGACAATCTGAATAATACTTCATGACAACATCCAAGGTTAAACTGATCCCATAAACTAACATATTCCATTGATTCACCGCCATTGTCACAAGCCGATAACCGTCTTACCAATCCTTATTGTCTCCTTTATGTATGTATCTCCCACATCAAATCAAGGCCCATCCACGTACCCAACACACAACACGTGTTGTAGGTAAGAAGAACATCAAAATCTGGGGTACCGGGCTTAACTAGTCACCGCAAGAAAATCTTAGGTAATTTATCGATGGTTGGAAAACAAAATTCGGAATGTCTAGATACCTAAGGGAATAGGAGACGCCGACTCGATGTGCTGGCCAATGTGCCCAGTATGCATACACCAAACACGTTGCCTATCTCCAGATGTCCCTACCTACCTGCCTACCTACCTGCCTACCTACCTGCCTACCTATCTGCCTACCTACCTGGGTTAGGTTGGTGTGTATCTAACGTACCAAGGTAGGTAGCTCTGATAGTTCCAGATTACGTGCATTCGTGCATTCTTGTCCCAATAGCTTCCAAGACCAGCTTAAAAGGTTTCCATTTATATGCAGACGCGGGTCGTCAGGTCGGGGATACATACCTGTGCCCCTTTCCCAACCTAGGATAAGCTTGCAGCCAAGGACGTACCCCGTCGCCCCCACCGTCTCCTAACTTCTATATCCGTATTGGCTGCCCCCGGAATATCCGCTGGTGGGGCCGGATCATCGCTCTGAAGCTTCTTTCCTTTATTCGGAGGTCCGTTGAAATCACCGGCGCTGCACGCGGCGGTGATACCGTCGCATTTCTCCTCCCAGACGCGGCAGTTTGCGCCTCCCGTCGGCGGAGCCGAGTCATAACACTCGGACGCCTGGTCATAACACGCTTCAGACGCCTTCCAGCACCCGTCCTCGGTCGAGTAGCTGGATACTTCCACGCCAACCCAATTCGCGTTCTTGATGAGGTATTCTGGTGGAATCGTGCCTTTAGTTTGTTGTACAGCCTTAGACGAAGTCGACGCCACCGCAGCCTTCATCTCCGAGTCGGCGGCAGGCTGATAGACCTTAGGCCCGGGCATGGGGTATGGAAACCGGGGCTCGTAAATGTTGAACGTGAGCCCGGGCGTATCAGCCTGGACGTAGCCCGGGATACTGACGCTGTACTCGGAAGGCACGTCAAGATTTCCTGTTTTATCACTTTGGACAAACACCTGCGCGCACCCGGTGTAAAATTGCGGGTCGCCCTTGTCGGCGTTGTGGAGTGCCAGAAGCTCGGGGCGAAAGAGCCAGTCACCACCTGGGAGCGATTTTGGAATGTCAATTGACATTAAGCCGTTGTTTTCAATTACCTTTTCGGTACACCATTTACCGCTTGCATCGTCATAACCCTCGTCCCACTATACTGTCAGGGTTAGTACTTATCCCACAGTTCGTCGAGCGAGGAAGTGGATTGAAGCAATGTAGCAGCAACTGGCGGTAGGTGAATGATATCTTGAGAGGACACTTACAAGCTTTACCCAGCCTGGGCCAGCCGCAGAATCCGTGGTCATGTTCTTAATCTGTTTAGCGTATACGGCACAAGGGCCCTGCGTCTCAAATATTAGACACGCGATACTTATATTCAACTATTCCTCTATGCTTCATACCTTGTGTGAGGGATCCAGAGCCCCGGGCTGCTCTGCATCAGCCCACAGCCGCCACTCAAAGGTGAGTTTACCGTCAGTCGGTGCGGGACAGGTGAATGCGACAGCCTTGCCCCCGTTAACCCCTGATTAAGACGTAAGCATCACCGCAAGCAATTTTTCTCGGAAATGTGATCTGATCGCCTACCGCATGCCATATCATCGCTGTCCAAGCCATCGATCGGATCGACACAATGCTGTGGATCCATAGACATCCTGACACAAGTTCCATCTCCCTGAGATACTTCGTTGACAAACAAGGTCGTAAATACAGTGTGGCAATCCACCATGGTAGGAAGCAGGGCTGCCGCAGCCACGAGAAGGAGAGAGGGGGCTTGCTTCATGGTGAAGGAGATGCTAACATAAGGTGGTCGAAATCGTAGGAAAGTGTTTGCGAATAAATCGTCCGAGATCCAAGTGCTCGGGGTTTTGGTAGTCCAAGCAACTGTTGCTATGAGGAGGAGAAAACAAGGTCTAGCTCGACTAGAAATGAGAGAATAGACTACCTTGAAGGGCCTTGAAGTCGTAGTTGGATGGAATGGTCGAATAAACGTAAGTAGTATGTAGAAGGAGAGAAAAAATGCGCACGAAATGAATGACTAGGTACCTACTAAACTAGGTAGGTAAAGCAATACGAAACCCACGGGTGTAAAGTTTGAACAGCCAACCAACCCTATGAGAAGAAGAAGACCATAGTGTCAAGGGCAAAAAAAGGAGAAATAAAAAAAATTAAACAGAGACAAGATGAGACGAAAGAGAGGATATCCGTCTTATACCAAAGATCGGGTTGAGCCGCAGAAGAAGCATGCCGAGGAAACGAAGAAAACGAAAATACCTGCCTACACAGTAGGTACCAAACGAATGGGAGGGAAATAAGAAACAAGCTTACGCCGTGTAACGTCAAAGTCCCACCACCAGTTGATGACTGTCGCGATTATGATTCGACGGGACCTTTTCCCATCCTCTGCTATGTATTTGCCCTTCATTTAAAAAAGGGGGGGGAGGGGAGGGGAGCTGAAGTAAGGCCGTTCTCATGAGGGGAGAGTTTGCGTGGAGGAGTGTGAAGTTGGGTATCCTATCTACATAGGTAAATGTGTGTACTATAGCATATATGTATGCCTTCAATTCCTCGAGTCGCAGATAAAGCGCATGTAGGTAGGTAGGTAGGTAGGTAGATACCACGTGCAGTGATTCTCAACAAGGCCCTGATGGGAATCTGGGGAAACGCGGCTGACTACATGTTACCTACCCCCCCTATTCTATACATCTATAAGAGCATTGATATTTTCGTCGTGATGTCAGGGGCAAGGGGGCGGGCGGACGGGCTGCAGGTTGGGTGTGCCCAGATGGGTGGCTAGCTACCTACCTACGTACCAACGACCGCCTACAACATTTGGACCCCTTTTCTTTTAACCAATCGGCTGGGCTGCGCCGAGTCAAGTTGAAACATCAATGGCTTTTTTTCTTCTTCCTGATCTTCGTTCTCGGCCGCCCACTCGCTGATTTCGATGTTAGTTAGGTACCTACCTAGGTAGCATATGAGTTATAAGAGATACATGTATGTATCTTTCTTGGTCCTGATCGTACCTGGGTCCATGTGGTTGCTAACTCGGGTGAGAAATTCGGAGGCGCTTAGGTGCATGGCGGTTATGTGTGCCTACCTTACCCTGGTCCATCATCCTCATGGCGATGATTACCCTCTAGGTAGCATTCTTGTAATGTGTATAGCAAATGTAATAAAAAAATACCTCTCAATCGTGAATACTATGGTTAAGGAGGCTGGCCACGAGATAATGAAGAAGACATTGGAAGTTTCAAGGCTTAGCTGGGCAGCTAAGGTGGCGTTCACTTCAGCTTGAGATGGCTGCAAAAAACCCCGATGCCTGCAAAATATTTACGCATATTTACGCTCTGCGAGGATGAGGATGTTCAGTGGGAGATACCAACCTCCGTATAGCCAACTTCTGAATCTCACCGACGAAATCTCACGAGAAACGTTCATATATGACCCATTCCCAAGATATAGGTACTGTTTAGGAGTGATGAGTGGAGATTAATCGCATCTCGAATCGCAAGACGATCCTGTCTACCAGACTAGACTACCATTGAGACCTACTCAAGATGCATCACGCCCTTCAAAGTTTTTTCTTTTTTTTTTCTCTTATGAAAACCCTCCGACCGTTAAAATATCATACATCATTGCGTTATGCAAAGACTGACCCGAGATTTTTTTTGGTGCCTCCTGTTGTACATTGAATGAATATGATACATCGGTCTCGTGAATCATGGGTATCGTTTTTCTTTCCTTCTCCTCTCCGCTGATTTATTCGTTGATCTTGGCTAGGATTCTGTGATGGAGGGGTGAATAATTAGCGACCCGTACAGTATATTTTCAAAGAACTGGAAAGGAGAAGTAAAACTTACTCGCTGTCGCGGAAGAGGTGGAACTCCTCCTCGCCGACCTTGACGGGGGATCCTCCATACTAAAGATACGTATTAGCGACACCTCTACGAACATGTCGGGGAAAGGGAACAGCTTCAATGACCGGCTCTTGAAGGTATCGCAACTTACCTGAGGGATCAGCACTCGGTCTCCGGTCTGTACACCCATGGCAAGGCGCTGGCCTTCCTTGGTCAAGGCGCCGGGACCGACAGCTAGAACTCGGCCTTCGTTGAGCTCCTTCACGCTCGACTCAGGTAGGAAGATACCGCTAGCAGTCTTGGTATCGGCCTTAATGCGCTGGATAAGCACACGGTCCAGAAGCGGGACCAGGGACTTGATTGATCGGATAGCGGTGGCCTAATTGAATTCCTGAGTTTAGCATGCCATAGATACCCTATAACATTATAATGCATAAGATGGCAATTGGGGATTTATGCTTACCATTGTGAGGTATATATTAAGAGAGATACTTGTGTAAAGCTTTAAACCAACGGTACCTAGTAGACAGTAAAGAGTTATTGTGGAAGAGAGTGAAAAGAGACGAATTGGAAAGCTGGGATGGTTTAAAATTGTTTTAAAATTTGAAGCTATCACGATCTGATAAATCTTTGGATAAATCTTTGGAAAGCTTTAGAACATTCAAGTGGGGCTGTGGATCCATTCCCTCTTCTCTTTTTTTTTCTTTTTTTTTTTTTCTCTTTTTTTTCTCTTTCTTTTTAACCCTAGGTTTTTCCGATTACCGAATAGTTACCGGGGGCAAACTTAAGTTTGAACTGGGAACATGGAATTGAAAATTGACAAGCTTTGGCTAGTTACATGTCGACCCGAGGTCCCCGACTCGCTGTGCTTCACCCGAGCTTACCGGAACTCGTTACGTACATAGTTATGTATTGGGTGCATAACTACATACATAGTACATACCTAACCTAGTACTATCATGATGTACATACGGCGTATATCAAATAATCATCCTGTATACTGGTAACATGTATGCCTACTATATCTTCCAGATATCAATCTACCTAGCATATAGCCGTACATAATATGTAGGTAGATTAAAAAAAAGAATCAAATATACGTCGCATTAAATAATAATAGATAAACCAACATCTGCTGACAAGCAGTCGTAGATGACATGGACAAAAGAGTTTTACCTGAATCTCTATACGCAATTACATATTCTATTCTATATCGCCTCGATCCTGTACGGTTTGCACCCTTACCGCTGTGCTTATGAAAGTGATCAAGACATATGTGACTCCCCAACGCCCAAGGAAAAACTATTTCCTTTTCTTCCTATGCCAAAATACACTCTGCAACGCCCTTTTTTCGCCTGTTGCCAACCTACTTGCTTGGCGAAGCCGGAGGTTCAAGCACATGCGTATGGTCCTCTGCTTTGATCACCTGTCCATGTCCAACTTGCCTACAGATAACCGTGTCCGATACCCAAGGTTCGTCCAGGATCTCCGGCATCTGTGCCCGCTTCTTTGGGTCGATGGTTAGCATCCGCCCGATCACGTGTCTACTCTCCCTAGGAAGTAGTCGTAATAGACGCCATGGTCCCTTAATCACTTCCCTCCTTTCTTGGTTGTTGCCCTCACCACCCCCCGCACCACCAGCCTCGGAACTTTTAGGAGCTTGTTGCTTCGGCGTTTCCTCCGGGAAAATATCCCGCTGTGGAATATTGGAAAGGTCGTTGGTGGATCTCGAAGGGAGGATTAGCTTCCGGGGATCGTGGCCTGGAGACGGCTCTGATGCAAAAAGCTTGTACGAATTATCCGTCATACGCGGTACCTTCCATGGAAATCGCCTGAGAGACATGCAGCAAAAGATGATTGCAAGGGACCAGATATCCACCGCCTGAGGGTCGTATTTACGCTCGTCGTACACTTCTGGGGCGAGGTAAGGATCTGAGCCGACAACGCCTGATAACTTTGTTAGATATACCCAAAAAGAAAAAAGTTTGACTCCACGAAATTATACAACTTACCAGAGGCGAGCACGGTTTCGCTTTCAAAGGGGTATCGGAAGACATGTGCACTACCAAAGTCGATGATTTTCATAATCCCAAATTCGCTCACGACGACGTTATCCAGTTTGAGATCTCGATGAGCAAGACCTGAGCTGTGGAGATAGGTCACCCCGCTCAGTATCTGAAGGAAGCAACACGTAATTTCTGCCTTGGACATTTTGCCCGTCATGACAATGGCAAATAAGTCATAAGGGGCGAACTCCATAACTTCATACCACTTGCCCTTCTCTTGGACAATATCCAGAGTCTCAATGATGTTGCCATGATGTAAAGCGGATCCTATACAAAACTCTGCCGTCAACTTCTTGACGTACTCCTTTTCTGTTTCATATGAATGTCGCGGGCGGAATTCCTTCACTGCAAAGACAGTATTGTCTTCATTTCTTTTCATGAGCTTGACAGATCCTCCGGCACCGGATCCAAGTACTCGGCCAAGCTTCCCGTATTTTGATGAGAGGCCATGATCATCAGCGAAAGGAACCCGAAGAGTCTGTTTGGACCCTAAAGGTGAGGGCGAAGCCGACTTTTTTGACCTATGACTAACTCCAACCTTGAAGAATCTCTTGAGATCAGACATCGATCCTTGCGCGCTATGCGTAGTCGACCCCGTTCCCGTTGGATGAAGATCACCGGACTTATTTCTGTTCGCAAATAACCCCGAATGCCTTTTCTCTTGCTTTTCCGGTCTCGACAGGTTAGTAGAAGACGAAGCCGGAGATGCATGCTTCTTTTTCCTGGAAAAAACGAATCTCTGGTCAATGTTGCCGCCCGGCTTGTGTGCCGGCCTCTTGTTCGCAGCATACGGATCGTTGATATCCCCTTGAGGGGTAAACGGTCGTGAGTAATATTGAGATGCGGCGTTCCTTTGAGGACTTGATTCTCTCGACACAGGAAGCGATTGACCACCTGGCCCAATGGTGAAAATTCCTTTCCTGTGTGCGGGAATCCGGCCATCATCATCTACAGCGGTCGATCGTTGTGATATATTGTCGGTCGAGGCTGGCCGGTGTGGTAAAGCGGCTCGGGGAGAAACAGGCCTAGAATCTTGCCCCGAAGCTTGTGGGGTTATAGCCTGAGAATCAAATCCTCCATCGGATCCAGAAATTCGAACGGATTTTACACTCTTGCCGGTAGACTCTGCTGCGGAAGTTCCTGCGGGGGTTAAGGGCGGCGACGCCAACTCGGGGGCTTTAGGGCTCAGCCGTGGCGATGAATGGCCCATGGGGCTATGGCTGTGCTGGGGAGTTGCGCCAGGCGTAGTCTCGTTAGATGCGACCTAGAAAACTACCGTTAGCCATGCCGAACTATTATTAATCTTACGCCCGCCAGCCGAGGAGCACTGTTGTCGTCAGGATAATCCATCAACCAATTGCAATACTTGCTTCATCTATATTTCCTATGCTTCGGTAACCATAGGACAAAGAACAAAGAGCAAAAGTGAGGGTGAAAGCAAGCATCAAAACCATGTGAGCCAAGAGAAGAGAACATACCCTAGAAGGCGGTAAAGAGAATGGATCAAAGGAGTAATTCTGTAGGCGCTGCTCCTGAAGCTGGGCGCCAGAAAGCGAATTCGTGAGAGCTCGTATTAAGTCAGGGTTCGCAGAGCTCTCTCTCCGGGAATCCGGACCGCCGAACGTAGTAAATGGAGGATCGATCTCGTCGACGACAGATGAGAAGCGAACGGCGGGCGCACGCTCTGAGGGTTTTGCAGTGCCGTCGGTAGGTTCGGGAGCCACGTTGGAGCTGCCTAAGTAGTTGAGAAACATATCCAGTCAGCCGATGAAGTCAACAAAATGAGACCCAAACATCCAAGTATCCAAATTAGCGAACAAAAGAAAAGAGGCCCGCATAGGGTACCAGAGAAGAAGACTATAGGGATATATCCATTCCATACCTTGCGGCTGCTCCAGTTGCCGGTGGTCATCAATGTCGATCGGGGTTGTCATGGCAATCAAGGTACCGAAAGTCTAATAGCGATGGATTCTTTAAAGTATGATGGCTACAAGACTTGAAATTCTGGGCCAAGGGATGGCCCCCAAGAAGTGTGTTATGTTATGTGAGTAAAGGATATGAAAGAAGAAGAAAATAGTGTATAGTGTATAGTGTAAAGCGAAGAAGTAATGATGATATGATTGTGCCAGGCTACTAGACTTGGTAAATGTCTAAAAAGGGCAATCCCGCTCAAAACCTGTGGGAGACCTGACTTATGTTCATCATGGTGGGGCTCTTTAACAGTCTAAGTAAGGTCCAAGGTACATACTTAGTAGTATGTAAGTGACTAATAAGTGTATGTAAGTAGCCAGGTATGCTAGGTAGTGTATTATGTATGTATTGATGCGAGTATGTATATGTATGTAAAGAAGAGGGAAGAGGGTTTAAAGACAGCACTGAGCACTTGAGAGAGGGGTGGAGAGAGAAAGAGAGAGTAGAGAGTGTGTGAGAGACTGGAGACAAATAATACAGAACAAGAACAGAGAGAGAGAGAGAGAGAAAAGTAAGAGCTCTCCGCAGTCCGCAATTCGCAACCCGCAACCCGCAACCCGCAGCCCGCAACAACGCGTTGATTAGTTAGGTAGCCTGGAGGTGATTTGTAGCTTGTTTAGGTAGTGTTGGGTAAGATGGGCCCAACGCTGTTGAAACTTCAATGTTATCATCAGCATACTACTAGTAGTATACTACATATATATATATATATATATCTGTAGATATGTAGATATGTAGGTAGTATAGTAGTATAGTAGTATAGTACATATGTAGCATGTATGAATAGAAGGATCTTGAAAGGTCAACTTGAACATTGAATGATAGAAAACTTTGTGTTGCCAAACTCCAAGAAATCACATTGATACATGAATGTATCAATATGTAATTGAGTACTTATGTAGGTATGTACATGTACATAATCGGCTCAAGAGTTATAATGGATGCGGCTTGAACATTGCCAGGCGCCTGGCTCTATGTACAAGTACCGTGCATGGCTGGGTACTATCATACTACTATGTAGGTACTAGGTAGGCATAATGATAGGTACTGGGTACCTACCTTGATAGATATTTTCAGGCTCGGCGGTTTATCCGGAGTGCACCAGATGCAGTTCCGGGTTGGTTGGGCAGACAAGAAAAGAAAAGATTGGAAGAGTCACTGGGACGACTGGGACGACTGGGACGACTGGGACGCTTGAGAGGTGGGGCTATGTGGGGCTATCTCTAGGGCCCTTTTTGGCCAGGGATTAATAGACTTTCTGCCCGTTTGCGTCGTTTGCATTCAATCCAATCCATCAATCCATCAAAACTTTCAAAAGTCACTGATGACTTAATACTTACAGGGGATGAAGGGCGAAAAGATGAAGAAAAAAAAATTAAAAATAACTGATTTGTAATTAGAGTTAGCAAGGTTCAATGTTGACAAGAACATTGACTAACTACCTGTTTTTAACTACCTGTTATTACCTGTTATGTGCATAAGTTCAAGTTATAACACCCAGGGTACGAAGTATGCAGTCAAGTCAATGATTGAAATCCATCACGGATCCATGGATGCCTACTCCCTATGCTACAGTACAACAGCAGATCGATCATTACATGCAATCCAAGCAACATTGAATACCAACATTGAAAGGCCTACATATGCAGTAGTACAATAATAGTCCAACCCGGTTGACCAAATCCAGTAATTCCAAATTACATGTATGCGTCAACATCCCTACGTCTACCGACATGTAGATAGTTACATGTAGATACAAATTCACATCGATATCGTTGTGATCATGTTCTGGGCATCTTTTGGGTTGCTCTACCGTCCTACATAACTACTAGTAGTTAGTAGTACATCAACCACATCAACCACATCAACCTGGCTTGCTTATTGTCCAATGACACCCACGAAGCTGCATACAGTTGTGCCTGAAACTGATTAGCTTGCATCAACCCGTCTGCAGGCGGGCCTTGTGTGATCTGCCATGCATTATCAGCCAAGATTTACCTTCCATCAAGCTCCCACCAATGGTTCGCAACAGTCATACCAGAGCTTTTGTCTCCCTGTCCAATACCTTACTTGCGATATACAGACCTTCCAAGCATTGAAATCTCAAGACGAATCCATCCAAGACATCTGTCAGAGCAAACACTACTATGTATTGTACAATACCTAACGTATTAGACCCGGAACCGGACCAGACTCAGATGTGGACCACCTTAATTTTTTAGTTACCTAGGATACCTAAAACCTCCCAAAACCTCCCCAAAACAACACTAAACAACAACAATACCAAATCACTTAAAAGAATTTATAACGCCACGAATCCTGCCTCAAACGAAACGAAACTTTACGAACGTGTTTATCATATCGAAATATACGAATATAAAAATTTAAAAAAAGATCCGACGCCGATTCATCGAGATACGACTTTTATACTGCTTAGTTGCATAAAACCTACTATGTATACATACATATTATCAAATTCCGAACCGCGCAACAGATGCACCTAATTCTTAATATGATATTTATATTTAAACTGAGATAATATATCATATTATTAAATTATATCAAATTTAGTAAATGTTTGGCGGCGTAATAATTATTTGAAGTGATTTGGTATTGCTGTTGTTTTGAGGTGGTCCGGATCTGAGTCTGGTCCAGTTCTAGGTCTAATACGTTAATCAGCACCTAACGGGTACACAATCCGTCCGTCCCATAAATGCGGGTGTTCCCCTTAAGCATTCTTTTCTTTTACGCCGTATGATTTTTATCTTCTCTCCCCCTCCATATGAGCCCAGTGCCCAGGCTAAAAAAGAAGATCACAAACATTGAAGGTCATGTAGGTACAGGTTGTACTACCCATCCAATCCGATCCAATCCAATCAGGCCGAGGCTTCCAATACGAATACTTCCGATCGTACGAATACGGGGGTTAATAGGTCAAGTGCGACACTTGGGAGTCGGGACATGTTGCGCAAAGTTGGCGGTATCACATAGTACACCTGGGCACTTACTTGACGCTTTGTGCTATTTTGTTAGTCATATGAATTAATACATACCCAGGATCAACTGGTCACGGGTAGGTCCAGAGTCTTTTACACATCAAAAAAGTCCTTGCCGTTCTAGAAGGCCTCTCGAAGATGAGAATTGTTCCGAAAACCGCACTATCGATCGATCTGGAATGCCAATATATTTGGTAATTAATCCATGGATGCTTCCGATGATGGATATTTGGTACCAACCGGCATTTTAGTGACACCTTTGGACTTCGCAATCTTGGCCTTCTCTCCAATCTGCCCATCTGCCTATCTCTCTCCTGCATTGATGCCATTTTGGTCCGTGATGTATGCAGGGCCGAAGCCGCTTCATAAGCGGATATTACGGCAGCAATGCTTGTTTTGAAGCACTAGTTAACTAATAGCAATAGCGCTCCAGAGTCCAGAGTCCATACATATAAGGATTATGTACATATAACTACCTACATACATACCTACAGCACTGCCATGTGACCCCATGTGACTCCATGAATACCATATAAACAGTTCCTACTATATGCCACACAGTTGGGTTCGATCCAGGCTGTCAGTACACGTGTAGATAATGGACGATATCCGTCTTACACACTTCAAGGTTCCAAGTTGGCTACTACATGGTAAGAGCTGGAGAAGAATGGCATGCAGGTACCCACCAGCGGATAGGTATGTACCAGCACCTTATTTGCATGTGAGAATAGATCTAGACCTCCGATCGCCTTCAGATCGGCTAGTCTCCAACACTTCTGCTTCGCATAAGCCTCTCGATGCATGATGAATGGAGGCGTGCACTTTTGGTTCGGATATCGTACAGGCTTTGGGTGGTACATATTGGGGTCTGATGTGTGTGTACACCAATTCGCATATAGAAGCCTCTCGAACGATTAACGACATCTTTAACTACCCAGCCAAGTCTGTATGTTGCCAGCCTCGTGCCATTTACTTCAACGCCCAGCAGGCCAGGTGATGCAAAGGTCTGGTCAGTTCCGTTTTCACCCGTCATCTACCTACGGAATAATGGCGAGGCCTATGGACCTAGCCTGGTAGATGACTGACTTGCAGAGCCCTTCCAGCGAGAGACCGGAGAGCCTCAGTTCGGATTGCTTTATCTTGGCGATTTCGTAGACGTGCTTGAGGGTAACTGTGCCTACTATTTCGTGGCCTGGCTTGCTTGCGCCCTTTCTCTTTCCCTTCTTTGAAAGTGGTAGGTCTGCCGCATTCCGTAGGAGCCATGATGTATGTGGTGTTCGTACGTCAAAATGGAAGGTTCGGTCTGGTCGTACTGTTACTCGAGTCGGCATAGGCGTTCCTTGAATGATGTGCTCTGTGCGCGCATTGAATTCCTATATTCACATTTATGTTAGCCAAGGGATCAATTCAGACACATGGTTCTCTACTATATCTTCTCTGCAGGGAGTGAGTGACTGGTATGTAAGATATTTCCCTTACCTTACAGAAATCCATAGACTTGACACCTTTGCTACCAAGCGCAGGACCAACAGGTGGACTCGGAGTAGCCTTGCCTGCTGGGACTATAATCTTCACCATTTGGCTGACGGTCGAGCGCACCTGAGACATCTTGTTGTTGTGAACCCGAGACTGAGTTGCGAATTGGTGAATGTGGGTTTATTATGCGTGTTGAATGTTGAACCGCCGACGCTGTATGAGATATGAAATCCGAATCTTTAATTTCTTTTTTCTTATTTTTTAACTTTTTTTTTTTTTTTTCTATGGCAAGTTCCCAAATTTAGAACTCCAACAAGGTTTGCTAAGCCTTGCGAGGTCCAGTGCACTAGCCACTTTTAAAAGCTTGGTAGTAGTTATTGCATGTATGTACAATACAATACATACGGACATCGGACTTGGGAGTACATAGTTAATAGTACTACCGGTACTACACTAGTAGTATGTAAGCCACAACTGGTGAAATCATACAACTTGAACATCGAATCAGGTTTAAAACGGCACCTGAGCACTTCGACAATACATAAGTGGATCTTGCTTTAACCAATATGCCAGGGTCCCCGCCAATACCTGCCAATACCTAACGTCCAAAGCTTGAGCTTGACTTCAAATGTTCTTCTTCCTTTCCCACTATTATTTTTATGTTTACTACTTTTATGTATCGTTGGCTAAGAACTTGAACATTACATACATAGAACTTCCAGCATTAAAAAAAAAAAAACACAACTTGCTAAAACATACTACCTACCTATCACCGCTATTTTCCCTCTCTTAAAGCACTCATATCTATAATACCTCATCTTGTCTTGTCTTATCTATATTATCAGTCTATCCTATTTTACTTTTAATACCTGAATAACCTCCCCCTTTTCACTAATCATGTTCAACTGGGCAAAGCAAACGTCAGCATCATATCCCACCCTAATTATTACCTTCACCTGGTGTGTCCGGCTAATAGACTGCCTAGTTTGGCCAATGTCGTTGGTACCGAGGAACCCATCTATGGCCCCTCAGCCATAAGGTCCGTTGCCGAAGATGCCAAGAAGACGCCCTATACGGAGTTAACCAGGGACGACATGAAGTGGGAGGCAATGGAGTCGACCTCTGTAGAGACCCAAACCTTCTATTTCATGGCCGACGATGGTCATCTTGCCTTTTGCCAGGTCATTTACAGTAATGTCGTGTATGGAGCTCCAATCTATTTCCCCCCCATTCTCTTCTTTTTGTTTTAATTCGTCTCTTCAATCAACTAATTTTGCATGAAGTGGCATTCGAACGACATCCCAGTTCAACTCCAAGGTCTTCTACACCGATGGCAGGAAACCTCTATGGAGCACAACGCCCTTGAACCACGTCGACTTTAGTGAAGACAAATCTTGCTTCTTTGCCAAAGATTGCGCCCTAGAACTGTCCGAGGATGGGAAATCGTATACCATTAAGTCTATGAACGATCCCCAGTCTATCGTCAACCTCAAAATTACCCGGATATCGCCGGGTTTTGTTGCTGGCAAGGATGGCAAGACCTTATATGGAACGGATTTAGAAAACCCGTGGGGCACCATGCGGCACGCGTTCTGGCCGAGGTGTGTGACAGAAGGAAGTATTATGACCAAGGACGGCCCCATCGACTTCAAAGGAAAGGGATTTCTTTCCCACGCCTTACAGGGCATGAAACCCCATCATGCAGCAGCCCGATGGAACTTCGTCAATTTTCAAGGACCAACCTATTCAGCGATCATGATGGAATTCACTACGCCACCATCGTATGGAACCACAGTTGTGGGTGTTGGTGGGATTGTTAAGGAAGGGGAGATTATTGCTGCCGGAACCAACTGTAGCGCCAAGCACCTCAAAACAAAGCAAGACACAGAGAACGACTGGCCTGAGCCGACCGAGGTCCGGTTTGACTGGGCTGGTGCTACCAAAGATGGAAAGCCCGTGGAAGCATCTATCGAAGTCGTTCTTGGTAGCAGGATTGACAGAATCGATGTCATGGCAGAAGTACCTGGTTTTGTGAAGAAGATTGTTGCTGGCGCGGCAGGAACTAAACCGTATATATATCAAGTAAGTGAAAGCATGCCATGATTGGAGACAGTGACACCTAACCATGCATGTAGTTCTATCCCCACAGCACCCCGCTTGACCTCAAGATCAAGATCGGGGATGAAGAGATCATCGAAAAGGGACGATTGTTCAGTGAAGCAACCTTTATATCAGCAACAGAATGATATAAGCAAGACTTGGAATATGGCACAGCATAAATGCCCAGCACTTAATAAAGCGGAATCGCCAAGACGAGGATATTATCTGTCTGGCACCACGTTTGGAGTGTGGTTATCAGATGACAGATGGTCGTCTTAATAGATTCGGCTGTGCTATGGCTTCTCACCGACAGTTGGCATGCGGCCTGGATATCAAATTACACGCGGATTAAGTAGGCATGCTGCATCCTAGACTCTATAGAGATACAATACCACTCGTTAAGCTTCGAGGTGGTTAGCGAATAAGCGCACTCGTCCATTCAAAGTCTTGATTAGTCTTTTATAGGTTGCATTGTGAAGGCTATATAAATACAATGGTTAGACTTGAACGCTCCAGCTCATCCACGGATGGATGTACTGGTACATGTGACAGAGTCTTACAGACCAGAATGTAGCCGGGCAAGTCCAAGTAGCCTAGTTACGAGATGTGAATAAGGAGCGGCACGGCCGGGATAAAAAGGCATACACTAGAAAAGATAACGAAAGCACCACGCGTCATGTTATTCCAGATACGGATACTACTATGTACTAGTATGTATGTAGTACACCCTCCTACTAGGCTCCTAGAATCATGTACCGAGGTACATAGGTCCGTTATGAAAGTCTTATCGATAGGTTCCCACCTTACTGGATGATGAATACAACCGTCATCTGTCTTACCTTACCTAACCTTACCTCTCCCCACACATACAATACTTCCAGCGTGCTAGCGTACAAGTAAATAGTTCATCGCCACCTTCTTATCGCTTGTACGCGCCGCACCTACATGTACATACATACATACAGTACATGATACAGATTCATACAGATTCAACGATAACTTCAAGGTCTGCCAGTCTGGTCGTCAAGTGCAAAGGTACCTATTTGTAGGTATTTCAATTTATTAACAACAAATGAACTTTTTTAACATCGACATCAATCCTTTTCATTTCCCACTGCGGAACCAAACCAAGTCCCAAAAAATGCCAGAAAAGGCCGTCCCCCTCTCCACTCCACACGCGGGAAAGGGCGGGAAGGGTCTTGGTGGTAAAGGCCTCGGAGGTAAAGGTGTACGTTCATTCCTTTATTCCCTTAGTTCCGTTCTAACATTGAACTGATGTAATGCGCACACTACGATAAATGTTGGCTAACTTGTTACATCGCACAGGGGCTCAAGCGTCACCGGTATGTCGTGCATTCTCGCGGTCGCACATGCTACAAAGCTTCACGGCCGTATGTAGTGGTGTAGTGGTGTATGTCGTTGCTAATAGTTGTGCAGCAAGCTCCTCCGTGACAACATCCAAGGAATTAGTAAGTCCTGATAAATCCTTTCCTTTATCACATCACAAGCCTCGTTAAGCAGCCGCTAACCATATAACTCAACGTCTAGCTAAGCCCGCCATCAGGTAACGAACCCTCCCGCTCAAATACACACCGCCCCTCCCTCCATTCCAACTCTAATTCTCGAAATCGGTTACAGACGACTGGCGCGCCGAGGTGGTGTCAAGCGAATATCCGGTTCGATCTACGACGAGGTCCGCTCTGCCCTAAAAGCGCGACTGGTGGAGGTACGAAACTCATACCTACCTAGGTACACCATCAATTAACTAATATCTTCTTTCCCCGAGCATAGATCGTACACGACTGTATCATACATACAGAATACCGCATGCGAAAGACGGTTACCATCGGCGATGTAAGTTGCGCATCACGCATCACGCAGCAAATAATATCGTACCCTTTTTCGAAATAGAGTGCTGACTGTGTCATTCGCTTTATATAGGTCCTGCAATCCCTGAAACGACTTGGCCAGCCCATCTACGGTTTCGACGACGTCAGCGGTGGTGGTGGTACCATTGCTTCCAGGAGCCAAGCTGCTAAAAACCCTCAATACGATTAATTAAATAACGCAACAAGCTAAGGGGGGAAATGAATCCCACGCATCGATTGATTCAAAGGAGTTGAGGTTGCGGAAGCATGGCGCTTCAAATAAACTACTACAGGGAGGAACACCGCCTTGCCATGGACGTAATTACCATGAGAGCAGGTGGATGTGATTTGCAGCGTTTCGTGATGGGAATGTGTTTGCAATGATTTAACGATACCCATTTACGTAAGTCAAAAACGACAAAGGAGGAGATAAGAGAGCAGGACACAAAGGTCTGTACATACGTATCCTAGGTGGCTATATAGGGGTGCCTAGCTTTAAGATGAGATAGATAGCATTCATGCCTCTATGAAATACCACAAAGAGACTCATGTTAACAAGATTCCAATTGTTTCAATTGTTCTGTCTGTCTTCTGTCTGTCTGTCTGTCTGTCTGTCTACCTAATCTAGGTATACCTACCTACCTCCCAACCTCAGGTATAGATACCCAGGTTAGGTATGTAGTACTTGCTCTAAAATCTAAAGCCATAAAATAAACGAACGCTCCGAACGAATGGGGGGGTATTTGAGTAAAAGCATGACCGTGCCGGTATAAAAGCAACAAAAGTAGCCACCGCCGCCACCACCACCGCTGCCGCCACGGCTATAAACGCCAATCAGTAAAAGTAAACCCGGCCTTCATATATATACCTTACACCTATAGCCTATAGGTAGGTAGCCAGCCATCCCATGCACCGATCCGGATACTGTTCATCCATTCATCCATATCTTGGACTTTCTCTCTACAGCTTTCTTTTATTATCATTTCTTTTTCTTTTTACTTCTTTATTATTCTTCATCTGGTTGGTTGGTTGTTATCATTTCCTCCTCCTCCTTCCCCCCTCCCACTCCCCCAGAACCTTCTCGAGCGTCTTGGCGGCCCTCTGCTCGTTCTTGCGAAAGGGGCCGTTGAAGATCTCGGGGAGCACCATGGTGCTATTGGCGTGCTCCTTGGCGAACCCGACCTCGGCGTCCTTGCCGCACCGCTCGCGGGTCACCTTCACGGCTTCGTGGAGGAGGTCGATGCCGACGCCCTTGCCGCGGTACTTGAGCTTGACGGTCCAGGCGCGGATGAACCCCCGGCCGCCCTTGAGGAGGGAGTTGCGCCGTCTGTGCCGCTTTTTCCCTGACCCCGCGAAGCTGGCGTGGGGCTCGAGGCGCAGCACGAGCGCGCCGATGAGCTCATTGCCGAACCGTACGCCGATCACCGTGTCCTCCTCGCCGTCCTCCGATACCATCCAGTTCCACTTGGTGTCTTCAGCTACCTGCACGTACTGGCCTGTGAAGTAGCGGATGGTCAGGAGGTAGATCATGATCACGCCCGAATGCAGCATCAGGGCCGTGCCGAGGTCGCGGCGCATGCGCCACGAGAATTGGTACGCGATCCCCAGGCCCACAGCCAGGATGGCTAGTAAGTACGGGTGGAAGACCAAATGGTAAGAGGCCGATTGCCGCTGCTGGGCTATCGAGTCCGTCACTAAATTCAAGGCGCCCACCTTGTCGTTCTCACTACCCAATGCGCTGACGGACAAAGGAGGTAAGTCATCTGGTACGGGGTGGCTGGGGGGGTCAATGGTCACAAGGGGCGATGGCGATGGCGGCGGGAGAGCGTTAGACGGCGCAGGTTCTATATCTGGCGTTGACATGGCGGAAGGGTTGACGACGAGGTTCGCTCGCAGGAAGAGGAAGAATGCTACTCGAAGAAAGGGGTGCTGATCAGCTCTGTCGAAGCCTAATAATTTCTTGTCGTCCGTGCAAGTCCCAATCAAATCATTAACTCTTGCGTTCTCACCCTCGTCCAGCTCATGCGAAGTTTTGCGACAGCGAGGCGTGAGATGAGAGATGAGAGATGAGAGATGAGAAATGAGAAATGGGAAAGAAGTCGCACATAAAGTAATGATTGAAAATTGAACTTTCAACTTCAGATAGAGAAGCCCCGGTAACTCAAGGATTGAATAAAAATTTCGAGAGATGTCAAAAACAAAATGAAAAAATATCATCTACTCACCAGTACTGGTCTTTAAGCCTGGTACCACGTTCATCTTGTCAAGAATGACGGTGCCAGGCCCATAGTAGGCATTCAAGTCTAACTCTGTTGCCACGTGCGCCATCTTGACGTTGTGTATGGACAAGCCAGCGTAGAGGGTCGGTAAAGAATTTAATTGTGAATTTAATTGTGACCTGCTTTGAATAAGTCAATATAAGTGCTGTGCACGTAAATTAAATAAAAATGTCGTAATTAAGTAAATAACCTAGGTTAGGTACCTTTTTTCGTTTCTTTTACCAACTGCTTGGGACCCTCCAGGGTCTATTGGACGCTTCTGGACCCCCGATAAAATTATAGGGTGAGTCCGAAGAGGAGTGGGATGTTATGTAGGTATAGTTATATGTAGGTATCGACTTAAGAGGGAGGGGAAATGGTTTAATAAGTTCCGATGACGACAACTTCAACGAATATGGTTGCAGGAAAAAGATGGGATGGGATGGGAATGATAAGAGACGAAGAGACGAAGAAACGAAGAAACGAAAAAACGAAGAAAGCGACGGAGCAATCAGAGATATGACTTGATGAACAAACCCGTCCAAAGTCTTGGCTAGGAATGTTTAAACAGTAAACAGGCTTGACCCAAGATATGTAGGTAGATATGTAGGTAGTTTCACAGATAAACCAAATACCGCTCTTGATTCTCCGATTCTCCCTACAAGCACCGTTGCTGCACAGATGACATCGAACCGCGGGGTGCGCTCGTTACCAGTCGATCACGATGTCGGGTGGTTACCGTATCTGATAAGAAGCTCTTCAGGCGAATGAAATCGTCCGGCAGTGAACTACAAACAGCGCCACTTATACGTTTAGGGGTTGCCGTGCGAAATCCTATCGATGCATATCGATGCGTAGTTATCAGTGCTGCTGTTATCGTAGTCTCTTGGTATTTTGGTATCTTGGTCCCTTGGTACGCCGTAATTATCCTCGTGAGACAGAGCGCACCAGAGTGCTGGGTCGTAAGAGGGTTGTTCGCGCCTGTTATACAGGTCATCTTGAGACGAAGCTGTCGACACTAAGAGGGTCCAGGCCTCCCTAGCTAGGTTTTAAAATGGTTTGTGTGGCAGGTTGATCGTGGTACCCTCACCCTTCCCGTGCCCTGCCCTTCACTCACATGCCCACCAATACTAGCATCGCTAGCATTGGTAACGTCGCTAACATTGAAACTAATAGATCCATTTTTTTTCTAATAAATACTGCAGCATATGTGTGAAAAGGTAAGTGTCGACATCGCAAATTCGCAATCGATCATGCCCCAGATCATGGGATTGATGGGGTCCCTGCTAGTCAAGAAGATCAATCACCCATCCCCCGGATACAGAATTAGAAAGTCGACGGGATTTGTTCGGATTCCTTCTCGTTCGTGGGGTTAGGATAAGTTGGGATAGGTTCCAAGGTTAGGATGGCATCCTGTCAATGTGCCAAGACCTGAATCCAGAGTTCGGAGTCGATAAGAAAAGAAAGGGAGGGGGGAAAATGCCAGGTGAAGGGGAGTCAGACTTGCGTCTGTTTGAAACGTTTTACGCGTAATAAATTCAGGGAACGATTTGACTCGAGGCCAACAGAAGGCCATTTCTTCCGTGGGATGACCCAAAATGCGTCATGATCAGCGAAACGTCCCTTTATAGAAAAATTTGCGCAATTAGCATTGTCAGTCCATCGGTGGAGAGAACCAATAACGTGTTATATAAAACAAAACGGATACGCCGCACATGCACTGGACAAACTACTACTACGACGTGGGAGTAGTAATAAATACAACGTAGAAGCCGATCGAGGGGGTTTACTACATACATATCCACCTAGGTTAGTACGTTAGATATCCAAACATCTTTGCCTACCTAGTAGTAGGATACATATAATAGTATTCGTAGATAACCCCTCTCGGTGACGCAGAAAGGGTTACTGGATTCGAATTCGGTTTATTCGGTATGTTTTTTCGAGGTGAGGCACCTGGCATCCCAGTTCAGTTCAGTATCATAAGATCTTTATGTTCTTCCACTTTGACAACATTGAACTTCATGATCCAATGTTTTGTGAGTAACCATGTTTTAGTTTCCCTTGGGTAGATTCACTGGTGTCTATGGATATGTCTCCTAGGTATGATGGGTAAATAAATTCAAAGAGAACACCTATTACTTTTGTAGGTAAGTAAAGTGCTCGGTCAATGCTCAGGATCTCTGGAGATAAGTAAGTAGTTACACCGAGTTTATTGTCTATTGTTACCTAAAGTCAATCCATGAATAGAATCAATATGATTAGGTAGCTGAGAATGATTTGTGTATTATTTGGATGTTGTAGAAAGAGTAGTTGAAACGTTGAAATCATCAATCTGTTACAGCCTATTTACTACCTACAGTACTAGATACAATACCTGGGCACTTACATAATCTTCATGGCTCCACAGTCCTTCCTTGCTCCTTCAACTTGGCTCTAACCTAGTTACATACATGTAGGTATTGTACATTCATGTAGGACGCTACATATGTAGACTCAAATTGAACATCGGACTTGGGCTACTGTAGTGCAATGTCGAGCAGGCGGTAACTGAGCCACACAGCCACACAGCCACATTCAAGAACCCAACATTGAACTCCGATATTTCATGTTTGCGTGGCTAAGCAGGTCACCCCTCCCTTTTCTCCCTCCCTCCCCATATTAATTTACCCTTTTTCTCACTTCTCTCACCAAAAAACCCAAAACCCAAAAAAACCCCATGGATGTGGATGTCAGGTCATCCAAACCCTTGTCAATCCTGACAACTTTCCCAGCCCTACAAGGCGACAGACAAGACAGATCACGACATCAAGCTATACTTCTTATTGACATACTACAACGATACATAGGTAGTGGTACCAGGTATGTACTTGTATAATCATCATCATCATCAAATCTAATGAATCTATGAGTCTATGAATCTATGAATCTACATATGTAGAATAAATAATCCAAATTGGGTTAAATTTCTACTTGTCATATTCATTGCCATATTCATTGTCATATCCATTCATTGACTTATCTACCTGTTCATTGATTTTATAGTGGAATAGTGGAAACTGATGCATTTTCGTGTAGGTAGAGAAGATAGAATATTGAAGATGATCCATCCAATCCATCTATCTGCATCTGTTCTGTGTGTACACATTAAAAATGTGTGCTTACCTACCTTACTGCTAAATACTTCAATATTGTTGTTCTAGCTTCTATGAGCTTCCAAGTTCTCGGCAATGCTCCCCGACTTAGCTCGGAGCAAATCTACAAACAAACAAGACTCTATCTCGCAAATGCGACCACATCATCCATATATGTGAACTGCAGTGATGCAGTGCTGCAGTGTTGCCTTGATGCCGTGGTCTTGTCGCATTTCGAGCACTCTCCTTTGCTCAAAGGAACAATAAAAAGCATGGAGTGTCCGAGCCCTGCCAGAGAAACGCGATACGTCCAAAACCGAGAGTGTTCGCGATAGGACTTGCAGTTTTTAGTCTGGGAACCAAGCCAAACTGCATCAAGCTGCATCAAGCTCTCTCTGGTTTTTAACTCATTTTACTGATTTTTTTTTTTTACTGATTTTACCCCTTTGCAGACTGTCCCCTTTCAACCACTGCGTCTTTGATTGGATAACGCCCGAGTCCTGCAGTCAGCAAGTCCTTCCTCCTCAGCTAGCGACCCATCTGCACAACAAGGCGTAATTTGGGGTCCTTTCTGCCTTGTTGCCTGCGTACTTCACCGAGTAGGGTTTTGGACCCCAACTCCATTGCTTGCGCTCTTATGCAGCCCTGTGAGCCGCGAACGGTAAGTTAAACGCACTGCCGATAGCAATTGCAAGGGCTTCTGTTGAGGGAGCCTGTTTAGTGGTCACCCATGGCTGGATACGTCCTTATTAGTCCGCGGTCGTTACCGCTGGGTCCTAGGGTACAAGTATTACTGCACCTGCATCAATGTTAAAAGTCCTACACAGTACATCGTCATATTCAGGGTAGCAGAACTATTTTCTAGATCTTTCAAAATAAAGTCATGGATCGGTGGCGATCCGCTTGGCCCCCCGACCTCTCTTATTCCGTTCAAGTCTTAGCCTTTATTGTAGACCACTGCTGCAGAAATGGAACCAAAAGGGAGCTTTGCCACTTCCGAGTCGGCTTCTGTTGACACTACTTTATTCGATTGGGACCCGCCGGTCGGGCAGCGCGCAGACGCTCATCAGGCCCCTTCTCTCCACCCAAGACGGCGGTCACGATCAAGTCTACGATCCGAATCCAACCCACGAGACCCTTCACCATGCGCGTGAGTAGCACTACAATACCATCACCTCCTCCAACGTACTGACTTGCTCAGGACTCGAGAGATTGCAGGGGAAGATTGTGCGCTTCAGAGATTCATAGTATGGGCTGCTATCAAGCGAAACAAATCAGTCACAGCACCACAGGATCGTCTCAAATGCCCTCTCATTCTATGTGGAAAACAGTTCGACGACCATGAGGCAATGCTAAGGCACCTAACCAAGTGCAAACATCTCAAGACTGGTGAATACGTATGCCACGACTGTACAAAAATCGAGCGATTCAATGACAGGAAATGTCGGTCATGTCTAGGTCATCCACCTAAACGAAGGCGCATCATCAACATGGCCAAGAAATTCTTCTCAAATATCGGTAACAAATCTCGAAAGGAAGTAGTATCCCAGCCTACTCATCAGAATGACCGTGTTATTCCCCCACCTAGTTATGATTCTCTCATCATCGACCTCGAAGAACAAAGTGGACAACAGCAGCAGCAACCACAGCATGAGCACCCACATGAACAAGGACACGAGCCTCGAGAACAACAGCAATCACTGTCTCAGAACCAGCCTCAACCCCTGATAGAGTTGAATGGTAGGGAGATACACGAACTAGACTCGATACAAAAGCTACCAACAGCCGAACTCGATTCCACCAACAATAACGGTCAGACCGTAGAAGTTCCGATACTTCTAAATCAGCAAAATCATCCGACACGACTTTCATCTTGCCCACGAATGGACGATATACTCATTATTCACGAGGATTCTCAAACTGTACATCTTGACCAGGACATTTCTATGTCTCCGCCTAATCATATATCATCAAATTCCGGGAGTAGACGGCCATCATTAGCCCTAGATACTCATATAGATCGATACAGGAATGTCCCACGTACGAAACACCTCTCCCCAAGCTCATCGCTTCGATCGACGGGCAGCTCTCAATTATCGCCGGCCACCCTGTGGAGTGCAAGTTCAGGTGGCTCTGCGGTTTGGACCGTCGGTTCTGCCGTTGATACAGCGATGACATCTCCAGCAACCCCCCTCAGCCCAGTTGATCTTTGGGCGGTGTCTCACCCAGAGGAAATATCAGCTATGTCAAAGACCGGGAGCGCATGTCCGGACGACAACTGTAACTATATGGCCGATATTCTGTGTGAACTCCCAGGCGATGACTCACAGTTCATACCACGTGGCCTATCTGATCCATTGCTCTTCTCTTTTAGTCCTAAGGATAACTACTCATGGATGCAATCAGAGGGCACGGAGTTATCACTATCAACTTCGGTCAACATGATGTTTACAGACACTAACCCTAAGCCTGCAAACATGTCGTCCGGGTTCATCGAGTCGTCAGATCACGGCCCCGATACTAGAACGCTAGTAGAATCGGTCTGGGGTGCGTTACAGGAGCACGTCCTAAGTTCATTCACAAAATTGTCTCATATCCAAGGAAACTCATTAGTCGATCGACTCCGAACGCAATCACCCAAAGCTGTAGCAATGAGTGGTCTATCGAGCTTGAAGAGTATTCTAGAAGGCAACAACCCCACTGACCCGCTCAGCTACATATGTTACATTCATGTAATCTACGCCTTTTCCATTCTTGTTTACGAAGGCGACCTTGACTATCATTGCCAGTTCATGTACCAACAAGCTCTCGCCTACCGACGCTTTATCAACCCCGCCTATGCCGAATCTTATACGCAAATCGTGACAAATATCTGGCAGCCCACTTCAAATAACCATTTCCGGACCCATATAGGAGGAAGTGCTGTGGGTGGGTCGTTGAATCTGAAGGGTAAACAGCCAGAGGGTCGGGTAGACTTGAGGATCAACCAAGAAACCGACCATCTTCTTGTAGTCGGACAAAACTTTCTTGACGGCAAGTCATGGATATAATTATTCTTTAGTAACTTAAACAATTCAAGTTTGCTAACATTCACAGACCTCGAAAATTCCGTTATAGCCAGTAGCTCAGACAAGCCGAACGAAGTTGTCAGCTCTGGCCTTGCGTCCATCCATTTCATGGAGTTTCAGCCAGTACCAATGCATGACAGCGCCTTTGCAATCACAGCTGAATTTATTATTCGGGATATAATTTCGAGATTCCCCCATTCCGAAGCCTTAAGATCAAAATTGGAGGAAATCAAGCAACATGTTCGCGTTGGGGGTTTCACTACGGTTCGCAAACTTGAACTTGCGGTCCTACAAGCTGGAAAGGTAAGCGTTCATAGAATATACCACCATGTCCCCTTGTCCATTATGTAGGACATATAAGGCCAATTTCAAGCTGGAAGATCCCCCTGCAATTACACCTTCATATAGTAACACAACTAACGTGGAAAAACTCCCAGAACTCTTTAGAATCCTCTGATCTTTTCAACGAATTTATCCCCCAAGTTAGGAGGCTTTGCGACCAAATCTACCCAGAGACGGGGTATAGCCGCAGGGCAACATATCAAACTCTAGGGGTATCATTGGTAGAGGCACTACTCCAGACTCTTGCTGCCGAACCACAACATGCCCAGGAGGAATCAACAATCTTCACGATGGAATATCCCGGCAACTACAATTTATTCGGTCAACCGGAAGATGGGACCTTTGACGACCCCAACGGCATCGTGAACGATCTATTCCACGGACTAGTAGACACCTCTCAGCAGAACCAGCCAGCCATCACCCCATCCCCAAGTTTCAACTCGTCGGTTGATCCCATAACTCTTGGCGACATCGGCACCTCTGATGCCCGGCGATCGACTACGGCATCCTACACCGAGACCTCGAACGAGTCTTTCGTACACTCACCCGACGTCCCCGGGCCAACCTCGCACCCGACTCCGCCCATCCCGTCCACCCCCGTCCACCCCGAGCCCAGCCCGCGACCCGGCTCGTCCTCCACGGCACAGAAAGTAGAAGCCCACGACGCCTGCGAGATCTGCGGGTACCGGCCCAAGGGGCACCCGCAGTGGTTCAAGGGCAGCATGGCGAAGCACAAGAAGATGCAGCACTCAAAGGGGCCGCCGGTCATCTATAAGTGCCCGTTCCCCGGCTGCAACAGCCAATACAAGAACCGGCAGGACAACCTGCGCCAGCACCAGATCGAGAAGAACCATTTTGTGGGGGACGAGACCGGCAGGAGGCCGAGTAAGAGGAAAAAGGTATCGACGGGATAGGTGGGCATGAAAAAAAAACATAATTCAATATCACATATCACATAAGGTCATCATCATCATCTTTGCATTTGGCAGGGCGTTCTGTGGTGGTTACTAACTAACTAACTAACCTACCTTTGGCAAAGGGGGGTTTGGGTGGGAATTTCTTGGCGATACCATGTAGGTACCTACTGCTAACCTGGGTAGGTACTTTTTTCTCATTTATTTATTTGAATCTTTTAGAGATATATAGAGATTTCTGCCTAAAAAGGCGTCTTGTATGAGCAGGTCATTGTTTTTACAGCTGGACTGGGAATATAGACAGCAAATATCATTATCATGATCATTATGATTCATGGAAGATGCCTCGCATGTGTTGGGTGTGTTATGTTCTGTCGATTACTAAGTTGCCTAGTAGGCAGACAGGTAGGTAGCCTGAAGCTTCGAGGCCTCGTATGAGTTGATATGATCGGAGGCCTACTAACATATGCGCTCATGACCTTAATCTACATATACCTACCTACCTATATTATTGCCTAGCCATATAACTATATCTGACTGCCTAGAACAAGAGGGAGGAGACAGGGGTATGGGACTATGAGTTAGTTAGTAGGTAGGGGAGAACCAAGATATAAAGCTACAGAGGTAATGTTAAAGAGAAAATTAAGCACTAGCCAATCATATAAGAGAAGAGTACCCCTAAGCCTGCGCCGCTGGACTACCGCTGTAGGTTGGAGAAGGATTCATGTAGCATTTCAAGGTTGATTTAGAGTATTATCTACACTTTACCGCTGTGGCGAGGAGGGAAGGAGAAGGAAGGGAGAGGAAGGAAGAAGAGAGATAGAGAGAAAGAGAGAGAGGTGCCGAATCCTAGAGGAAGCGGATCCGTCGTAATGCTAGGTAGGTACTTAGGTAGCAGGTAGGGTACCCTTACGAGATAGAACGGGAATAATCATTGAGACTGATTGAGTGATATTGAGTGATATTTATGTATTATTTAAGGCTTGGTATCTATCTAAGGTATGGTACCTAAGTAACTAGTTAGTCAGCCTTACTGGAGGCGATACATGCCATATTACATGGAGGGAAACGACAACATACATAGCAAAGAAGTATCTATGATATGTACCTACATGTAGGTAGGCAAACCGGCAGGCAAACCAACAAACACAAACAAACAAACGAATAAACAATAAACAATTATGCGTATCTATTCCTGGAGGAAACACCAATGCTACTCACCTACATATCTAAATATCGTTATCAATCCATAGGCCACAGGTTAGTTAATCTGATCTGATCTCCCTCCCTCCCTCCCTTCCCCCCCTTTTTATCTTCTTCCAGCCCTACGCGCGCTCGGCCCTCCGCTGGCTTAACTCGATCCACTCTAGCCTCGGGCTAGGGTAGGGCTAGGCCTATCTTTGGCTGCGGGGAATTAGTTGACTCGAGCGGCTTCCAACTTGAGCAAGGATTAAATACATAGTAACATAACAGACCTAGTAGCATCCATGGATGCTACCTAGGAGGTTAGTTTACTCGTGGAATGGTAGGCTGCTGATACTACTGTACATAAGTACTAGGTTAGGTAGGTAGGACCTGGTAGGTATTGGATCGATACTTAATTATGTAGTGAGCTATAGTGTAGTATGGTGTGGTACACGGAACGCCGTTTTGTCAAATTTATCTATCAGTTAGGTACTGCAGAGCTGTAATAGGACCGCCTAGTTTTCAATAGTTACCTACTCCTTTTATCCTGCTTAAAAATAGGTATTTACCTACCTAACCTTCGTTGGGATATGTAGGCTAATGTAGGCAGGTAGATATTATTGAGAAGTATCTTGATTTCATTCATTCTGCATATTTCTATTTAACTACTCAGAATAGGGACGTATGCAGGTACCTGCTCCATTTTCAAGGCTACCTAATACCTACATGTTATGAGGTACATACCTCATAACAACATACATAGTAATTAGGCGGTTACCAAGGGCCGTGCCTTGAATATCTTTAACTGGTATGAGGTATTACGTGATCTTTGCTGCCATTGCTGTTGTTGGGGCGAGTTTCAATTTGTTTTACCTAGGCGAAAGTACTTCATCCTTGTACCGACTTATGTGAGAGTGAACATCTGTTCATTGGATTAAGCCTCGATCCGGGCTTGTTTTGAGAAGGGAAATGCATGCTGCGAAGATCAAATGCCAAATGCCATCCTTGGGGTATAATTCTTTCCTTTAAACGCCGTGTGGTTCCGTATGTATGATGGTAGAAAATTTCCACCTTTTCCACCTTTTCCCCCTAGTATCCACATCCACCGGCTTGATGAGATATCTTTCCCCTTCAACGATGCTGGTGGCTTGTAACGGTTGAAAGGTTGTCGTGATAGGCGAATGTATGTGTGATGTGAATAGTGGGAATATTAGAATATTAGAGCCATTCCATGACACTTCCTTGCCATATATATGGGTCTGGATGCTCCCGAACCAGGGGATCTATTTTTAAATTAGCTTCAAGGAACATTTGCCGTGGAGAGTCATGTACTCCTCAAACCTACTTCGTGTTCCGATTCGATAAGCATACTCAAAGTCAAGGACCCAATGCTCCCACCGAATCAAGTCTGGCCTGGAGCCGTATTTAAACGCGAAGTAATTTAGCTGGAAGGTTGTGAGTGAAACCGGTAACACAGAAGTTGCTAAATATACAAATATACTACCTAGGTAGGTAGTAGGTATACACATATATGTACTCACCTCTCTCACAAGCTCCTCGTAGTCAAGCAGTTCGTAGTCCCATGTGTAAAGATTGGTGACGTTGGATAGCTTGAACATGATGTCCAATCGGACAAGGGAGTTGCGCTCTGACCAAGCGTCTAGCACGTCACGTAACAGTCTACGCCATACCCTTCCGCTTTGGAACTTCATACTCTCTCCTAGTGATATCTTGATCTGGACAAACCGGAGATTTTGCAACGTTGGTTTGCTGATAAAGTCGACTAGAGACAATGGCATTAGATTGCCCATAATCCAGGGTGGGAAGCGGTCGATGACAAAAGTTTGGAGGTGAAGGTGGCTGAGTGCCTCTCTAGTGATCTGTTTACAAAGTAGTAGGATAGTGGGGGTCCGGAGAGTGATCTTGGATTGGCGTGAAATGCTAGTATTAGTAGAATGTGGGCGTAGTTCGACCCTGGCTACGGCCTTATCTCTCTGGTCGTAGTAGTCATCGTATAGACTTCGACAAGAGGGATAACTGATGGCGAAACGGTAGATGGTGTTGCGTACCTCGGGGGGGAAACTTGACAGGAAGGAATGGCGGCGTCCAATAGAGGATGAGGATGAGGATGAGGATGTGGATGTGGATGTGGAGGGGGCGAGAAATGGGGACGGGGATGGATATGGGGATGAGGATGAGAATGGGAATGGATAGGAGTACGAATATGGGCATGGATATGAACCGGGATGTTCGGTGGGGTTGTTGAACAGAAAGGCCGGAAGGGAAGCTAATGCCAATGTTCGATCGGTCTCTGAAATGTGGAGTGTTACGGGATTCGGCGACAGTATTTCGGTAAGTAGCCTCGCTCGGGCAGTAGGGTCCTTGGTTGCTTTTGCGATTTTCTTGCGGCCCCGACGTTGCATGTTCTTCCAATCGGCTAATTTCCATTGGCTTTCTATCCTGGCCGACATCATGAAAAGAAAGAATAAGATGACGAGGATAAGAATGACGATAATGCTGGCGATAATGACGATGACAGAAGATTGCTACAACCACACCTGGTTATCACGGCAAAACCAAGGGGTAGTGTAGTTCAACGTTGACAATCACAATTTTCAGCCCATTATTTTTTTTAATTCATGCCTAACCATATGTTGGCTGCCGGGTGTAAACCGAGGGCCCAATTGTGGTCGTGACAACCGTGGGGGGCTTGAGATGAGCACCAGGCTGTTGCCACTTGAGGCTGTCACTTGATTGAGGATTAAAATGTTGTCAAATACCTTATGTAGGAAGGTATCTATTGTCAAGTTTGTCAAGTTTGTCAAGTATTGTCAAGGCATGCCCCAGTTTAGCCACTAGTGACATATGTATGTAGTGTATGTAGTGTATGTATAAATATCGAGATAATTGAAATTTACAAACCGATCTTGCTTGAATATTGGTAGCTTGATGGACTTGTAGTAGCTTGTGCAGGGATGAAGAAGATCTGAGTAAGGCTGCCGAGAGGGAAAGTTGAGCAAACAACGCGTGATTTATGATACCTATCAAATTCAATATTACCATAACCGGTTTATCATGTTTACGATAAACCAGAAACTTAATTCATCTTCTTAAACGATGATAAGATGAAGCGAATGTTTCAAGTTAATTAAGGTGATTTTAATTTTTATTATTCTTTTTCTATCACTTGTACACTAGTAATGTAGTTACTACATATATGTATGTACAATACATATTAGTACTATGTATGTAGTCAACTTCACAATTGCATAACTGTTCATACATGTAGATATATATCGTACCGCACGTCACACCTCAAGCTGGGACGTTCAATGTTGGTAAAACCAATAACATCCACGTGTGCTTAAACTAGTTGACAGATGGCGGGCTGGCTCGTTTCCGAGAGGAGACACATCAGCTTTCAAGCCCGGTTGAATGGAGGAAGCATATGTACACAAATTTTATATTGGATGTTGGTATGTACTTTCAAGTTGCATCTACATTTTATTTATAGAGGCCAAGGTCTTACTTGATCTCCAAGGCTTTCAAAGTATTGGGGTCCGAGCCTTACGTGTACACATGCAATGGATAGATCTAGAAGCGCTTGAGAGTACTACTATCCATTGGATGTAGAGATATATGCCACCAGTGCTGGTATCTTATTACTACCTACTATGTAGTACTATGTATGTTAGATATGTACCTAGTAGACATCTACCATGGACTACATACATTGATGTACGTACGTAGTGGCGCTAAAAGTCTTAACAGAGCTAAATTTATCCACTAACTAAACTACTGTATTAGCTTGTGCAGCTTATTAACTAAATATATACTTAGATACCTATAAGGCCCCGATCGGAATCTTTCTTAAACTGCTTTTTACTTAAATATCCCTACTATAAAGTGGGTTTTTAGTCATAAAAGTCATTAGCTATAACATAAAAACAACACCTTACTTAAAACAGCTAAAAAGTTATTTACACAAATTTTATAAAATCCTTATAACGATTTTAAAAGCTTTTTAATAGGTATTTTTTAAATTAAGTTAAAAATTAAATTATAATAAATAAAACGTTTTTATTTTTCTTAAAAATAAGGCTTTTTTTAAAAGGCGGTTAAAAGGTAAGGTTTTACGTTAAACTCGACCTTATAAAGTGGGTTAAATATATATTATTTTTTAATAATAAACATTGCTTTTAAATAAATAAAATTCATTTAAATAGATAAAATTCTTAAAAAATTAATCAATTATTATTTAATTTTATAGCGTTTTAATGAATATTTATTTATAAAGGTAGTTATTAAATTAAATTTTATTTAATTTTATTTAAATTATTTAAATTTAAATATTACGGTTGGTAACCTTAAAGGTTAAATTCTAACTTTAAACTTTTAAAAGTTCATTAATTTTGAAAAAAAATCGCAGGGGATGAAAAAATACATTTTAAACCTATATATTTTTTATGCATTTAAATGTACTTTTTTATTTTTTAAAAGGTAATTTAAGGCTTTAATTAAAATCTTTTTTAAATTGTTTTTTACTTAAATATCTTTATTATAAAGTGGGTTTTTAGTTATAAAAGTTATTAGTTATAATATAAAAATAACATTTTACTTAAAATAGTTAAAAAGTTATTTATATAAATTCTATAAAATTCTTATAACGATTTTAAAAGCCTTTTAATAAGTATTTTTTAAATTGGGTTAAAAATTAAATTATAATAGGTAAAGCGTCTTTATTTTTCTTAAAAATAAGGCCTTTTTTAAGAAGCGGTTAAAAGGTAAAGTTTTACGTTAAACTCGACTTTATAAAGTGGGTCAAATATGCATTTTTATTTTTAAAAATAAACATTTTTTTGCATATATAAAATCTATTTAAATAGATAAAATTCTTGAAAAAGGGATTAATTATTATTTAATTTTATAGCGTTTTATTGAATATTTTTTCATTGATGTGGCTATTAAATTGAAATTTATTTAAATTTATTTGGATTATTTAAATTCGAATATTACGGACGGTAACTTTAGAGGTTTAATTCTAGCTCCAAAGGTTCAAAGGTTTATCAATTCTAAAAGAAAATTGCAGGGGATGAAAAGATACATTCTGGACCCATATATTCTTTATGTATTCGAATGTACCTCTCCACTTTCTAAGAGGCAGTTTAAGAAAGATTCCGATCGGGGCCTAAGAAAGATTCCGATCGGGGCCTAAGGCTATTTATTTCAAGTTCAAGGTTGACATCAACACTGCAGTGAATGCTGGTGTGAGAAGAACGGATTATATACAGGATTCTGTACATACACACATACATACATATATCGATGCATTATACATACTTGAAGAGGGTTGTGCGCTAAAATGTTTTAGATGTTCAATGTTGTTACTGTGTGCTGTCTTTCTTGGCGATGGGCTGTCGCGTTTTTTTTTTACCTGGGTACTAGGTAGTCTGGTAGTGTTCACCCCTAACTACTAGGTAAAAGCTTGCCCAACTTTGTTGCCCTTGTGCCCCCCCCTCTCTCCTCCCCTCAAACTCTCCATCCTCTCCGTCCTTTCCTTAATTCTTCCCTTCCCCCCCTGCTTTAAACCTGTTTTAACTCGGTTCAGCCTAGTGCGCTTCGACAAGAACAGGTAGATCGATCTTCTTTTCCCACACTCCCGCACTTCTCTCCCGCACTCCCACCAAAAGTCTTTTATCTCCCACACACCCATCACACCCATATCTGCCATTATCTGCCATATCACACTTGAATTGAGATCCGATTTCCCACCACATCCACCACCGTTTTTCTCTTCAACCACACCCGTGTGTCCCCCCCCCTGGTAGTAGCCCGGCCGAGCCTTATGATGTTGATCGTTTCGTGATATTTTCACACCCGCCACATTTTCTCCCCCTTCCCCTACCTTACCTTACCGTCTATCTGTACCTTACCTTACATATTGTATCTGCCAAACGGCCAGGGTTGACATCACATCGTGCCCATCTTAGCTTAACCAGCATCTAATCGGTTGTATTCTGGGTCCTGCCGATTCTTCCTGTCGCCTTTCGCCTTTCGTTCTTCTTTTTTGTCCTTTTTAGTCGAGAGCGGTTGTAGTTTTCTTTTTGCTTTCTTCTTTTTTTTTCTCTCGTCATGTCCGCCTTGGGCCAGGCTGGGTCAAGTTCCCATACCCATCCGGGCCTGACCTTTCCTCACGTCAACGGACTCAGACGTAACTATCAATCCTCACACTCGTCTACGCCGCCGAAACCATCTCCGACGCCACAGCACCAATCTCCATACCAGTCTACACAATACACTCCTCAACAACCTCCACAAGCCGCTTATCCGCAACATCTCTTTCAGAGTACCACTCCTTCCCCCGTACCTAATGTTGCCAGCATATCGAGCCTGCCAAATGGAAACTCGAGGCATACTCCCGTTCAGGCTGTCCAGCATGCCCAAGCTGCTGTGCAGGCCGCCCGCCAACATGGACATCAGCAGCAGCACCCACATCCGCATCCGCATTCACACCAGCACCAGCATCAACACCAGCATCAACACCAACGGACTAGCCAGCAACGACCCATGCAACCCCAGCCAGTCCCGTCTCCCTCATTGGCTTATCTCCAACAGGCCATGAATCAGCCCGTTCAGCCCGTTCAGCCGGTCCCGCAACCGGTCCAACAGATACCACATACGCAATCTATGCCGCAACAGATCCAGCCGGTCCAGTCGCAACCGGTCCAACAAGTCCAACAAGTCCAACCAACTCAACCAGTCCAGCCGAATGACAATAACCTAATATCCCCAAACCCCCCGCACATTCAGCCTCATCCACAATCTCACACCCAGGCTCATCAACAAGCACATCAACAACCGCACCCTCAGCCTCTTCCTCAAATCCATCAACAACCGCCGCCAACTTTGCAGCCTCAGCCGACTACACAACCGCAGAGCCAACCGCCGCCAGCACCTCGGCCCGAAACAAGCCTCCCATCCCAGGAAACGCAGCATCACGATGACATGGACATGGATAGTCAGGCGGAGTCTGGAGAGGGAGATAGCCACATTTCGCCTAAGCTGCTCGAAGGTACCCCCTTTGTGCCGAGGACACCCATGGGTCAGATGATGTCAGCCCCGGCCGAAGGAGGTAGTTTTCCCAGCTTGGACGCTGTTCACAAGCACGTGCTGGCATATTGTACGTCAGTTGGGTATGCCGTAGTTATTGGACGGTCCAAAAAGACTGTCCCAGGCTTAAAGAAAGTACTCTTCGTATGTGACCGCGCAGGCAAACCTCCCAGCCGAGTCAGCCCAGAAAACAGGAAACGGAAGACATCTTCCCGCAAGTGTAATTGCCAGTTTGGATTCTTCGCCATTGAACAAAGGACGCAGTGGACGATTCGATATCGTCCAGACCATACTCATCTCCATCACAACCATGGCCCGAGCGAGAGCCCACTTCTGCACCCAGCCGCGAGGAAGTTGGACAGTGAAATGGTTGCTGCCGTTAAAAATTTAAAGGAGTCTGGTAAGTCGGGCAAGTCTTTGACTTGGATCATTGATGGACATGATATTAACTATTTTAGGCATTGGCGTCACTCAAACTCTAGAGATTCTGCAACAGCAGAACCCTCATGTCCCCCTTCTCCCCAGGGATATCTACAACGCGAGGGCTGCGATAAATCGAAACCCACAAAAGGTTGAAGCCGGCATTGCTGAATCGCGGCCGGCAATATATAGCAAGCCAGCCCCGTCTGCCGAAGAACGAATACGATCAGACCTTAGACGGGAGCTAGCCCGAACCAAGGAAGAATTGGCGAAGGTCAAGGATGATTCGAAAAAGGAACTAGACGAATTAAAGGAGAAGATACGCGAGAAAGATAAAATCATTGAAAAATTTGAGATGTTTATCGACATATGCAACCAACGGGTTATGGTGCAGAGGGAGAGACTGAGCGACACAGGAGAGGGCAATGGCGGACCAGGGACATCCAGTAACTAAAGAGGTCTACGATATGCATATCTCAAAATGGCTTCAAAATCAAGACATGTACGGTCCGGGTCTGGATTATTTAGGAGGGAGCATAGGCGTCTCGAGGATTACGACTGGAATTGATGGCATACGGCGGGGTTTGGAGTTCTATGGGATTGTGGCTACTAGGGAGGGATACAGTTGGACGCCAACTTTGCATATAACTTGATGCTTTGGTAGGCAGGAATGGGCAAGGCCTACTTGGGTATGGCAACGGAAAAAATAGACATTGGGGCTCATTATACGGATCGCTACTATTCTTTACTCTATTGCCATGGCTTTATACTGTGTACCACGAACAACTTAGACCTACCCGTCCCTTGAATGACTAAAATGCATGGTGTATGACTGGAGCTTGATTCTACAAGGTCTAGTTTTTTGGTAAGCACCTAACTATCTATCTACACAAGTAAAGAAGAACGTAAAGCGAGGAGAGACCACCTGGGCATGTAAATGCAATGTCTTCGAGGTAGCCTCGGGGGGAAACGCTCTCCGTACCTGATTTCTACTACATCATCATTCCTCTCTAAATACTACGTTTAGGTAGGTTGCTTTGTAGAGCGGTTATCCCATATCATTCTTGTATAGGGCTATTAGTAGCGAAAACTAGTAATATGGATATCTACATACCAGACTATGAAGCCCGTCTACTGGCTAGACTTTTGAATACGTACTGCTATGTACATGCCTATATGTTATATGTAGGTACTAGGTAGGAGGCCGTTGACTGCCAGGCAGGTATGTAACCTTAAACTCACAAGTTATGTACATGTGTAGTTTATTAAAGCTCTTGGACGTCATACGCGATGTCCGCAGCGTGTCAGGGATTAAAACCTTAAACATAGCTATGTTGATAACTAAGTTACATATGTAACTTAGTTATTGCTACTTTCATATTTCGTTAGAAATGAATATGCAACTTACAGAGTTATGTATCTAAGTATATTAATCATTATCTGTAACAAGTGAAACAGGGGCTGTGGAGATTACAAAGTACAAGTTGGGATGTCTCAGGGGTTCCAGGAACCGTTTTGGGGGGACTGTGGATATGTAGAAGTGGACCGAGTGATCGTGGCAGCCCTGGAAGCCTGCAATGTGCCCCGCGACAGAAACAAGTTGCCCAATCAGGGCCCACAGTGATTAGATAGGTCAGTGACTACTCCCATCTGCATTAACTAGTACTTACCTAACCTAGTACTACTAAGTAGATTCAAGCAAGTAGGTAGCTACCTTAGGCGCGACACCGTTGGCGTTCTTCGCGTAAAACGAGTAAAAAATGACCAATAACCGGTAACAACTTTTTTTTTGTATGTACGGAGTTACTATACTATTACCACAGTACCACTAGTTAGTTACTCCTTGACCACTCACTTCATTCATACAACCTTGAACCTACCTTTGCTAAATCGCCAATAAGTAAACGGGATCAACGACGATACAATACAGATTGGGCAATACCGCAAAGACTAAATCATACATGGTCTCACGCTCTTTTCGCCTTTGTGCTTTTTGATACAACCTATCTAATTCACTTAGATCTCTCTTTCCTATTAAGAAGCTCTTGCTTCTTCTGACTTCTAGCTCGGAATTTTCCCCTATTATAGTAAGAAATACCCCTAACTGATGATACCGACCAATTCTTTAGAATTTTGATCAAGCCTTCAACCTCTTGTTGCCACGATGGAGGCCGTGGCCCCCCCTTTAGGCCCGCAAAGCCCTGGCGCAAACGGCCTGTCGCCTTCGTCCTTTATCGCAATAGACCCAAATTTGGTGGTAGAGTATTTGGCCTCTGTCGTCACTATTGCGCTGGGTGCTACCCGTAATGAGCTTGAGAGACCCGACAACCTTCTTTCCAAAGACAACCATGCCGATACGATCCAGAGGTGCAGTCGCTTTGCGACCGATGCCCATGTGGTTCTGTACGTTCAGAAGGACGTTAAGCCAGCTGATACTGTCGCGGATGATTCGGTTGATAGTGGTATATTCACCCTTACAGCGTCCGTAACCAAAACATTTTTGCTAATATTACTGCTTTAGTCCCTGTGTCGTACACATACACTATTACATCCGAGATAGCTTCCTCGCCAACGACCATAGCCTATCTTGCACTGCTTAAACGTGCTCAAGCGATCGACCCTTCACTCCCACTATCCTCCCAAATCCAGATACAAACCTTGCCTGGTACGGCATCGCTGGCTAATCTGGTTAGCGAGCAAGGTCCGACCGCTTCCCCTTTTGAGATACTTCATTCTATTCTGCATAATGCGCTGGCGCCATATTTTGATGCCAATACCAAGGTCTCGCAAGCAACAAACGGGTCTAGGAACCGGGCGGATGTGGATGCGAAGACGGGCATTCCTGTGACCAAGAAACGAATGACGGAGCTCGAACTGAGTTTGCTTCACCTCCAACAGAATGTCGAGATACCGGAACTCTCTCTCTCGTTTCATCCGGTGGTCCAAGGGGCGTTGGAAGATGCCACTACGCGTAGTACGCGACCGACTATGGACTTGATACCTCCTCACCTTCTCTCAGACAGTACCTTCATGAATAACCTACAGTCCACGGTAAATAGTTGGATTAAATCAATACAGACTATCACGAAACTTACGCGAGACCCTGTGACGAGGACAGCGACGCAGGAAATCAACTTCTGGTTGTCCATGGAGTCTGCGCTAGAAGGGATTGAGGCCCAGCTGAGAAGCGAGGGCGTCATGTTGACTTTGGAGATATTGAAGCATGCGAAACGTTTCCAGGCCACTGTCAGTTTTACTGCCGACACTGGATTGAAGGAAGCTATGGAGATGGTGCAGAAGTACAATCAACTTATGCGAGACTTCCCCCTTGACGAATTATTGTCTGCCACTTCGTTGCCCAAGATTCAGGACGCTATTGGCCAAATCTTCAGTCATATGAACAAGAAGATGAGATTTAGCAATTATCCCATTGCACGAACTTTGCACTTGGTTGAAGCTATCTCGGCAGATCTCGAGGAGGTTATGCATCGTCTACTCCCAGGCTCTGAGCTTGTCGACCTTGACTACAAGGACTTCAAGAATCTTATGACTACTGCTGATGAGATATTCAAGTCTTGGGATGCCCAGATCAAGGAATTCACGAACATTGCTCGAGAGACGACACGTAGAAGACAAGAGAGATTCATCCCAATCAAGGTTAACCCGAAGCATAGCGAGTTGCAAGCTCGACTTAAGTATATCGATACCTTTCGGGATAATCACGAGCAGTTGCAAAGAACCATTGTTAATGTCCTCGGCCCGAGGGCGACTGTAAATGGTGCCAGCGAGGAGACGGCAACAAACGGAGTTGCTCTCGTCGAAGAGATGGGTGATGTAGATGCCGTCGAGGAAGTTCGACAGGCCTGGGAGGCTTTGAAGCATGTGGACTTACTCGACGTTTCCCCCGAAGGTACTCAGAGATGGGTCAAGGCGGAAAATACATACAACGAACGTACTTCACGGGTGGAAAACTCAATCATCGCCAGACTCCGTGATCGCCTTGCCACCGCGAAAAATGCGAATGAGATGTTCCGCGTTTTCTCTCAGTTCAACGCCCTCTTTGTGCGACCAAAGATTCGGGGTGCCATCGCCGAATATCAAAACCAGCTCATTGACAATGTGAAGCAGGCTATTTCTGGACTCCACGAGCGATTCAAGCAGCAGTATGGCCACTCTGAAGCTCATGCCATGGCTCAACTCCATGATCTGCCACCAGTCTCTGGCGCTATCATTTGGGCACGCCAGATTGAGCGGCAATTGGATAATTATATGAAGAAAGTTGAAGACATCCTTGGCTCGGACTGGGCCCTTCATACTGAGGGTCAAAAGCTTCAAACTGAGAGTGAGCTGTTCAGAAAGAAACTCAATACGCAAATGATCTATAAAGCCTGGATTGAGGATGTTCAACGCAAACAAATAAATATATCTGGCCGCCTCTTTAATATCAACAAGGTCAGAGCTGCCAACAACGCCCTGGACCTCTCGGTAAACTTTGATGCCCAGATCATCGCATTATTCAAAGAGACCCGTAACCTTGGCTGGCAAAACTTCAACGTCCCTCACGCCGTAAGTAATGTCGCGAAGGAGGCCAAGAGAGTGTACCCATACGCCGTTAGCTTGATGGAAAGTGTGAGAACATTTGCGCAGACAACCCGACAGATATCGGAATTGCCCGAAGTCTCCATTCTATTAAGCGGTTACCAGAATGATGTTCATGTTCTGATTGCCAAGGGCATTCCTTTGAAATGGGAAACTTTTGTCAACACCTGGGACTCGTATCAGAAACCATCACTTGCTAATGGCAGCCTTGACCATACACTTACTCGTGGTGGTGAAACCAAGCACGTTCTCTTTGTCCGAGAATTTGCTGCGGCCGCTTCCCTCCTCCAAACGAAAACCGTCACACTTGCAAACATACACCTAAATGTCCAAAAGGCCCTGGCAGAACTAGCAACTTGCCCATACGAAGCATCTGAGTTTGCAGCTCGTCTGCAGACAATCCAAGCGGCGGTTGATCAACTGAATTTGGAGCAATACGTGAATCTTGGGTTTTGGGTGGAGAGGATGAACGAACGAATCAAGTTAACTCTACTTACCCGTCTTCAGCGTGCTGTATCGACGTGGATCGAAGCCTTCGAGGACGATACACCCATTGAACGGCTTGAGAGTAGCCGAAGAAAGCAGTTAGCCCCATCAGGGGAAGCGCTTAAGTCGGACGCACCTGTCATGAGACATTTGATCCACGAAATTACCATGAGGAACCAAGTCATCTACCTTGATCCACCTCTCGAGTTTGCGAGAGCTAGCTGGTTCTTGCACCTGCATAACTGGATTGGTATTGTCTGTAATCTTCCCAAAATCAAGGCCTCTAGATACCAGATGAGCTTGACCTTGAGTACTGTTGTTCACGAGGAAGCTCGCTTCAATGACTTACCCAGCGACTGTACTGATATACTTGGAAGAGTCTATACCTCTGTCGAGACGAAGCTGCAAGCTATCAGCGAGTATGTTAACAAGTGGTTGCAATTTCAATCGCTCTGGGATCTACAATCTGAACAGGTCTACGAACTTCTGGGTGACGAGCTTCCCAAATGGCTTCAGTTATTACAAGAGATTCGAAAGTCTCGTGCAACTTTTGACACCACCGAAGTTAGCCGTTCGTTTGGTCATATCACCATTGACTACGAGCAAGTGCAAATGAAAGTCAATTCCAAGTATGATCAATGGCAACAGGAGATATTGGCGAAATTTGCTGCACGGCTTGGCAATCGTATGAGAGAAGTCAATGCAGAGATTGAGAAGTCTCGGAGGGACTTGGAAGGGCAAAGTCTCGAAGCCACTTCCACTGCGCAAGCAGTCCAGTTCATCACCATAGTCCAAAGCTGCAAGCGCAAAGTCAAGGCCTGGGCCCCTGAAGTTGAGACTTTCCGTCAGGGCCAGTCTACACTTCTCCGAAATCGATATAGTTTTCCGAACGACTGGGTAGATGTCCAACAAGTTGACTCAACATGGGAGGCCCTTAACGAGCTGTTGAATAGGAAGGCGAAGATCGTTCAGGACCAGACTGACGCCCTGAAGGCCAAAATAGTGGCAGAGGATAAAGTGGTAATGGATAAGATATCGGAGATCGCTACGCAGTGGAACGATGAAAAGCCCGTTTCAGGAACGATTGCCCCTGACATCGCGTCTGCGACCCTCAGTTCTTTCGAAACGCGCATTACAAAGTTGCAAGAAGAGTCTGATATGGTATCAAAAGCCAAGGAAGCGCTTGACCTTCCTGCGAGCCCCGAATCTTCTCTTTCCATCATATTGGAGGAAGTACACGACTTCAAGTCTGTTTGGTCAGGCTTGTCAACGATATGGAAGAGCTTAAATGAGCTCCGCGAGACTTTATGGGGCAGTGTTCAGCCTAGGAAGATTCGCAGTAGCATTGATAGCCTCATCAAGATGACTAAAGATATGCCCAGCAGGATGCGACAGTATGCCGCTTTTGAGCATATTCAAAATATCCTGCGACAACTTTTGAAGGTGAATACTTTGCTAGGTGACCTGAAATCAGAAGCGATTCGAGATCGACACTGGACAAAAATATGGAAGGAAATCAAGCCCGGGCGGCGATATTCGCCGGTGTCTATGACACTTGGAGATGTCTGGGACCTTAACCTAGTCGCCACTGAAGTCATTGTCAGAGATATCATCACTCAAGCTCAGGGTGAGATGGCATTGGAGGAGTTCTTGAAACAAGTGAAAGAGACCTGGAATAGTTACCAGCTGGATCTTGTGCCGTATCAGACCAAGTGCCGTCTCATCCGTGGTTGGGATGATCTTTTTGCGAAATGTAGCGAGAATCTAAATTCACTACAGGCCATGAAGCACTCGCCTTACTACAAAGAGTTTGAAGAGGAAGCCTCATCTTGGGAAGACAAGCTCAACCGTGTTCATGTATTATTCGACGTGTGGATCGATGTTCAACGCCAATGGGTATATCTAGAAGGTGTTTTTACCGGAAATGCTGATATCAAGCATCTTCTACCTATTGAATCCTCAAGGTTCCAGAACATCAACAGCGAATTTATGGCCGTTATGAAAAAGGTTTACAAGCAGCCAATGGTCATGGATGTTTTGGGGATTACCGGAGTCCAGAAGTCTCTAGAACGCCTTGCCGAGTTGCTCAACAAGATACAGAAGGCTCTTGGTGAATACCTCGAAAAGGAGAGAGTGTCGTTCCCACGTTTTTATTTCGTCGGCGACGAGGACCTTCTTGAAATGATCGGTAATAGCAATGATACTCTACGCATTGCTAAGCACTTCAAGAAGATGTTCGCCGGGTTAAATGGGCTAGTCATGGATGACGAATCAGTTATCTCAGGCTTTACATCTAAAGAAGATGAGGTTGTGCGCCTCAAGAAAGAGATTTCACTCGCAAAGGTTCCTAAGATCAATGATTGGTTGGCTTTGTTGGAGAATGGCATGAAGGCTACACTGGCTGAGCTTCTTGCTGAAGCCGTCGAGGCATACACACCTATATTTGAGTCGGGTGAGATTGACCCAAATGCGCTGAATGATTTCATGAGCGGATTTCCCAGTCAGATCGTGGTGCTTGCTACCCAAGTGGCCTGGACGACAGCAGTCGAGCTCTCGTTAAATAACGGGGGTTCTACGCTACAATCTCTCTTTGAGCGAGAAGTTCAGGTACTTCGGCTTCTCGCTGAGACAGTCCTCGGCGACTTAGAGGTGATTCAGAGGAAGAAATGCGAGGCTCTCATCACGGAATGCGTTCATCAGCGAGATGTGATTGAAAAACTCGTGAAACTCAATGCCACTACACCAACTCACTATATGTGGCTATTGCAAATGCGATACGTCTACGCACCCGAAGGAGACTACTTGCAGCGTCTTCAAATCAAGATGGCAAATGCAAAGCTCGCCTATGGCTTCGAATATCTGGGTGTTCCCGACAGGCTGGTCCGAACTCCCCTCACCGATCGTTGCTTCGGTACACTTACTCAAGCTCTCTGCCAACGACTTGGTGGTTCTCCATATGGACCTGCTGGTACCGGAAAGACCGAGTCTGTCAAAGCTCTTGGTGTGCAACTGGGTCGCTTCACTCTAGTATTTTGCTGTGACGATACTTTCGATTTCCAAGCCATGGGCCGAATTTTCCTTGGTATCTGCCAAGTCGGTGCCTGGGGTTGTTTCGATGAATTCAATCGTTTGGAGGAGAGAATTTTATCAGCAGTCTCACAGCAGATTCAAAATATCCAACTTGGTCTTAAACAAGGCATGGAGGATGACAAGGCCCAAATCGAATTGGTCGGCCGCCAGCTTCATGTAAATGCCAACACGGGAATATTTATCACGATGAACCCCGGTTATGCCGGTCGTTCCAACTTGCCTGACAACCTGAAGAAGCTGTTCCGTAGCGTCGCTATGTCAAAGCCGGATAAGGAACTCATCGCCGAAGTCATGCTTTACTCTCAAGGCTTCAACCAGGCCAAACAGCTTTCAAAGCAAACCGTCCCGTTCTTCGATCAGTGTTCCGCAAGACTGTCTAAGCAGGCACATTATGACTTTGGTCTTCGTGCTCTGAAGAGTGTGCTTGTTAGCTCGGGTGGCCTCAAACGTGCCCGGCTCACAAACAGCGACGGTAATATTGGTGCCGAGGAAGTTGTTGAACCTGAAATCATTGTGCAGAGTGTTCGGGAAACTATTGCACCTAAGCTAATTCGAAATGATGTCGATGTCATGATGGCTATTGAATCGGACTGCTTCCCAGGTGTTCAGTATGTCCCAGCCAATCTAGCAAAACTTGAGGACGCTATTCGTCGTCTAGCATCAGAAAGACACCTCGTAGTCAACGATATCTGGATGACTAAGGTCCTTCAGCTCTACCAGATCCAAAAGATTCACCACGGTGTCATGATGGTGGGTAATTCGGGGACCGGCAAATCTGCTGCATGGAGGCTCCTCCTAGATGCGCTCCAGCAAGTTGAGGGAGTCGAAGGCGTCTCTCATGTCATTGACTCGAAAGTCATGTCAAAAGAGGCACTGTACGGAAACCTGGACTCAACCACCAGAGAATGGACTGATGGTCTATTTACGAGCATATTACGAAAGATTGTGGATAATCTCCGTGGTGAGGATTCTAAACGTCACTGGATTGTATTTGATGGTGATGTCGACCCCGAATGGGTAGAGAACTTGAACAGTGTCCTCGATGACAACAAATTACTCACTCTGCCTAACGGTGAGCGTCTCAACTTACCAGCAAATGTCCGAATCATGTTCGAAGTCGAGACTTTGAAGTATGCCACACTGGCAACTGTCAGTCGATGTGGTATGGTCTGGTTTAGCGAAGACACTGTCACCTCAAGCATGATGGTCACCAATTACCTAGAGACTCTCAGAACTGTGGCATTCGAAGATCTGGATGAAGATGCTGCTGCCGCTGGCCAAAGCCCCGCGAAGGCTCTTCAAATTCAAAGCCAAGTTGCCGATCTGCTGAATGCTTACTTAACCACGGATGACTTCATTCTCGCGGCCCTCAAGCAGGCTGAATCTTATAATCATATCATGGAGTTCACCGTCGCTCGTGTCCTCACTACTCTATTCTCTCTGCTGAACAAGTCAGTCCGAGATATAATCGAATATAATGCAGCCCATGTTGATTTCCTTCTGGATCCCGAGCAGATCGAAGCATATGTTTCTAAGAAGCTATTGCTCGCTTTAGTCTGGGCTCTAACCGGCGATTGCCCTCTCGGAGACCGAAAACTGTTTGGAGACAATGTTGGCGCTCTTGCAAGCTTTGGATCGCCGCCTCTTGATGGTAACTGCTCTCTCATCGACTTTGATGCCACCTTACCTAGGGCCGAGTGGACTCCGTGGCAGAATTCAGTTCCTACAATTGAGGTTAATACACACTCCATCACACAAACCGATGTTGTTATTCCCACCTTGGATACTGTTCGTCACGAAGATGTGCTCTACTCTTGGCTCGCAGAACATAAGCCGCTTTTGCTCTGCGGCCCACCCGGTTCTGGTAAAACAATGACCTTATTCAGTGCGCTTCGAAAGCTGCCAAATATGGAAGTCGTCGGCCTCAATTTCTCTAGTGCAACCACACCCGATCTTCTCATTAAGACATTTGAGCAGTATTGCGAGTACAAAAAGACACTTAATGGCGTGATGCTCTCACCAACCCAAATTGGGCGATGGCTCGTCATCTTTTGTGACGAAATCAATTTGCCGGCACCGGACAAATATGGTACTCAACGAGCTATTTCATTCCTTCGTCAGCTAGTAGAGCACAATGGCTTCTGGCGGACATCTGATAAGTCTTGGGTTACCCTTGATCGGATCCAATTCGTTGGCGCTTGTAACCCCCCAACGGATGCCGGCCGTACTCCCATGGGCGCCAGGTTCCTCAGACACGCCCCTCTCATCATGGTTGACTATCCAGGCGAGCTATCCCTACTTCAGATCTATGGCACCTTCAACTCTGCTGTTCTCAAGGTCATTCCGGCGCTTCGCGGATACTCCGAGCCGCTCACTCAAGCGATGGTTCGGTTTTACTTGGAGTCTCAACAACGCTTTACACCTAAAATCCAGCCTCATTATGTCTACAGTCCTCGTGAGTTGACGAGGTGGGTACGTGGTGTATATGAAGCGATTCGTCCATTGGAAACACTCTCTGTCGATGGATTGATCCGTATCTGGGCACATGAGGCGCTGCGACTCTTCCAGGATCGTTTAGTCGCTGAAGACGAGCGAAAGTGGACCGACGACGCTGTGCGAAGAATTGCATTGGACTTATTCCCTACGATTGAGGAGGATAAGGCATTGGGCGGTCCAATCCTGTTCTCTAATTGGCTCTCGAAGAATTACGTCCCTGTTGACCGAGAACAGTTACGAGACTTCGTCAAAGCTCGTCTCAAGACTTTCTGTGAAGAGGAGGTTGATGTACCGCTCATTCTATTTAACGACGTCCTTGAGCACGTGCTCCGTATCGACCGTGTCTTCAGACAGCCACAGGGACACTTAATCTTGATCGGTGTAAGTGGAAGTGGAAAGACAACACTTTCAAGATTTGTTGCTTGGATGAACGGCCTCAAAGTTTTTCAGATCAAGGTTCACGGAAACTACTCTGCCGAGGACTTTGACGATGATCTTCGCGAAGTTCTGCGCCGGTGCGGTTGTAAGGGCGAAAAGATGTGCTTCATCATGGATGAATCCAATGTCCTCGATTCGGGATTCCTAGAGCGAATGAACACACTCCTTGCCAACGCCGAAGTCCCTGGTCTGTTCGAAGGGGATGATTTTGCTTCCTTGATGACAGCCTGCAAAGAAGGTGCACAACGGCAAGGCTTGCTGCTAGACTCCCAAGAAGAACTCTATAAGTGGTTCACCCAGCAGATTGTCAAGAATTTGCACGTTGTCTTCACTATGAATCCGCCCGAGGACGGATTATCCTCAAAGGCTGCTACCAGTCCTGCCCTGTTCAATCGTTGCGTACTCAACTGGTTTGGTGATTGGTCTGATCAGGCTCTGTTCCAGGTTGCCAACGAACTGACCCATTCCATTGATCTCGACAAGCCTGGTTTCGTAGCCCCTGACACTATTCCAGTCGCTTATCGTGGCCTTAGCTTGCCTCCCGCCCACAGAGAAACTATCGTGAACTCGATGGTCTACATCCATTATTCTCTACAGCGTTTCAATACCAAACTTCAGAAGCAACAAGGCAAGATCACGTTCCTTACGCCCCGCCACTTCCTTGACTTTGTTGCGCAATATGTCAAGCTATATGATGAAAAGCGAGAAGACTTGGAGGAACAGCAACGTCACTTGAACGTCGGCTTGGATAAATTGAGAGACACTGTCGAGAAAGTTCGTGATCTCAGGGCCAGTTTAGCCGAAAAGAAGACTCAACTCGAAGCGAAGGATGCTGAAGCTAACGAGAAGTTGCAACGCATGGTGGCTGATCAACGAGAGGCTGAACAGCGCAAGAATACATCCCTCGAGATTCAGGCGGCGCTCGAAATACAAGAAAAGGAGGTCGCATCCCGCAAAGAGGTCGTCTTGAATGATCTCGCCAGAGCCGAGCCCGCCGTCGAAGAAGCCAAAGCTAGCGTTAGCAACATCAAACGACAACACTTGACTGAAGTTCGGTCTATGGGTTCGCCACCCCAGGGTGTCCGCCTTGCAATGGAGTCAGTATGCGCCTTGTTAGGTCACAAGATCAACGACTGGAAGGGTGTCCAAGCTGTGGTACGTCGGGATGATTTCATCGCGAGCATTGTCAACTTCGACAACGAAAAGATGATGACGAAGTCTCTTCGAACCCTCATGCGTACCAAGTTCTTGAACGACAAAGACTTTACATACGACAAGGTAAACCGTGCCAGCAAGGCTTGCGGTCCCTTAGTGCAATGGGTGGAGGCGCAAGTTAATTATTCCGAAATCCTTGACCGTGTTGGCCCCCTACGAGATGAGGTGGACCAACTTGAGGAGCAGGCCCTGCAGACAAAGGCTGAAGCAAAGGCTGTTGAAAACACTATCACAAGCCTAGAGCAGAGTATTGCGACCTACAAGACTGAATACGCAGCTCTCATTAGTGAAACCCAGGCGATTAAGGCCGAGATGTCTCGTGTTCAATTCAAGGTAGACCGAAGTGTCAGACTTCTTGATAGTCTCTCTTCAGAACGTACTCGTTGGGAAGATGGAAGCAAGTCATTCGAAACACAAATCAGCACTTTGGTGGGAGACGTTCTTGTGGCCGCGGCTTTCTTAGCTTACAGTGGTCTTTACGACCAGACCTTCCGAAAGTCGATGATGGAAGATTGGTTACATCAGCTACATCTTTCTGGGATCAACTTCAAGACCCCCAATCCTGTCACGGAATCCTTATCCACTGCCGATGAGCGTCTTAGTTGGCAAGAGAATACCCTACCAGTTGATGATCTATGCACAGAGAACGCTATCATTCTCAAGCGATTCAACCGTTACCCATTAATCATCGACCCCTCGGGCAGAGTTACTGAATTCTTACAGCGCGAATGCAAAGATCGCCGTCTTACTGTCACAAGTTTCCTAGACGACTCCTTCACTAAGCAACTGGAAAGTTCGCTCAGATTCGGCAATCCGATTCTTATCCAGGACGCCGAGCATCTAGATCCTATCCTAAATCATGTCCTCAACAAGGAGTACCAGAGAACCGGTGGTCGTGTGCTCATCCAACTTGGCAAACAACAAATAGATTTCTCGCCTGCGTTTAAGATCTACTTGTCCACCAGAGATCCCTCTGCCACATTTCCCCCGGATATCTGCAGTCGAACTACCTTTGTCAACTTCACCGTCACACAAAGCAGTCTTCAAACTCAGTCCCTTAATGATGTACTGAAATCTGAGAGACCAGATGTTGACGAAAGAAGATCAAATCTCATCAAACTTCAGGGTGAATTCAAGGTTCATCTTCGGCAGCTCGAAAAGCGTCTCTTACAGGCGCTCAATGAGTCTCGTGGTAATATTCTTGACGATGACCATGTTATCGAGACCCTCGAGACCCTCAAGACCGAAGCCGCCGAAATCACGGCTAAGATGAGCAATACAGAAGGTGTCATGGCCGAAGTTGAAGAGATTACTTTGCAGTACAGCATCATTGCGCGATCCTGCAGTGCTGTTTTCGCTGTCCTCGAGCAACTTCATTATCTCAATCACTTCTATCAATTCTCACTGCAGTATTTCCTCGACATATTCCATTCTGTTCTTCACGGCAATAAGAACCTAGCAGGTGTGAAAGACTTCAACGCTCGCCGAGATGTCATTATCAAAGATCTATTCGTAACTACCTTCAAGAGGACTTCCCTAGGCCTATTGCAGAAGGACCGAATTACGCTGGCCATGCTCCTCACCCAGGCTTCTCCTTACAAGATGGACAAGAGTCTAATCGATGTCATTCTCGACGATCGTATCGAGGGCAAGGACCTCTCCACCGAGACTGATGCTAAGGATGAGACGTTTGCCCAGGCTAGGAAGCTCGGCGCCTTGAAGGACAAGCTCGACCAAGTTCCATCTGACGCATGGGACAAATTCTTCACGGAAGAATTTGCGGAGAACTTTGTTCCCCAAATCTGGGACTCAACCACTGAACCATTCGACCAAGGTCTATTCTCATTATTGTTGGTCAAACTATTCCGTCTTGATCGTTTTGTTCCGACTGCAGAGCGATTTGTAACTTCGGTCTTTGGGACCGACTTGTTTGACATTGTGGATGATCTCAAAGAGACTATCAGCCAAGTTCCTTCCACTCGCCCTGTTTCACTTGTTTCAAGCCCTGGGTTCGATGCAAGTTACAAGGTAGACAATCTGGTAGAGAGAACGCGTGTCCGGTGCACCAACATTGCTATGGGATCAAACGAAAGTCTCGCCAGCGCCGACAAGGCCATTGCGAACGCAGCACAGGTTGGTTCCTGGGTGCTAATCAAGAACGTCCACCTTGCGCCAACATGGTTGCAGTCTCTAGAAAAGCGCATGGAGTCTCTCAACCCACACTCGGATTTCAGACTATTCTTATCCATGGAGGCCAGCCTTAAGATTCCCGTGAATCTTCTTCGGGCATCTCGGGTGCTCATGTACGAACAACCAGCTGGTGTACGAGCCAACATGAAGGATTCGATGACGTCTCTTTCTGACCGGGCCACCAAGAGCCCGGTGGAGCGGTCCAGGTTGTATCTACTTCTCTCTTTCCTACATGCTGTGGTTCAGGAACGTCTACGATACGCACCCAACCTAGGGTGGAAGGGCTTCTGGGAATTCAATGACAGTGATGTAAGTTGATGCTCCTTCCCGTGGTAATATGATGCATGATGACTGACTTCTCGCAGTATGAGTGCTCCGCCTTCATAATCGACACATGGGTGGAGTCGGTGGCACAAAGCCGCACAAACATCAACCCGCAAAACATCCCGTGGGAAATTATTCGTTACCTGGTTCGCGAGACGTATGGCGGCAAGATCGATGACGAAGGTGATTACAACCGTCTTACAGAATTGGTCGATCAAGCCCTCACGCCATCTGCCTACGATATTGGACACAAACTAGTCGAAGGGACTGAGAAAGACGGAGAGGAAGCATGCCTTGTGGTACCATCTGGCACGTCACTGCCAGATTTCATGGCATGGATTCAGAAACTGCCGGAACGTGAGCCTCCAACTTACCTGGGTCTACCGGCCAACGCAGAGAAACTGCTTCTGGTTGGGCTGGGTAGAAGCCTGATCGGGAACGTGAAGAAGGTGACTGAGTTGTTGGATGAGGGAGAGCAGCTGGTGGCGGATGAGGTTTGAGGCGGCTGTTGTCGGAAACTGTACCTATGTTTGTCCCCTCGGGATGTTTGGTTCGTCCTTCTTCTCTGCATGCTTCGTTGAGATTACAGCCTTTCATACCCCTTGATACCCACCCCCACCCCCTTAGCACACCAATTCAGATTGTTGTTCGCCGTTCATTGTGGAACAGTTAGTTGACTGCGTGTGAGCTACATTAGGCACGCAAATAGAAATCAAATTAAGCAAATAATATACCTAGATTACCCATTATTACCTTGCTGTTACCCGTCTGCTGGTGCTCGGGACTAGATGGGATGAGTCAATACTAAATAGTGTGTGTGTACCGTGCTGCATAGCTATGTGTATGTAAAGGGCAGTTTGACGGATACTGACATCATGTGGTACCCGTTATAGGGAGGCAGAGTCGTATTTTACTATGTGCTAAGGTTAGCGGCTCCCGCTATGTGCTGTGCTCTACCGTACGGCGTACTACACGTAGGTACATATAGATGCAAGTCCCGAACGTCCAATCAGATAGGTTGTATTTCAAAGCGTTGGAATCTAGTAGCTGATCCAAGGCGTTGGGGTGGGAAAGGAGGATGTTTGTCCTACTTTATCTGCCTATGAGTCTATGTATGTGTGTATCGGTAGGATGGATTCATACGGACCGGATGAGAATTCCGTTCACGAGGGTGGCAGATCGCATATATACATGTACCGACATGAATGGGATAATTTGAATACATATGTAGTTAGTTAGATCAATGCAATAAAAGCGTAGTACAATAACAATACATTGACGACTCATGACAAGTTACCTAAACTTTAAACCTTGGAAGAAAGATCAATTGTTGAACTGGAAGGAACGATTTTTTTCCATCTTATCTTGCGACATATTTCCAAGGTTTCAAGCCTTAAGAAGTAGTGGCACGTACCACGGTAGCCCCCTCCGACGTCTGCACCATGCAAGGAGATGGAACCTAGATAAAAAAGCTTGGCCCTGGAGAAAAGAGGATCCGCCAATTCCAGGCATGTAACCTAAGTAGGTACGTATGAGGTCAGCGAGCACATAAATTGGAGTTTTATCGATCCGGTTTCGCCTATGTGGGTTCGGCATGGAAGGATTTCTATTTGATATGTATGTAACTACATCTGTACATAACGTTGTGTAGGACCTGTAGGTACCTACTAGGTAGTAGTATGTTAGGTACGATTACATGTAAAAAGTCAGTGATCAGTTGACTGAGGACTCTAAAGCAAACTACATACATACATACATGCATGTACCTAACTAACCTAGACCTACATGAACTCCATTCGCTTACGGCTATGTGCAGTGCAGTTGACAAACTTGAGAAGCGTCGGGGCCTCGATCTAGTTACTAGTAATTTACTACATAGTACGGCATAGTACATACCTAGGTTAGTAATATGATAGTCTGAATACATACATAGTAGGAAATAGAAGGAAAAAGTGGGAAAGGAGGAAAAGAGGAAAAGAGGAAAAGAGGAAAAAAGGAAAAGAGGAAAAAAGGAAAAGAGCCAAACTAGGTAAAGGAGCAACCAAAGGGCTGGAACCAGAAACAACATTAAGATGCACCTAGACCGCTACATAGACGGCATTGCATAGGATCGCATAGTATCACCTAATCAGATGACCATGGTGCGTGCCGGATGTCCACCGAATTATATCTGCTATGTAGTTACTATGTAACTTAATGTAAGGTTGCGTGATGTTGGAAATGCATCGAAAATGCAGACCGCTTTCCGAAATGCTATGCTACAGTAGCTACTATGTACTTAAATAGTATGTACCAAACTACCTTGGGTTAGTACCAAGGGTAGATTCCCAGAATCGACCAATCGCCGGGTGGAGATTACAAAAAGATCTTGTTGAAACTTGGAGTGAAAAAAAGGTTAACCCTGGTCGTATTACCGTATTACCAAATCTAATCTCAAGTTGAGCCAATGAAAGGCAGTTTAATGATAATCCGCTTAATCCTCATTCATCCGGCACGCCGACCGTCGGGATGGAGCCCTTTATCTTTAGTTAACTATTCAGAACTGGCAGATCCCATGCTGGTCCATGCTAGTCTCATGCTAGCTGATGTTAGACTAGGCTGCTAGATAGGGAATCTAGTAAACTAGGCCCCGTTAGCTTCTTAGGGGGGGGCATCAGGGAAAGGAAGGAAGCGAAGGGGGGGGACAGCCTAGACAGGTACAGACCTGATCACCTAACAGTCCTAGCTAAACAGTCCTAAAGGCTAACAGTAGAGCCATCCATAGGTACTGTAATACAAACCATACACCACCCCCTTCCCATGTGGCATTTTCTCAATTCTAACCTTGAAACATCCATCCCACCACACACACACACACACACACACACACACACACACCGCACCACACTCAATTCATCGATTTGATCTGATTATCTAGTTACTCTCGAATCTCCGAGATTCGCTTCGGAGTGAGACTTGCTATTATAGTACTTTCCCCATTTCATACTCTTGGGTACATACCTAGACATACCTAGACATACCTAGACATACCTAACACCTACTACCTACATAGGGTAGGACGAGCCTCTTCTCTTCACTTCGCACTACTTCGATCTTATCTCCTCCACTCCACAATCATCAACCCTAACGTGGTGGAGTTGTATAGCCCTGGAGCCCTGGAGCCCTGGAGCCCGACTACGGTAGTCCCGAGTGCTTGAACGGCGGAGGTGGACGCATGCGGTATCGTACAAATACATAACAGGTATTAGATACAGGGCTGCCTACTTTTGCTGCAGTGCGCCGTGCCGTAACGTACGTATTGTACATACATACACACATACATACATGCCTACATACATGCCTACATACATGCCTACATACATACCTACAGTGCTACACGCCTACTAGGTAGGTACCTACATACCTATACATACATACATAACATCCAGGCCCTATTCTCGTGATCCGGGCGTGCCATAAATCATCTTCCGTAAGCAAGGAGGACGAGACGAGACCATACCGTACCATACCGTACCATATCCTGAAGAGTCGAACCTCTGTCACTCCACTCCTCACCCTACTTGCTCACCCTACTGCGCCTAACCTCTCTATCTATCCTTTTCGGGCTACAAGACTTCCACGCGAGCCTCTAGGAACACTGCCCCTTGCATCCGAGACTCTCCATAGTTACTATCACGACTTGTCTTTAGCCACCTGGCTTTGCAGTCAATCGTAGTCGAATCACTATAACTACTTCGAAGCCATTCCCATTGTCTGTGTACTCGCCACTATTCCAACTAATCGGCATAACGAACAAATCACGACATATCGTAGCGCCTGCGACGGTTCCTTGGTCGAACTTCTCAGTTTATAACCCACTTACGCCTTAATACCTAAACCACCAATATCTGGAATATCGAACGATTATTGCCTTGAGCACCGACATTCCGTCGACTACTCCTTTGGAGGATCCCCATTTGTGTTTTAAACTCGATACATATGGTTTCATAGGACAAGGAAACTCCTACGCGACGATCGCTGTAGTTGTCACAATCAAATTCATCCTTTGGGAACCCGACGGCGGAGTTTGTGATGGAAGTCGCTCCATATCCGTACGCTAAGATCGCCAGGTCCGAATCTAATTCAACGAGGACTGCGCTTCCCACCCGTCCCGTTATATCTAGAGAGGGGACTCAACCGTCTGAGACTATGTCTGTTGCAAATGCTTCCTCTATCGGTTCTAGAAGTCCAGCAGCTCAAAGCCAGAGTGATTTCTCAGACGTGCCTAGTCCATCGATACAAGGATCCGAGCGAGTCAACTCGAAAAGCCCCTCTCCATTCGATGCAGTACATCAAGAGAGTTGGGCAGCCACCAACATAAAATCTAACAGCACTTCTAACCAAGGCGGCCAGGTGTGCAGGTGAGTAAACTATTTGCCGTATGAGTAGGTATCCAGCCAGTCCTAATTTCACTCTAGCAATTGTGGAACCACCAGGACGCCGTTATGGAGACGTTCGCCCCAAGGAGCTACCATATGCAATGCATGCGGGCTGTACCTGAAGGCCCGGAATTCGTCTCGACCGACGAATCTTAAGCGTCCGCCGTCGACAGTTTCTACCACTCCGAAAAGGACGCCCGAGAAGGCGTCTTCTAGTTCTTGCTCGCAAGGCACCCCGGGAAATATTCCCGGTGCCACTTACGTGGCAGCGGATCAGATGCCCAACGGATCGTGTCCCGGCGGAGGTCGATGCAATGGTACCGGTGGTGCAGAAGGATGTAGCGGTTGCCCGGCGTTCAACAACCGCGTGGCCAAGAGCGCCCAACTCCAGAATCAAAATCGGGCCTCCAGTGCCGGAAGCGGAACCCCCGTAGACGAGGGGCCGGCCCCTATCGACATAAATGCGCAGCAACAGGCTGCGGCTCAGAATACGACTGTAGTTATAGCGTGTCAAAATTGCGGTACCACGATAACTCCGTTATGGCGTCGGGACGAATCCGGACATACCATTTGTAATGCCTGCGGTATGATAACGCTCAAATTCCTCAGTCAGGTACCTGCTGCTAACTGATGTAGGGTTATACTACAAGCTTCACGGAGTTCACCGGCCAGTGACTATGAAGAAATCTGTCATCAAGAGGAGGAAACGTGTGATACCAGCAAATCAGATGGACGATGGGACAGAGGACGCGATGGCGATCGACTCGATTGAGCAGCAGAGCCAATATGCCGAGACCGAGATGGAACGAGGCAGTATCAATGAAGATGGGTCTGTGAATCTCGGATTACGACGAAGGACAGAATATCCTCTCACAATGCTCCCTGACCCGACTCGATCCAATCCAGGACCAAGCTCGCTACCGTCCAACGACCTTATGGCATATCATACTCCTAGCGCCTCACAGTATGTCGATATTCGGGATTATATCAACGATGACAATCGTCTGGCACCAATAACATCTATAGCGGCACTGAGTGACCGCCAATCATCCTTATCCCCAGCGTCATTCCTTTCACCGTCGAGAAAGCGATCATTCTCGGGAACCGAGTCGGAGTACGCACCGAGCGAGTTTGGGTACGATAGCTCAAAGCGGTTATCATCTATCAAGTCGCTTCTTAATCCGACGTCAGAATCAAGCCCTAACCTCCGCGTGGCTGAAACTGCTAGTGACCTGCTACGCCTCCGATCTCCGGCGACTACACTTACATCAGCACCGAGTCCCAGCCCGCAGCCGGTCGCATCAAACATACTACCCGTCATCCAATCCAGAGAAAGCAGCACTGAAGACGAAAAGTCAAAAGCCCTTCGATTGGCTACACTACAACAAGAGACCGAACGAATGCGCCAGATGCTCGCGGCCAAGGAACGTGAGCTAGCTGCTCTGCAAAAATAGGAGTCGCTTTCCTCCTAAAGTTACGATGGGTCATATTTCCTTTATTTCTATCATAATGATAACATGAAACGACTGGGGCTGCGAGGGCTGTAAGGGTTACTCAACAGGAACTTGGTGTAATAAAAGAAAAACGGGGAAAGCAAAAGACACAAGGGCGTCGTCCGGTAAAACGTCTTCGGCAGCGATCTTGCATTGCTTTTCATCCTCATAGCATATATGCTTGGCGCAACGTGAGTTTGAAAACATGGGTGGAAACTTAAGGAAATGGTATTCTGAATTACGATACAAACATGCTCCCTGGTATAAGCGATTCTATAGGAAATTGTATCTTTAAAGGGGTTTCTATGAATGAATAATAGACTCGACTGAGGGAGGGGAAGGGAAAGGGAAAGGGAAAGGGAAACCGGAATGGGAATGGGAATGGGAAATAGGGGTTGGTAAACAAGATCACGCAATGGGTGTCTTTTTTGGAGTTTCTTACGCATGAGTCAGAGTTCGGATCGCTTCACGCGGCGTTATATACCAGCTCTTCATATATATATATATATAACTTGGACATGCGAAGATGTTATCTCACTCGACTTAGCGTTTGACAGCTATATTCTACGTAGGTACCTAAGTAGATACCTAGAAGTCAGGAGGATTTAATACATGGTGGACGATCTATAAAGCTTCATCAGACTATACCTACCTACGCAGTCTGTTGTCTATTACATGTAAAGTAGGTGACCACGAAGTTTTAATGGAGCAAACTTGGAATCTCTCCTTTTATCTTTCCTCTCTCCAACGTAGGTAGTAACTTAACGTACCTAGTAACCGTAGATATCTGATATCTAACGCCTCAGGGGGGTTTATCCTACCAAGGACACCAGAAATCACACACACACACACACACACACACACACACACACACACACACACATATATAACTACATAGGTAGGTAGCTTTTTGTGCCTTTCATTTTTCATCTCTGCTTCTTCTTATTCGTAACATGGTAATCTAAGCATCCATCCCACATTTCCGTAACGCATTTCAGTTGTTGTTTTTTGGGTCGCACATAAGATACCTAGATACCTAGATCTATACAGACAGACAGACAGACAGAACCGGGCCATCGCCATCGTCATGTTATCACCGCCATCACCACCGGGTTCATCGGGCATTTTCTCCCCCTCTCGATACACAGAAGCAAGGAATTAACTTTCTAGAAATCTTTTTAGGATAACTCCCCTCGCAATAAAACAAAAATTCAACACAATGGCATTCATCATTCCCCACCGAGATCTGGTAGCGACGACGGCGATACTCGAGGTATTCTTTATCGCGGGTCATAATTATATAAGACAAAAAAAGAATCAGGGAATTTGCATTTTTTTGCCCTCGATACCCGTACCACCACGCTCTCCTTTCCCTTCCTTAACTGAAGAATGGGCGAAAAAAAAGGGGAGCGTAAAAGGTAGGTAGGTACCCAAGGTCATATATAGTAGGGGGTAGAACATGTCGCACTCAAAAGGCATTGTTTTCAGCATCGTCGTCCTTATATCGATAAACCCGTCCCGTCCCCCGCCTTTTGCAAATTCCATTTCATGCCGCCACCTCTTGTCTCGTCCGTCATATCTTGGGGTTTCCAATATCTAGGTCGTCACAAACTCCCTGAGTAGGTAGGTAGGTAGGTAGGTGTGGTAGGTGTGGTAGGGTTACACAGCGACGAGCGGGGACCATCATCATGATTTTATTATACCTGCTCGGCGCCCCAGCCCTGGTCGGCCTCGCGCATGTTGGCGGGGGGCTCGACGGAGGGGACGAACTCGAGGGCGACGTAGGCGAGGCCGACCAGGCCGACGATGCTGCCGGCGATAATGCGCAGGACGCCGTTGTTGAGGAGGATGGAGCCGATGAAGACGTAGAAGATGCCGCGGCCGAGGAAGCTGAACATGAAGGAGGCATAGCGCGAGACCTGGGGCGGGATCTGGAACTCGAGGAGCCCGATGCCGAGGCCGAAGAGGAGGACGTAGGCGCCGATAATGATGGATTGGCTGTTGGGGTGGAAGCGTTAGTAGGTGTGACACTAGGCGCGTGGGAAGCGAGATGGGCGGATGCTGTTTCTCTTGCGATATGCGTGTGTATATAGGTAGCTAGGTAGCTATGGGGATTTTGGGTGGTAGACGTACAAGCCAGTGTTAGTGAAGAACTGCGATATACCGCCGAGCACCATGATCAAGCCGACGGTGGCGTTGACGATTCGGCTAGATTAGGAAAGAATAGGACATCATGTTAGCAACGTGGTCTGTCCACCAGAACATAGTACAAGCTTATAGTACTCGGGGAATATGTGTGGGTTGCAGAGCGAGGTGGTGGATTTGCGTACAAGGAGTCGGAGAAGTCCATCTTTGCGATTGGGTCGGAGGAGATTTGCGACACTGGGCTGATTTGATGTGCTTGATGAACAGAAGAAGCTGGTTTATGGATAAAAGGATGCGCGAAATCCTGTAGCGGTGGGCAGAGGTGGAAAAGAGATAAAGATAAGGAGAGTAATAGGGCTGGGTTACGTATGGATAAGTAGTTAAGTGGTTTGTGTTGCGTGTCGTTTTAAGTTGTTGTTGTTTTCTTTTCTTTTTTCTTTTTCCTTTTTTTCTTTTTTCCCTTTGAACTTTTGAGCTCCAATCTTCCAAGGTTACAGGTTACAGCTTGGCTTGGCTCGCCTTTTGCTTGGCGTCAAACAGGGGTGTATTCGTTAGAGGTGTCGTCATCTACTACTAGTAGTAGTACCTACTATGTACGACGTAGTAGGTAACATGTGTGGCGGAGAATAGCACTAGCCACAATACCGTTGACATTAACGTGCATAGTAAGTACATCAAAATTGAAGTGTTGACTTGAAGTTTAATGTTTAAGCCTTTAAGGCATATTGGTTATTCCACAGGAAGGAGGTACATGTATCTAAATATTATTTTCAGGCATCACCAGACCTATGTACATAGCGTAGTACCTAGTAGTGTTCCGCTATCAAGCACAAATAACTTTCTTCTCTCACCTTTTGAATCTTCCGTTCGTTTCCTAACACTCCTGACTCCTCCCAACCACAAAAGAAATATTAGGCACCTACATCATGATCAATGTAGGTGCCTAATATTCATTCACTCACTCATATATTCATTTCTTTATTTCTTTAATTGGATTTCCCTTGATAATGTCGTTGGTATACAAATACCTTGTCTGGGCCGGAGCTGTGGCTATATGTACACAGGTAGCCTCCATTACCATGGCTAACCCTCAACGCGAAATAATCAGATCCGTCAATTGTATGGCCAGAACAAGAGCAAGTGGAACTGTCTTATTTGCACGAGTACCTAAGTACGCACCGCTCGAGACAACATTTTACTTCAAGGCGCTGGCGAAGAAGATCTAGGTATCCCTCACCTTGATGGGTCTATTCCAGATCTCGCCAGAGACTTCTAAGTAGTTCCGCCACTTTTCAACATGGAAAAATGCGAAGACAAACAAGCAGGCCGGTCGGAAGATTGCCGCTCTGAATATACTGCATATAATGTGCCATCCACATTATTCTTACATACCCTACCCATTCTTTAGGGGGCCACATCAATGTCTTAATCATAATCCACACGATTCAAGACCACACTTCCGGTGTCACCGCGGGCAGGCTCCAATGGAGATGCCAAATCAGCTGATAGAGACCACTATATATGTGTGTCGTTGCGATGAACCACCTCCTCCCGTGGCGTCGTGGGGTGCCGTGATGCCAATGCCACGGGGGCTGGTGGTGAGCACTGGCCATGTTACTGAAGCATCAGTCTTGTTGACTTTTTTGTTCCAGGCCGCTATTGGCTTTTTCGACCTTGTCGTTTCCTCTAGGGTGCATGGGAGTAGTCGGGTTGACAATGGATCCGTGATCCTTGTGCCATTGTGTTGCATCGTCACTTAGCCCACTCTACTAGCAGGAAACCTGCCCTATAACGAACAACAAAGACAAGAGCTCCTCCCGATCTCCAAAATCACAATTTCAGATGCACTCGCCCTAGCATCCATGACGATGAAAAGACACTGCCGACGCCAAACACCACTGGACGAAAGCGTTGGGTCCAAGGTCTCCAGCTGCGGCGAAGATTTCCATTGCCTCGACCCCCTCGAAAGCCGAAACCGCGACCAGAAAATCCACGGCCGCGAGCGTTGCCTCTGAGTCCGACAGCTCGGTCGTCGCGACGTCGAAATGAGCTTCCATCCGAATAGTTAGGGCCGGCCGAGTAGTTAGGTCGGTAGTAGTCGCCGTGTCCGGCGAAGCCACTACGTCCGCGCCAAGTGTCAGAGAAACGGGGTCTGGCATTCGCTGGATTCGCCCTAGACGATACGCTCGGGGATACGCCGGCGTCCAGGACGAGGTTCACATTGACGTGGATGACCCAGACTCCGAGACCGTGGAGCTACCAAGTGTTAGTCTCGGAAATGTGGATTAGATCTAGAAGGGGATGGCAATGGTGGCAGTGATGGTGGTCGTGCTGATGATTTATCTTGTGTGGAAATGTGGATTAAATTAATCCTATTTTATGTCAGCATCTTTTCTCGGAATATTTATATAATATTAAGCTTAAACACCCGCCGAGCCTGTCCTCGTGTCCAAGGACAAGGATGATCCAAATATCGTGTGAGATCACGCCTTCTGCGGAATAGAGCGAGATACTACAAACTCCAGGACGGTAAGCTGTGGCATGAATACAAGGGCCACTGGCAGAGGTGCCTCTGTCGGGGAGAGGTAGCCGGGGCACTCCAGATGGCTCATGATGTGGGCGGGCACTTCTCCAAGGCAATTACGCTGAAGCGGCTGAGTCGGTCTGTGTACTGGCCTTGCATGGCCCGGGATGTAACCAACTACATCGAAGGCTGCCTCTCCTGTGCGTACCATGGGCCGTCCCGACCTCCGATACCCCCGCAGCCCGTCACTGTGTACGCACCCCTGCAGGTTCTGGCCGCCGACTTTGTTGGGCCGTTTCCGACAATGCCGTATGGAATGCGACATATCCTGGTCATTGTGTGTTACTTCAGCCGATATGGTTGGGCCATTCCGACTGAAGGGGCCACGTCGGCAGACGCGCTGAAGGGATTTGACCTGTGGGTCGCGAACATGGGGACAAGACCTCTGGCCTTTTACCTCGACCCTGGGTCTGCGTTTGTGTCGGCGGAGACGGTGGCCAGGATGTTGAGCGAAGGCTGGTACAACGGCAGTTGACCGAGAAAAACATCGATGTGGTGAGAAGCTGGTTCCGATCCATCAAAATTGACCCTGGGAACGGATGTCAGAGCGAAGACGAGCTCAACCTCGCGATGAGGTTGGCATATACGTGGAAGGATCGATTTATCGTCTCCTTGGGTGATTTGGAGGCAACGGATTTGGTTGAACATAGGTACAATCGTGGCCGAACATTCCGCGACGCCGTATCGCCTTCGGCAGCCGCAAAATCACCATTTTGGAGCCGGCAACGTTCGATCAATACGGTCGCAACCTACCATCAATCGGCCCTATTCGAGCTGGTTGGCGCTGGTTCTAGAAATAGAGAACCTGACTTCAAAAGGTCGTCTCACGGGCGATCGAAGATGACTTACGTGAAGAATTCGTCGAGCTAGTCTCATATCTGGAGACGGCATTCCATGACGAGCCGCCGACAAAACGCTTAGGGATAGCTCTGTGGCTATCCCAATAATCATCGAAGGGCACAATGAGGGAAAGAAGGCGAAGCCACAAACAGGCCTTCAATAGATACATGGCCTGGATGGTGAGGCAGTGTTTGCACTCTCATAGTCTTAGTCGCACTACCCGCAGTGGAAGATCGTTCTCAACGCACACAAGGCAAATGCTTGCGTGCATGCCGCTCTTCTACTGTCAAGGGTCTACCTAGGAGCACATGGGGGTTCACATGGAACAAAGACGACTTACGTGTATTGTATATGTAGCTTCCATAGTCTCTGGGAGATGTTAGGGGTACTTGTTGGGTATAGTTCACTTTGGAAATTCCCAAATTGCATCTCATCAGGCAGTTGCAAACAGAAAGAGGCTTGATAAGAACATCGAATGTGTAACTTGCAAAAGAGTCACGTGGCATATGGGATGCAAATTCATGCAATGCAAGTGAATGTATACACTCTATAGTTAATTGCATATTGCCCCTTTTCGAGTTGTTCCCCTATCTCTTTAATTGCCTAGGGTAGGTACTACCTATAGTATGTAATTAATAATTTACCTAGGTACCTAATGTATGCAACTTCCATCCAATGAAATTTACCTACCTACCTACATAGGTAGGTAGTTAGGTTACGATACCCCGCTTGATTAGTGCAAACACAAACTATATACCACTATTTCAGCAAGTCTTTCATCAACTAAAGCAGATCACGAGATCTTCATAGGGCTTGTGGTTTAGTGGTATAATACTCCCTTAGCATGGGAGTGGTCCGGGGTTCGATTCCCCGCGAGTCCAATGTTTGGAGGTTAAATTCCTCCTGTACCATAAATTTTCTTTTTATTTTGTCTTTTTTTTTCTCGGGTTTTTATTCTTGATCGATGTTACCGCGATTTGACATTTTGAGATAATTAGAAACCATCTACCTCTACATAGGTATAGGTAATCAAGTTCATACCTATCTCTAAGATGGTTGGCCGTGTTTTCAACCTGGGTGTGTGCCTATCCATGTTCCAGTTTTGAACTGATATGAACTACTACCTATTAATCAACGCATCCTCATTGGCGATACCCCTTTTCAGGGCATGCATAGGTACAATATGAAGGTTACATTATGCCGATGAAGGCGCTGGCACACAGCCTCGACGTTTTTACTTTGTTTCCTCTCAGCTCACAGATGGGCAGATCTTCTTTTCTGGTCATTTACTTGGCTGTACACAATCATCGTCGCCTGACATACCTATTGTTGTTCTTGTTTGAACCCTCCTGTTTCTTGTTGTAACTGCCGCCGACGACATCGAAGCGATGGAGGCCATAGCGACGTTGTCGCTTGTCTGTAATGCGGTGCAAGTCATCTCCTTCGCCGGCGAGGTTTTTCAGCTGTGTCGTAGCGTGTATGAAGATGGTACAGAGCCCTTCCAGCGTTCTCAGTTATCTTGATTTGGCTTGGCTTTAACTAAGAAGAGCAATGCAGGTAGTCCAGATCCAGGCTGCAAATTGAACTCTGAACGTATACTTCCTCAAGGGGTCTCATTTATATCTAGATAGTTGCATGATGCTGACTGCTAGACTAGCTCCTCGGGTCGAGCACAAGATGCCCGGTCCCAGGAAGCTTTCTCTGGTAAGTACTCAATATTCAACCTAACCTGAAGCATTTACTTATCCAAGTCCATTGACACATACATTTGACAGGTCTCAACAAAGAAATCAAGCGATTCATTGACTTGTGGTCTCAGGGGCACCGGGACATGTCCGGAACAATTTGGCCTCATACAAGCCTTCTATTCCCGCCGACCTTGATATTTACGATGATTTAATTTTCGTTCTAGTGGGCAAAGCATCTGGAGTGTTCCTCTGGGTCAGATTGGCAACTAGAAGCGTTATTGAGGGTATCCGGAATGGTGACTCTTGGACCACCTTACACAAACGTACCGAAGAGCTGGAGCCCGGCATTGACCGACTCTTTAAGCAGATGTGGGAAAGGCAAAATCACAACCGACGACTCTACAAGGAAGAGACGGCTAGATTACTTTGGTACACTATATATGTAGATAACATGCGTAACACGGTATCTACAAAGCAACGGGGTCTCGTAGGAGATATCCTTGGTACCAATCCAAGCCTTAGCTCCTCTATACTAAGTTCCATCGCCAACGCCAACTCCAACTCCAACAGGATGAAGGCCATCGACGAAGAACGCATATTCATCGAACACGAGAAATGGCTTTCTGCTAGGAGCGCGGGCTTTCTCGAGATATACAAGAGTTACTCACATGAGATGTTACTACTAACTAAGTCACAAGGTTAGATTCATCCATCGTTCCGTGAAGGAATTCCTCATTAGTACAAGAGAAGGGCGTGAGATTGTTCAGAGACATGGCATCTGCGGGTTATATGACACCTCAAGAAGAGACAGAGCAACTCATGAGCTTCAACTACCAGGTACAATTGTTAAATACAGCGGTATCCACGGATTTACATTTCTTCAAAGTAGCCGCAACACATTTTAACGTTGAGTTCCTATCTCAACGAGGTAGGATCTTCCGGGAGTTCTCGTTGCAGGAAAAGTCCATGATTCTACTGAATACGTGCTCGCCTAAATCCTTCAGGCGATTCGGTTCCAATATCGTTCCATTCCTTGATGATGAATTCACTACGACATTGGATTATCCAGCATTCATTCCAACATGCATTGAGCGTTGTAGGCATACCGTTAAATGGTTGCTTTGCAACGGTGCCGACCCAAACTTTAGGTATACGGTACACTCGAATGATACGAATATACATATGCTTGATACTATAGTGTCGACCGGAACGATGGTTTGCGGGCACCGAACCCAGAAAAGAAAGAAGAGAAACGCCAGCTCGAAGCTGCTCTTACGATGAGCTTCCTGTATCCGGTGTATGATTTATATGTTGGCCACGAAGTTCACAACGTGCTCAGAGAGAATATCGAGGCGCTCTACCAGTATTAATGCACTCGAGGGAATATAATTATCTGTTCCCGGTCATGTTTTTACTTGCAATAAATCCTTCATCATCCATGGGCCTTGGGATGGAGATAGGGAGACCTACGAGAAAAAGGGGGTTCGACTCACTACTACACAACTCAGTACTACCTACAATATCTCTAATCGAAGTTCACGTTATGTGGTATTTTCCCATATTGACTCGACATAAATCGTGATTGAGTTTAAAATTCATCTCAATCGCTACGTATATAGAGTACATATTTCAGACTGAACTCCGATGGCACAAGTACATGCGTCTGAAAACAACTAGCTTATCCGATCACGAACCATATCATACCTAGGTACCGAAGGCTAGTATAGACTGCCCTGAAATCCAACAAGATACCCACCCGGACAAAACTCCACGCAGAGGTCTCCCCTACCTACTCAAAACGACCATTGCCGCATCCAATTCTCCATCAACTCACCACGAACCGGGCCCAGCGCCGCCAACGTCTGCGACGCAGCCAGCGTCTCTTCCGTGCTCAGCCACCCAGGCTCCTCCCTCTCTTGCTCCTTATCCCCATCCTCACCCTTCTTATCTGTCGCAGCCACGCCCTCGAAGAACCCCAGGATCTTCGCAGCTGGGTTCCGAGCTAGATCCTCCGTTCTGGACGCGCTCTCACGCAGGGCATCGACCCACGCCTCCAACGACACGGACTTGATCACGGAGGTTGAAGAGGAGGAGGAGGAGGAGGAGGGGGAGGAGCCTAGACACCGCAGCACGGTCGGCACCAGTTCCGCCCAGGTAGTGCGCTGCGGGTTTACGGCGTGGAACACGGCAGCACCGACGCTATCCTTCCGCCCCTCGAAGCGGTGCAGCGCAAGCTCCACGATGCTCTGGCCCAGCACATCCACAGGGACCCAGTCCACAACACCGCCACCCGCGCCGCCGCCGAGGGAAGCCGGGAGCTGTCCGAGGTACTTGGAGCTGGCGACGAGGCTGGGGAGCCACTCCTGCCTCGGCCACACGCCGCACGCGGTCGTGGGGCCGGCGACCTGGCCGACGCGGCAGACGACGGCGGGGACCCCGGCCTCGCGCGCCGCGGCGTCGAGGACCCGCTCCGACACGAACTTGGACTGCCCGTAGCCCAGGCGGCGCTCGGGCGCGTCCCAGGACGAGAAGATGCGCTCGGGGATGCCCGCCTCTCCTCGTCGTGACCGTGGCCGCAAAAGGCCGCCGACGCTGCTGATGCTCGAGATGAAGAAGATGTGCGCGCCGTGGCGCGAGTGCGCGGAGAAGTCGACGAAGCGGCGCACGGAGCCGACGTGCGTCGCGAAGGAGGCGAGCGAGAGGTTGAAGTCGACCTGCCATGCGTTGTGGATCACGTGCGTCACCTGCTCGAGGAGGAGGGTCTTGTATGTCGTGGGCGAGAGCCCGAAGTATGGCTTTGAGAGGTCTGCGTCTAGGCATTGGACTTTGCTGTTGTTGTTGTTGTTGTTATTATTATTATTATTATTGGTATTTGTTGGGAGAGGCGCGAGACCCTTAGCCGCTAGGGACTTCTGCTGGCGCTCGAAGCTGCCCGGCCCCCGGTTCAGGCAGTAGATTCGCCGGATACGCGGGTTCCGGTGCAGGGCGTCGAGGATGTACGAGCCGAGGGAGCCGGTGGACCCGGTGATCAGGAACACGCTGCTGTCTGTTGGCTTGGGCTGTGCGTCTCTCGCGCTTATCGGCAGGTTCTCTGTGTAGAGTTCGTAGAGCCTCTGCATCTTCTCCTCGTCGCTCTCCTCGCGCTGTGCGGGAGCGTTGCCGGCGAAATAGGCGGACACGACGGTTGTGAGGGCGGAGATGCTCGGGTTCGAGTACACCGTTTTGGTCTCCAGCGAAGGTGGCTTCCCGTGTGCGGAAAGTAATCGGTTCAGCTCTCGGGCGATCACCGTTACCTGTAGGGAATCGAGTCCTAGCTCGAAGAGGTCGGTGTTCGGAGGTATTGTAGCGATGTCGATCTCGGTGGAGGAAGAGACGATATCCCTGACAGTATCGAGGACGTTTAAATCGCCGTTTGTTGCAGTGATTGCCGTATCGTTGGTGGGTGCCTCGCTGGTCTTGTACAAGGCATCGAGCTCGGACGCATATAAATCCAAGGTCATCTTACGCTGGACAGTTCCTTTGCCAGCTCTGAGCATCGGCTTATCTGGAGAGGTGAAGATGATCATGCCACGGTGAACTCGTCCATGCGAAGGGCTCTCCTGGTTGGCGGCCTGAACCGATGGCCAAATCAGCTCGAGCAGTTCTTGTCTTTCGGTCTCGTTGGTCGGAGGCTTGGTGGCCTCGACCAACAGACTAGATTGGAAACGTCCGGCACCAGCGACGAGCGCTGTGGTCACTGCGGGATTCGAATTAATGGTATCCTCCATTTCGATGGGGTTCAGCTTCTCGCCGGTGGAGTAAACGATGATATCGTCAGCACGGCCCCTGTATAACCAGACATTCTCCTTGGTTGGATGCTTGGAATAGAGATCCCTCATGGGCCACTCCGTTAACTCGGGGAAGGTAGCGAATATTCCCTGGTACCGTTCCAGCTCTGGCTTCCTCATGATGACCTGCTCGTACAGGTCTCCGGTTACATAGCGATACTCGTGTCCTAGCATTGTGCTGATGCTAAGGTAGGCCCAATCTTCCGATTCCAGGGGAAGGCTTGGGAGAATGCCACACTCCGTCGTGCCAAAGCCGCTGAAGAGCTTGGTTTTGGTGCTGACGAGATTGCCCACTGCTTCTGGACACGGCCCTCCTCCGTAGGAAACTCGTTCTAGCCGGCTAAGATTCTTTAGGTACTCGGGCTCCCTGGCGAGGTCGACTAGTTGGGTCGGGATGATGAGCAAGTCTGATATGTTACCGTGCAAGATAACGCCGTTGATAAACTCGACAGAAGGAGGAAATGGGCCCATGACAAGCGTGTGGTCGCTAAATATGATGCATGGGAGCAGCATGGATATTCCCGCACAATGGAAAAGGGGAAACGTCGAATAGACTCGTCGAGGGGCACCGGGACCAGGATACACAGGTGTCTGTTCTGGAGATGGTGGGTCGCGGAACGCATCAAATGCTGCGATGGTGCCGTGGGGTTGGGCGATGGGCTTTGGTAGACCTGTCGAGCCCGACGTATGGAGCACAACCCACGGCTCCTCCTTGGCCTCGGCGAACGTCTTTGTGTACGCATAAGGCTTTCCCTCTAGCTTGCTACTATCTAGCCAATAGTATAGGTCGGGAATCTCAAAATGGCGCATGGGTCTTGCGGCCAGAATCTGCTTCACGACCAGTAAGGGGAAGTTAGGCGGGGATACGAAGATCCCGCATCCTGTCTTGTCGAGCAGATATAGTTGCTGCTCGAGGGTGTTGCGAGGGGAGACGAGGAGAAGCTTGTATCCTGTCTTGATAGAAGCTAGAACCAAGATGCCATACAGTAGATCTTGGGGGCCCATGTAGGTCAGCGTAGGGAAACTGTGGCCTCGTCCAAGGTTTTCTTCGATATACCATGAGACACAATCAATGGCTTTGGCAAAATTCAGGGCAGTGATATCCTCGAACCCGTCAGCGGGGTTCTTGGTTTTCGCTAGGGAATATAGGACACGCTCCGGGGTAGACTGTGCGAGCTCGTCCACGACGGATGGCAACAGGCGTTCACCAAAAGCAGGCGCCATGGTGTGTGTGTGTGTGCGTGGGTGTAGTAAGGTAGTAAGGGAGAGTTGAATATAGTGAAATGATATTCAACTGCTCGGTTATCACGGGCGATGGATTGCTAGGTTAAGGGGCAATCAATCATATTATATATATATATATATATTCTATATTTATCTTTCTGGTGTCAGCTTCCTTGACTTCACCTTACTACGCCCGGAAACTTGACTAATAACTACCGAGGTAACTACCTACCTGACTACCACGGACCGCCTATATCCCTCGGATATAGACTTGTAGGTAACTGTAGATGAGCGGGGTTGTAGATGAGTAGCCTTATTGGGCTGTATTATCCCCCACATACCACGATACCTGTAAGCAGTGGAATGGGACCTCGGCAGGGTTTGCGGGTTTCGAGAAACGACGATCACTGGCGCTCGTGTACGAGGCCCAAGCCTAGCTGTTGAAATAAGCACTTAGTTTGGAAAGTTAGGACTGATTAGGCCAAGGCCAGCTGCAGCTAGATATATACTAGATATATACTAGATATATAACGGCACAGCTAGAGCTTACGGTCTGGTTGCGGCGTGCCGGATCAACCTGTGGAAGATCTGGCGTAGGGCTTCCATCGTCAGATGATCCGAGCCCGACGGCCGGGGTGTCCGGCAAGCCAAGCCATTGGTCCTCCAACCTCCCGAGAAAACCGGAGAGTGAGGGGGCGGAGGTGTCTCCAGCAATGTAGAATGTAACATTCTCCAGGAAATTGTTAGGGTTGTTAGGGTTGTTAGGGCTGTTTTCAGCACCATTGATGAATAATTAATGAATAATGTTGCATGGGCCACCAGACTAGGGCCGTGAGACTAGCCCCGTAGCAGCTCTATATTGGCACATCGCCAGCTAGGTTGGGAATAACGCAATAATTACCTAATAAGCGCTCCAGGAGTTACATACGTAGTATTGATACCTCTAAATCGGAACTCTACATGCTTGCTTACCTACAGGAACCTACCCCCCTAATAAGCACTCGAGCATTCCCAGGCCCATTAGAGTATCCAAGTCCCTTAGCCCTACGACTATAGCCGCCAGTAGCTTGTTTCAGAACCGTCCTCTTTACAGGTGGAAAGAAACTATGCTATCAAAAACAACCACCCCAAAAGATCTCACGATCTCAGTTTACAGGTAGCAAATTCAAGCCGATGGATGGATCTGAAATCACCTGTAAACCCTAATGTTGCCGATTCTATCTTCGTCTTTTTTTCTTATGTGGATGTAGTGCCTACCTAGTAACGATATAGATACCTGAGTGTAGAGGCTATGATATTTACCTGGTATCTAACCTAGTAGGTCAGGTATTAGTGTAGAAGAGCATCACATATAGATCAAGAGAATGATGGATATTTACTTAGGTGCCTCCACTCATAATGCAAGAATGACAAGCAACCTAAAAGAAAAAGAAATGAAAAAGGAGAAAAAGGAGAAAAAGGAGAAAACCTAGGTAGGTACGCGAAGAATTCTATGACCATTCGATCTTCCCCCTCCTCAAAAGAGTTTCCTGTTCCTCCAAACTCTCGACCGTACGGGCGTTTTAATCTTCTCTCCCCCCTTTTCTCTCTCCTTTCTGTGTGTCGCACGTTTGGAGTTGAAACTCTAATATATACCTGCCTATCACCTACCTACTTACCCAAAGTAGAGATCCAATTACATCTATCTCTCCTTGTCGGCGAGTCTGCATCCCCCTTTTTGCCGATGGTGAAGGAGAGGAGGTTGGCTGGTTCGGCGCACGCTGGTTGCGTAGTCTCCGACCCCTATCTCTTGTTAGGAGACGAGAAGGGGAGAAGTGAGAAGGGAGGGGGAGGGTCCAAAGCATATATGCCTGCTGCGCATCCATCTCTTATAGTTATAGCCGGCTCAAGGTTTTCCTGCAATGGAGCGGGAACATCACTGTGTGGGCATGATGTGTGGGAGGGGAGGAGGGGAACGGGCAGAGCCCGATATAAGTTCGTAATCCATGATAACTCGAACGCGCGTGTCCTGCTCTGTTCTTCCTCCTTACATTTCAGATGCCAAATTTCGGATCATCCCTCTTTTTCTTCATCCATACATCCCTTCGTTTCCTTTTCCCCTTTACCAACCATGTTGTTCCGAGGCTTCACGATACGACTGTGATGTCCCCATAATTGAAAGCCTGGTATCTTTTACCTATCTAGTGGTCGGATATAGGCGTGAAAGAATAAGCCATATAGGAGAATTTACCATCTTGGGGTGTATGATATTTAGAGAGAGATAAAGGGAAGGAGAAGGAGAGAAGGAATGAAGCAAGCTATGACGGGGAACTGGACGTCACCGGGTTCTCAACCCGGTTCCCAAAGCCCGGGTATACGTCCGGTAAGTGAAGATAACCTCTTAATCCCACATCTGCCCCTTATGTCCAAAATAAATAAATAAAAGGGAAACAAAGCTAACCGCCCTTCAAACAAAGAAACTCCACGGCCCCCCCTACGCCGCCAAAATCGCCATCGTAGGCGGCTCCCCAACGCCCTCCATCGACGACCCCATCGCCGCCGTCCTGCTCGTCCTCTTCCTCCTCTCAGCAGCAGCGCACATGGCAATCCTGCGGATCAACAAGCGGCGGGGTCTCAAGTTCGTCTTCTCGGGGATGCTGTTCGCGCTGTGTATGTTGCGCGGGTTATCACTGGTGGCGCGGATCGTGTGGGCGTCGTATCCGAAGACGGTGGGGGCGGTGATCGCGGCGGGTGTGATGACGCAGTGCGGCAGCGTGCTCATCTTCGTCATCAACTTATTCTTCGCGCAGCGCGTGCTGCGCGCCTACCATCCGCGCCTCGGCTGGCACCGCGGCACCTGCTACGTCGTCTGGTTTCTCATCGCCTGCGTCCTGTGCTGCCTCGTCATGGCCATCGTCACCACCGTCCACACCTTCTTTACGCTTAACCCGCACGCCAGGCGCGCCGACCGCGCCGTCCAGCTCTTCGCCGGCTGCTATCTCGCCTTCTTGGCGTTCCTCCCCGTCCCCGTGGTCGTGCTGGCCGCGACCACACACCCGCAGCGCTTTCACGTGGAGAAGTTTGGGGAGGGGCGGTGGCGTGCCAAGGTGGGCCTGCTGGTCTTCACCTCGCTGGTGGCCACACTGGGCGCTGGGTTTCGGGTTGGTGTGGGTTTCGACGCCAGGCCAGCGGCACATCCAGCGTGGTTTCATAGCCGCGCGTGCTACTACGGGTTTAATTTCGTGACCGATCTCATCGTGTCCACCGCGTACCTCCTTGCGCGATTTGATAGACGGTTCATTGTGCCGGATGGTGCGCGTGGGCCTGGCGACTACTCGCCTATCCTCCCGTCCACGCAGTCGAAGATTAACCTAGAAGACGACGGTGGCAAACTGCCGCTTATGGGGACGATGAGGCCCTTAACCATGTTGCGGCGTCCGTACTTTTCTCTTTCCCCGTCACCGTCACATTCACATTCACCAACCCCATCGCAATCACCATCGCCATCACCATCTCCATCGCCTACTCCCGTCTCCCCCACTTCCCCACGTCTAGAGGCAACCAAGCCATCAACCTCGTCCACGCCATCACAGCACTTCGACGCCAGCGGATTCCTAACCGACTCGTCCAACACCGCCGTGCAAAACACGCCATCCACCAGCCGCAGCTTTAACCGGAGCAAGTATACCCCACCCCAATGCCAGCAAGAACAAGACCAGAACCAGCCACGCCCGCGACCCAAGTCCTTCAAGACCCTGGGCCGCCGACGCGGCATGATGCTGCGCAGCGTGCGCATGCGGATCAACAGCGAAGCCGACGCCTACGGGCCCGACGATAGCTTCCGCTGCCGCGACACCACCACCGACGCAGACCCCCTAATGCCGCGCTCCTCCTCGGCAGAAGACGGCGACGGCGATGACGACAACCATCCGGGCAACGAAATTCCCACCACCGCCACTACTGCTAATGTTACCACCACTGCAACCAACACAAACACCCATCGAGGCAGCGTTCGCGCGCCCGCCCCCGCTCATCTCGGCCCGCCCATCCTGCCGGCTCTGAACCTAGACCTGGAGCTGCTGAGCGCGACGCTGCTGGCGCCGTGGGCGCTGGATAGCTGGGGCTTCGAGACGAACGGGTGGCGGATCTCGCGGACGTCGCGCAACTCGCGGGCTGCTGGAAATATCGGGCTTGGAGGCGTAAGCGGTGGTGGTGGTGGTGGTAGTGATGGCATGGGTGTAGGTAGTAGGCGTGGTAGTAGGAAGAGCAAGAATGGTGGTGGTGTTGTAAGCAGAAGTGGTACCGCTACCGATGATAGTAATGGCAGTGGGGGTAATGCTGGGAATAATAGCGGAAATGGGAGTAATGATGGAAGTGGGAGTGGAAGTGGGAGCGGCAGCACCAGTCGTGGTAATAGCCAACGGTCGGAACGGGCTAGGACGATGTGAATCACCTTATGTACGTACCTAGGTAGGGTAAGCAGGCATTACGAAAAGGGGTTACATAGTATGGAGGGTAATATATATGTATTTTACGTTGCCCTAGGATGTTGGGAATTTTAAGGGGTTTCTTGTATACCCACCACTCGATATCACGACTTACTTTTACACTACCTACCTCATCGATGTGATGGGCATTGTATCTCACTCAGCCTATATTTTTGTTAAGTCTCCCACTTGGGAAAACCTAGTAGGCAGGCAAGTTCACCCATTCGTTTATTACCTCTCTAGAAATACTATTCCTACCGAGTACCTGCTAGTCGCAACAAAAGAGATGCCCTTCTGTCTGTAGTATCATTATCACTGTCGAAGGAGGCAAAATATTCACCACATTATTATAAAGAGACTGGGCCTCTTTCACATCTCGAAATCTCATGCTTTGGCAACTACTCTGCATTGGTTGTCTCAAAAAACTGTCTCGCCCACACCAATATGGGCATCGACGACGACAACGTCAGGGCGAGGAACATATCACCCTTGGTGCTAGGCCCCTCCTCCTTTCTTCCTTGGCTACACAAAGCAGGGACCAGCATCATAAAAAGCCATTGTTGACTTTCGATGCTGCTGACAGGTCACAATACTCATAATTACTGCTTGTGATGCGGCCATGTACATAGACCACCCTTTTTGACTTTCGGTAATGGCAATGGTGTGTGGATCTAGGCTCAACGTAACTCCCAGAGATCTTCAAGGTTTGGGTCCTCGTAACCCCCAAGCGCAGCACCAAGATGGACGGGCCGCTTAGAGGAAATAATCCGGCGTGCCTGCGGTAACAATCAGTATTGATGTCATACGAATAGGGCATTTAAAGGAACTTACGTCGGGAAACCATTGGCTCACCAGCACGTGGACATGGGTCAAACTGTAAGCTGTAAAAGAATGTAAGCATGTGTATCTCATTACAAAGGGCACGCGCTAACTCACAAGGTGTACTTCAGGTGCTCATCGATCTCCATGATGGCGGCTTGGTTACCGCATCGGTAACAGTAGTTTGGTGCTAGAGATTATTAGTAGGTGGCTCACTTTAGGGCAAGATAGGGATTAAGAGTTCAGGGGTACAGTGTACTCACCAGAAAAGATGGTAACCACGTTCCTATCTTGTGACCAGTTGTATCCCTCCATAACCAATTGATGGGCTCGTGCGATAAGTGTGAGTCCATTATTGTGGTTGAACGCCTCGGAAATATCCTGCCCGAAAGTGTAACCGGCACCACGGGGGCTGATGCCCCAACCGCATCGGTCATCGGGGTCGGACCACAGCAAGTCGCACATGGGTCCCTCATGGGGTACCTCCTGGATTCGGTCGAGAGCTCTGATGTTGTCAAGAGTATCGATACTAGGAGACAGACCACCGTGAAGACAAAAGATCTGGTTATCAATGAGGGCGGTTAGGGGAAGGTAGTCGAAGAGGTCGGTGAAGAACTTCCAGACGTTGGCATTACCGTACTTGCGTAGGCACTCGTCGTAGAAGCCATAGACCTGGGTAATCTGGCGAGATTCGTGGTTGCCGCGCAGGATGGTGATGCGCTGGGGGTATCGAATCTTGAGGGCGACAAGAAGCGTTACCGTCTCGACGGAGTAGTATCCTCGGTCAACATAATCACCTATTTCAACAATCAGGAACTGTATCTATCATTAACTTTTAGCTAGCCATAATATCACATACCCATAAACAGGTAGTTGGTATCGGGGTTGGGGCCGCCGATCTTGAATAGTTCCATCAAATCATGGAACTGGCCATGTATATCGCCACAGACCGTTACCGGACATTTCTAGGTAATCGTTAGCAGAAGCGAGGGAATAGCGAGGAAGGCGAAAACGACATACGACCGGCTGAACGTTAGACTCCTCTTGTAGGACCTCTCTAGCCTAGAAATATGAGATAATTTGATTAGTAAATTTCATTTAGGATACGCCAGCGGAGTACTTGAAACGGAACCCGAACTCGAATCGGCAGTAAATAGATGAGATGGTTACCTTCTCGCAGAGTCGCTGAACATCAGATTCGGCGAGTTGCTTGCAGTTCATCAAGCTCTCAATCCAGCCGTCTAGTGTGGGAACAGTAGTTGGCTCCGAGGGGGGCATGGGAGCTAACTCGGCTGGAACACGCCCAACATCCTCCATATTGGTATCCATGGTGTCAAATGAGCACCAAGGTCGGGTCGCGGGGTGTTCGGTGTTGTTTTGTTAATATTAGAGGCGTGTATAGTAAAGATACCTATGTGGTAGTAGCGGTGGTAGGGATAATGCGTGTTTCTTCGTATAGTCTCGAGAAGGTCAAAGGAATCGATAAAGTAGGAGCAAAGGAAAATTGTCGACTCGGAATGACGTTTGAGGCTGGCGGGAAGAGAAGCGCAGCAACTGAACTGTCTTTTGATTTGGTGTGGGAGATTTTGAGGGTGGGGCTAAGTTTGTACAGTATGCAGGTGGTAGTAGTATGGAGTATGGAGTATGTTAGTAGTAAAGAGCCTCTAATAAGAGGGAAGGGTATCGTCGCGATTCTTTTAGAAAGAGAAAAGGCCAAAAAGTAAAAAGAGGTAAAAAAAAAAAAAAAAAGAGAGAGAGAAGATTAAGATACAAAATAATTGTTGATCAGTGAGCTTCGTCTGATTCTTGTGCTTTTTTCTTTTGCTTTTTTGGTCATCAAGTTCACAAAAAAAAAGGAAGAAATGGAAAAAGAGAAGATAACAAAAGGTCGATTGGTGTTTGTATGAAGATAATGGAATTGCAAGAGCCTAGAAGGGTCATGGGCGAATACAAGGTATTATGGTAGGAATGTAGTGGGAATTTTCCTTGCTAATTTAACTAATCATGTACCTATAAAGTACACTGAGGAGCATTGAACAACTTCTAATGAAGGTACAACATAACTACTAGGTACATGTGCATTTCATGTATGTATTTCAAGTTCAATGTTGGTATGGGGAACGGGGGGTAGTACATATAAATAACTACCTTCTTAGTTACATATATGCATACCTAGTACATATTCTTCACGTGTAAATACTCTCCAAGTGCATTCCAAACTCATACATGCATCCCCTGGATTTAGTACGTACATACATACTATCATAATAATATTGACTTGAAATATTCAACATTGAATGTTTATATTTCTGAATTGGATACATATAATCATGTAAATGTATGGTTCAAAGTTACTATGTACGTACAAGTCATTGTAGGATCATGCCATGTGATATATATGCATAATACTACTACGTCAATCCAAGACCAACGGCCTCACTAGCTTTCGTACCCTGGGGTATTCTACCCACCAGATCTCGGAAATCTAGATGAACTTCTTCCAGCATCTTAGCATGGGTCTTGGCCCTGTCCATGCACTGCTCCCATACAACACCATCCTTCTCCGTGCTGCTCAGCTGCCTAGCTAAGATCACGTTGAATGCGTCTACCTCTTCTTTGGCCCACTTCACACACGCGCTCATCATCGTCTGAGGAAAGCAGCTCTGGAAACAGCTCACTGTGTTCCTAATAATACTGAAATAGACGAACGAGATCTGCCAAATATACAGGTGTAGATCGCCCTGAAAGATGCATTGTCTGCCCATAGAGTTAGTTACCATCTATCAAGCAGCCTACATTTAAGTCTGTAGAATTAGCTCGTGACATACCTAGACCGTTTTTGAATTAGGCCGCTGCGCGCCTTAAGGTACGCCTCTCGTGCACGATCCTCGAAACCAAGCCTATTAAGCCATTCGACGTTACGCTTTGCCTTTAGTGGCTGGCTATGCGCATCGATGAGTTCTCGTATGATCAGTGCAGCGAGCCTTGTGCATCGCTCGTCGACTTTGAAATCGATGAAGTCTTGGGCAATGACATTGTTCTTGAGCCCACGAGAGAGCTTCTGCATCTTCTCGACGCGGTCCACTGATAGCTCGAATCGTTGGAGAGCTATGTCGATGTCGAGCTCGTCCATCTGGCCCTCAACCCAGCGCAGGTTCTGCTGTTTCCCATCTACTTCTATCAGCATGTCCTTAATGTCGGAGAGAGTCTCCAGTAATTCTGTCTTTTGCAATAGGCCTGGATCTCGGGAAGCGAAGTAGTTGATGGTCTCCTTGGCCTTGTTATTGGCCTCCATCTCGGACTGCAAGTTCTTGCGCAGTTCCTCCACTGCCTTTCGGATATTCAACATCAAGGCCGTCTTCTCGGGGTCCTCGGGTTTCTCTGTCCGATAGATAAAAGATTCCTGTCCTACTCCTCGCACCATGATAGCATCTGCAAGTTTATTCCTGCCACTAAACGATTCAGTGGTTGCAGCCATGTCGACGACTTCAATATCCAACAACGGCCAGCAACGATCCGCAACAAGCTTCGTAACGGGGGCCCGTGTGTCATTCGGGTTGTCTGTCTTACGTTTCTTCCTCGAAGCGATGAGAAGATGATCGTTGAGGAGGATCAGTTGTGTAGACCGTCGAGATTTGTATGTAGCATTATCTAACTCAATCCAGGCCCCAGCATTCTGGACAATATGTCTACCCATAGAGTTAGGTAAAAACTTCTGAGAACCTTCAACGTTCTTGTAGAGAGCCTGCATCTGAGCGTTCCAAAGGGCCGTCCTATCTGCTACGGAGCTGCGTCTGTCCTTTTTGCTCAATGTTGTCGCAAAGTCTCCACCCACGGAGGTATTGTGGCTACCAGAGGAGGCTCTCAACGCATTCGTATTGGTGGCAAGCTCTTTGAATAAATTGCGCAAAGTGCGCATTTCAGACTTCAGCTTCTCGGCTTCCTTGCTTATTTTGATAAACTGTGCCCGATTCTGATAGACGTTCTGTTGTAGATCTGCCGATGCCCTATTCTTCAACTTTCGTAGAGCAGTTTCATAATCGCGTATCTCATCTTCAGTGGCCTCGCTCAAGATATTGGCAACGTATTGATCAGGGACGAGCCTCGGATCTCTGAGTGCCTTTGCATCAACAGTTGGCGGGGCGCCCCTAACCGAACCACCAGGCGCAGCTCCATCGCGAGACGGAGGCTGTCGCGAGCGTGGTGGTTGGTCGTATCTTGAGATATCGAAGTTGGGCACTGCAGGAACGGGCGGAGCATTCGGGTCGAAGTCACTAGGGAGATTATTGAATCGGGTTGAGTATCTTCGTTTAACCAGGTCGCTAGTCTAAGAGGGGGGGATATTAGGAATAGGTCAGGCTGTAGGTAATATGAGATATGTAGCTTACTTTCCCACCAGCTGAAGGGGGTGGGCGTTGCTTTGGTGGCAGAGGATTGTCAACCCCTACTCTCGCACCGGTACCACGAACAATTGGAACACCATTTCCATCGTTTGGAATAGGCTCGGAGATCTGGCGAGGGGCACTGATGGTAGGGCGGCCTTTCCTCTTAGGACCACTACGAAGGGATATCTTGCTCCTTTCTTCAGACATGCCGAGGTCTTGGGATTGGATAGAGTCAAGAGGGTCAAGAGGGTCAAGAGGGTTAAGAAAGTTAAGAAAGTCAAGAGAGTAGCAAGTATGGCTTATGACTTGAATTGAATTATTTAGTAGTAGTAAAGATTAAGCCAACAGAGATGAGACTAGCAAGGCTAGTAATTCAGGATAAACAAGCAACGTGTAGAATAATAGACCTTACCCCCATCGGCGTAACGTTCACGATGTTGGAAACCTTGAACATGGAGAGGATCGAGGTTCACAGTTTGAGGAGGAGCCACGGAGCATGGAACAAGGAAGTGGCTATGCCTTTCTACATAATGTTACGCACAGACCTTCAATTGCTTCAAGTTTCAATTCAATGAGGAGAGTGTTATGCTTATATCGATGCCCGGCCGGATTTATTTCATAGCGGATAACGCTAACGCCCATCAAACCTTAGCGCGATTGAAGGGATGTGAACATTCATCAATTGTGAAGCGATTCAATGTAGTTACTATGTAGTTACTTAGTAACTTGCAGGGGATTGAGTCTAATTGGGTGGGGTGGTTCAAGTATGTACTTGTACAAGGCTACTACTAGGTAGTTATGTATTGCACCTATGTGTGTGCACGTCAAAGTCAAGCTAGCTGCATTAAAAAAAAATATTACGAAAGGCTACACTTTAATACTTGACTTTACCTTCCTATCATTGAATGTAAATATCATATCTGAAGAAGCAATTTTACCGAGCTTCCATAAACTTGCATCGCATACTCTTTACACTACCGAAAACTACTTCTATCATCACTTATTGTCACATATTCTGTTTCACATAGTGATCTCCCCTTCATCGGTTTACCGAATTACCCCTCCATTTATCACTCTCTCTTCTCTTTCAAATCCTTCGCAATGGTCCAGACGAGTACAGTAGTGTCGATATCAGCGGCGACAGCTGCGACAGGTCTCCTAGGTACGCCAGCCAGCATTTGCCCTCTTAATTTCCAGTATACAAACCCAATTCAAGCAGCGACGAGGATATGTAGAAGCTATACCTATCTACATTCCTTCTTATGGCTTGTTGCTGCTGCCGCTGCTGTTTCCCCTCGTCGTCGTTTAAGCGCTCTTCTCGTCGAGTCGCCAAGCTAACCTTCTCTCTCTCTATCTCTCCTGTACAGCATATGTCCTATACTTTGACCACCAAAGACGCGCAGACCCCAACTTCCGACGAAACTTGCGACGAGAAGAGCGACGACAAGCGCGCGCTGAAAAGGAAGAAGTTGTTGCCATGACCAAGCAAAAGAAGCAGGATATCCAACATGTTGTCCAGCAAGCTGCCGAAGAAGGCTTCCCCACTGGTGTAAATGAGAAGGAGCAATTCTTCATGGACCACGTTCAGAAGGGCGAGCTGCTAGCTGCGGATCGTAAGTCCCCAGTATTATCCATCGTATGGTGTGGGAGGAGTAGCATGCCTACACTTGGAGGGCTATAGTGGACGGGAAGAACAAAGGAGCGCTAACACGATGCGAAATCTATAGCTTCCCAAACGGTAGAAGCCGCATTAGCATTCTACAAGGCGCTTAAGGTATACCCAACGCCCGGCGATCTAATCGCTATTTATGATAAGACCGTGGATAAGGTAAGAAAGAAAGCAGCGTATCTTCCAGCCTGAAAAAAAGAGCACTTCACTAATTTCGCACACACCCAACAGCGCGTTCTTGACATCCTCGCTGAGATGATCGCATACGACAAGAACCTAGACCTCGGCTCCGGCGGCGGTCCTAACATTTCAGATCTGCCCTCCGCGGGTCTGGACTAGGCAGAGGTACCTAGGAATAGGAATAGGATAATAGTAGTAGAAGTAGTAAATACCTACTCGCCTTCTATTCCTAATCAAACTTTTTAACGATTTTCCCCCCGTTGCCCTCTCTCCTCCACTCTACTTACCTCACGAAGAAAGAAAACAGCACATGTCTTGGCGAAACAGGGGAAGGCTTCCACTACCCACCATTACCACTGCCACTACCACTGCCACTACCACTACCTCGGGATTGATCTGATTTGATTGCTTGCTTGATTGATTAATCGAACGATCACGCAAGCTTTGATATAATGGAATCAAACCCCCTCTCTAATCCCCAAAACAAGAAGAGAAGCCTCCTCCATCTTACGCGATGCGATGGTGATGTACGATCGATTTTTTCTTCTCCTCTTCACTTCTTTCTTTCTCTCTCCCTCTCTACCTCTATGGAGTGATGTGTCAGTAGAGAAGAAAGGAGAGAGAGCATAGACAAAGAAAGAAAAGAGACAAAGATAATAATAGCTTCCATCCATGTATCATATATGCCCCTATCTTTCGGCCCAGCCTAGCCTAGCCTAGTCGTATTACCATCATCCCCCTCCCCCCCCCCCCCCCCCCCCTTTTCCCCCTTTTCTCTCCTTGTAAGCTGTTCCGCCGATCGATTTCCTACTACCTACTAGATAGCATACCATACCAGACCAGGGGTATATATGTACTGTACTGTACTATGTACGATACATGTATGTAACGTGGGACGGCAGGCGGGCTGATGGGTAAACACGCCTATATGTATAATAGCGCCTTACCTACCTGTGTATTTTTCTACATCGTTGTTTTTTTTTTCTGTTCTGTTTTAAAAGAAAAACCTCCCCCCTATCCTCACGCAACGCTTATATCACGACCGATCATGAATGGTGGCCGGGCATAGACAAATGAATATGATATGGATCATTATAAACTGCGTACTGTTTGCCAGTCTTAAGTCCCAGTTCCAAAATTGCTTCAGATGTATAGGTATGTATATGTATATGTGTGGTTGGTATATGCTAAGTCCCTACCTAAGTACAGCCAACCCATGCAACTACCTAGTATTGAATATGGCACAATAGTACAAAGTCCGTTCCTTAAGTTTCAATCGCCCTACCCTTCCGATCCACCCTTTGATCCCGGGGGTCAAACCCGCCATTTCCCCAAGTGGCCCACTCCGGCGTCTCGGGTCCCATGTATTCCTCGGGGGTCCAGTCGCCATCGGCGCCGCGTTCCTCGAGCAGCTCGAAGAAGCGCTCGTAGTCTATCCGCGTGTGCCACTTCCCATCTACCTTGAACCGCTCGCTTGCGATGAGCACGCAGCAGCTGTGGGCATGTTCGGCCGCGATGCCGTACGCCAAGCCACGGTCCTTAAGCTTTTGATCCAGCGCAGTCACGAACTCGGTGACCTCGGCGTAGAAGGGCACGTTGGCCATGCTAAGACCGGCTCCGGCACTGCTAGAAGTACCGCAGTATGTGACGCCCTTGATCTCAACGAAGCACGGCAGTCCGCGCTCGACAAGGTCAGCGTATCCCTCCACTTCATCTTCCACATTAAAGCCCTTAACGAGCGTTAATCGAAAGACGGTACGCTGCTTGAGCCGCTTCTCTCGCAGGATGTCTAAGCACCGCTGGAAGCGCTCCCAGAAGTCGCGGTGTAGTGGGCGATCGATTTTCCGCAACGACTCCTTGTTGCTAGCGTCAATCGAGACGTACAACTGTGTGACGGCTTTTAGGGCCGCAAGCTGGTCTGGGTGCTGCGCGTTGCAAACTAGGAATGACGATATGCGTTCGCCGTGTAATAGCGCAAGAAATTCGTTGATATGGGGGTAGAAAATGGGCTCGCCAACCAAACTCAGGGCGCAATGCCGTATTCGCATTGCCTCCGCGAATCGTTCGGCCCTGACGCCGGGGATGCCGCGTAACATCTTGATCTTTTTGTAATGGCCAGTCTTGACGCCGTCAAAAATCATCTCGGGTGGGTCGACAACCCATCGCCAAGTAGTTCCCACGGGGTTAGTTCCGTGCCGCCAGCAAAAGACACATTTGTTAGAACAGGACAAAGACGGCGTCGTCTCCATACATTGGTGCGAGGCGATGCCATAAAACGAGAACTTATAACAAGAGCCACGGCCCCGGAGCGCAGACTTGGTCCACCTACAGATCTTAACCCCTGAGTGTGAGCCAACAATGGAGTAACCTTGTTTAGTTAATGATGCATATGTGGGTGAGTTTTTGGGTACCATCTCCTTAATAGGCTGGAATGGTACTTTCTTGGTGGTCGATTTGTTGTATGTGGTAAAATCCACAGCAATTGGTGCGGACTTGCTCGATTTTTCGGATCCGGGTTGAGACGCCTTCATGATCCTACCTAGATCTTCAACGTCTTCAAGATTCCCAGATTTCCCCCTTTTCGGTTTTGTCGTAGTGAATGATTCGTCAATAACGACTTCTCCGTCATCCTCTTCCCCAGATCCATACTCATCATCACTTTCAACAGCATCACCACTACCCGCAACCCCCTCTCCTAGTGATCCGGTACGCGCAAGAAGTTTCAACGTGTCCTTCACACCATCCGTCCATTCGGCCAGTCTCTCGTTAAGGTCTCGTTTCGTATCCGTCATACCTAAGGGGAAGGCTCTCTTGCGGCCTGTGAGTTTGGCCATCCATTTGTCCAGTTCCTTTGCCTGGAAACAGAACCCTTCATCCTCGGTAGGCCAGCCCTCTCGGTCGCCTAAACCAAACACCGAATACCCTGATACACCCGACAGAGGTGCAGTATCGATCCTAAAGTCATGATGGGTTTCCTTTAGATGTTCGAGGAGATTGTCATTGATTGAGTCGATATTGTAGCTCGGTAGTAATATGAGATAGAAGTAATCTAGTTGCACATTGGCGTCGGTTTGTTTTGGGGCGCTGATGAAGTATTCGTCGTAATCCACTTGCGCTAGGTCTAGTACAATAGGCTTCAGGAAAATTCCTTGGGTGTCGTCGGCCTGCTCTCCCAATGAAACTCCTAGATCATGGGCGAAACTGTTGACAATTCTTTCAGTACTTCCCGTTAGAGACGAATAAAACACAAGTATTTGTATGCGCCGTGCTTGATTGGGTTCTCCGTTTTTGATGGCAGTGTCTGGCTTCCGTAGCTCGCCTTTGATGCGCCGCGGCCCGGTAGTGACGCCTTTCGGGGTTTCCTTTTGCAAATCTAGCTTCTCCTCTGAAGTGTTCCTACGATCCACTGCAATAGGCGTTATAGTTTGTTGGACAGGCTTCAAAGGTCCAGTATCAACTTCCTTGGCTCTACTTCTCCTCAAGGCTTTTACAAACAGCCAGGATCCCAGCAAAACCCAGGCGGCCACGGTGAGTATCACGGACCGGGTGTCGTGCCATTGCTCGAGAATAGCTAAGAGATAAGTATAAGTAAAACGACCATTTCTTCAGATTAGATGATGATAGTTTCCCAGGTTGACTCACTCTTCAATCTTCTATCGGCGTCTACACCAAAGCCCCCCGTTATATTCGTCATTTTTTGGCCGGTTTGATGACTTGACTGCTTCCCTTGGAAGTCAAAAGTCAAAGTTCCAACATTGAAGGCCAAACTTCAAAGAATACTGCACAAGTTAAGTACGATGAAAATTGGCGGGGCATTTCTTGCTGGACTATCACAAATTTTAGAGGGGCAATTTGGTAATCGAAGAAGTCCCACAATTATGTAGTACCCCAGATTATCGATAAGATATCCTGACTAGTGTAGTTGTACCGTAGGATCCACAACCTTAACTTATGTAAGTCAAGGGAGCAGGGGAGCACTCTGCTTTCATTGTTGCATCTCATATTCCTACCAATACAATTCTGATTCTACATTGACATCTATGTACCATGTATAGATGACATCTCACGATGGAAATCTTGAACACTCTCAGCTTTGCGTTTCTGGTATATCGTGAGGATCGCGAGGTACTTTCGGATTAGACGATGAGCCCCCAAAAAAAGACAACGATCCCAATGAAAATAACCCAGGTAGAAACATTCACCTAAAGGAAACCCGTTTCAGTCCATCTTTCCTCCTCCACTGCTCCATTGACTACTAAGTGTCTAGGTCACTCGACTAAACGTCTGGGTCACTCGACTCCGGATTCTTGTCATGGCCACTGAAGTCAAGGACGGGCAGGCTCTTCACCAGGCCTAAGAACAGGTCTCGGGCCCAACAGATGGTAACCATAATTGCCAATGCGTTCCACTGTTGCTGGTTTCTCTCCGATAAGTTTAATTGGCATGGCACATGACACTTGGCCTTCGGATCATTGCTGTTCAACGTAACGATGAACAAGATATGCTTGAGGATGACGAACCCGAACAACACCGGCGCTACCGGCCTCTGCTTTTCGGGCACAACCCTGAGTATTGCTCGCCATTCCGCAGCAAACTCTGACATTTGCTCTTGGATATGGGTGTCCATCTTTAGCCTTTCAACGTTGTCCACCTCCAAGATTGTAACGTTCGACGCGAGCGCGCGTGAATATTCGGCGAAGCCCCCATCAAGCTCGGCCCAGTGCAGGGCATCTCTAAGCCTTTTTGTGATATGCCTGGCAATTCGGCCTTTGTTACCCGGAAGTATTTTTTGATCTTTGCGGAGGTCCCGAATGCGCCCATGAATCTCCATGAGTCGGCGAAGTGCGGTGGCTCCTGATTATACATAATCGTATAAGCATTAGAGTAAAAATGAATAATCAAGGTACAAAAGAAAAAGGGAAAAGGGGAGGGGGGTTGCTGCTGAATAAAACGTACCCTGATACTCCAATCGATCATTAAGCGCATATATTCTTGGCCGAGCACTTACAGCCTGGGTCTTGACATAGAACAGACCGTCCGGTAGAGGAACACCCCGAAAATGCATTCTCCAAGTAGTCGGCATGAGTGTGTATTCATCGCGCGCTTTTAAGATCTGATTAATATAAATTTGTTCATAGCGCCACCCGTCGTCTAGATCATAGTCCGGATTGGATTCTGTATTTGTCTCTTGAGTAGCAGAAGAATATATGGTTGGGCTACGTGATCTATCTTCGCTTGACGCTTCATGCATTGACGCTTCATGCATTGCCGCCGATTCTCTTGCGATATTGTGAAGGTAATTCAACATGTCTTCGGCATTGGGAACTAGAAGCTCTTCTGGCAGCTCGTTCGTTTCATCTCTCCGGTCCTCTCCGCTGTCAACTGGTGGAAGCACTGATCCTGGCACTCTTATACTCTCCTTTCCTCTTGTAAGGTTCTTGGCTGACTTCATGAGCTTGGTGATACGGCCTTCAATGACCCTATTTCGATGTGATGCGTTACGAAATGTGACATTACTGGCAGATGGGCCATTTGGTCTCCGAGACGAAACGAGGTTGTCATTGCTAGACATATTGGAGATTTAGATGTGTTATGTCCCACTATGTGTTGTGAATATTCTATGAATTTTGATGCAGAGTAGGTGCTAGTAAGTAGCGAGTGATGGGTGCGAGTGAATTGTTGAAGGTATTATCTATTGGCTTGAACCAAGATGGTCGGATTTATTACACAGCGATGAAGGAGGTGAGAACAAGGATGGATAGTTCATTGTCCTCTGACGAAACCAGTTTAGGGGGGACCTGATCTGATATTGCACTGACGAGGCTCGTCAAATTTCGCTATCTTTACCTTTCACATTATACAAATACTTTTTCCTAGGTAAGTCGAGATTGGAGAATTAACGAGCCCTAGGTATGTACCTAGTGTAGAAGACAATAGATACAATAAGGACGAAGGGTGAAAGAGAGAAGCAGAAAGATGGAAAGAAGATGGTGAAAGTCAAGGTTATTAGACCGTTTCCGGCGTATGTATGCTGTTTGTTATATGATTTCCTACCTGTTGCTTGCGGTCACTTTTGAGAAATAAATATCGAATAGGTGCAAGGCTCGCCACGTGTTTTGCTAACTTTGAAAGTTGTCACATATAGTTAACATGGAACTTTTCTACGTTTAGGGGCTTGCCAGTCAAACGAGGTCTGGGTGAAGAATATTATGTACATATGTATGTAGGATAACAGTGAACGTTGGTGCACCTGGTACTTACACATTGTGCAGTTTCATTAAATGTTGTATGTACCTAAGGCACAATTAATGATGTAGGTATCCACTGAAATTATGAACCTTGGAAATTATGATTTTTTCTTTCCATAAAAAAAGAAAAGAAAGAGAAGAAAAAAAAAAAAAAACTTATCCAGGGCTGTTAGATACAAACCGCGACATCACGCGCCGCCCAACTTTAAACTCTGCAATCAAACCCAATGACATACCCATTGCCAATCTCCTACCAGACTACCACCACTGATTGACTATCTCTCTTCTTGATCACCGACCTACGCATCGCTGTCAATAATATCTTTGTCCAAATAATCCCCAATCCCCAATCCCTTTCCATTTACAGTGTACAGAATTTTTGGAAGTCTTAATTTGGCTTCTCATAGTTCTTACTATTGAACAAAAAGAAAAAGAAAACATACCCATTATTCATTCATTCTCTATTCTTTCTCTATTCATTCTCTACCTACCTACCTACCTACCTATCTACCTTCTCTTTCCCCCATCATACATATCGCGACGACACTCGCGACCTTATTTGCGACCTTATTCGCGACCTCTTTACTCTTTACCCAACACCCACCCATTCTACTACACAAATACTACACTCCCCCGTTGTAATCACCCTTTACTACTTATCCCCCCTATTCCCCTTCATTGAAGCAATGTGCACTTTTTCCTAAAGCTATCTTGTCTCGTCACTTACAATGGCTACTACCGACTGGAACAAGCTCAAGGTCGTCGACCTCAAGGCCGAGCTTAAACGCCTTGGCCTACCACAAAATGGCCTGAAGGCTGATTTGGTATCGCGATTGGAAGCTGTAAATTCTGAAACCCCTGCTTCTCAGTCTGAGGACGAGAAGAAAGCTACTGAAGAGGGCCAAGATACTCAGGATACTCAGGATACTCAGGATACGCAACATGCTAACGGCGAACAACATCCGGAACAAGAGACTCTAGCAAAGGCATCAGATACCGAGGTCGGAGAACAAACTCTTCCCGATGAATTGCCCAAAGAAGCGATTGAACCGGTAGCTACACCTGCCGTTACCGAGACTCAACAGACTCAATCCCTACTCGCCTCTTCCTCTAATGACACACTTGCACAGCCTACCGATGTCATACAGGATTCTCAAAAGCGCAAGCGAACATCATTGAGCCCTGCCCCTTCTGTCGACGAAGTGGTGCGAAAGCGAGCTAGACAAGATGACCCGCACAGCGAAGAAGACCATGCTGCAAGAATCATTCCAGAGATAGTTGATGAGCCGATGCCCCGAGAAGAACGAAAAGACAGCTCGACGGAAGCTGTCCCAGAAGTCGAGATGAAGAGTGTTGAGGCTGAAAGCCCAGTCAAAGACGTGGGCGAGCGTGACAAGGGTGCTGCTCCGCTAAGTCCGCGAGATGATACTCACGCGGGCGACCAGAACGGGCATACAGCCGATGCAGACATCGTAATGTACAACACCGAGGCGCGCGGCGAGGAGCCCAGCAAAGATGAATCTCACCTAGAAGAACATGACACCGAAGTAGAAAGAGATGTGGAGCCATCCATTCACCCTGCGACGCGAGCTCTGTACATCAAGAATTTTATGCGACCTTTGCGACCGCAGGAAGTCAAGGATCGCCTGCTGACACTCGCCACACCGGTAGGCGTTCCCATCAAAGATGATACTATCGTTGATTTCTACCTTGACTCTATTCGAACACACGCATTTGTAGTGTTTGACACCATCACATCTGCCTCACGGGTACGTACTGCACTACACAACCGCGTTTGGCCAGTTGAGACCTTGCGCAAGGCTTTGTCGGTTGACTTCATGCCGCCAGAGCTTTTTGCGGAATGGGTTGATATGGAGCAGGCATCGACCGGAGCGCGCAGCTCGACTAACCGTTATGAAGTCATCTATGACAACGATGGCCACGGTAATGTGAAAGCAAAGCTCGAGGAATTTGATGGTGTAGCGCCTGTCCTCAAGCAGGCCCCTCTAGCGGCGGAACCTCAGCCTGAGCAAAATCGATCCATTCCTACCGGTCCTTCGCGACCCTTCTCCGGCATCGAGGGCGCGCCCACAGGACCACGCGGCTTTCAGTCGAACCGCGGGCCTATGCACCAATCGGCTAGAATGGGAGCATCATCAGATCAACCTGGTATCCTAACTCGCGCTTACCCTAATATTACATACCAGCCTGTCTCAGATGAACTGGTCAGAAGACGGCTTGACGCGATTGCAGCAGCGAAGACCCAGGACCTCGAGAGAGACTTCGGCAAGGATTACAATCGATACTATTTCGAGAACGGCGATACATTTGTTGATAGAGGTCGCGAAGTCTTCCTCGCTATCCGCCCACCACACCGAGAACGCGAGCGCCAGGGACGCGGTCCAGGACGTGAGCCAGGACGTGGCCGCCGAGGTCCTGGAGGCGGTAGAAACCGTCGTGGAGGCATGCCTATTCACCACGGCGTTCCACGAGGTGGTGATCGGTTCCGTCCTGGAGATTCCTCCGCGTCGGGTGGCAATGGCCGCTTGCGCTTTGCAGATGATCGAGGAAGTCACCGCAATTACGGTCGACGTGGAGATAACAGAGGTAGTGGAAGGGAAAGCTATAGTCGTTACTAACAGTTGAATAGATACAAGGTAAACGGCGGAGTCGATCGATTGAGAAACACGGAAGATCAGTGTGAAACGTACACGGAATGTTTTGGTGCGTAACGTACGCACCTAGGAAAAGTTTTCAAGGCATTCACCGGAGTATAAAGAACACCACATGGACACAGCATCATCCCTCAAGGCCAGAAGAGAAGAAATTTTTTACAAAAAAGGGCAGGACGCATGTATAAGGAAAAGAAAATGGGATACCCGGTCCAACGGCAAAACTTTGGCCTTCATTACATGAGGCGCGAAGCAGAGCCAGCTATGCAAGATAATCAAGAAAATGCCCCTCCCCCTCTCGTTAGGTAGAGTAGGCAAAAAAATGCAAGAGATGTATGTTGACACGATACGCGAGAAACTAATAACTGAAAAATCAACGAACTCCAGGCTGTCAACTGTTTTCTGTGTGGGTGAATGCCACTTGCTCCTACTTTGCTCTTACTTTAATATTCTTGTTTCTTCGTGTTTCGTGGGAAAGGGAGGTGGAATGGGTGGGATCGAATTGGAACTCATCGAACGAGAACGAGTGAGTGAGTGAGTGAGTGAGTGAGTTGAGTTTTCAATCATCCCAACTGCTTGCTTGCTAGCTATAGGTACCTACCTAGGTTAGTTTAATGAATACCCAGACCCATCTTCGATAATTTCCTTGAGAGAGTGATTAGGTACATACATATGAATACTTGGTTATGTTCAATGTTTAGGTGCTTACGTAGGTAGCCTAGGTTAGACACCTACTCGCCTCTATATTGATATCTAGGTTAGGCCCATAACTAATTGAGTCCTATTGAACGTCTTGGGTGGGCAAACGAACTAACTAACCTAGGTACATGTATGTACTACGACTGCTACACCCCCTATTTCATCACGATTCTTAGATCCCTGGTAACGAGGGTTATTGCACAATCCTATATCATCAAAAGGTTTCCTCGCGGCCTTTTGACCAATAATATGGTTACATCGCAATATTAAGGTAGGTACAGTTGTATAGGCACTGTTCAGTCACTTCAAGACAGCATGAACAGAGATCTCATGGTTGTATATCAATCAGAACTTTTTTTTTCTATTTGCTAAAATTCCATATCAATCGGTTTACTAACTCATTTTGCCCAGTATATTCAAACCAACAATGCTTTTTATGAGTTGTATAAGATAGCAAGTCTCTCTAGGCGGCACTGGCCAAAGGCTCTGGCTGGACGCCAACACGTTCTTTGCTGAGGATATCAAGCATGAACTGCGATGGGCGGTTGTCCTTGTAGACAGCCTGGCAGGACTTGAAGGCCATCACATCCTCAATGTACTTATCAAACAGATAGGCACTGTCCATGGGACCACCTCGAGCCTCTGGGTGGAATTGGGTTGAAAAGATTGGCCGGGATACGTGACGCATACCTACGAATCTTATGTTAGTCATGTTGCTACTAATTTTTAATTGTAGGGCGAGGGAAGGGAAAGCTTACCTTCGTTACTACCATCGTTGAGGTTGACGAAGTACTCTGTCCAGTCAGATGATAGAGTACCCGCGTCAACGGCATAGCCGTGGTTCTGGCTCGTAATATGGCATTGCCCGGTAGTCAAATCCAAGGCCGGGATGTTGTGTGCCCGGTTACCATACTTCAACTTGATGGTTTGAGCGCCAGTCGCCAGAGCTAGAAGTTGGTGACCGAGGCAAATACCCATAATGGGCACCTGAGAAGTCTCCATCAGGACTCTCAGGTTGTGCACAGTAGACTGACAATGAGTCGGATCACCAGGGCCGTTGGAAATGAATACACCATCAAAGTTGTCGGCGACCTTCTGGATCTTGAAGTCGTAAGGGAAAACAGTGACGCTGGCTCCGCGGCTCACTAAGCTCCGGAGAATGTTCTCCTTCACACCGCAGTCAAGCAAAGCAATGTGATACTTCGGGTTGTGGGCTTCCACCACAAAGGGAGCTTTAGTGCTGACTCGCTTGACCAGGTTGATTTGGCCGGGGTCGACGAAACTCTCGTCCTCGTCTGCATCGTATTCATCACCGACCGAGATCCTGGCAAGGGAGGAACCTTCCTCCCGGAGGTGAGTGACGATAGCACGAGTATCAACACCCGAAATAGCAGGAATGCCCTCTCGAGCACACCAATCGCCCAAGCTCTCCACAGCAGTCCAATGACTGTACTTCTCAGCAACATCGGCCACCACAATTCCAGCGCATTGGATGTGGGGGGATTCGAAGTGTCTCAAAAGGTTCCATTGGTCACGCAGGGGGGCCGGGACACCGTAATTTCCAATCAATGGCTGAGTAAAGACCAAAATTTGGCCACGGTACGAGGGGTCAGTCATTGACTCCGGGTAACCCACAAGGGAAGTGGTAAAGACGGCCTCGCCAGATATATTCGAGTTAGCCCCGAAGGCCGTTCCGTGGAAAATGGGGCCATCCTTGATTATGGTTAGTATACATGTAACAATCTTTTGGGTGTATAATGGCATACCCTGAGAGTAAGTGTGGCCTCCATTCCAGAGGCAGGGGTTGTGCCTCGAGATAGAGTCTGGGGCATCTGTCTGCCCTTGCTACCTAGAGCAGCCTTGGAGGCAAGGCTGGAGGTAGTGGAGATGAAGCGGGCCCGCGGCAAGAGGCCGGTAGCACCGAGTGCCGCGGGCTTCGCAGCCTTCAAGGTAAGTCGTGAGAACATGACGTTCAAGGGGTATAAGGTAAAAGTTGAAGCTAAGGGGTTATTCAATGGCCTCCTCAAGCGGATAGAGCCCGCCACAAGTGGTCTGGATAACGGTTAGTTTTTTTTTTTGCAGGCGGTGAGTCAGTTCATTGATAGACAAACCAGAGATATAATCCTGCAACGATAACGTGTTAGCAAGAGGCATGACTAAGGTGGTAGATAGGATAGTGATGGCAAGAGATAGGTGGATAGTAATTGTGATTTATATGTAGGCTTAGTTATGAGAGGATATGAAAGGAGATGTGGCATTTTTCTTTTTCTTTTTAGTATCCAATGGATATTTTCATAAGGGGGGACATGAAGAATGAGGTCATCGTGCAAAAGCATACATACCTGTGAAGTGAAGACTGACGAGCGCCCGTTCATAAGGGCTAGTAGAAGAGATTGGACCAGAATGGGCAAGGGTACATAGAAAAAGATCAATTGGATTGTGGATGTCAGAGTAGTCAACCTTTTTCAAGAATTGTCGAGAGAATGGGTTAAATAATAAAAAATGAAAAATAAAGAATAAAAAATAAGAGAATTGGATAGGCGGATGGGGAAAACCGTTAAGTAGGAATTTTAGTAAAGAAGGCACTAAGTTAGGGTAGATACTAGATAGTACAATACATGACAATACATGTCCATAGTGCAAAAAAAAGAGTCAAAGTAAGGAAGAAAAAAGCAGGGAGCAAGAAAAAAAAGGTGTTTTCTTAGCGGGGAATTTAAGATTTCAAGGTTGTGCGATCCGACTGGTTTCCGAAAGACTTAAGCTAGGCCATCCATGCATGCGACCCCGTTCTTTTTAACTGTACAAACCCAATTAGAACTGTTGTATTATCTGGTTACGCGTTGTGTATCTCTATCATGTGTATCGATAGATTTGATAGAGGAGAAAAAGAAAAAAAGAAAAAAAGAAAAAAAAAAGAAAAGGTTAAAAGGCCGTTTTCGGCCTAGGCACCTAGTGACTTTTCTGCTACAGGTCTAATAGGTACATATGTAGGTACAATACCTAACCAACTACTCAGTCACAGTCTCAGTGGTATCCATATGCAAACATTGCAACAACATACACTCACTCCCAGGCATATAACAACAGGCTCAACACTACCTCAGTAAATACCTAATAGGCCAATGGCAACAAGAACCCCTTTTTTTCTTAGGTGGTACACATTGGGTAATATTGAGGATGCTTGGCATGAGGTGAAGGGCCAACTACTACCCAACATGCAGGAGATCTGACATAGGTGCCCTAGGTAGTGTTGAACCATATATCTATAGATACTTCAAAATTGAAAAGGGTTTATAACCATTGGCTGTGTATTGTATTCTGTGTATTCTGTGAAGTTTGTTCACTTGGCGGTTTCCTGCCCCCTTTTAGGTAGGCAAGCCTTAGCCATTAGCCATATATTCAATGCCCATTGCTCCATCTTCTGCATGGACACATGAAATTGACCTCTGTTGATTTGCCATGTGGCGAGGTAGAGAGACAGCTCAGTCCCCTAAACTGAGGCGATCATTATAACGCACCCAGCTCCTTCAACTTTGAGATCAGGCCATCCACATCTTCAACCTTGCCACCCCCTTGTCTCGGCGGCGGCTCTGTAGTTTAAAAAGTCAGCATATACCCTTCCATATACACACTAACTACAAGGGATAGAAAGAAAAGAAAAAAGACATACCCTCAACTTTGAGAATCTTCAACCGCCTCTCATTCGCAATGCCCAGATCACTCAACGCCAGCTTAACAAGCGGCTTCTTCTTCGCCTTCATGATATTGGGCAAGCTCGCGTAGCGGGGCTCATTGAGGCGGAGATCCGTCGTGATAACCATCGGCAGCTTCGCGCGGACCGTCTCCACACCGCCATCGACCTCCTTCGTGACCTCCACTGTATCATTCTCGCCAAACGTGACCTTACTCGCCTGCGTCGCCTGCGGCCAGCCCAACAAGCCCGCGAGCATCTGGCCCGTCTGGGCGGAGTCGTCGTCGATGCTCTGCTTCCCCAGTATGACGAGGTTGCTCTTCTCGACATCGACGGTCGTGCGCAGCAGCTTCGCGACGCTCAGCGGCTCGAGCTGCTCCACCCACTCCTTCACCTCGACGTGGATCGCGCGGTCCGCCCCCATCGCCATCGCCGTCCGCAGCACGTCCGCCGCCTTTCCCGGCCCCGCCGTGATCACGCAGATGTCCTCGACGCCCCCCGGGGCCCGGTCCTCGTCCCGGATCCGCACCGCTTCTTCTACCGACAGCTCGTCGAACGGGTTCATCGAGTGCTTGACGCCCGCTATCTCGACACCCGTCTGCGCCTTGTTGACGCGCGGCTTGACCTATATCGCGTTGGACAAATTTCGTTCGTTAGCCACTCTCTCTCTCTCTCTCTCTCTCTCTCTCTCTCTCTCTCTCTCTCTTCCTTAACCTTGACCTTGACCCTGCCCTAAGCAAAAAGAAAAAAGAAAAAAAAAAAGGATTAAAAGCAACAAAACAGTGTAATTGATGCATACTCACCGCATAGTCAATGACCCGCTTGATGGGTACAAGAATGCGTAGTGCAGACATGGCGACCTACAGCAAGCAAGCAAGCTGGTTGGCTTTGAGTAAATGAATTATATAGGAGGAGAGACGGACAGACAGAAAAAGAAAGGTTAAACAGCTACTGTACCACACGTAATGAAAAGAATGACGCAGGAAAAACCGCGACCGAGACCGGCGATAGCCGAGCAAATAAAAAAAACCTCGGCCAAATCCAAAATGTTTCTAAGGAAACTAAAACTCCCCACTACTTCCCCCCCTTACACGTGACACCCCTCTGTTCATAAACTACTACGTACTCCTTTATTATACCGACAACTAATATACAGTACCTACTTATTTTCATATACTTACTAGTAGTGTTGGGTAGAATAACAGGGTCTACGTTATATCAAGTCTAATATCCATTGGAAAGTTACGAGCCATAGTCTTTATTGCCACTTAAAAAGAAGGGGTAAAACCAATAAAGTAAGGGGCATCACGAAAAAGCAACAACCTAGGACCTCAAAATTCCCAGTCATATCAGTATTATTTATGTAGGCCAAAGTACAGCTCTTTGTAGAACGTCATGCCCGCACTAGTCGGGTCTACGCGTGCTTGCACATTATTGTACCCCAAGGTGAAGGTGTTTCAAGACGCCTGAAAGTACACCTGCCTACGCTACCCAGAACTCCATCTACCCACCTAGTTATACAGCATGGCATCGTCTCTCTCTGTCTCTCTATCATCTAGAACAATAACTGCACCTCATCTAGCTAACTAGCTAGCCACCCAAGCTCATCCCCTCATTCGTCTATCATTCATTACCAGTCGTCCCACTCATCATCCTTCTTGGCTGGCGAGTTCTTAGTACCGCCCTTTCCCATAGCCGAAGTACCGATGGAGCTGTACTTGGGGCCCGTGCCGTGTCGTTGATCAGCCATAGCTGAAAGGTCGTCCCAGAATGCCTTCTTGCTCTCGTCTATGGGGGCTCGCCCCCGCCCGTCAGACCCCTCCACGAATCGGTTGAGGCGTTCTTGCGCCGTCATCGCGCCTGCTTGTGCTGCTTTTCCCACATTGCCGGCCGTCGCTCTGGCTTGCGCCGCAAACTCGGATTCTGCGATCTGCTCATATTCATAGTTAGCAACTTGTATTACTCTCGCTCTGCTGTGCGACTCACCTGCTTGGCCGTGGGCTGAATGAAATCGTCGTTGATTCCCTTCGCTGTCTTAGTTACTGTTGTTGTGAACCAACCGAACCCTTTTGTCAGTGCCGCCACGGGATCTTTCTGCACCTCTGCGAAATCCGGCAAGATCCCAGCGCCGCCGCCACTGTTGTTGGCAGGCATGGGAGTATTTCCGAAGCCTGCATACTTGCCTCCCTGGCTGGGTGGCAAGTGTTCCGCTCTAGAGGCATTCTCTTTTCCTAACCGCGCAAAGTACTCGTCATCTACTTTAGCCTTGACGCCCGGTCGGCTAGGACTTGCCGTTCGGCTTCCGCTGGTCGCCACGCCCTGCAATGGTGTTCCCGTCCTGCTGGCCTGCTTAGGGTTTGGCTTTGCGGTACCAGCGGTGGGCCTCGGTGCGCTCTTCGGTGTGGTCTTCCGCTCGCCGGGGACGTATTCTTTGCCTTCTACCTTGGCGCTTAGCCTCTCTTTCCACTCCTCGCCTACTTCGCCACTATATCGCTCCGCAATGGTAGCATCGTCCCAGCTGATGCCCAGCATTTTGGTATCGTCATGCTGCTCAAAGAAGGATCGCCATCCTTGGTTACCGCCTAGTCGCATACGTTCGATCTCGGCCTGTTTGAAGGCGTCCATGGTGACGGAGCGAACGAAGGAGATGTGGACACCGAGACCTCGATGGACACCGGCGCATGAAAGACAAATGAAGACGCCGAATTTGGGAGACGCCCATTGGGGGTTCGGCGCATTGCAATCGCAGCAGACATTGTTGTTATTGGTTTTTTGGATGGACAAAAGCTGAGAATATGATGCGAGTCAGTAAACCAGCAATCACTCGATAAAATCGGCCAATGGGTAACTGCGCTATATCCTATCCAGGATTCTTCGATAGTATGAAGTTAAAATGGAGATTGGAGATGCGCACCTTGGATCTGGTCTCCGGATCGACCTCCCACATGGCTTTTGATGTCATGGTGAATTTGAATTCTTGCGCCGACAAGAATAACAGGATAAGTAAGTTAAGTAGGTATTAAGTGATGAATGCCTAAGTTAAACAAATGCCCTCAAAAGTAAGGGGCCAGAAAGGCAATGGGCAATGGGCGACAGGCGACAGGCGACAGGGTAGAAGACAAATTGAATGTCAGGGATGAGACACGTTGGTAAATGTTAAATAAATAAAAAATAGACTAATTATAACTTGTAACTATGTAAGTTGAAAATAATATTCAAGGGATAGTTATGGGATGCCAAGTCTCATTCTCCACACTAGCCGTATCAGAACTTTTAGCCCTCTTTATTTCTTGGAGAGAGAAGGGCATCTAGATTTGATTTGTTCAAATTAGCATAGTCACGTGCCACCACTCTTAATGCATCTCATGGACAGTTATGTAATACCTAGTAGTTTAATATGTACTAACCTACATATGTAGGTATATGTAGTTAGTTAACCTTCAAGATTTCAAGTTGTTACCTACAGTAATAATACCTAGTACTTAGTTAGTGGTCTACACATCTCAATCACAAACAATTACATAGCAGACGTCACAAGAAAATAACGTCACAAAAAAGCATCGTGTTCTTCATATCAATCATATCAATTCTGAGCTCCAGAACTTTTCCGCGTCCTCCCTAACCATCCCCTCCTGGTGTCCACCTAGTGTACAACCCGTGAAAATGCTCATGAGGTCTTGGACAAAAATCATTCGTAAAACTGTAGCATCATGATCAAGACCTTCGCCAGAAATGCAAATGCCACAAAGCATATGCTCCTGACAAAATTCGAGACCACATCTGCTACTGCTTTGTGTGTTCGTATCTATGGTTAAAGGAGCAAGTAAAAATTCCCATCATTCATTAGGTCCAAGTAGACTGAGGCACAAGCATATAGGATATTTTCGTAATAGTAGGTAATGAATGATTGGTTGCATTCATTCTCTCATCATACTTGGGACTTGTGCCGTCGTCCAGAAAAGCTTAGACCGAAATCTAAGCGGCGGCAGCAGGAGCCGCTTCCTGGCCATTGGCCTCGGCCTCATGAGGGATGTTAGCCTCCTCATCGGTCTTGTCCGGGCTGTCAATGGCGACCTTGACGGCGATCTCCCGACCCTCAATCTCCTTGCCGTTCATCTCAGCAACAGCCTTCTGCTGAAGCTCCTCCGAGGCCAGGGTAACAAAGCCGAAGCCACGGCCCTTGCGGGGCTCACCACGAGCTTGAAGCTTCTTGATCATGAAGCGGGGAATGGGACGGAGAGCAATCTTGGCCGAAGACGGCTGGTAGTCGTTGAAGAGTTCCTTGAGCTGTACAATAGTTAACGGGTAATTCAGTACACTTTGGCATAACTTAGCTTACCTTCTCCTCAGTCAGGTCGTAGGGTAGGTTGGCGACCATAACCTTGTTCTTTGAGGGGATTCCGTCAGCAGGCGGTCCACGCTCACGTCGTTCACGAGCAGGTCCCTTTTTCTTCTCATTTCTGTCAGTGTCCGTCTTATTGGTGATGTCGGTTAATGGTAGAACCTCAGCGGAATCGGGGGCAGCGGCGGTGTTCGCGGCTCCCTCGGTAGTTTGGGCATCATCTTTGCCACCCTCCTAAGTCATATTGTTAGCTATGTTGTCAACGCATATAGGCATGAGGGTTCAACATACGGCTCGGCCGCCACGTCCAGCGCGACCAGCACGACCGCGACCGCGTCCACGGCCACGTCCAGAAGCACGGCGTCGAGATCCTTCACCACCGGCTTCACCGTTGGTGGCTCCTTCAGCCTTCTCACCAGCTGGCTGAGGAGTGCGGGCAAGCTGAACAGAGACCTTGCGGTCGAGAATTTCCTTGCCGGACAGCTCACCAATGGCACGCTCAGCCTCGGTCGGGGTGGAGAGATCGACGAAGGCATAGCCAACGGGACGATCGGTGCGGGGATTCTTGGGAATGGAGACGGATTCACTAGACAGGGATAATGATTAGTGCATATTCAATCGGAAGAACATTTATTAGGTGTAGCGGTCAAGGATATAGAGTGGGCTAGACTCTCAATAGACCTAGGTACCGATAGAAAACTGTACCCAATGGTGCTAGGACAATTGTTTGTAGCCAATATACTGCTGGAATGAAGTAGCAAAGAGCTCGACGAAACAGTGCAAGGCTAAGTAGGACAAGGAAATTGAACGGGGAATGAGTCAACAAGCAGGCAACCCATCACATATTTGTTGGCCAAATTGCCACAGGATGTCCACATGTTAGAAGAAATAGATGTCAAACTTACACAAGGTAACCCTTGAAGAATTCCTTCAACTCCCCCTCGGTTGTCGCATATGCGAGGTTGCCGATATAGAGACGGCGACCCTCGGCGGCACTGGCATGGACAGCATCCTTGGCATCGTCCTTTTCAGTGATTGAGGCATTGCTCAGAGCATTGGTAACGTCATTGACAGCGTCCGCAACTTTCTCCACGGGGGCAGCCATTGCGAAGGATGGTTCTGGTTGGGAGATTAGTTGGAGGTAGGTTGATCGAGGTAATGGTAGACGTTAAAAGCGTTCGGGTTTAGGTTCAGTATTGAACTCTTGAACAATTTCGGGGGAGGAATAGGGTGGCTACGTGCCCTAGAGAAGATTGAAAGAGTTGGGTTTGGAGTTGAGTTGCAACACAACGAGCTTGAGATTGATGAGATTTGAGAGGTGTGAGGAAGAAATGGAAGAGAGACCAGATGTTCAGACGCGGCCAGAATTTTTTAAGGGTTGTTGTTTCTTGTGTGGGTCGCGGAAAATAATAGAATTACGGCAGGTGTGGGGGAAGTGCATATGATGGGGCTTGGCAGGAGTGCATGGGCCAATCACGTAAGAAATGTAAAAAGTGGGTTGGGAAGTGGGTAGGTGCACATGTGTGGAATAAACGTACCTTGTCGTAATTGTCTAATTGTCGTTAACTGCGTGAAGCGTGGATGAAGGAAGGTACCTATTATGATCAGTACGGGAAGGTAATACCAGGTATTGAGAGGTTCAGTCCAGTTCAGGTAATGTTATGTGCAGGTGCAAGGAAAATAATATTGATAGGAGAGATTTTGCATTAGATTTATATCAGGAAGGGAAGAGTTGCATACCTTTCGTTACTGTGTTGAATAATTGAAGTGAAGGATAATGTACAAGCGAATTAATTATCTGTGATTGTGTGATGAAAGATGGTTGAAAGACGGTGTGTGGTGAAAGGATGTTAAGTGGGTTCCAGGAACCATATGATACAGTAAAGATTATTGGCAGGGAAAGAGGTGTAGATTGGCAGATCCAAAGGTGAAAGAGCGTGAATTGCTGAATGGTATTAAATGGTAAAATAGTTGAATGGACCTGCTGATTCTACTGAATTCACTGTTGTTCTTGCCTTCTTTAACTTATTAGGGAAAAAATCATTTTCAAAAAAAGAAAAAAAAAGAAAAAAAAAAGTCCATCTACACCTGTAAGGCATGCAATCCGCACTTGCCAACTAACTACGACGTAAATAAACGGTGCATGTACAGACTGTGGGAAATGATTAGGATTTCTATATAAAACAGTGCACATAATGCTTTCCAGTGAATCAAACATCATACATTCACATTTACATATGGTAATATTCTACTTAATAGGCACTATATATAGTATAGATAGTAGCCTCTGTCAATATTTTAATCTATTTAGTATTCACTCGGCATAGAACATGCCTAAGTATCATATAGTAGTACCTTAGGTATTGTAAGGAACTATTCCATTGGTCACAACCTTATTATTGACACGGAGTCCTCTCAATATTGAAGGCGGTGACACCGCATTTATCTGTATAATACACGTAAATAACATTGAACATCGAAGTGTAAGTATGTAGGTATGTACCGCCTGTCTGTCACCTCAGGAACATACTACGCTAGCATTCTAGATATCTACCCAGGACCTAGTATATGAGATTGATATAGTTATGTACCTAAAGATATTAGATGCATCTGTCATGGTCATGATCATGATCATTCCCGTAGGCAGATATCATATGTACTTGACAAGGCTTAAACAGGCAGGTAGGCATACAACTATACGTTATCAACCTTGGAAGTGTCAGGAACATCTGAATTATAGCGCTCAGGCGCCGAAAGGAACATTAAACCTGGTACTAATTATCATCTAGATCAAGTTTACCTAGTAGGAACGTGCTTGGGACATCTGGATTGTCGAAATTGGATGCTGCAGAAAAGGTCGACATGCATTGAAAACAGCAAATTGCGCTATCTCAATGCTTGCACCACGCGTCTTTCTTTGTCAGCTAAAATATGTAAAATGTGAGAAATCATAATTGAAATAACAATTCAATAACTACATGTATTCAATACATGTATGTATTGTACATCACTAGGTACTACGGTAGTCGCCCGTCTCTATTGTGCAATTGCTAGCATTGAAAGGATTGTCAAAGGAAAGAATGAGTCACATTGGAACAATTTCTCATTGTCATTGACAAGTTAGTTACTAGTTAGCCAGGCTGTAGCCAGGTTAGCCTTCCTCGTGCCCCAACAAGTTACAACCAAACAGCCAAGTCACAATCGGCCGACACATTCTGGAAGCTTGAAAAGAAAGAACCTTGAAACCTTGTTTCCGGGGTTTTGACGATCGAGCCACTTGAGAAGCATTGAAGGGCAAAGCGAGCTTTAAAGGCAGGGATCTGGCTAAATGTACCCTGCGTGTCAGTGCGTTTCTACACCCCACACGCCCAAAGACGCCATCCATACCAGTGGGCCTAGGACCTAAATGACCTAAAAGACCTAAAAGACCTAAAAGACCTAAAAGATCCGAACATAGCACCATGGCCACCATGGCCCCCTTTACCGCCCCTTTACAAGTTTATGTAGTACATTATGTATGTAGTACAGGAAGAAAAGGACATCAACTCGTGGGCAAGTATCGAACGATATTCAACGATTGCATGCCATCTATGAATGTTTTATATAAAAATTAAGCACTTTTTACTTAATCTATAACATTTCAATAGTAGTTATGTAGTGCCACATATATATTGTTCAGTCAACTGATACCTTAATACCTACCTAGGGTAGCGTGATACTATTCGTAACGCACATATGCATCTATACATACATATGTATACATGTAAGTACAATAAATACTGAGGGTATCAGACTGTCGGTCAAATGAATGGCATACATAGTAATGCAGACTTGGAAAGGGATAAACATTCTCAGGTCTTGATATCAAATATGACACCCTATCATCTATGTAAGCAACAATGAATGAGCAAACAATGCATAGGCATGTGTGAGGTGAATATCCCAAAGTTGGGTTTGGCCACATGGCTTTGGCGGCGTGTTCGGCTGGGCAATATACATACATACCTACATACATACATATGTAGGTTAGCTCATTATGTAGCTCCTGTTGCGTGCAGGAAGTATCAGGTATTGGCCAAACGGACAGCCTTACCAAAATGCCGGCACCTCAGAGTGCAGACGACTAATAAATTTGTATGACAACGTTACTCTGCAGCTCCAACTCAGGAGCGTGATGGCAAATGTCAGTAGGTAGGTATCTATTTGTAATGATGGCATTAGGTATTGTGCATATGCCTATGCCTACACACACCTAGGTAAGATACATATCGATGTCATTGGGGGTCTAGATAATAATATACTATGCATTTGCTGCTAGGTATCTACATGTACTATATTAAGGTTAGTTGAATTAATAAAGAGCCTCATTACCGCCCATGGATGTCCTATATTCACACGATACTATCGCTTTTAATCATCAATGATCCAAGTAGGTTCCATTATATACCGCCTTTTAGCGCCATGTCTAACGGCCCAACCCTAAGATACTTGCCAACTTGCGTACCTAATGATCGATTTTCTTATCCCACTTGACTGGTCCCATCAACGGTCTGATATCCTGACAGCTGTCCTATGGATTCCGCCCACAATGCTAATCATACTTATTATGTAAGTTAGGGAGAACTATGCCCTATGGACGATCTTCTGGGGCATTCTGCTCCGTGTCCTCTGTGTCCTCTGTGTCCTCTGGGCTTTTGGAGCCTTGCCTGAACCCATAAGCTTGCTCAGGTGGTCTTGATGATTTGGAGAGCTTGTGGTACATATGCAACATTCAAAGTTGTGACTTTTGTACAATACAAACGATTTTCTTTAATGTGTAATATGTATAGTGGATACAGTATTATGTACCTAAGTATGTACAACCTTGACACATGAATAAACTTCTGGAAGTTACTACCTAGGTACATGGTATTTACTATTTACAACATTGAAGTTATAATATGACTACTACATAGTAGGCAAGTGCAACTTTAGTGCTGTGTATGTACCTACTTAATCTAGGTGCATGTTTGTAGGTATTGTACATTGTAGATACGTAGTGGCAGTAGCTACCTTATGTAATCATGTTCCACTATGACATAATATTCTGCTCAAGACGGAAATCAATCTCAAAAGTTTGAACGGTTGAGGTCAAAGGTCAGTTGAGCAGGTGCGTGTAAGTTCATAGTTAGTTATCCTTATCTTATCAATCTCATCTCCCGAAGTTCAAGGTTCCTTGCGATTCAATCCTTGCCAGTTCAGACGGTCCCTTGCACCGCACCGATCTCCTCCTTGGTTCTCTTCCACCTTTTTTTTTCTTGACGCCCTGACCATTATGACTACCTAACGGAGCCAAAATAATGACAATGGCAGCATCATCGCCGGGGACGAAAGCCTCACAGGTACAAGTTGACAATAGACGCATACTCATCCTTTATGGTTCCGAGACCGGGAATAGTCAAGACTTGGCCAATGATTTGGAAAGCCTTGCCGAAAGGCTGCACTTCCAAACAATGGTTTGCGAGATGAATGATGTTGAACTTGTAAGTTAACCTCGATTCACCATCGTAAAAAAAAAAAAAGGGTAAAGTTACCGGAAAATACCAAAGAAATCTACCGAAATCTACGAGAAAGTCGATATATTCCTACCTAGGGCATCTATTCCTTCACATCTTATTCTGTTGTGTGTTTACCGTATTTATTGTTCTCTTTTTATGCATTCATCCATTGATCCATTGATCCATTCAATGTTCATTGATTTATTATTCTACCACTCTACCACTTATAACACTTACAACACCTAGCATGGGCAACTCTTGGTAACATGATCTGCCTTGTCTAGAATACTTTACTACGATACCCTCTGATCATCTTCATAATTTCTACTACTGGTCAAGGCGAGATACCTCGAAACGCACTCAAGTTCTGGAAGAGCCTCCTCCGCAAAAGATTACCTTTAAATTGCCTTCAGCTTGTCAAGTTTACTACCTTTGGCCTTGGCGATAGTTCATATTCCAAGTATGCACGCAAACTTCATAACTCATAACTCATAATCCCTAATCCTTATCCTTAACTGCTTAATTACATCATACTTACCAGTGCAACCTCCTTCTCTAACCAATCCCCTCGATGGCTTTGTAGGTACAACTGGGCTGTTAGGAAGCTTCACAAACGCCTTGAGCAGCTAGGCGCGACCGAATTCTACCCACGTGGCGAGGCTGACGAACGTCACGAAGACGGGTAAGCAACTTTGCCGCCGCCTCTCTCCGATATACCCTTTTTCTTCTTTTTTCTTTCTTTTTTCTTTTTTCTTCTCATCAATTTTTTTGGGGAGCTTTGGTAAAGCAGATTAGAGATAGTTGTAAGCTAATATTTCCTCACAGTATTGACGGCACTTTTTTGTCTTGGTCTTTAAGTCTTCGAAATCATCTTCTGAGGGAGTACCCATTACCCGAGGGCTTATCACCAATACCCCCAGATGTGCAACTTCCCCCCAAGTTCACTCTAGAGCTGATACCCAACATGGATTCCGCGGATCAGCCAATGCCTGACCGTGATGCACAGCAGAATGGAGGTGTGAGCTCAAATAGTGTAGATCATTCCTCGGCCGCCGCCAGACCAACGAATGGGCACAACACGCACCAGACTGAGCAGCCCCACTCCCAAGAACAGATTCATGATACAACTGCAGCGCTATTCAGCCATGTTGATACCCCTAACCCAATGCTTTTGGAACAGGAACTTCGAGCAGAGAGAGTATCTGCCACTAGCAATGCATACTCTGCTCGCCTATCGGAAGGTACAGCCAGAGAAATCCCCGGCGGGATAGATATTTTAGACCGACCTAATGTACTGAGAGATGATCCATCAAAGTACTCTATTGAGGACACAAGTGGCACTAAGGAGGCTCTTCCTCCTGCGGATCTTCTCCCAATACCAAGATCGTGGCCAGCCGTCCTGCGGGAGAATCGTCGCATTACTCCTACCAATCACTGGCAAGACGTTCGTCACTTGGTCTTTGAGATTCGCGCGCAGCCGACCCCCAATAGAAACGATCTCGAATACTTCAGCTACGTACCAGGCGATACAGTGGTCATCTACCCCAAGAACTTTCCAGCGGACGTGCAAGCCCTGATCGATCTCATGGGCTGGCAGGATATTGCCGATATGTCCTTTGAGCATCGTGCAAACCAGCAAAATATACTGTATTCACGACCTAGGAACTGTCACCCACTCCCGCAGTCTACCCTGCGGCAGCTTTTAATTCACAACTACGACATTACAGCTATCCCGAAGCGTACGTTCTTTCAAGAAATCGCGTTTTATACGGAGGATGCTACGCACAAAGAGAGGCTTAGAGACTTCGCGAACCCTGCGTTATCAGACGAATTCTACGACTACACATCTCGACCCCGACGATCTATCCTCGAAGTTCTTCAGGACTTCCCTTCTGTGAAGATTCCCTACGAACACGTTCCAACTATATTCCCAGTTATCCGAGGCCGGGAATACAGCATCGCCAGCGGCGGGTCGCTCCTTAAGAGTGCGGTAAATCCTCAAGTCACGCGAGTTGAACTCTTAGTCGCTTTAGTCAAGTATAAGACAGTATTGCGAAAGACTCGACAAGGGATCTGCTCACGCTATCTGGCGACTCTCAGTCCTGGCACTGTTATCAACGTCGGCCACAAAGAGTACGATACCCTTGAAGCAAGCTTCTGTCGTCGGCCACTGTTAGCCATCGCCCCCGGCACAGGTATTGCGCCAATTCGTGCCCATATCTGGGATCGACGGGATGAGCCACATGCTGGGGATGCTGTTCTCTTCTTCGGCGGTCGTAATCGCAACGCGGACTTCTACTTCAAGACTGAGTGGGAACGCCTTGGGGTTAAGGTCTTCACAGCATTTTCTCGGGATCAAGATGAGAAGATCTATGTGCAGGATCGCATTCGAGAACAAGCACTGGTAGTCTGCGACTACATCGACAGAGGTGCCGTGATCTGTATTTGCGGCAGCTCGGGCAAGATGCCAGAGGCAGTTCGGACAGCACTTTATGACGCCATGGTCATTGGAAAGTTGGCTCCTGATCGTGAGACGGCTAAGGAGATTATACGTACAGGAAACCCGATATGGGAGGAGGTTTGGTGATGGCTAGTGGGAAAGGGCGGTCGATGAAGGAACACTTGGTCATCAGTCTACTACTCGAACTGGACTCTGCAATGGGTACCAGTTGCTTATAGTTTCACTGCCCATATTTGCCTAGATAGGTAGACGCACTAATTCGCATTGCATTGCATATTGCGTTGCTTGAAACTTGTATTTCGATCCCTCGCTTCATGGTGGAACAAAGTTCTGTAATCACAGGCAACTCATGGCTGTTTGTGTATATACTTGACGAGCCAGTTGAAGATTCCCCTGGTGGTTGCGGGTAAAATTTGCCAGCATACCATGTAGTATTCGCATCCTACCTACCTTCTAATAAGTACCTACTAAGCATCTCAAAGCAAGCAGGTACGGATATCGTCCATACATAGTAGTCTCTTAGCCAAGAAATAGTAGCATTGTCTGGTGATGCTGATAAATCACTGCTGGGTATCTTTAAAGCTACATGTAGGCACCCAGGTAGGGTGCGTACCTGGGTAAGTGAGGCATAGGGAGGGGATGGTAAGGAGAAGGAGAAGTAAAAGGAGGGAAAAAATAAGCCCTTGCTCGTGAAGCCTCGGTGTTTTGTATTGGAGAAGTCTACGAACTGTATGTACATACTTTAGGTAGGTATACACATTGGTAGGTACGCATACACCTCGTGTGTATGACAGGTATGCGGGCTGTACACCGACTGGCTCAGACTACATGAGTTAGGTACAGTAGCTAGCCTATCTTAATTGGGAACTCGGTGGGAAAAGAAGTCGAGTCGTTGCGCTGCGCTGCGCGGCCAAGAATCACCGGTAACGATCTTTCTTTCTTGTGTCTAAGGTAGTGGATGATACGAAGTGTGTGGTCGTATTATTGTGTGCTGCGGAACAAGCACAGGAGCATGAAACAGTGCCCCCTCGAGACCAATAATTCAACGTGGGGGCTGAGGCTAGATGATTCTTAAGGTGGCATTAAATCTTGAATATATGTAGGTACTAGGTATGTACAGATGATGTATGCAAGTAGTTGTTTTGCTCCGTTTTTATGTACCTGGTTAGTGTGGTTATATACTTGTTTTGTTTGTATGTATGGGTTGTCTACACCGAGTAGGAGACGTCATGTCTCAACACCAACCATGGGTTCTCTAGTGTACCTAATAGTGGCATCGACGCCACTGCTTGCTTTCTCTCTCTCTCTCTCCTTTCACCTCCCCTCTCCTACCTCCTGCCAGCATGTAAGCATCGTAGATAGGAGCTTCCCCCCTGGGGTCCTTCTTAAAGGAGGACCTACTATCCTCGTCCGATATTTCAATTAGTAGAACACAACAGGCAACTATAACATGACAACGTGCCTCCCCCCCATCGATATGTTGCACATTGAAGACTTGATACCGCCCTGCCCAAGCCCCCCTTGGCCCCCTCGCTCGAACGCCATTCCATTTGCATGGTAAATACACGCGTGGTCCTCATAAAAAAAATGCATCCCGCTTGATACACATTAACAATAACAATATTTGCCTCCTGCCAAACTCCGTTGCTAGGGTCTTAGGCATATAAGCATAAATGAGGGCTAGTAAGTAAGTTGTACATCCCCAAGATAAAACCAAACATAGAAATGAAAAATCGCAAAAAAAGGGTGGTTCGTGTAGGAAGATCAGTAAGAGTGAGTAAAGATGGCGAATGACTGGCTTCGGATATGATATATAATTAGGTAGGAATGCTATCGTTCCTCCCAACTATATCGTTGTGATGCCGGTTGAGGTATGTGAATGATATCACCCCCGTCTATCCGACTAAGTGCTACCGTTTCACGTGCCACTGCTAAACGCGCCTCCTCCTCAACTGTGTAATTGCTCCCTAGTGTGTCCGCCGTGGACACGCGACGAGACATACGAGAACATTCCTCACTCCCCTCCCCTGAGCAGGGAATCGGTGGCATAGGGGGGTAAACAATGGTCTGGCCGTTAAGGTGGAGCAGTCCAGGGGTTGGTGGTGCGGAAGATGGACACGGGAAGTGAACGTCCTCCGGCAAAGGCCCGAGACAGATCACCCGGGATGCGTCGATTGGCGTCCTCTGAAATGTGGCAGGAGGTGGTTGTGGTGTAGATGAATGACCCGTTCCAAAGCCGGTGATCGAGGCGGAGCGGTCTAACGTACCCGGTTCAGGGATACTGGACCCAGACGGCGAAGATGATGCATAGGTGAAGTTTGGGTTGGACGTTGAATGGGATAGGGTTTGTGTAGGAACGAAACCCATGGGGGAATATCCATCCGGTATCCTGTTCGTCCAATCACCTTGAGAACTCAACGGCGAAGGAAAGTTATTGCTTGAAGTATCATATGTATGGCTCGATATCGGTGACGGACTTTCGAGAATCTGATTTGACTGCTCATATTGCTGTGTTGCTGGGTTAATGTTGTAGTACGCCTTGACCGGCGGTTCCGCAGCACCGGAGCTATACTGAGGTGCCATTCTTTGCTGCTGTTGCTCTGATTGGCGTTTCGCATAATGATAGCCACTCGCCCTCCGTCCTCTTCTTCGGCCAGCATCTGTGGCCTCCAACTCTACCGGATCTGGACCTGGTAGTTCGTAGCGCTCGTGGCTGGAGTCTGCAGCAAACTCAAACAACTCATTCTCTTTCTCCTCGTGCTCTTCACTGGTGCTTCCCTTGGTTGCTCTTCGCATGGGGAAACTCTTCGACATCTTGGAAACAATCCGTCCCAAAGGAGTAGTCGGTGTTGAAGATTCGATGGTCGAAGCCTTGTCTTTGAAAGGCTCATCGGTATTTTTCGCTGCTCGTTGTTGTCTCTTTTTTCTTCGGCGCAAAATTAAATAAGCAATGGCAGCGGCTATGCCTAAGAAAGATATCCCTATTGCCAGACCGACAATCTGCGACTGGCTGAGACCTGATGCGTTAGAAGGTCGTGGGGGAGGACCAGGATAGGGGCTGTTATCGGATGCCGCGATGGTTTTGATAGATGTATCTCGAAGCGGATTCTCTGGAAACTTGGCCTTATGCACCGAGAAGGTACTCGTCTCATAATTCGTGATCAAGTAAGCTTCTTGGAAGAAACTCCGTCCTATGATGACTCGATTATCGCCATCCGCTCGTTTCAAAGGGAAATAAGGTATTGCTGCTTCTTGGTATTCAATAAGATTCATGAATGGGTAACGAAGGTTTTGGATGAAAGCACTGGCGGAAATTGTGATGTTTACAATTCCTGGGACATTGAGAGGGTCCCCAAAGTTATCTCGATTATCTCTACTTGAAAGGGCAAAAGTGAATGAGAGATCCGGGGACGAGCGGAACCGTTCGAGATTATCATTGTCCGTGAACAAGTATAATCCTAATGTCTCATTCCATGTGAGATTCAGATTAGCAGCAAATCTATCGCATATTACTGGGGGGAGCCAGAGATATGGGGTCGAGCTGTCAAGTAGGGCCACTACAGACTCGTTGAAAGATGACAATGCGACTGACGGGGTTGACCAGGAAGCTGGTGCCCCGGTAATATCAGATACCGAGGCGGTAATAGACCTCACAAGCACCTCGGGTTGTCTAGTGGTCGTATTGAGGCTAAAGTTGACATCGTGGGGTTCGAAACGATTGGCATCATAACCACCCAACGTCAAAGATAAAGGGATGCCTCTTGAACCACCTGGACGTTGTTAGGTACATTCCATCAAGAATAAAGTCATGAAAAACTCACCATAATATGCTCCAGCTGTATACCCATAGCTATGACTTGGGATGATGCCGCTTTGCTCCACCAGGGAGGCAATAGGACTCTGTGCAACGACGTTGTTGAAGCGACCGGGTGTGATGCCTAGACCAAAGAAACCAGTATAGTAGCCGGTCTCGTTGAAGCCGGCTAGCAATTGCTTGTTAAAAGAGGTTTGCCAACGTCGTACGCTGTCGTATGCAACAACTGTCTCCATCGCGTAGTCGCCATTACCGCCCAGGCCGAGATAGTTCAAACCAAGCTGCCAAGCACCGAGCGACGTCCAACTTCGTGATGCGCTAGGGCTATAAACACCTCCGCGGGCAAGGGCACAGAGGCCATCTGATTAGACTGGTTAGACTCTACTGAGTAAAATTCGGTTTCGATTCTCCTTACTAGTCCCACAACCACCTGTTTCAACCACCCAAATCTCGGATACACTCGTGCTCACAGTAACATCAATCTCTTGAGCTGGCTCCCCTACGAAGAGACCAATGGAAGACCAGTTACCATCAATGCCATACCTATATCACAATTAACTCCATGTCCATCGTAATCTGGAATCAGGGTTGACGCGCCATTTCAGAGAAGGTTCAATCCATAAAGCTTCGAGGTCGTCGGCCTTGACTAAATCGGGTACGAGCAACGTCCCAACGATGGTTACGAGAAAATAGGCCAACATTGTCCGACTGTCACAGCGACCAAGCAGTCGTACATGAGGCGCGCAAGGTCACCAGCCTTTCCCTTCCCCTTTCCCAAGCTTCATGAGGATTTTGCGCAGACGTTGAAGCAATTTCGATAATTTTGATATTTTTCATACAAATCGACCAAATTCGAAAGTGACGCGGTTCGGTATGAAGACGATGTGAAGATGGGTGTTACCATGTCTTTACCGACGCGCCCGAGACTGATTCGGAACTTTACTGACGTTGTCGATCCAAGTTTCGTTGCAGATTCGCTGCAAATTTGATTACCTAGTAATAGGTACAGGAAGAGAAATGTAGACAAACGAAATCATCAAGTTAAGAAAGGTTTCCGTCAGTGGCGGGATCTACCGGGGCACATCTACCATAGTAATGAACGTTTTGCGGGTGTTGGCCATTGCCCAATGCCATGCTTGCCATGACCCATGCCATCCCATCCCATCTCATCCCATGCCGCGCTCCATGCCACGCCTAGTGCAGATCAACGGAGCCTGCTCTCTGATGCGTAGTACCGATTTGCGTGGCACAGGACATGGGGGTAAGACACTTTGTGGCTAAAATGCAAGTCAACATGGTCTTGTTAGTGGAGGTCTTATCAGGGGCATGACCAGATGGCCAGACGGCCTGCAATGGAACCATGAAGCTCGCTTTCGCACCTACGTATATACCTAGCATACCTAGTACATACTTAGTAGGTAAGTATGTAGGTAAGTATGTAGGTAGGCAGGCAGGTAGGTACATACCTACATATGTAGCACATAAACTATTATAACGTCAGTGATTATGGATAGCGCCCATAGGTATATATTCAGACTTAGGTATCAGATACCTGTCAGTTAGCTGACTAGGTTAGATGGCTATATTTCTAGTTAGATACCTACCTACTAGGCCTTAGGTAGAATCTAGATATCTACATAGTAATATGCAGAAAGGAGGCGGAGGGAGAAAACAGGACAAAAGAATAAAGAGCGGGCTGAGTCTGGGCCAAATGTTGTTAGTACCTAACAGGTGCTATGTAGTATTCGTGATATTATGTATTGATGTTGGCATACATAGCATCTCGGCGTTGCTTATCAGTATGGTTTTCCCCAGACCCTACCTACGTCTTACCAGGATCACAGTACATACACACGTGTAGTTCGTGGATTACCTATGTACAAATTACATATCTCGGGTTCTTGGTATGTATGTAGTTATTTGAGAGTCCGTGAACCGTTCTTCTCCTTTGGCGTACCTACATACCCACTCAGTGGTATGTGCCTTTTTAACATGAGCATTGGCCCACCTACCTAGATTGCCTGTAAGTTGGACGCGTTCGGCAAGGCTAGGCCTAAAACCCATCTACATAGTGTAGTGATGTTACATAAGTACGGTGAAGCAGATATGTAGACCTACATTAGTATTCGTATGTACTTCGTAGGATAATTAGTGACTAGTAAGTTTTGGGCATCTGGAGATCGTCGCATGAAATCTAAGCGTTGACCAAGAGTGGTAAATACGTGGTAAATTGGATAAGGCCTGGGTAAATTCGACGATGTAGCCTCTTTTTTTTCTCGTTTCTTTTTTTGCCTCCGAATGGGTAAGCAATATGTAAGTTTTCTGACGTATACACCGGATAGTACTAGGTATTTTATGTAGCTGGATATGTAGAATAGTAAATTGTAATGGTAGGACTTGACATACAGATGTAGTTATAAGATTAAAGAACATTCTTGAAGGAACATTTTAGGAAAATAACCTTGAACATTGAAAGAAGATTGCGAAGTACTAGGTATTGTACAATTGTATGTGGTGGCATTGTGGTCAGAGTAGCATGGGAGGAATGGAGGGAATTTGGTACAAAATAGTTCCGTTTGAGCTCGGTGGGCTCGAGTAACCTAGGCGGGGTCAATTATGATGAATTGAATGTTAGTGCCCTCCTTGTGCCTACCCCCAAATCGCGATTTGCTACCCATGTTCCCAAAACCCGTATCTTTTTCATCTGTTCCTTCTCAAGTTCAAAGTTCTCCATCATGTCAGGTACCTAGATACATACATGCAGTGTCATGCACGATCCAACAGTATCGAGGATTTGATTGGCTAATGAGGGGCAGCTAGCCGGAGTTACATATCCGTAAGCTTGACTTTTTCGTCCTAGAATGGACTCGGTCGGTACCTACCTCAACTTTCACTGTTCCAATCGTATTAAATCGTAAATCGTAATAGGTAGTTACAACTTACGTCCCTCTAGGGTCCCAACTCCCGCATGTGTCGTCCTTTTGTCTTTTACACTTTTTGTCTCTGTCGCATGTTCTGACTTCCAGATCGTCGTCTTACCCTTCTAGAACAAATATCTATCATGCAGCTTTCAACTTCTAGTCTAATAATGTTGCGAATGTGATACTACCTATATAGGTACGCAAGCCACTCCTACATAACTCGAGTATAACTAGAGTATGTACCGAGAGGATCACGGGAGGATTCCTCGTGTACAGGACTGATGTCTTTACCGCGGTTCTTTCAGGTACAGCCACGGATCCAACTCATCGTCCTGTCAGCAGCCTCGTTTCAAGAAAAAAAAACCAGATGGCACAATGACTTCATAAGAATCCTTATTATTGGAGATATCGACAACTGCGTCATCGAGCTCGTATGCAGTATTTACCTATAACTATACATACATATGTATGTGTAGTAGGTAGGTAGTACGTACCTACTTATACACAGTATTACCTACAGTACCTAGTAACTAACCTAGCATACTACCGGCCGTCTGGACAATATACTCAATCTTAGCTAAGCATCTCGCTTCACACTCTGCCATAGGAGTGAACACCCTCCTCATGTGTTGTCCCTGACGGTCGGTACCTACCAGTAAAATGTCGTCCTCTGGCCTTCACCCGGCAAATTTAATTGATCATCTCTTCTCTATACCACCTTGCCATTCTCCTCACGATATTTTCCTAGGCCCACGTAAATTGCCCGAGGTCGTTTCTCGGCTCTTCGTCTTCAATTACGCGTTTTCAGATTCAAAGGTCGAATAGAATAAAGCAAAGCGCAACGATAAATCTAACAGATCGACGTGACTAAACGACATAATGCATTACGCACTCGTCTCTGTTATATGAGTTGGTTTGAAAGTTCCACGCAACCTAGGTAAGGTAGAGTTGCCTGTATAGTATGGGGTTTGCGTTTCCGGGGATATGCATTCTTCCCCCTTATTAGGCGGTATCCCAAATGAATCGGCCCACCACTCAGGCCAAAAACGGTGCAAATCAATTTTCTACCTACTCATACTACTGGTCACCTTCGAATTCCCATGCTTGTGCTTCCCAATCATACGGTACTTGAAAACCAACTTACTGGCCGTTCCAAGTTCGTCTGGGGTACTTCACATAAAACATCGCGGCTCGGCCATGTTTGCCGTCAACAGATGCAGAGATCTCACAGCGTCCCGTCTCGTCTCGTCTAGCCCTCTTGCTTATATTACACGTGATGTATATTCTAATAAAACCGTATCAACTCACACCCAGATGTTAAAACCCGAGAAATCGGTTCTTTCTCGATGTAAACACCCCGGTGGCAAGCACCGGTTGGAAAGAAGATAGGGCTAAAGGTCCGTACTTGTCTTGGGGTACGCGATGCTTGTTGTAATTCTAGCATTGCTCTATGCTGTGGTGTCGCCAAGTCATGGCCTAGAATGGGCCAATACTGGTCAGTTGAGACTCTCGTTAGTCTTCCGTCTCTCACGTATTCTCATTATTGACCGTCAAATAGAGTTCCGCCCTGATCGACTTAATAAGAGGATACTGTCTCGAAATGAGTCTGTGACGGTGATAGTCACAAGCTCGTTTGACATACTAGCTTCTAGTCTTTCAGTAGCGGGCTCAGAGCCGTACCGGAGACCTGCAGATATCGATTCCATTACGACGACGACAGCGACGACGGCTGCCTCTATTGATGGTAAATCTGATACTGAGGAACTCTCTGCGGATGGTACCAGTTCATCAGGATCTGATATCTGGTGGAATCTGTTCAACTTGGGGACCATCACCTCCGTTGGAAGACCAACGCTTGTACTACCTTCATCAACACCGGTCAGGACACCTCCTATCTCCATCAGTAGCTCGAGTTCTACTTCGAATATAGATAGTGGATCCTATCCGACGGCTTCGTCATTCACTTTCAATACAACATCAAAACCATATTGGAATACCACTACCGGCAATTCGTCACCGTTAGCACCCCCGCTGGCCCAGCCACCGCCGATCACCAGCAGCACGACTTGGACTACTGCTACGCCAAGCGAGTGCCCGGGAGGAGATGCTGGCCTGTTTACTACTACGACCTACATCATCACTCACACCTCTACGACGACCTGGACCGGAGACCCATCGGATTATACGCCTCCGTACCCTCCAATAAGCACACCAGTAGGGTGTACCCCTAAACAGAGTCCAACCGGTCGATTCACGATCACATTTTGCGATAGCACGGGTAAGACATGCTCACTCATCCATACCAGCATCGACCCAAGCACGACGGACAATATCGTCAACCCAACACGAACTGTCACTCTTGTCACAACAGACAAGAACCCCGCCGTGGTATTCCCAACCGAAGCCCCTCCTGACTATGGCGGGTCGCCCGATCCCCCCAACAACCACAACACGGCGGGGGTAGGGGATGGCAGTGTGATTACCCCCGACTATGGCAGAATCACCGATAGCACCGACCTCCCCAAGACATCGGCGACTTCGGCGTCCACGTCGACGCCCAGCATAGGCAACAACGCAGGCCAGCCTCCTCCCATAACAGTGATAGTCCAGCCCGGCGAGGTGATAATCGACGATCGCACTTTCCTAGACAACCCGACGACACCTGGAACCACCACCGTGATTGTAAAGGGCGAGACATTCATCATCGATCCGACCAGGGTAGCAGGCGCAGGAGCCACCATCACCCGCCCCCCTTCCCTCATCATTACCGGAGATAATGACGTACTTTTCCCCACAGCCACAGCCACGCCAACGCCAACGCCGACAACAACGTCCATCGGAGGCCTAGGGGTCGTGTACGGAGGTTCCTCCTCGGTCGCCACGATCGACGGCACCGTCTTCACCCTCGCGCCCACGCCCACCGTAGCCGTCGTCAGGGGCCAGACCATCACCCTTGGGCCCGCGGGGATCGTCTTCGCCTCCCAGACCTTGCACATCATCGCCGCGGGATCTTCCGCCCCTACGCAGACGGCCGTGATGGGCGGGGAGCTAATAACAGCCCTCGGGACAAACCGAGTCGTTATCGGGGGCGTGACCCTCACGTACGGGCAGAGCGGCTCTGGTAGTACTAGCACCATCACAACCGTCATCGACGGCGAAACCATCCTCATCGGCCCGGCGGGCATCATCGTGCACGACAAGACGCTCGGCGGACCGGCCGCGGATCTCACAGTGACTAAGTACGAGGTCATCGGGGGTGCGACGGTCACGCAGCTAGGAGGGACGGCGGTCGAGATCAGCGGTACGACGTACCAGTACTACATCGGCGGCGGCCGCGGTATCTCCGCGCACCCCACTCTCACCTCGACCGTCGTAGATGATGGCCACGGCCACACCCTAACCATCGGCCCCGACGGCCGCATCGCCATGTCCACCTGGACCCTCGGGCCCCCGTTCGCGTCGACCACGACGTTGGTGCCGAACGGGAATGGGAGGGATGCAATAGGAGCAGAAGGGAGCAGCAATAGCAATAATAATAACAATAATGCGGCGATGACGATACCAACGGCTACGGGGTCCAAGGGGACAGGGGCGGGGTCCGAGGAGAATAGTGGTGGTAGGACTGTGTCTATGCTAAGGCTAGGGGTTGATCGGGATGCTGCGACGGTGGTAGCGGCAATGATGATAGTGATGCTCGGCATTGGGGGGTTGGGATAAATGTTTTTCTGGCAGTGAATTACACACTAGGTAGGTATTTAACTTATTCAATTCCGTTTCTTACCTACCTACTGTACCTACTTATTACTCAGACTTCCTCTTACTCTTCTCCTTCTTCTCCCTCCTTCCAATTCTCCCTGGAACGCTTGTTCATTGCCTGGGCAGTCTACCTACCTACTAGGTAACCTATGTAGTAGTGGTTGTCCAATTCACTTCTTCACAAGGCGTGACGTGGTATATCTACCTACCTACCTACCTATCTGCTTTACCCCTGGCGCTCATGATCGGAGACAAATCAACGGATGACAGGAACGGTAAGGTTAGCTATGTAGCTTACAAAAACCAATCGTTTTGAAAGAAAGATGACGACGCTATGCCAGATACCCGGGGATGAAGAAGGGGGGGGGGGGGGGGGAAGGGGCTTGCAAGTTGTTGTTGTTGATGTTGATGTTGCTGTCGTTGGAGTAGATGGGTCAGTAGATAGTACCTGGGCATGTAGGTATGTACTAGGTTAGGCCATGTATGCAAACGTTCAACGGGATCCTGTCTTCCAAGGCTGCTAGATACCTACCTACCCACCTCAGCTAATCTCGCATCTCCTAAGCTTGCCACCTACCTACCTACCTACCTACCTACCTACCTACCTACCTAGGTACCCAATGTCTGCTGTAGGTGAGTAGGTACATGTAGATCGGTAGCCACAAGAAGGAGACCGGCCTGCCTCAACATCAGCCAATGGGACGAGAAAGCCTTCCAGCCTCTTACCTCTTCCCCCTTCCCTCTTCTATTTTACCCCATACCTGCCTACATACCTAACCTAGGCTAGTAAATAGTCATGTATGTTACCTGTAAGCTGTCATTTTATGAGTTGTGACCTGTCACCCACTCCCTCCCCCATATACCCACCTACACACATACCTACTATATTCCCCTATATCTCCTATTATACTCCGACAACGTGCATGCATAGGCACATACCTACCTACCTACATGCATTACCTCCTCCTCCTCCTCCTACAAACGTGCGCGAATCCTCCTCAATGAAACATCGGGCTTGTGGGGGGGGGGGGACCTACCTACATGTAAGCTGTGTCTCTTGACCGGTAGACGTTCGGTGACGTTTTTCTGCAGCAGCAAGTAGTGTAAAGGATTCTCGTACATAACTACCTCTACCTAATATCTTACATCCTTGCTTCTCGATTACTTGTTTAGTACCTAGGTAGGTAGGTAGGTAGGTCCGGCTTTTGCTTACTGTACTACATGTAGATATTCTGTTACCAACACTCAAAGCTACATACCTACCTCATACTCCTATTACCTAGGTAGGTAGCAGTTCCTCGGTGCCAGTAGTTATTTCCTTGTCATTCACATAGATGATGGAATTATCATGGATGGAGATAGGTTGGTTTTGAAGCATGGAATAGTATTGATGAAGATAAACATAACGGTGAATGAATTAATAACGCCCGAAAATAACGTGCGAGAAGTGAATGATAAAAACAAGTGTATATATAGTGTTGATAATCGAAAACGCAACACGATCTTACTTCAGATCGCCCTTCCCTTCCCCTTCCCAATACCACTCCCGCCTAGTGCAGGAAACTCATCTTCCCTTTCCTCCAAAGTGGCCAGGCTAGCTTTTCTGCTTTCCTCTTCTGCCAGGCTAAGCTGCAACGCAAACTCTAGATCGTCATCCGTGACCGATTGGGAGCCGGTCGCAACCGGACCTGACAATTCAGCTGGCTTGACCATGGGTGTATGGCTTGGTGACAGGGAAGTTGACGAATATGCTTTCTCCTTTATCCCCTCGCTAATCGTAACTGAACCGTCATAGTCGTCTGAGCTACTAGTCCTAGGCGACCTCGCTGAATCATCTGCACTTTCCAAAAGTGATAGACGAATTGCAGCCTGAATCTGAAGCTCGTAATCGCTCTCGTCCGTAGCATTGTTGTGGGCACTTGAACTAGTAGCCAAAAGACTTGGCCCAGTCACACTCGCATCGGGGGTCACAGTACTGCCAGAATTAGACGACATGTCAAAATCGACAGCCGAGCCTGGGTCACTAGTACTGGTACGACGATGTTCATCGTGGAGAAAGGATTCCTGCGACATCATTTCCGCGTAGTGCAAGGCTTCCTCCTCTGTAAGGTCACCAAGTCCAACCCCGAACCGAGCTTGCAATCGAGCCCGTTGTTGTGCTTGGTAGTGCTGCTCGTTGCGGAACTCTTCAGCTTCGGCAGCAATATAGCCCTCGTCACGGCGGTGGTGTCGTCGACCGGTGGCACGACCATGTATATCAGAGTGGCGCTTCCGCCGCTTGCGACCCGTCGCGTGGTTTGACGAACTGTATGCCCAGTAACGTACAACTGTCCCAAACGATACTATGCCATGGAGGACAGTCGGGTCAGGATCCAGATAAATGGCTCTTACGGCAGAGAAGTCCGAGCTACGCAACGAAGGGTACGCTGTGAAAAAACGACGGGGCATGCGGCCAGGTGATTGAGAGTTGATGGTTCGAATAGGGTCTAATGTAGACGCTAGAGGGTCCCATGCTTGAACGAGCCCGTCGCTACCGCCATGTATAAGGTATAGAGCCGACAGAGCCAAACATGAAATCTTGGGAGACTCCGTTTGAATGTTTCTTACTGGCTGAATCCTATCACTGGTATGGGCTTCTCGAGCATTCCAAAGAATTATCTTTCCCTTGTCCGTGCCTACTCCTAATAGTCTTGCCCGTCTACCGGGAATATCAGACGGAGACTGATTTGTTGGTGTCGCCGCACCGTTCGAAGTTGAACTCGTCACATCTCTCAAAGGATCTTCGAAGGTTGTGATCAGCGCAAGTTGCGAGGCATCCATATTGGTTGCAGTTATCTGGGAGCTGGCGAGCTCCTTGGAGTACAAAGACATTTCAACCCAATTATCTGAGTCTGACATTGCGATATTGGCAATATTGGACGAGGAAAGCTTGTCTAACGAGATTGGAGAGGCTGAACTGGTGCCACCAGTGCCAAATATGGAGAGGGAAGAAACGGCGACCTCCATGTCCTCTGGAAACTCTGAACTGGGTGAAGTCTGAGTGCCGAATTGGGATGGGTTCGCAATGTTTCGATGGAATCGTCGTATAGCTGAAGTTTGATCCTTTTCTAGTCCGCAGTCGATTATAAAGACATTCTCGCCAGCGCCGTGGTTATCATCACTTGCAAAGTCCACCTCAAGTCTTCGGCGCATGTCCCACCCGTGACATACTTCCCGAAAGTGGCTTGGCTTATAGTTAAGGAACTTCTCTATCTCACGAGCTTCCGCAACCATTTGATCCCTGGTCAAGCCCATACTATTTGATGGTGACCTTGGCGAATATGCACCGCGGATGGCGTCTCCACCTGACTCATCCAAACGTGCTTGCCGCCGGGTAACTTCTATCAGGTGCCAACACGTGGAACGGCCTGTATGCCATGCGAGCTTGATGCTATCGTCGGGTTTAACCTTATTTGTGGGTGCAGTCGGGGGCTGTGCCATATAAAACACTTCACCCAAGGCATTCAGAGCTACTACACACACTCTTCCCAGGGCTTTGCGCTTTTGGCTATAGCTATCGTCGACCTTCAGTGCGATGATAGGAACGCCCGGACTAAGGATCCAGCGAGCACTCATCTCTCCTGTCGCGTATCGAGGACCAGAAGGATCATAACCCAGGGCGTATGCGGTTACAACACCCAGAGAGGATCCCGTCAGGATTCCGAGCAATGACTGAGTCATGGAGGGAACAGTTGATGTCTTCGCAATCCAAACTGAGCAGATACCCTCGGAAATTCCTGGAATCTTTGGAATGTCAGGGTGATCCCCGACGAGTCTGGTGTTTTGGCCAAGGTATCTGCCACGATACTCATTGGTCGCGCGGTAGAAGACACGTCCACCGGGGAAGCCTTCCCCGCCAACAAGACCGTAAGGTTGACTTACGTCTATGACGTTAGGGACAGCGGCTGGGCCTTCACCCACCCCATAAGGTATGATATGTGGGACGACCTCGTTCAGCTGGGCGAAACCGAAGTGGTCGTCTAATCCCCATTTCTCAACCTTGCCAGTAGTAGGATCGCTAGCGCTAGCGACGCCCTTATCCGAAGCACCATGAATCACCCTAGGTGGCTTCTTTCCGCTTGGCTTGAATATGGCATGGATGGAGGTAACTGGCGATAGGAGTTTGGTGTTATAGGTCAGAACGGCACTCGCCTTCTTGCCAGATTGACTGGCTCTAGAGGATGAGCCGATACCCCCGAAATTTGTTCCTGGCTTGCCTCTAGCAAGACTACGGAGCAGTCGAGTCCTCAGAAGATACTCGCTACGCCAGGAGGCTTGCGGAGTGAGACGCGTAAAGTATCGAACTCCTGAGCACACAATGTCTGTATCATCTTGACCCCATAGTCCGCTTTGCTGTTTGCCAGCTGTAGTTAACGCGTTATGCCCAGGGAAAAATCGCTGGAACGCCATGCGCCATGCATGAGGGGTCGTTACTAGAGAATAGAATCGTTTCGATACTAGGGCCACCGAGGCGTGCGAATCGGGATGCAAATGGGACAGAATATGGGTCAAAATTTCTGTGAGATAGTTAGATCTTGTTCTGCTGATGAGAAGCACTAAACATTCACATACCATTCGGGAAGTCTGAAAGTTGACGTCCACTAGATTCTGCGCCAGCGCGTTTGATGACCTTAAAGCCCAGAGGTTGTCTGGGAACCGCAGGTGTTAAGGCATTCTCATATTCAGATATACGCTGGCCTGGAGGCTTGGCACGCGTATCGCTCGACTCCTCGTCACCAACACTCAATCGGCGCAATTGTTCTTGGAGGGTATTTGCGTTGATGCCTTTATCAAGGAATCCGGCGCGTCCGTCACTTTGCGCTGAGTGCGTTGCCCCATCGCCAGATGGCTGGCGCAGCAGAAATTGGTCGGCTGAGCCACTTGGATCATGGTGCTGAAGGCCATGTTGTCGAAGGGAGTTGGGGGTTTGAAAGGTGTTGTCGGTTCTAATCTGATTTAAGACCTCAGAAAGCTCTTGTTGCATAAAGTAGAGTTGAAGAAAAGATGTGAGAATAGTGGGTTTTGACTGTGCGATAATAGACGGCACAGTCAATATTAAAAATTATTTAGTATGACAAGAAATAAAGGCCGCAATATGTGGTTTGGAATGCTTCCAGTATGTAATTAACTAGTAGGTGTTTAGAATTGTATGTTGAGGAGGAAAGAAAATTGAAAAAAAAAAGAACATTAAAGATGATTTGATGATGACTGACTTTCTGCTGGACTTGGCTGCCATTACCTAGGTGCCCTACCCTAGGTACGAAGGTTATGGCCAAAAGTATACCGAGATATACCTCCGCCTCATAGTGCGCTATTCTTTTTTGGGCCTTTACTAATAATAGGTATACATTTAACGTTAAGTCCTTTACCATCCTTAAAAGTATAGCACCTTATAGCATATTTAAAGGCTATAATATGCTATAAACTTAAAGCTTAAAAGTCTTAAATAACCTTGAAATATTTATACTAATTTAATAAGTATATTAGCAATGTTAGTAAGAATATTTCCTACAGTGGTAGAAAAGTGGAGGAACTGTGGGGCTGAGGTATATCTCGGTCCATACTTTTGGCCATAACCTTCGTACTAGGTACCTAGTAGGTAGGTATTTAGTATTTACACTAACCATACCTCTAGGCTCCAGCTGCCTTATTTATTACCTTAGGTATTAGAAGCTAGGAGTTAGGCAAAACCTACATAACTACATGCATGTAATGAGTCGTTGCTGCTATAATAACATCATTTCTTACGTACCTACACTGCATACATGGCGCTTTATCATACCATACTGACCCACCGAGGATTTACCGAATGGACTACATGCACTCGCACTGCATAGTACTATGTAACTAACTACATGTACTATCACCACATAATACATACATAATACCCTCAATGTTATGCATCTCATAATACATATGTACTACCTAAACTACATAGAAGAGACATAACATAGTAAATATGCGTATAGTTACTAATATATCTACATATACGCAACTAATCAGCTAGACGATATGTCGTTCCGAGGAACTTTTAGGATTTTATTTTTCGTCTATTCATGGTATATCAAACCAATTACACACAATGGCTCTAGAGGGCCGCTACCGGTTGTTGATGACGAGGACGATGATGATGATTGTAAGGGGGACTTTTAACGGTTCTTCCCTCACCACCAGAGTTCGAACAGGACCTTCATATTCGGAGCAGGCGTGATAGTCATAAATATACAATTCCACAGTCAATCATTGCCGTGGGCCCTCTAGAGTCCACTTTTCAGCATCCGTTCCACCTCCAGCCTCTACTCCAAACCGGCGCAAAGCAGCTCGCTTCCCACCACCCCGTTTGCCCCTTTTCAAATACAAACAACGCATTAGATTAAAAGTACCTGGCCATCAGATCTGGGCCAGAAAAAAAGGAGGGCAAAGATCTTAATTGATGCCGAGGATTCGTAACTATTTTTTCCGGTGGTATCCAAAAATATCCTCTTGATAAACCGACCGACTTAGAATGTAAATCACAAGAAAACCTGAGAAAATGCTCGCAAGAGTCGCAATTCCTTAGGTAGGCCGCCCACGGTGGCTTCGGCGATGCCTCCTGGATGGGTATCGAACTATAACTAAAATGAAACGGATGTGACGTGCTGGTCGTTGATGTTTACTCAGTTCCAGCCGAGGGAGTTCTCCGCCGCAACCGGTGCCGAGATGTTTGCGGTACGAGCCGAGTTGTTCATCCCACTCCTTCCACTGCCTTGGCTATCCCGAGCATTGCCTGGAATTCCTCCATAACCAGGGCCGCTTGTAAAATCCCTGCTCAACAACGCACCACCCATGAGAGCCGGGCTTCCGGTCTGGCGCATTTCAGAAGGCGATGTGATGGAGCTGCTCCTCTGATGTCTCTGCTTCTTGCGCTTATACCGACGGGCAATAATAAACATGGCAGCTCCATAAGCACCAGCAACAGAAGCGGCACCTACAGCAATACCGGCAGTCATTCCTTGTTGGGCGCTGGTTGTCTGCTCACCGGGACCCTTGGTATCGAAGGGGTCATTGTTGTTAGAGCCTCCTGTGTTAGCTGTATTACCCCCGTTGCCTCCGGTAGAGCCTTGAGCACCATCCAATAGAGAGCCTGGTGAGATGCCAATGGCTGGGTTAATCTCGTTGGTCAGGTTGCGCACTAGAGGGTTCTGGTGGTTGTATAGAGCAGTGGTAGGGTAGCCGATGTCTTCCGAGAGTTGAGAAATACCCTCTGTGGGGTAGTACACCATAGCTTGCGAGGTAATGTAGCCTAGCTGAGAAATGGTATCATATGGTTTGATACTATACATAACAACCCGACCGAGATCAAAGCCACCGCCGTGTGCAAGACCCTTAGGGAGAAGGTCGAACATCTGAGAAGCAGCTAGAGGCTCATCCACAAGGTGTTGGTAGTTTTCACCGTAGAGGAACGAAATCTGGATAAGCGTTGTGTCTTCGGGTCGTTCTGGCGGCTCAGTCCAAGGAGTGATTGCCTTGGGTAAGGTCGTAGGAATGCCCGTGAAGGTAGGACGCTCGCCGGTGTTAATGGTACTAGTTGAAGGCTGAACAATAATTGTTGTAGGAAGCCAAGACTCGGAGTCCGTGATTGTGGCGATAACAGGAATGCTAGTGAATATGGGCTTTGTTGTGGACGAGGTAGTGGTCGGAATTGAAGTAGGCTCAAGTGTCGACGATTCTGTAGTTAGCACGGAACTGGTTGACGGTACAGTGGTGTTTTGCGGAACAGTGATGTAGGTTGAAGGCTCGGTGACAGCAGGCTGCGTTTCCGAGACGGTTGTGTTGGCTGAAACGGTAGGTACTGTTGGAGCGCTAGTGACATCAGGCACAGATGAGCTGTTACCTGGAACAATAGTCGGCGAGGTCGTCAAAGGCACGCTAACACTATCCGTCGGGGTAACAGGAGGTTGCGTAGTATTAGCAATGGGAATAGAGCTTGTTGAGCCTAGAATAGGAGGTATGATAGGAGGCAGGGTCAAGAGCGGTCCGTCGGAGCTTGTGGTTGAGGAGGCTGTAGGAGCGGTGCCTGGGAAGGATGTGCTTGGGAAGAGGCCAGTCGGCAGAATGGATGGCAGCAGAGTAGGCAATAATCCACCGTCCGTGTCCGTAATCGAGCCAGTTTGGCTGGCGGTCCCATTAGACGATGGAAGAATCGCGCTGGTAATTCCGCCAACAATACCACCAAGAAGTCCCCCGTCCGAGCTTGAGCTAGTTTCGGCGCTATCGGCTGCGGAGCTGCTTGGGGTTCCTGTAGCAATACCACCAATGCCACCGACGATACTAGTTACGCCACCGAGAAGTCCCCCATCAGAAGAAGATGTAGGGCTGCTAGAGCTCCCTGTACCAACGCCGCCAATGCCACCAATAATGCTAGTCACACCACCGAGAAGCCCTCCGTCCGAAGAACTCGTCGGGGTGCTCTCAAAGCTGTCGGCCGTGGAACTGCTAGGGCTTCCTGTACCAACGCCACCGATTCCACCGACAATGCTGGTCACGCCGCCTAAAAGTCCTCCGTCAGAGCTGCTGGAGCCGCTTTCAGAGCTGTTGGCTGCGGAGCTGCTTGAGCTTCCAGTGGCAATGCCACCAATACCGCCAACGATACCACCAAGAAGTCCTCCATCGGAAGAGCTTGTCGGAGTGGTCTCGACGCTATCGGCTGTGGAGGTGCTCGAGCTTCCCGTGACAATGCCGCCAACACCACCAACGATACCGCCGAGGAGCCCTCCGTCTGAAGAACTTGTCGGGCTGCTTTCGGGGGCGTCAACTGCAGAGCTACTCGAGTCTCCTGTGACAATGCCGCCAACACCACCAACGATACCGCCAAGGAGTCCTCCGTCTGAAGAACTTGTCGGGCTGCTTTCGGGGGCGTCAACTGTAGAGCTACTCGAGTCTCCTGTGACAATGGCACCAACGCCGCCAACGATACCACCAAGAAGACCTCCGTCGGAAGAGGCGGCGTCGGAAGAAACGGGAGAGCTGCTTTGGAAGCTGCTCTGGAAGCTGTCAACGGTGGAGCTAGTCGGGGTTCCTGCTACAATACCGCCAACGCCGCCAACAATATCACCAAGAAGACCTCCGTCAGAAGAGGCGGCGTCGGAAGAAACGGGAGAGCTGCTTTGGAAGCTGTCAACAGTGGAGCTGGTCGGGGTTCCTGTAATAATGCCGCCAACACCTCCAACGATGTCACCGAGAAGTCCTCCGTCAGAAGAAGAAGTTGGAGAGCTACTCGGGAAGCTGCTTTGGAAGCTGTCAACTATAGAGCTTGTTGGGGTCCCTGTAACAATACCGCCAACATCGCCAACAATATCACCAAGAAGGCCTCCGTCGGAAGAACTCGTGGGGGGGCTGGTTGGAGAACTGTACGGCGAGGAGCTACTGGGGCTGCCTCCGACGATGCCACCAAGAAGACCACCGAGAAGCCCTCCACCCGAACTGCTTGAACTCTCTGTGACGACACCAGTAGGAGCGATAATAATCCCTGAGGATGTTATAGGGATCGTGCTAGTAGGACTATAATCAGTCGCAGACTCAAAATCACTGCTAGGCTCGGGAGTAGACTCGGCGACAGTCTCGACAGCGCTCGTTTCCGTCGCAAATGCAGTACTATTGACCACAGCGGATGTAGTAGAAGAATCTCCGGAGAGATCGAGGCCAAGGGACGGTAGGGCAATTAGCGGAGACCCTAGGGCTTGGGAGTCAACATCGTTACTCGTCTGGGGCGTCGCCTGCGCGGGGGTAGATTCGCTTTTGGGGGCAGAACTCGAGTCTGAGGTGTCCGGCCAAAAACTAGAGCTAGAGCTTGCCGAATCTGAGCTTGCCGAATCTTTCGAGTCTTTGTCATCAGAAGATCCTCCCCCCAATAAGCTTGACAAAAGGTCGGATATGGTGTCCTTCTTGGTCGAGGAGTGTTTTGACGAATCGGGCAACTCGCTTTCTGTATTCTGCGCCCCTGTGCTTGTGATGGTGTGGTTAGTGTACTGCCTCTTGATGTGCCTTGGAAAGTAAATCTTCGGTCGGGTTTCGGGTTCAGCGCTTCCTAGCTGGGCCACGGCCACTAAGGCGGCCACGAGCACTGAGCTTGTATGCATCGTGGTTCGGATTAAGTTTAGTAGCCACAAGAAGGTTGCCGGTTATCTGATATCTGCGGCGGATATGTTCTATCAACGACTGCGTATAATCGTGACTAACGCAGCATTAGTCTCACGCTACTCGATGAGGAAGCGAGCTTTGACCCGACGAACTTACTGTGTCAGGACTGTTTGGAACGAATGTACTTGACAAGATGTCAACGAGTGGATGCTATGGAGAAGGTTAGATTAGCATCATCGATCTTTGATTGCTGCGGTAACGTGAGGACCGCCATGAGAACGATCCACGGTAGATCTCCCAATCAAGCGATGCGGTCCAAGAAACTCCGTTACATGATTTTGTCTCTTTGACGACTCCTGACTGCAAAACCCAACCTCAACCACCAAAATCTTGCATCTCACAACCGAACCAGTTCGTCAACTCAAACTCACCTTGTTTACAAGCAATATTGCTTGAATGTATATATGTGTGTTTTCAAAAGAGTGGCGCGACGAACGAATCGTCAGCTTAAAGAAGAAATAATAATATCAATTTGATTGTATGGCGGTTCACGACGTATCGCACAGGCGATTCTTCCGTCTCAGCGATGCATTGGTCTTGACGGATGCTGTCGACTTTGAATCAGTCGTCAGATGGGTCAAGGCTTCCAAAGTCAATAGATGACCGGCGCCGAGAGGGGGGGTGGAATATTGTCGTCGGAAAAGTTCACCTTACGTGGTCGGCGAAAGGGAGAGAAGAGCGAAAGACGGGAGGGTAAGGCGGAAGGATAAGAGGTAGGGCAGGTTGAAGGGGGTAAATGAGAAACAACAGGAAGGAAACGTGCGAGGGAAAGGTGTGGAAGGAGGAGTCGGGGCTCAAGATTGCCAAGGCACTAAAATCCAGGGGTGGCTCGTTATTGATCAGGTCCTGCTCAATGGGTCAGGGTAGGGTCAGGGAAGGAGCCAGGGGGAGAGGAAAGGACAAGGGGGGTTAAGGACCATTCAGTCTAGTTCAGTCACCACTGGGACAGTGGCAGAAGTGGGAAGTCAGAGCCAGACAGCCAGACAGCCAGCCAGGAAAGTCCCAGGAAGTCCCAGGAAGTCCCAGGACAGACAGACAGCCTGAAGGGGTGTGTGGGGTTGCGATGGCTAATTACGTGACACCAATACAGAAGTTGCCTAGTGCCTGTGGAGAGCAATAATTCCTACGCTCTTTTTTAGGAAATACTTCCAAGGCACTGCCTTTCACCAGTTTTGTTCGTTCAACGCGCTTTTGCATCATCAATTGTCTGATTTCATTCAACTTTCTTTTCCTCTTATTAACTATTCCTCTTGTTTCCTTCCTTCCTTTTCTTATAAGAACAAACCAGGGAGGAAATGAAAGGGACCAGGCAGATAAGGGAGTTAATTGAAGGGAATGAATGGAATTTCAAAGGGCAATCAAAACACAAACTTATCGGCTCATTGGATCAATTAACCTACCCCTTTTTTTGGTTCTTTTTTTTCTTCAGGATTCGACCCATCTCTTAACCTCCTGTTGTGTGACTGAAACGATGGCGACAGCGGTGCTCATATTCATATAGGTAGGTATCTGCTGTTATATTTGTGCTTCATGCACAGCCAGGTAATTAATAAATTTTCATTCTCACTGTTCAACTCCCGGCTTCCAAAGAAGGCCTAGACGCTGATAAATCGCCAAGTTTCTGCATGTGCAACTCTATAAATGTATTGTATGTTCAATGTTTTGGTGTACTTACATATACAGTGCATACGACCAACATTGAACATTGAATTACACAGATGGGCTGAGCGAATGCAAATTTTGAAAAAATAAAAAAATAAAATAAAAAAAAATGTAAAATTCCCCGTCCCTATTTTGGCGAAATTCAACATTACTATGCGATGCTGGCGTGTTGGAGGGATGTTGGTTGGTGTTGGTTCAATGTTCAAGTTGGATCATGATGGTTGGATGGTTGGGCACGTTTTTAAGATGAAGTACCTAGGGTCCCATCTGAAGATACTTGGATGACGGCGCTAATCATCAGCGAATATGAAAGTGACCACTGCCAGGAGAACAAGTCGAATGTATGTATGTATGTACATACATACAAGTTGATACAACATTGAATACATTGGTGTAAGTACAGATTTATTAACGCGTAATTAACTAGATCAGGTTCAAGTTCTCAATGCATATAAACCTTGCAACTTTATGTACTTCTCATTGGCTCGGTTACCCTTAAAATAGCGGCCTATACCCCCACCCAATTAGCTTCCGAACCTTGCTGCGCCTTCTCCTTTGCTACCTCAAACTGCTCAAACAATTTGCCAATTTCCCTAGACTGGCTCATTATTCACCAGAATCACCAGAATCACCACCTAAGCATATAGTTTTAGTACCTACTTTGCTAGACTCATGCACCTAATGCAGCTATTACCTACTATAGCATGTACATATGTATGTACATGCACCTACACGCACCTACATGCACCCGTCGGCACCACTTTTATTATTTATTCATTTTCATCAATTTCATCAATTTCATCAACCTTCATTGTCTCATTCAAAGTCGCCATGTGATGGTGAATGCGACATACAATGCGACATACAATGCGACATACAATGCGACATACAATGCCACAGTATTACCACCTAGCCTACCTACAGGTCCTACACAATACATATTACATACTACCTAATAACCCTGCCCAGCTGCCGTAATATATGCCGTTAGGTACTACTAGTAGTATAGGCCTTATGCTACTATGTATAGGTATCTACCTACCTGCCTTTCCCTCCACGGCTTGTCATCAACCAACAAAGCAAACAAGTGTCGGCAATTCAACCGACGGGAACTAGTGAAAGAGTCGGTATGTAATAATATCAATGTTCTTTTAACCTACAACCTACTACTACTTACTACCTAATATCATTTTAGAGGATCATGTCGTAGTAAGTCGTCGTGTGTGGTGTATGAGCCGTTTCATCAGATCGAAACATCAGCACAACATCCTTCCCAAACATACCTGCATACTCAGGTGTCTTTCTAGATCTTCTCTATTTCTCCAGGTTTCTCGGTTCAGACGAGTGAATTGAATCCCAAGAATTATTAAGAAGGTCGTGATACACTAATAAGAGGTCGCCAATGTCCGGTCGATAACAACCGTCCTAGGCCAAGACGGCGAATTATCCAACCAGGTCGTTAGGCAATGCAAGACCAAATGACCGAATCGCTAGTTTTAGGACTTCCGGAGAACTTCTGGAAGATCAATTGTTTCGGAGGAGCAATGGGCTCATAAGCCACTGCACCTTATCATGGGCTGCATGGCTAATAATTGTATCAGGTGCTTCGAATCGGAACATGGTGAGATTTGTATCGATTTGTATCGATTCGTAGGTCCCCTCCAATCCCAAACAGGGCAAGATGAGCGTTTCCTCGTCAAGATTTATGCGACATATGTACATAAATAAACGACATGCGGGCAATAAGGCATCCATGAATAGCAGAAGAAAGGCACTTGTTGGACACGTTTGTTTATCCTTTCCAAGAGTGGTTAACAAGGTCACATAATCGCTACCCAACCCTGGGACTCATCAGTTCTCCTCCCCAGTTGCTCCCCCATGTTATATTCCGTCCGAGCCCATGGCGCGATGGGCCGAGTTTAACTGTTTTAGAACACGAAAATCTCGTGCTTCTTCCTAGCTCGTCTCGAACATCGGTCAGCAGCGGATCTCTGGGCCAAGAACGAACAGACGGCGCAAATCTTGAAAACATATTTGTACAAATTCTGGTTGAGTCAGATGGATCTCCTATATCTAGCCAGATAGCCAAGGGCCATACTAATGTGTACTGTATTGTGCAGGTAACTAATAATCCGTACATATATACGTAGTATGAATATGTAGGTAGTTGGCATTGAAATCTGTTCGTGTCAGGATACACATGTTGTATATATTTACAACAAGTCATAGTTGCAGACGACCAGATCCGGAACCTCAGTTATATTATTCTCTTCAACCCTTGCGTGGCGTACAGAGAGCTGCTACTCGGACAAAACACTAATATTTGTGCAGGAAAAAAAAGAATAAAAAAAAAAAAAACATAAGCTGATGCATTGATCCTTCGACCACTCCCGGGTGCGCGGTAATTATTTGTACCTGCATCTTAGGGTGTGCGCCCCATGCACTTCGAATTCTCGTGGCTTCAATTCCCCCCGAAAGAAGAGTAAGATTTGTCTATGTACGTCTGTATTGGTTCCAACTTCCCAATGATCCGCAGAATTGTTCCGATCACATTCCTGATTATTGGAAAGGCTTGCCGCAAAGGTCTCCTCTCAGCTTGCCATTAAGTTATTCGTTCCTTATTACTATATCGGAGATAGCCATGATTAGATTCTGGTTCTTCGTGGAGGCGACTTGTTTCCGAATAACACGGGGTTTTGCTAACTCGGCTCTTTTAAATCGACCCGATAATACGGCGTACTACTTACATATTAGGTACCGACATACCTAGTAACACATCTGTACTAACTTCTACTATGCCGTACTGTGGTAAGGCGTCGCCAGGGACAATCCACCAAAGTCGTTTCGTTTCTACGTACTATGGGAATAGCTTACCTTTCTAGCTTCGCGGCATATGTGTGGATAATCAGGCAGTCAATGGTGATAGGCGCAATCTCTGGTTGCGTTAGCCGCTGCACCTCGTACATTAGTACCCGTCCGGTTCCTGGCTAAACTCGAATCGTAATCTCACGCTTACGTGGAAATACGGAATTGACGCATCGTCGAGCATAAGAGGAAAGGCTTCGGCCAAAATCAACAACAGAAAGAAGAGAAATAGGTAGGCTAAGTCCAGGTAATCACTTGTGTTGTTTCGACTACAACGAACTACCGGATAGCCAACCGCTTAGCTCTTCTGATGCTTGTCGCATCCTCATGACTTTGCTTTACTTTGTCGCATCCATTTCTCCAGATCATCTTAAACAGCCGCGTCCTAATTTATGAGAAGACACTACTTCTACTGACCTGCCTTACTTAGCAGACTTAGCCTACCTTCCCATAGGTAGGTTACGTACATATGTAGGTAGTAGTAGGTAAGTAACGTCGGTACCTAATAGGATTTAGAAATGAGCACGCTCCTGCAAGGGGGATGAATGAATTCGTTATTTTTATTATTACTACAGCATCGACAAATCAGAGACGTAGTTAACTACTACCTACCAGCCTACCTTAAGCAATTACTACCTAGTAGGTAGTTACGGTAAGCCTTTACTGAATCGCAACGTTGTCTGCATTGGCATATACGAAATGAGTACGATATAACCCCTGGAAATAAGCTTCAGCAACCGACCTATCACCCTGGGTCCAAAAGCTACCTATTCAGGCCCCCTACTATACTAGTAAATATTTATTCGGTGAGGTTCGATTTACCTTACGGTGTGTGACACCTGCGAACGGAGAATCTGGGGTTCTTTCAATATATGAGAAACACGTTTGTATGGTGCGTAGATAGGTACGTACGTACTTACGTACCTATATCATGGATATATTATAGAGTCGGTGTGATTCGAAGCTATGGCCTCATCACGACGTACTACCTACATGTGAACATACCTCCCTACCGCCCTCCCATCATCTATCTACTCGGAACCCCATCTAGCCGGAAATACGTAGGGGCGGCTTGGACAGGCGTCAACATCAAGCTTCAAACGTCTTCTCCTACCTTCCCGAGTCCTGCAGGAATCTATATAAAACATATATATGACTACATACCTAGGTACACAATCCTTCTCTTCAGCCTCATGCCTAGGTTCCTACCTGCCTTGCATAGGGTACCCTATGTAGCATAGATGGCCTAGCCAAGAAAGACGAGACGAAATTCAGGTGCTTAGGTACATCAATAGACAGTGCCTACTTAGATAGACTCTCCGCTTGAGCCGGGGACATTGTCATGAAGGGGCCATTACCGTATAAGTGTACAGGCCTGGTAGTATAATAAATACAATACCTATGCCGTTAAGTGTGCTCTCAGCTTGTGATATCAGCGACCTCGTAGTTTCAAATACGTATCCCATCCCTCGACGATGAGATTGATGAGTCGAGCAGCTCATCTACACGTATCTCGCGGGCTGGGCAGGTACCGACTCTCGCCTATATGCTAGCAAAATCCAGAATACCCAGAAGACTCATCAAGTATGGAATTCGTTTCATTTCGCGGTACCACATTATTTTTATCCCAATAGATACAACCCTCATGTGGGCATGAAATCTATGTCCCGGCTCTGCGTCGCCCCTGATAGGATGTCTAAAAGGGTACAGCCAAGATCTCAGTCTGATTATTATATATATAGGGGAGTTCATACCTGGTCGTTCTGTGTATTGCTAATTGGGGTCGCTTTGAGGGTTTAGACTGTCGATGTTTCGTGGCACTCATGCTATGCTACATCGACCCCTTTCTGGCCAACGCTCGGTGTTGAGAGTATGATTCCCTAGAATGTAGAGGAGGTCGAATAGAAGAGAGAGACAGAGGAATATGAATGAAGCCTCGCCCTGTAGAACTAGGAACCATACCGGTGCTAATGATATCGGCCAGTCACCCTACCAACTTGAAGCTGGCCCTGGTGAAATGCTGCAAGTAAAAACGCAGGGCAACGGATAAGACAGTCAGGATAGTAGTTACAGCCACTCCAATGGTGGTTGTCATATCCCTATCATCTATACTTCACATACCTACTAGGCACCTAGGTAGTCGTCGGCGACCTCACAGGTGGGCTAAGAATCACCACGGTGAATATAGAGAAAATGTGCAAAGGTGTTGACGTATGGTATACATGTATGTTCCTCGCTCCTATATCCCTCAGTAGACACATTGTCCCTTACTTAGGTACCTACGTAGGCACGTACAATACATGATATCTACCTGCTATATTCTATCTCGCAAAGATGGGCAACGCTTTGTCGAGATATTGATTCCCCATCTGATCTAGAGTACCTGATACGTACTTGAACGATACCTACCATCCTATCTACACATCTACGAGTATGAGCATTAAAATGAGGCCAGCAGTTTCAAAACTCCGCAGCCTTTACCAGCGGCTCGCATTGACTCCTCAGCCGCAGACCGAACGACATACTCCGGATCGATACGCCCCGTGGAAGAAGTGGCGCGGTACCCCAGAACCCGGGAAACGCCCCCTTAGATATCATATCATATCGTATAGTGTCTTGCGCAGACGCCTCCCATCCAATGCTGGCTCTTCGCCAACAAATCCGTGCCTCTGCATCTTTCAAGAGCAGATGGACAGAAACAGCAAACGCTCCATAAGCTCGATTGCCTACCTATAGGTAGGTATACACAGCCCACGAAACATCAGCGGCCTGGTCGAGTATCCGCTCGTGCCCCCACGCCATATGTCCTTTGTTTACCTAGGTAACCTAGGTAATCATTCTTCATAGCCCTTTTACAGCTTTGCCAGCTCCTCTCCCTACCTACCTACTGACCGCCTGGGCAAAGGCCGCCATCTTGCGATACCTAATCTCACCCAGGAGCTGCGATCTGTACACAACAGGATACCCACCCAAACGAGCCCCCCTATCCGTCTTCATACCGCAGGTATTTCCTGCCACCATTATGCACCAAGTCCTACAAGTCAGACTGAGAACCGCATAGAGCCAGCCTAACCGAAATGTTGGGAGATGGTGGAGTTGTGGCCAGGAGGTATCTATATCAGGGGGGCCTTTAGAGTAGGTACCTGACTATGACCTTGCCACGATAGACCTGTTGACACGATTGGTGAAGTGCACCTACCTGGTATTGCTCGGGGGTAGAGTACCTAAGGGGTAACTTCGAAGGGCACCTCGAGTCTAGATTTAGGCCTGTGCGATGACTCTTGTCCTGTTATGATATTCATCCGAGATGGTACCTATTAGGTAATATATCACAAGATAGGCAAAAGTACAAACCAACATACCTACCTCTCGAGGGCCGAGGCCTTTACCGGCCCCCAAAGCGAATCTTCACGTACCTAATATCTATATAAAACCTTAATATATATATCGACCACCGCCCCCTCCGCCAAAAACACCGGATTACCCCCGTGCCGCGCCGTGCCGTAGATGCGGGATATCTTGGTCGGCAATCATCCGCTGCATACCATTGCCAGTCAAGATACTGTCTTCCAATCTTTCTACTGAGCACCTAGGCATAGACTGAGGCGAATAAAGAAACTACCTACCTAATCTAGGTAGGTGCCTACTCTATGTAGGTGTGGGCTTTGCCGTACGCGACCCATTGCGTTGGCTAGGTAGGGAGGTACTTAGGCAGATAAGGATGAGAGACCAGACAGTAGAAGACAGGTAGTTTCAGGTATAATGTTTGGACACTCCTATCATTTAGTTAAGGAATGATATATACCTAGTACCTATATAGAACTCCCAAATAGATTGACGTTGGGGAGAGGTTGTATACTACCTAACTACCTCTCTACGCATTAGCTAAAGAATGGCCGACACAAGGCTCTTAAAGGAACATACTCGACGGAATACGAACTTATCTCCGTACGAAAAGCACCAAAAACTCACCTACGTTAATCTAGTCAAGATGTAATCTCCGTTCTAGGCCGTTTATCACCGCAAAGAAAAAAGGGGCTGATTTCGTCTAGAAAGTTAGGTCGGCACGCCACTTATCCCTTAACAATACTTATCAGTCCTATTTCGAATTATGCAGCCAACCCTTAAAAGCCCCCGGGAAATATAATGCCTTGCTTCTCTTCTCTTCTCTGCCTACATATCTACCTAGCATCGAAGGGGGCCGTTCTGGTGCTGACATGGGTTATAAGCTCTTGGCACTGCAGCCGGGGTGTGCGTTCTGCGATGCTCTACATACATAGATCGATAACATCCATGGTTGAGATTGCCAAGGCCGGGTCTGCAATGGGCCCGTTGTTGGTTAGACAGGACGCAAGTGCGGTGCCCTTGTCGAGCCCTTTCCTCTTGACCGGCCCGACGAGCCAGTTTCCTGAAGTGAGAGGCTTCCTCCCCGTCTCCAGACCAAAACTGATCTTTGTGGAACACTGCCATTCCAAGGCTGACCAAAATATTCATCATACCAAATATCCACTGGAAAATGGCAAGACTCGAGCACCTTAACCCAGGTTTCTAGGTACATAGGTTCTGGATTATCATATTATCAAGTTCTTGTCTTCATTGAATTCAAGGACTTGGTAATGATGATGGACAACATTCCTCGGAATGGCGTCACTAAAGACTCAATTAAGCCCCATATGACGTTAGCGCCCTGCGCCTTCGAACCGGCGGTCAAGGGATAGAGCGTATTGACAGGGTACACGCGGAGGCCGGTAAAGGGATGTTAGTCTTCGGATGAAGCCCCGTATTAGACCGGTGTTCCGTCAAGAATGCCGCGCGCAAGTAAGGATATATTTGTGTAGTATGAGGATATCTGGGATTTGGGGAGGTAACTAGTTAGGTACCTAGGTAGGCAAGTTGGCTATCTCTGCAAAGACCCCATCGAGTTCGTCATGCAGCCCCTAGATCGGGGGTTTGAGCGGAAGAAGTTTGGAACCAAGGCCCGAGTGGAAGCATTATTGCTTTCTCAGTTATGCATCCTCGGTATAGCTGGAAGTATGTAAGATAGATATCGTGATACACCGGTGAGCCACGCATTCCAGTAAACTGCCTACTTCGGTAGCTTCTCTCACTGGGCCTCGTCAAGAGTCGCCGTCCCTAGCTCGAATCGGGGAAGATGTGAGGTTCTTCCAACCAATCATTAGTAGAATACGGAGCGCTGGCCGGCTGTTCCTTATGTGGTACCTACTTGGAGCTTGGTTTCCCCTACATATCTTAGGTACCTATCTAGGTAATCTTAGTATCTTTACTATTATGTATGTATAGGTATGCACCAAACTGACCACACTGCAGTCGGGAATAATAGACAAAAATATCTAGACAAAACATAGGTAAAAATAAATCATATACCTATGACATCATTCGTTAACAAAACCATCTATCGAATATCCTTACCTGGGTAGGCAAGTAGGCAGACAGGTAGCTCAAGCCTCAAACCACTACTGCTGGTGAAACATTTACCCCGGAATTCTTGGGCTTAGCAACGTGTCAAGAATTTGAGGCGCCGACATGGGCGACGATTTGGATCGCGCCCCTATCTTCTTGAACCCCATCACGTTGGAAGCCATGTCTTACATGCCTTACAGCCGAGACCTGCAGGTAACGACGACAGAGGGCTAGAGCCGCGTTACCCCCGACATTGTTTAAGATTTCGCGTAGCTGCATTGAGTCGATCGATAGACCGACTCGTTAGGCCGACTCACCTGATGCAGTTTCCCTGATTTCTTTCGCCAGGGGAATTTCTGCTGCCCGAGCAAACATACTTGTCCACGGCTGGATGCATACAACCAAGACCAGTGGCGCGATATCGAGTAGTTGTGTCAAGATATTAGAGGTAGATTGTTGCTACTCACCTAGTACTGTATCTGCTATAACATGATTATTCTCATCCTTGACTTTGGCTGTCCAATAAATTCTCTTTGAGCACTGCTCAAGGCGCAGCCTCAAAAGGGGAAACACGTGAAGTTGGTGATGTCAGAAGCCTTTCGGTTGGCCATGCTATAATTGGAGTTCCAAGTGACGTAGCTGCCATGAGGCCTTTTCGGGCGATCGTTATAGTGGCGTCTTTTTGCTGTACGGCTGGTCTGATGATATGTGGTCGTGTCGGTTTTTTTACGGCGTGCTTTTCACGCTCATCTCTCTTCGGTCTGGCAATCGTTTTGTCGGGAACTGCGGGATGGTAGCACCAAATAATGTCAGACATCCATGGATATTGATATGTGACAGGTCCTATATCCCTTGCATTCGTCGCTTCACCTTATTCGCTGCCCCAGCCATGGGTCCCAGATCGGCAATTGATATCAAGTGAGAGAACGTGCGGGATAGTTCTTGTTCCTAAGATGAGTCTCAGTACCCCGAAGGCGGTCAAGAGAGGCTTTACGAGTTGGAATGCCTAGGTTAGAAGGTATGCCTTAGGTACCTAGGTATGCAAGCCTATTCAGGACGAATGACGTCTCTATCGTGAACGATTGAGTAAGCGAGTCAATAGACAGACGATAATGCAGTTGGGTATCGTTGCTGTGACCGCAACTGTCACCTTGTCAGACGTTTGCGTCAGTCATGTGTTATGGAAGATGCAGGACCCTTCGAGGGGTATCGAGTCGCAAGGAGTGTCCCCCGCGTAGATCTTGGTAGCCCTCCTCGCGGGACAGACTAGATCCTATGCTATACCTGTTGTGCATGCCACATGGACAACAGACCCAATCACACCCATCTATGCCGCAAACGTATCCGAAAGCGTGCTGAGGAACGCCATCAAGGCTAGGATGCGTCTGCAGATCGTTCGCCTCCCCATCAGAATTGGGTATTGCACGTAAATGGGCTGAAGGAGCAGCTGAAGACTGACGTCTTGTTGCGCTTGCATGAAGAAAAGTAAAAATAAGAAAAACAAACTTCTAGATCTATCTACGCCTGCGACCCTCCAGTTTCGCTCTATACTTCCCGTTTAGCTTCCTTTTTGAGGGGGGGTGGCTTTTGTTGTAGATATTACCTACAAGTAGGTACGTAGAAAAGAAGAGAAATAAGAAGAGGGAAAAAATACAACACCTCATATTTCATTGCAGGCGATAACTTGATCTGTGTTGTAATACAGTGACAGCAGTGATGTGATGCCTTAGGATTCAAGGCATGGGGGGGATCCAGGGTTAGGGGAGAGGAGAGATGGTTGCATGTAGCTTAGTGGATTAGGCAGGACCCTGAAACTTCGAGCTGGCTGGAAGTAGAAATGCGGAAGGGGGGTAATCAGGGGGGAGGCATCAGGCGGAGGGACCGAGGGGTGCCTTGTTCTACACCTGTCTTGGGCGCTGCCTTGGAAAAGGGTTGCTGTTCAGGACAAAGTGACACAAGAGGCTGCAGATGAAGTTATCAGCTGATCCAACACGCAAGAGATAAATCACGACATCCCGAATAATACGGCGAACTCGGCAGCTGCTTAGTATAGCCTGGTTCATGGGTAGGTAGTGTAGGTAGGTAAATATCCGTAGATCGGATCGGTAGCAGGCTCGGATTTCCAGCTGCGGAAAAGGAGGCAATAATCGGCAAGGTCAGAACCGTTACAAGCGAAGTGACGATGCATCGCATCCATGGATGCTTTGATCGCCGTTCCTCTTTCTCCCCAGTCTCTCTCTCTCTCTTTCCCTTTTGTACCTTGTACCCTAGCGACGCCCAAAATATCACTTTTATAGGTTATCCAATACGTTCATGCATTATAAAATACCTACCTCGGTACAGATCCACAGCCACATGCAGGTTTCGCTGCAGTAGCAATAACAGTAGTAGGCGGTAGCGGTAGCGGTGCCGTAGGAGCTGCAGTGCCGCCAGATGCGGCCACAAGGCCATATGATGGGACGAATTTGGAAGTTCCAACTGCTACGTTGCTATTGTGAGAAACAAAAAGGAGACAATAAAAATGAGAAGAAGAAGAAGAGCAAAAAAAGAAGAGGGTGTCTAGCATGTGGGCAACTGCTGCTGTTGTGCTACAGGTATAGAGGTATAGAGGTATAGAGGGGAACGAAGATTGGATAGAAGGAGATAGGTAGGAAAAGAATCAAATCAACCTTAACAAAAGAAAAAAAAAGATCCATGAAAGACGGGAGGGGTCTACAGGGATTTGTCATGGAAGATCGGCCCAACCAACCCCACGGATAGCCCCGCACCGAACCCCAAGATCTTCAACAACGTTCTTTCCCTATTCCTATTATAGGTATTCGCGTGTTGGCTTCGTAGGCGGCAGGGCCGACAAGACGATAATAGAACCGCCTAATATTGGAACGCATAAGATGTGACGAATGTATGTGCTCAACGAACATTGAAGCTAGCACTTGAGCAGATCTAACCTGAGAAGCCCTTGGCTATTATCCGTGGATCGAGTTATACCCCACTATACACCTACAATGTGCAGCACATAAGACCTACCTACGCCGTACATAGTAGTAAAATACTAGTAATAGTATACGATGATACTAGGGCTGCTAGGTACTAGGACGACAGGGCTAGCAGACACCTACGTACTACGTCTTAGACTTAGTGGGTACCTAGTGACGAGATCAACGTGTTCCTCAGCAAACAACCAATAGCGGGAATGCAAAAGATCTAGATATCCGAGAGATGGGGTTTGCTACCTATGTATGTACTACCTCCTAGGCACGTAGGCTATGTTTGAAACAAAAAGACAAAGAAGGACAAGAAGAAGTATCGGGGGGCAAGGCATTGTTGGTAATAATGCCTATGTAGGTGTTGTCTGGGTGATATCGAAGGTGAGAGCTTAATACCTATTAGGAGTATCGACACTTGACTATTGAGACGTTATCCGTCATTACCTACATGTATTTGTAAAATGCCAATACATAGTAGGGTTTCCCTACCTACTCCAGGTACATACATATGTAGATACCACCTAGGTTAGCACAATGTGGGTAGTGTAGAGAAGGATTCAAACATTCAAATCGATAGATCCAACCATTGATATGTGTATCTGAGATAAGCACATTGGATGTATTGATCATTGAAGCATTGAAGCATTGAAGCATTGAAGCATTGAAGCATTGAAGCATTGAAGTATTGAAGCATAAAGTGCCCAGACGTACTTACATAGTAGCGTTTTGTTGGTGTATATAGTTGGTTTAAAATGCATGTGTAGACTACATACCTACTACTAGGCTACTAGGTATGTATGTATTTGTAAAGTATCAAATGTATATTGGTACCTACCTGGGTATGTAATGTTGTAAAGATGGAAAGTGCTTCGTCATGTTGATTGACGTAAGGTTCCATTTTATGTACCTAAGCATGCTACATGATATACCTACATATGGTACTACTAGGTACCTAGTAGGTTCTAGGTTCTAGGAACATATTAGTGTGCATTATGCATTGTGCATATGTACTAATGTACCTACTTCATCTGTGACATCCTTGAATGACATTTGAGACTTTTTTTCTTGTAGGTGAGTGTGGTGCTGTGTTGTCTGATGTATGTCTGTATGTATCTGTCTGTATCATGGGTGTGCATGCTGCGTCTGTGTATGTGTGTATGTGTGTATGTGTGTATGTGCAATGTGTGTGCATGTGTGCGCCTCGGAAAGAAGTTCATTAAAAACGGGACAAACTCAGCCTTTAAGAAACCTTATTCGCTTGTGCATTCGGGTGTTCCTGCCTGTCATACGTCTGTAGATCGGGTACCTGGCAACTGGCACCTTCATTCATTGCACTATACTATACATACCAGCATACGCACTTACCTACTGTTTCCAGCCTAGAAAGTAAGGCAGTGTGCTACATACTACCACACAACATTACACTTGCCTTAGTATGTCAATACTTACTGTGGCCTACTTAAGTACTCAGCACAGTACCTCCTAAAAGTAGGCAAAAAGTATGGAAAGGGCAAGTACCATGTAGGTATTGTGCAATGTACTCACTTAGGTATATTTGCGCCTTATTAAGCTACTCGATGGACCCTATTACGTGCTTCATCCATGGATATCCATGGAATTCAGCCTTTCATCCTCATACAGCTTCGTTTTATTTTGTTTCGTTTTCCTTTCCCGCTTTCGACTCGACTATTTAAGTTTGACTGTCTCCAGTCTCCAGTCTCCAGTCTCTCTCACTTTTCCCCCTCCTCGAACAGTTTCCACTTAACCACTTAACCATTTAACGTAAGTAGTCTACTTAAAAGTTGACCCTCTACAACTCACAACTCACACCTCGCAACCCTCAACCCACTTCTTGCCAAGCAACCAATATTAGTTTTGTCCTAACGCCCCATCCTTCGATCATCTGTTGAGCCGCTTGGGTAACTTACCGTATTTTCTCCGCAGTGATCAAGACGCTAAGGCATTATACTGGAGATTTTCCTCACTATTTCAACGTTGCAAGGGAATCCTCAAAAAACTAAATAATAAAACCTGAACCTCTTCTTCTTCTTCACACCAGAAATCAATCACAATGGGCGTCACAAAGACCATTCTCCAGGAGGGTAGCGGCCCCCAGCCTACTCCTCGTCAGACTGTCACCATCGAGTACACTGGCTGGCTCAAGGACACCTCCAAGCCTGACAACAAGGGCAACAAGTATGTACATACTATATCAGCTACAGTCTAAGACAGGCATCACTCCACCGGCTTAGCTCAATGCCCCTCCATTCGAAGAAATTCGACCCCATGGCCTGGCCTGATATTGACGTCAAGGCCGACTGAAAGCTCATGTAACAGTTGGCTAACCAATGAAATTTGAAAGATTTGACTCTTCGGTTGGCCGCGGTGACTTCGTCACTCAAATTGGTGTTGGACAAGTTATCAAGGGTAATTTGCTCATTCTCTGCCCATAATGTTATATGCATGGACACTGATGGTTGGCTACTTCTTAGGCTGGGACGAGGGCGTTGTCACCATGAAGGTTGGCGAGAAAGCAACTCTTGACATTACCAGGTACCTACCCACCTACCCATGATTTCATATATTAGTTGATACTTTTGGCACTGAGGACTTGGACTAATCTATAATGTCATAGCGACTTCGGCTATGGTGCAAGGTAAGACTTGCTCCTGTCTTTCGCAAGCATTCTTGGTCTCCATACGAGACCATCGCCACCCCAATGATTTTTCTTCTTAAGAGATACGCTGCTTACAAATAATTCAGGGGCTTCACCGGTCACATTCCCCCCAATGCTGACTTGATCTTGTAAGTACAGTACCATGCTATGAAATGGATAGGTTGTCCGGAGTCGTCAAGTGCAGCGCTAATTTTCGTGTTGTAGCGATGTCCACCTGAAGAAGGTCCAGTAAGCGATCGAAATGATGGTTATTGACGAAATGGATGTTTTCAGTCTAGACTACCTAGCAAACGGATACAAGGCACGGAGGGTCTCTCGTTCTATCGGGGTTTTTACTGCATGCAGTATATCATAGGGCGGCTTCTGTGTGAGGCAGGAATCGAACAGTCTTTGACATATTGACACCTTGATGCTCTCTACTCGCTTGTGCTCTGCTTCTGTGATACCGTGCCAAACTTTTGGGAACCTGCATCTGGGACGATTCTTTTACTACCCCTCCACGGAGCACCACCAGTTTCCCCTTCCTATTTCCTTCCTCCCCCTTTCTTCTTTGCCTATTCCTCCATATAATACCACGGACTATTACTTTTACCAAATCGAGGCTGTCTACTGAATCTGAGTTTCACGGCAGACGGCGGTTACAGCAGATGGTATGAAGTTGTAACTGATCTGTAATGTGCTGTGCTGTGTGACGAAGACGCGAATCAACGGCCCTTTCTACATAATACAATCCTAGCACCGCGCTCATATCGAGATACAATGGCCACTGGATATATTAGACACTTAGTAATATGTACTTACTCGGTTCGATCTATGTACAAAAACAAATCAGACTAAAAGTACCTACCCACCTACCTAAGTATATTATATCGTATCCAGGCGCAAGCAATCTAGAAGCCATTAACCCGACCACGTGTTGATGAACTACCAAAAGAGAAACTGCCCAATAAAAAAAGAAAGAAGTTAAAATAGCATCGAGACATGAGTAAGCTGAGTCGAACCTTTCTCTCTCTCTCTCTCTCTCTCTCTCTCTCTCTCTCTCTCTCTCTCTCGCCTCGCTTAAAGAACCTCACGGGCGGGACGTGTGAGGTTCGTTCGCTCGCTCGCTCGCTCTAATAAGTACGCATTGGAAAAGGGTTACACCATCTGAGACACATTCGCTGCCGGCCGAATCTACCAACACACGCAACGCAATGCGATCGCCCGACCGCTGGATGGAACCGTGGGACGCTTCTAGCCGCTTTGTTGTTGTTTTTTTCTTTTCTGAGGCCTGGGCTCTAACTTTATATAGGTAGGTAGGATAGATGGATGGGGAAATGGGTAGGTAGGTAGGTAGCCCTGCACAGATCGAGATTTTTTATTTATTTATTACCCTAGGTTAGGTTAGGTACCTAAGGTAGGCAGTTTATTAGATGCGGGTGGCTTGGTATGCTAGTAGGTAGATTGGTTGGTACCTGGGTACTTTGAGATAGGTACATCTACTGTAGGTTGGGTATGTAGGTAGAGGTCAAGTAGAAAGGGGATGAGATGATGTGCAATGAGGGGTACGTACGGTCTCGAGAGCTTTAAGACGGCGATGAGACATTTTACTTAGGTAGCTCTTTGAGTAAGACGTCTTTGGGCTAGTAGCTAGTAGCCACCTGCAGGTAGGTAGGTAGGTACATACATATGTAGGTGCTACTATGTATAAATGTAATAAAAGATCAACATAATTAACCTAAGGTTAGTGATGTTTCTGGACTGCGTTTCTCTAACCTATCTAGTTCAATGTTCTTATGTAGATGCTAGACTAGCTGGTACCCTGATTATTAAACAGCACGACTTTGAGCTTCAATAGGCACCTTACATAGTACTAAGCTTCTAATTTCGATAGACAATGTTAACAACAGATACATGTAACTATTGCCTGACTTCTTCTTACACTTAACTGCTAGGGTACCTAATTTTGGATAAAGACTTTAAAAGGATGTGTGGGTGGGTGAAGAAAGTACATAAGAAAGGAGTTATAGGTACATAGATAGGTAGGTACCAGATTAGCCCAAATGTTGAGGAGGAAGAGCATTTTGATAGATAGACATGGACCTACTAATCTACCCTACTTACTTACCTAGGGTAAGCTAGGTGCCCGGCTTAGTGTCTTGAAAGGGGGGGCCGCGATGTTGACCTATCCGATATATATTCTTCCCTCGACGGTAGGTACATATCCATACACTATATATTATCACAATTTCTTGGTTACCTGCCTACTCAGTATGTATCCCTTTCTACCTATCCATCCCTTATACTTATATCATCGATGAAATTCAACTATTAGATTAAAAAGGAGATAAAACCCCAAATACCTACCGCTCTTTATTTATCCTGAAGCAATCCCTCTAGATCCTCAAACTCCCCGCTGTGCTTCATCATGTCGTAGAACTGTCCCCTGGCCTCGTAAAGCTCCTTTGGGCTTCCGACTCTGGAGGTTTTTGGTTAGTCAAACTTACGTTGAGGTGAGAGAAAAGGTGGATGAGATATGAGGTGAGGGGAGGTGGGGAGGGAGGAAAAGAAGTTAGGTAGGTAAGCACTTACTCCAGGACTGAGCCGGCGCTCATGACTACTACACGATCATAGTCGATGATAGTCTTGAGCCGGTGGGCGATGGTGAGCAGCGTCCTATCCCTCCCATGCTCGTTTAGCTCTTTCCTCAGGACCTCCTGAATGCCTTGGTCGGTCTCGTAGTCCATCTATTTGAGAGTTCATTAGTAATGAGAGAACCCGGCTAGACTAGTGCTTGAGAATTGAGGGGAAACATGGTGGCGGCGGTGGTGGGTAAAATACAGAGAATACGTACGCTTGCGGTCGCCTCGTCAAGTAACAACAACTTGCTCTTACGCACCAGGGCCCTGCAGAGCGAGAGCACCTGCCGCTGACCGTGGGAGAAATTCTCACCTTTGGGTTTCACGGGAGTGGAAAGCGTGATGCCCAGGTCAGCAGTAGCAGTAACTGGCTCGTCCGAGTAAGCAATCCCGTTTCCATTAGCTTGTCCGTGGCCATTTTGCGCGTGATCGCCGTTCTGGTGGTACTGGAACGATGCGATTCCGCTGCAGTACTGGAGAGCCTTCTCGAGTGTTTCCACGGGGATTTTGCCTGTCGGGTCTAGGTTAGACCGTACGTCTCCGTTGAAGAGCACTGCTTCTTGCGGGATGATTGTAAGTGCTTCTCGCAGTTTCCTTCGTGGAAATTTTGTGATGTCTACACCGTCGAAGAGGATCTTGCCCGACACGATGTTGGTGAAGCGCAGTAAAGAGAGGACCAGCTACGAGTTTCGTCAGTGAGCACAATACTTGGAATAGAAAACACCAAGCATTATACTTACAGTACTCTTTCCCGACCCAGTTCGTCCGACTACAGCAATTCTCTCACCAGCCGTGAACTTGAGGTTGATGTTCTTCAAGATCTCCGGGCCGTCCAAGTCGTACTTGATAGTTACGTTGCAGAATTCGACCTCGCCGCTTGTTGGCCAGTTATCAGGTACAGCCGTCTCAGGATCGTCAGAGTATTCGCCAAAGCTTTTGTACTCGTCCGGCTTTTCTTCCGGTTCGACAGCAACGTATTCTCGAACTCGGTGAAACTTGTACTTCATCAGCGCGTATTTCACCTACTGAGCTGACCTGGTTATTTGACTTACGCTTTGCAATTCAACTTCAAGTTCATTTCCTGATCTTACGAGCAAGATAATGAGTTGGCTGAGTGTCTAAGCATTACGTTAGAGGCCGACTCTGTTTCGCAATGGTATCGAGACATATCTTACCGTTGCGTTCGTCAACGAGAATCCCACTAGACCGGCTGCCACCAGACCTGCTTTTGACACAGCGATAGCCCCCGCAGCAACAGTAACAACCGTTGTCATCATGTCGACTTTGAGTGCAACCCATCGGTTGCAGTTGAAAGCAGCTTCAGAGGCCCTCTCGAATACCCGCAGCTTATCTGCCAACTGGTCACCAAAGATCTGCGGCATGTTTGTGCGAGCACGGATGACAGGAAGACCAGCTAGACTATCAGCAAATTGAGCGAACAAGGGCGACTGCGAGGACGACAGAAGCCGCTTCACAGCCACGGAAGTCCGCGTGTATAACTCCCCTGCGACAACCCCAGCAGCGCAACAAGCTGCTGCGGGAAACATGAAGATTGGAAGTACCGAACCGACTGCTACGATTTGGAAGCCGAGTCGTGTGAGCATCTCCAGACACATTCGGAGCACTATGATAAATACACCTGATTAGATTTCCGTGCAAAATGGAGAATAATAGGAGCCCGACTTACTACCAGCCAACTGCGTATCAATAGAATCCATGTCCCTAGAAAACCGATTCACGATTCGGCCCACCGGTGTCGTTTTGTACCAAGAAAGGGGCACGCTCATCACAGCCTTCATGAACGTAGTGTGCAGCGACCGCGCAGCAAACCAGCCACCGTTCTCATAGGCGATGTAAGTTAAGCCGCTGAAGAAGATATCTGCGATACTCCACGCTGCATAGATGCCGAGGTAGAAGGCGATGTCGTACGCGTCGTCCTTCCCGTAGGCGTCTACCCATACCGCAATCCAAAGCCCGGTGCCGACAAACGATGCAGTGGAAAGAACACTCATCGTGATGGCGACTATGGCGTATATTGGATTGCCAAAGAGCCGCATATATTGGAAAACTTTCAAGACGCCATGTTAGTTTGACTATATTGATACAAACGACGTTGAAGAAACTGAGAGCACTGCTTACATTGGAGACGGGCAGTTGGCCCGGTCTTGAGGGCTTCCTGGGTGACCTCGTCTCGGCGCTTATCCTCAGGGCTTTTGATATCACCGTTGGTATGTCTGCCGTTAGTCGTTGCGCCATGGATATCGAGCGTGTGCACCGCGACCTCTTCTGCTGTCACATCAACGTTGCCTTCATCGACAAGCGTCCTATTCAGCATGACAGATTTTCGGACTACGCCAAGGTTTTGTTGAACATCTTTGACCGAGCCGTTTTCCAGTGTTATACTAAGATCCGCTTGGGGTGCAATCCACGGCAGCTGGGTGACAAGTACCACAGTCCTTCCTTTGACTAGGTATACCGTCTAGTCAGAAAATTGTCTCTGAAGCTAAGGCAATTGGACATATACTTACGCAAATCTCCGCAGAATGCTTCCTCCCATAACAATGCCGATGTCTTAGCATCCAAAGCAGAAAATACATCGTCGAGAAGAATCAAAGAAGCTTTCGAGTATAGAGCGCGTGCAAGAGCGACTCGAGACTTCTGACCTCCAGACAATGACGCCCCGTTCTCACCAACTTCTGTTTCGTCTCTTTCTGGAAACTCATTGAAATCGATAGGCAGCCCGCAAGCATTGACGACTCGATCATATCGTACTTGCTCAAAGGGACTATTGAAGAGAATATTCTCACGAATCGTTTCATTTTGTAGCCAGGGGCTTTGCGAAGCGTAGGCGATATCCTTTGGGCACGTAATCGAGCCCGCCTCGAGAATTGTCTCCCCTAGTATCGACATGAGAAGCGTTGACTTGCCACTCCCACTTTGGCCCGTCACTACATTCAAACCACCTTCAACGAAGTTAATAGAAATGTCTTGCAAAGTAAATGAAGCCTTCTTGTTCCGTCTGAACGTAGCGTTACTGATGCAAAGTGGGCCAACTGGATGCGAACACAAGGGTGAAGTGTTTTGGAAGTATCGGTCTAGGCGCTTGATAGATACAGTCGCGGCAGTAAATGATCTCGACATGGTTGATGCCATGGACAGGTTTCGGCGTAGTATCCTAACCAAGGTTATCGACGTGAACGCGACATCTGCTGTTAGCGGTTCTTTGCGTACAAGCACCTGTAAAGTGAAGATGAGGACTAGGGACAAAGTCGGGATCGCTTCGGTGAGCTGGCCAAGCATGATATAACTAGAATCTGACGGTCAGTACAGGCGCTCAATCGCAAAGTCTCATCCCAAAAGGGAGACAGCAACCTACAGCATGTTCAGACTCCAAATCTTCTTTTGTTCGCCTGACCTGATCTCGTTGACTCTCTCTATGATGGCATCTTCCCAGGCAAAGTATTTGATCGCCCTAATTGAAGCGAGATACTCTGAGATAGCCGACATTCTCGAGTCCTGTATTCTTTTCATGTCACGCTGGACACCTATCATGCGGCGGGCGATTAAAACCGGAAGCGGTGATAGTATCAACATCATTGCAATACCAACGAGGGCTGACCACCCCAGCAACTTATACAGCCCAATGAGGGATACGATTGACCCCGAGGTTATTCCACAGACAACTATAACGATGTCTCGACCTCTGGTAATGGCGTCCGTATCAGCGCCCATGAGGTTTGCCAGGCGTCCCGTTGAAGTAGTGTTTTGTTCGACTCTTTTCTCTTTACCCGTAGCCGCAATTTCAGCGAATACTTCGTCCTCCAGTTCCATAGAGTTCATTGCTTTATAGTATAACTCCTGGGTAAGGGCGGCCTTGACACGCACGATAAGACGAGTCGAAGTGAATATGTATTGCTGGAAGCATACGGAACGTGACAGTGGGCCAATGAATAAAAGAATTAGCCAAGCCCAAGGTCGAAAGGAAGATTCTTCCGGATGGGACAGATATCCAAGAAGTCTATACATGGCAAAAGGAGCTATCATCTCCAACACAAAAGATGAGGCAATCCAACCACCCATACTGATAAGTTCGGTTGGTAGGAAATATAGCAGTGTCCATAATGTTGACTTGCCTTTCCGTCGTGCCCCCTGGATCCTGGAGAGGAGTAGTAGTGGCTCGTCATACCATGGGAGTCTAGGAAGCTCTTCTAGAGTCACCTGTTTACGCATGCCCCTTAGCATAAGCGGCGTGAGCCATTCGTAGGTTATGTAATACTCCAACCAGCTGCACGTTTCTTCCGGTGAGGGCTTTTCCATCAAAGTCTTTTTAGATGATAAAGTGGGATCCAAAGATGGTGGTTTCCATTCCCTCCGAGTGGCAAGAGCTATGAAGACAGCGGTAGCCAAGGTGGCTATGCTGCAAATGATCATTGGACTCTTGTCCTCAGTATGATTTACATCAACGTAGGGAAGAAGCTCTCCTATGGCAAGGATAAGCAGAGAACCAGCAAGGACGAAATTGGTGTGGTGCAAGGCAACATGTCTCCATTCGTAATCGCTAACTAGGCGCAGAACACCGACGATGAAGGCGTAAGCCAAAGCAGTGACATCAGCCCACCTGCCTTCGTCCCGAGCGACGGCAGCGATCATGAACGCCAAGGAGGCAGCTCGCAAGAGTTGGCTGCATATCTCTAGCGGCCATGATACTACTGCATATGCATTGCATTTGGGCCCCGTGACATTGGGGTATGGGCGATGAAGCAAGTATCTGACGATAACAAGCAATGACGCAACAACAATAGTAAATTGTAGATAGCCAGCTTTTGCAAAACGAGAGAGATCATATATCCATTGAAGGTCCGTACTACTAGACAAGTGTGTTAGATACTTATGCTACCTATCTACCTCGTAGGTACCTAGGCATGTAGGTACATATGTAGTGTTCTATATCTACATGGAGGAATCAATACGGACCTGGTAATCTCTTCTTGAGTGGCCTTCAGATTAGAAAATGGTTGGGAGCGAAAGGGGAACGAATCCCCATCGTATCCTATGAAGGCTAGTTGGCTCATGATCTTTGATCTATCATGGCGGCACTGAGTGAGAGTGCGAACTTCTAGGCACTACAGTGTATGTAGGTAATCCGAGGAAGCTGACAATTAGGCTGCCATGAAAGTCAAGATGGATTATCTGTTTATTCGGTTAATTGCGTGCTCAGGGATAACCACAGTCACCGTCCGGTGTTGGTCTAGACCGGTATGACCCCTGCCAAGGCCGGAGAAGGTACCGTGGCCCTGATGGGTAATCGGCTGAAGGCGAGAGATAACTGTCGTATTGATATATTATAGGTATCATTAGTTATAGATATATTCTATATGCTGAGATTATTCATTTATATATATGAAGACTTCACTAGATATGTAACCTAGAAGGGTCATTAATGTGAATACTGATAAATAAAACAAAGATATACTGACATATACTGACATACACATATATATGTAGGCATATGCGAAGCGGGAACGGTGAAAGAGAGATTCCCCGTTTCGGTTGATAGGCCGATCGTAATACCCACTCCATCGCATCCATGATATATCATGATAAGATATCTAACCTTACGTTGATGTCTTGTTATGTGTTATGTTAATGATACTCAATAGAGGTATTCTTCACACCTATATGTACGATTTTTTTGGTTTCAATGCTGTGGATGTAGTGAAAGTGATGGATCTGAAAGAGACAGCGTCCATCTTTAATGATAACATTGTAGGTTCAACCTTGGAAGTTTATCTGATAATCCAAAGGGCTTAGTTGGCGATTGGAAGGAAGTGCCCTGTACGCTACTGTAAATCATTAATATTTAGGGGTACCTACAAGTACACTGTACTGCGACCCCACTAAACATAGGACAAACTTGAAGTGCCTAACCTAGCAAAGCTTGGCGTGATTTGCTGACATCGATAATTGACTTTTCGTCGTCAAGCGTGTAACTCGTCCTAACTTACCTTGCACCTAATAACTTACTTCATACCCAAGAAAAAAAAAGAAGAAAAAAAGAGAAAGCAACGCACAAGACGACAACAATACGCATACGAATTCCATAAAGAGCCGACCCTATATACACACTATTTGCGAAATGCATGCGGTGCCGTAATTCATCGCTTGTTTCTTAACTGTTCAAGCTTGCGTTTGATATCATTCAGCACTTCACTCTTTCAACACCTATTTTAATCCGACCAGATAATTAACCACTAACCACACCACTGGCTCATTCGAAAACGAACGTGGCACCTACACCATGGACGATGATCTCCATGAGCTCGAGCTCCTATCGCTGGTGTCTAAAGTTACGTCAGAGCTCCAGAACCATATAGGAATCTCCGACAAGACCTTAGCCGAATTCATCATCGCCCAGCGACTAGAGAGCTCTAACTTATCCGATTTTAAGTCCAAGTTGGCCCAGTTGGGCGGCGCAAGCTGGCCCGACAGTTTATTTGAGAGTATCGATCGTTTAGTCCGAACAATACATCCTAATTTCAAGGCCGAAAAAGATTCTTCAAGAGAAGAACATCAGCAAGTACGTACTTTGGAGGAGAAAGAGACTCTGTTCAAAGGATTGAGTATCCCAGATAAGGATGCTAGCAACGGAGGAGGAGATGACATAGATGATACCCTAGCACTTTTGGAAGGGCTCGAAAGCAAAGTTAGCGGTACTCGTCACGACAGAGAATCTAGAAAGCGATCTCGGAGCCCTGAGAGAGAAGCTTCGAAAAGAAAAAGGAAGGACAGGTATCGATCGCGAGAGCGTAAGGATCGCAACTACGACGATGACGAATATTACAATCAATCAAACGGTAACGGGGAACGAAAAGGTCGACGAGATGAACGAGATGAGCGAGATGGGCACCGATCACGCCGCGACGGCCACAGAGGGAGGAGGCAAAAATATGATGACGACGATAAGGAAGATGATAATATGTTCCGACGCCCTCCCGAGCCCGAACTCGATGATTCGCCTGTACTATACAAAGTCTACGATGGTCACGTCACTGGCATGAAGGACTTTGGTGCGTTTGTCAATCTGCATGGTGTCAAAGGCAAGGTAGATGGAATGGTACACATTTCGAACTTAGTCCAAGGCCAAAGAGTTAACCACCCTTCTGACCTCCTATCGAGGGGTCAAGATGTCAAGGTCAAGGTCACTAAAATTGAGTCGAATCGGATAGGACTTTCCATGAAGGATGTCGACCAGGAGACTGGTATGGACCTTGCCCCCCAAGCCCGCATACAATCAGGCGCAAATATGGAGAGTCTTGGAAGCCGGAACGGTGTGCTTGCCCGTAATGATGACAATTTGGCATCACTTGCGTCCTACAGCGGCCCACCGCGGTCTCACAAGAAAAGGATGACATCGCCAGAACGGTGGGAGATTCGACAACTGATTGCTTCCGGTGTGGCCAAAGCCTCAGATTATCCTGACCTAGAGGAGGATTACAATGCTACATTGAGAGGCGAGGGTGAGATGGAATTAGAAGAGGAAGTCGACATCGAAGTGCGAGATGAAGAGCCACCATTCCTTGCCGGTCAGACAAAGCAATCGCTAGAACTATCACCGATCAGGGTTGTGAAGGCACCTGATGGATCACTTAACCGCGCAGCTATGTCAGGGACTGCATTATCGAAAGAAAGAAAGGAGTTACGACAACAGGAGGTCGATGCTTCGCAGGACCAGACTAAGGTAGACCTAGCTTCGCAATGGCAAGACCCAATGGCGAATCCAGATAGCAGGAAATTTGCGAGTGATTTACGGGCTACAAAAGCCACCGCCACGAAGCCCGATGCCGTACCAGAGTGGAAGCAGGTCGTTGCACCCAAGGATCAGTCATTTGGCAAACGGACTACGATGTCAATTAAACAACAACGAGAAAGCCTGCCTGTCTTTGCCTTCAGAAACCAGCTCATAAAAGCCGTCCACGAGAATCAAATCCTGATTGTTGTTGGTGAGACCGGATCTGGAAAGACCACACAGCTTACCCAATATCTTGCCGAGGCAGGCTTTACGAACAAGGGCATGATAGGCTGCACCCAACCGCGACGAGTAGCAGCCATGTCCGTTGCGAAACGTGTTGCTGAGGAGGTTGGCTGCCAACTGGGAGACGAAGTTGGGTATACCATTCGATTCGAAGATTGTACAAGTCCATCAACCAAGATCAAGTATATGACCGATGGTATGCTGGAACGTGAGATTCTGATGGACCCAGACCTGCGTAGATATTCGGTCATCATGTTAGATGAAGCCCACGAGAGGACTATAGCAACGGACGTTCTTTTTGCGCTTTTGAAAAAAACCGTGAAACGACGAACAGATCTCAAGATAATCGTCACATCTGCTACACTGGATGCTGATAAATTTTCAGCATATTTCAACGAATGTCCTATCTTCACAATCCCCGGGCGTACGTTTCCTGTGGAGATATTATATAGTAGAGAACCAGAATCAGATTATCTCGACACAGCGCTGGTAACAGTCATGACAATTCATCTGACTGAACCACCTGGAGACATACTGGTTTTCCTCACAGGATCAGAAGAGATTGACACGGCGGCAGAAATATTATACGAGCGCATGAAAGCCCTGGGCCCTGGCGTTCCCGAGCTGATCATTCTGCCAGTCTACTCGGCGCTCCCCAGCGAGATGCAAAGCAGGATTTTTGATCCTGCACCTCCTGGTAGTAGAAAGGTCGTGATTGCCACCAACATTGCAGAGACCTCTATTACAATTGACCATATCTACTATGTGGTGGATCCTGGGTTCGTGAAGCAGAATGCATACGATCCTAAGCTCGGGATGGATTCTTTGGTTGTTACTCCTATCTCGCAAGCTCAGGCCAACCAACGTGCTGGTCGAGCTGGGCGAACTGGTCCTGGAAAATGCTTTAGACTGTATACTGAAGCTGCCTACCAGTCTGAGATGCTTCCCACAACCATTCCAGAAATTCAACGGCAGAACTTGGCAAATACCATTCTCATGCTAAAGGCCATGGGCATCAACGACCTACTACACTTCGACTTCATGGATCCACCCCCTACCAATACTATGTTGACAGCTTTGGAAGAGTTATATGCCCTGTCAGCATTAGATGACGAAGGTCTCCTAACTCGTCTGGGTCGCAAAATGGCCGATTTCCCTATGGAGCCTGCTTTAGCCAAGGTCCTCATCGGTGCAGTCGATATAGGCTGTTCAGATGAGATGCTTAGCATTGTCGCGTTGTTGAACCTTCCCAACGTCTTCTATCGCCCCAAGGAGAAGCAAACGCAGGCCGACCAAAAGAAGGCCAAGTTTCACGACCCCCATGGGGACCACCTCACCCTTCTCAACGTTTACAAGGCCTGGAAGAACAGCGGCTACGCAGCAGCTTGGTGCTTCGAGAACTTCATTCAAGCACGTTCGATGAAGCGCGCTAAAGAAGTTCGAGAGCAGTTGACGAAAATCATGGAACGGTACCGACACCCTATCGTTTCTTGTGGCAGAGACACCAATAAGGTCAGACAAGCTTTGTGTTCTGGATTCTTCCGCAATTCGGCGAGAAAGGACCCGCAAGAAGGGTATAAGACGTTAGTTGAAGGAACGCCAGTGTACCTGCACCCAAGCTCGGCGCTATTCGGCAAGCAGGCGGAATGGGTGATCTATCACACGCTAGTTCTCACTTCGAAGGAATATATGCATTGCACGACAAGCATTGAACCGAAGTGGCTCGTCTCAGCAGCTCCGACTTTCTTCAAGGTCGCTCCCACTGATAAGCTCAGCAAGCGCAAGAAGGCGGAGAGGATACAACCTCTGTACAACAAGTACGCGGCAGAAGACGAGTGGAGACTAAGCGCCCAACGAAAGGTTGGACGATCTGGTGGTGGAGGTGGTACGTGGGGTTAAAAACAGCATGGGATTGTTCGACTTGGGAAGACCAAGCTATTACAAAGAAGTTAGGTATTCCAGAGTACATTGGAATGTAAATTTACGTCGTTTGGGTCGGCTGCATTGGTGCAAACAAAGTCGGATCACACTTGTATTGTTAAGAGTTGAAGAAACTACAGTTTGATGAGTATGAATGGCCTGATTAATGGATACATATTTACACATGTTCTTGCTCTACGTCGTACGGTCTACTTAGCTTCCCCTGACTAAGGCTGACTTGTTGATATCATAGTGGTTGGTTTCTTAGGCCTTGTTCTTGCCCTAACAACCTTGGATCTAATACGCATTCATCTGACTGTGATACATCATAGTATGATGTAGTTATGTAATAGGGGTTGAGTCTCACCTAAGAGCCACACAGTTAGTCAGAATCAACTTCCAATACATAGTAGAGATCATCAGGGGCCTAACTAATATCGTAGGGTTAGCATCGCACTAACCTTAGTTCACGGCAAAACCCCAGAATAAACGCGCAAGATGCTAACCTATGAATATTCAATGGTGAGCTATTGACGCTTAGTGGCGTACTTAATCGCGCGTGTAATCCATTAGGTTGGCTGATGGCTCCGTGGTCCGGGATCGAGCGAGGTCTGTCTGGCCGGACGCCACGCACTCGTTCCCGGGTCTAATTGATGGGGTGGGGTTCAAAACTAAGGGTTATTCATTCATTACCTAGACGTCATCTTAATGTGAGGCTGGCTTTGTGAGACTACCTACTACTTAGTGATGTAGTACCTGAACTACTACGTAAGTAATTATTTACCAATATATTCCAATTTTCTAGGTTACAAATAACTATTGTGTCTCTATGTGCTACTTACTACCTGGTGCTACATAGGTGGTTGGGTACCTGCTAGGTACAAGTAATGGATGTAGAGGAGCCACATGCAGTATGTAGGTATGTAGCTTAAACGCACAAGGTGAGATTACCTCCTCTGACGCTATACACAGTACTAGGTACTCCCTTCGTTGATTTGACTTCGTGCCTGACCTACCTAGACACGAACACGCGACAGAAACTGACATCATGGATGTGACCGGCCTCGTATGTATGAGCTACGTAGGTAGGGAGATATCCATAGTGCAGCTGTGTAAGAGAGCAAGCCTTGGAAAGAAAGCCGAAGAAACCTGATATATCGCACGCATTCACTCATTCATTCATTCATCAATCAATCAATTCAATGAAGCGACACTTCCCTTTTCTGCCTGCATGTATCCGTTTTGTTTACCCTCCCCCGCAAGGTATGTATGTGATACCTAGGTGCTGGGGATGTATGTCGTATCTAACCTGGTTTATTAGCAACAGCAAGTGGCTGTATGTATGTAGTAAGCTCGAACCCGGCGCCTCGGCGCCTAGACGCCCGTCAATATATGGGAGAGGGGGGGGAGGGGGTTAGAGTGAGTGCCTATATTAAGTATCAAGAAGTGAAGCAAGGTAAGGTGAGCGAAGCAACAAGACCAAGGTGTCGTGTGCCCAACGGATAATATCGGAAGAAGTTAAGCTCCCTTGTGTTAACGTTCCATCTATCTACTAGTTATCTATCTCTCTCTTTTTCCTTCAGTCTGTAATTAATTTATTTAGGTAACTAACTATCTTGGCAAAAAAAAAAAAAAAAAAAAGATAAGAAGAGAGGTTGCAACTTGCAATTCATCGTTGACGTAAGGAATAACAATATCCCCATATATCCATGCACTCTGTATGCAGGCACGGGACTTCAACTGCCAGGTTGCATGAAGAGAGCTACCTAGTTATCCATCCCCCCCCGTAGGATCACCGACTAACTAAAATACAGTAACTATTTGCTTAGCAGCCTTAGCTACCTCGCTGCCCAGCAAAGCTGCTAACCTGCATGTAGCTCTCCAATAAATGAAAGATTCACATCGAGTTTAGTTAATCTAGTTATATCCACGTCTTCAATCCTAAAATGATAAAAAAAAAAATGAGGAACTCTTAACCCTTGCCTCCCTCTCTCTCTCTCTGACGTTAGCTAGTTAATTAGTACCTACGGCATAATAGCGGAAATAATAAAAGGGGGGAAGAAGGGAAGGGAATAAAGACTTTAACCACCACCACCACCAAAAAAAGCTCTCCCCTGTAATAACTAACACCAATTTCCACCTCGTTACCCAGTTTTTTCCGCAGTAGAGGTATAAACGACCATTGATCGCAACCTAACTTCAACCGGTTGGCACATGGCCTTTTTTCTTTCTTTTTTTAAGTTTCCTTACATCGATTTGATCACTTCTCCTTACATACAGTGTCATACACTACATGCAGACATATACATGTTACCCCAAATAACCCCGGCGATCACCTCGCCTACAAAGGGAAAAGGCAAGGGCGGGGCGAGCCAACCACGAGGATGCGTTAGAAGTGAAAGATGATCTATTTCTAGAAAAGGCGCGTGAGCGCGTGCGCCAGCACGGTGGCAGTCTGATGCCCGGAAGAGGAAATGAATTTCACCGCAATTATAACTCGTTCACTCATGGGTTTTTGCTTGTTGGGGAAGTCTTTCTTTGGTGGATTATGACTATCTTTACTTTAAGTTAATGATTACTTAATATAGAAGAATATAATGCGATTCTGCAATGTGTGTTGTTGTTGGTAGGTGACTACCTATACTAGGTACCTGAGGTAAATAAATGAGTGGTATCCAACATCCCGTGCCGATAAACCTGAACGCCGATTCGCCTCCCGCCCCTCTCAAAGCCTGCACACGCACATGTCATTAGGGCGGTGTGATTAAGCTACCGCTGCCGCCCCTACGAGGACGTCGAGGGCAGAGCTTTGGGTGCCTGCCGTTGGGTCTTGGAAAGGGCCTTGCCAGGTCGCACCGAGCTGGTTCTGATCGTTGCGGTTCTTGTCCCATATCGTGTCCGCGTTGGTGAGGAGAAAGTTTCGGATAGGTTCTGAAGGAGCAGCCTTTTGTAGGTAGTGTAAGTTTCGCATGAATATCCCTTTGAATTGCGAGCCGTCAGTTCCACAGTTTGGCTCGCAGCCATCAGAAAGGATACCATCCTTAGACAGCTTAGTAATAGCGGCGGTGGCAATGGTATTAGCTTCGTCGAGAAGCGATTTATCCCCCGTGGCTTGAGAAAGCTCCACTAACCCACCCAGGACAACTCCTTGGTTGTAGGTCCAGGTCTGCATGCCGTTGTTCTTGCAGGCATCCGTAAGCCCATCGTTGATCAAATTGTCACTGTTGATTAGCCCGCTATTCTTGAACCAGTTCCATTGGGTGTTGGCGATGTCGAGGAAGTAACCCTTTCGAGAGGGGATTCGGTTGGCAAGAGAGGCGGCGACACTAAGATAAAGCTCGTTCGCGATGGCATTGGTGTATGTGCCAACTTTACTCCAGTAGATACCACCACAGGTAGAGTTGCCCTTCTTCATATCCTCGAAGATCTCGACGGCGGCCTGAAGATACTGCTGGTCTCCAAGGCCTTGGACGCCAACATCGTAACTGCGAATCATAGCTAGTGCCCACCAGCCTTCATCATCGTAGTAGTCGTTGAGGAAGTTGTCAAAACCTCTCTCACCAATCACAGCTCTTTTTGGTACTCTGGTGTATGATGAAATGGGGAGTCCCGCCGCCGACAGGGTCTTTTTGGCCTGTACTGTGGTCTTTTGTGCTTGATCGTACTGTTCCATATAGAATTAGCCATGTTTTAACTGTATGGGATTTGAAGCGGATATTAAAATGGACATGAGCTGTTATGCTCGTTGGGGGGGGGGGGAGCTCGTGACTCCTGAATATCATCACGAAGTGATTCGAGCTCTCGAGCACATAAAATGAGAGAAGCGAGGAAGAGATCCTTCGACTAGACTTACAGTGTTCTGTATTATCTCTGGGATATTTAGGGAATTAGAAGCCGACTCGTCTACAATCGCGAAGTCGGCCAACACAGTTAAGCAATTGGCGCTATTCCACCAGCCAGTGGTGTCCCATAAGCCGGTATCACGGTTATACCATTGCTGAAGAGTGCCCAGCGCATCGACGGTATGAGAGGCATATGTCGCTGAGTCGGCGCGGCCGCCAATATGACTAGACATTAAGAAAATGGCCCTAGAGGCCAAGGAGCCGATGAAAGTTGAAGAAACCATGGCGATCACACTGAATAGAAAATGGTTCGTATGATGGAGCGGGAAAGATTCCAGAACCGGCCTGGGGTTAAGAAGAGAAAGAGATGTTTAAATATAAATAAATAAAGAATTATATGGTAGTAACACTTGCTACTTGATCGGATGGATGGGGATCTTCAACTCGATCTCAACCGGGAGTAGATTAAGGGAGAGTGACGAGGATGTGGATCATGTCTCAAAACAGGTTCATATGCGTGCGGACTCACATGAGCTCAGCAAAGCTCTAGCTTCGTCTAAACAGTGTACATAGATAATAGGTATAATCCACAATACACATTCCAGACATGGGTCGTCTCGCGATCCGTAGATCAGCTTGACAGTAGGGCTGGTAGGACTACACAAACGCTGCACAAACGCTGTGCAAGCCGAGCCAGCGGCGTGTTTCCTACGCACCCGAAGAAGTTGCTCGCGGCACTTGATGATTGGCAGTGCGTCCGCCACGGTAGACCCTAGGACAATCTTTGACGACGAAGGAAAGGGATGAATATGTTGGGCATGCTGAGTGAAAAAAATGCCGGGTTAAGTTTGTGACTAGCTACCTATGGGTAGGCAATGGGTAGGCAAAGGGTAGGCAAAGGATAGGCAAAGCATGGGAAGCTGTAAAGAGATCTCCGATAGGGTCGTGCTCCTGTTTCAGAAAGGATATGATTCTCATGCTGGGGGTAATGTTGCATGAATAATCCTTTTAGACGGAGGTTTTCATATTTCGACCAAGAGGAGGATACACACGAATACTCTGTACGAAGTAACTAGTTAGTAGTATCAATAATTCCCGAGCCCATTACTTTGTTAGTTTTAGTTTAGATCTGGCCGAATGTCGAAATAGATCTGCCCTCAAGTCATCCTCGTCACCCCGTTTTTTATTTTATTTTGGTAGACACCATCATTTGCTCCTTTTGCCCCTGAAAGAACAGTCAGATGGCCACAAAGAATGAGAAATCCGAGCTGCAAGTAACCCTCGTGGTCTGGTCTGGTCTGGCCGTTCATAGTCTGTGTTGTCTAGCCTACACAGGCGCCCAAGTTTGGAATTTGACAACATTTGAGGTTTCAAAAAGTGATTAGCAAGTAAGATAAGTTCAAATGCTTTCCTTGATTCTCGTTGGCCTTTTCTTAAATTTTTTTTATTGGTGGTACGCGAAGGTACGTTCGAGCCCAGCGTTAGATGAAACAACGTGAGCTTATTAAGGTACCCATTTAATGTACTATCAGTATCTATTTTATGCTAGATAAGAGGAATAACCTTTATCCAGCCATTAAGGAGAGCACGATTAGGGGTAGTGCATTGCCAGTGCAGTGCCCAGTGCAGTGCCATTCAATAGCATCTACTACTAGTACTATGTAGTAATACCGGTACCTTGGCTTTACTGGGGCTACTACCGCCACTAGCAAGCCCCAAGCCCCAAGCCCCAAGCCTTAGCACTGAGTTGCGTGCGTATCAATTGATCTGTATCTGTACCTGACGAACATTGAAGAAACCCACATGCCATGCTTTGCGGCCTTTGCCACATGTATGCTATCATTGATACCCATCCACATGCATACTACTAACCTAGTATTATTACTATGTAGTATTTACTTCAACAAAGTGGGGACCTATGGTATTGTATTGTACAATTCAATGTTCTGACAATACTGTGTACACAATACTACAGTACTAACTATGTAGGTAGTATGGGTCCACGCTGGTGTAGTAGTACAGTCACTACATCAATGATGGTATCACCTATATACTAAAATAATCCAATAGTTGCGGCTTTACAACTCAAAAGAGAAATCGAGTAACCTCAAGTGCTTTGAAAGAAAGTAAAGAGTACATAACTACTTACTAAGTATATTGAAGTATAAAAAAAGAAGGTTCAATGTTAGCGCTGATGCGCATGTACCAAAGCGGGTCGGGTATTACCTAAACTTAGGTATTACTAACTACTAGTTACCTAGTAGTAACTAGTTAGTACATATGTAGTATTAAAGTTTGCTGTCTTCGGCTCCGCAATCCCGATCCGTCCTGCATCTGTTCAATCATTTCAATGTTCAATGTTCAATGTTCAATGTTTACTAACTTAGTTAGTTATTGCACAATACACTGCAATGCATACATATTGAAGCACTTCTAGGGCTACCTCATCCAATCCAGCCCATCCATAACTCTGAATCATTACCAACTGTACCCCAAACCACATGCGTCCTGTACAATGACGATATTGGTGATAGTGATGCTTGTACCATCTCCATATGTACAGCATTCAATGTTACATGACTTGGCTTGATCAGTCATGAGCCATATTACCTTGCACTGCCTTAATTGCCACTTTGTCTCCGTCTGCCCTTTTTCAACCACGAGCAATATGTCGTATCGACAAATCATTCGACTAATCAAATGCGTCCCAGCTGACTGGATACAAAGCCGAAAGATGCAGGGGAGTTCACTTGCGGATCACCGTTGCACTGTTATGCATGCGCAAACCTACTAGCCAGGTATCCAGCGCCATCATCTGAACTACGAAGTCTGGCATAATAGGTTGTTTATAGATCATATGTTCTATAAGTCAGTTACACCAGCAAACCTCCAATGATCGACGTTCCATTCAGCCCATCCCTATGCAGGACCAATTGGGAGCCCTAAACCTCGTCTCAACTCCTCTTCGAAGAAGTCTAGAAGCTTGCCAACCTAACCGAGACCAACCTTCGTTGCTACAAGCATCACCTAATTTATCAGAGCTACCTATCTGCCTATCTAGGTAGCCAACTCATAGAAGATGATAAACATAGGTAGTCTAAGAGGTAAGTGGCTACCTAAGTGGCTACCTAGGTAAGTAATGCTGAGATCGTATAGGCTATTAACCCTTCTGCTTTCTCGCTATGTCCTTTACCGAGATCCGAAACTACCCTGGGCCTCTCCCCAGCCAGATTCTCCGCAGTTATATGCCGTTGAGCGAAGTCTCTATCGAAGATATTAAGCCTCACCCCACAAACTCCCCGCATTCAGCACCGTTCCCCGTACCTACTAAGTAGATAGGTATCTAGTTCGCGGAATAATTACCTAGAAGTGGAGTATGAATTTCTCCAACCGTAATGCCTAAGTCTACTATACGGGGTACTATACGGGGATTCGTTCAAGCCATTTCCGAAGATCGACGATATATATGCCTAAGCTGCCTTATTAAAATATCCAATAGCTTACGAGACAGGCTAATATGTACAGTATATTCTTGTATCACGCGTTAAACTCTTGAAATCGAGTCAAGATGCTTCTCCGCGCGATTTCTTGCTCGTTTCTTAGTCTCCTGTCTCTTTCTAGACGCGTAAACGCCGAAGTGGTTGCAACCGAGGATGGCGCTCATCTTGTCATTCAGAATGACCGGCTATACGCACGTGTCGACAAGGCCTCGGGGTCTATGGATGCCGTGGAGCTGGATGGTCAAAACCTGTTAGGCACTCCTTCTGGATCTACCGGCAAATTCTATTTGGACTGCTATTGGTAAGTAACATGAAACTTTTACAACGTAACGCAACGCGGCTGAAGCTCAATCGAGTACACCGCAAGGCTTCTGGACACCCGGATCATCGCAACCCACCTATAAGCTATACTCGGGAACAGACGTGGCAGGGATAAGTTACGGAGGCATCAAGATGTCTGACACCTACACACCCACCGGCCAAATTCTCGAGCAATATTGGTTCCTTAAGGATGGCGAGACTGGCTTACACGCCTTTTCACGTCTTGCATATCACAGCAAGACCACACCCTTCTTGCGCAACCTTCAAGAATTTCGGACTCTCTTTCGGCCAAACTCGAACATATGGACGCATCTCGCGACTAATGGATTGCAATATGCCCCACTGCCTAGCAAGAAGGCTCAGGGAAGCCAGGTCGTGGTACAAGGTGAGGAACTATTAGAGTTTACGTTGAACAGTCCCATCAGCCTCGAGGCCGGGACGAATGATGTTTCGGGAGCACCGAGACATCACTATATGCCCTATTCTCGTATACGAAGACCCCATTTTCGGAAAATACTGACCCGCGCACGTTATAGATGCTACCTGGTACTTGGGTAACACGCCTGATGACCCTTACGTTCAACAAGAAGCCGACTATTTCACCAAGTACACATTTCAAGACACTTGGAGGAATCATGATGCCCACGGGATGTTAGTCGGATTCTTCCCCGTCTACCTACCTACCTAGGCAGGTACTTTCTTGGTCTTGGCTAGACTGACATGATGTACCCAGGTACGCCGATGGATCCCAGACATCGGACAATTCAACGTTCGGAGCTGTAAGTATACCCCCGAGTAATCTTCCGATTACACACTTATCTTTCCGCTGAAGCTTCACCGCCCATGAGCAACCCCCGTACAAGTCTTGTGACCTATACCGGGGGCTTCCCTGAAACTAGTCTCTCTCACACATAGAATCTACCTAACTTCGTATTGTATAGTGGATGGTGATGAACACGAAGGAAACCTACTTCGGTGGTCCGTTGCATTCTGACTTGGTTGTTGATGGGATAGTATACGATTACATGGGTCAGTGGTCATCTACTGCTTAGGACGTGATGAAGTTAACTGACTTGGATCTTAGTGTCGAACCATCATGGAGATCAAACGGTCAGTCGGCTATAACACTTGAGGATTACATGGTTGCTAATACTTCAAAGCCAAACATAACCGACGGATTTGACCGTACATTTGGCCCAGTAAGTCAATCACATCCTATGCGCGTCGGGGTTTCCATTGACCAAATCAGCAATACTATTACTTCAACCATTTTCCTGCTGGAACTGATCTTCAGGTTCTTCGAGAGGACGCAGCGCAGTTCGCAGATCCGGAATGGAACGCCGAATTCTATGATTCTATCGCGGAATACGTGCCCAATTATGTTCCTAGCAACAAGCGCAGTACCTGGAAATTACACGTCGACCTACCTAAAAATGCCAAAAATGCCATTGCCGTATTGTCACAAAACGGCGTGGATTTCCAGGACAATGTTTCCGACATCGAGGCTTACCAGTACTGGGCCGAGATCAACGAAGCTGGCGATTGCAATATTCCACGAGTGAAAGCTGGCACGTATCGTCTCACGATATATGCCGATGGCATTTTTGGACAACATGTTCAAGACGATATCTTGGTGCGTGCCGGGCAAGTAGAGACTACTGAAGTCAAATGGGAAGAAGAAAGTCACGGAAGCGAGATCTTTCGCATAGGCACGCCAGATAAGAGTAGCGGCGAATACCGGCACGGCTACGAGCGTGATCCGACCCATCCGCTTCATCCGGAGCAGTATAGGATCTATTGGGCTGCTTATGACTTCGTGGATGACTTCCCGAACGGCGTTACTTTCAAAGTTGGCGAGAGTGATGTCTCCAAAGACTTGAATTATGTTCACTGGAGTGTGTTTGGAGGCTATGCCAACTCCCTCCGTCCTACATCGTATTACGGCGACGGCAATGTCAACAACTGGACTATCGTGTTTGACTTGGACAAGTCTCAGATAGAGCAGAAGAAGACAGCGACTTTCACAGTTCAATTAGCTGGAGCCAAAACTGCTGCAGGCAACACGGATGTCTTCAACGCATCCGAGCCCCACGCCAATTTGGCATATACGGTTAATATCAACGGAAAGGATCTTGAGCCTTGGGTGATCCCGTAAGTACCTTCACGCCCACCACGTACACACTCTTTTCATCTCCGATGGCTTACTGACCGTCTGATAGCTGGCACCATAGCTCCTCCTGCGCTGTGCGATCCGCTGTCATCTGCTATAACATCGGAAACAAGTTCGCCTTTGATACGGCCTTGCTCAAAGAAGGCGAAAATGCAATCATACTGAGCCTACCGTTCAACGCGACGAATTACGAAAGCGCGGTGCTGCCCAACTCCGTATATGTTCAATACGATGCACTAAGGCTAGAGGTCGCTAACGCTCTGTAAAGCGACTACCGTTATGAGAGAGCCACGTAAACTACGCTAATCAAAGCCTCCGGAATTTATACAACTACCTAGGTACCTAGGTAGAGTAGGTGGATATCTAAAAATAATTATGGCAGCTCTTGATTATCTAATAAAATATTTTCCTACCTTTACCTTGCCTTTATCTTCTCGCCAATCAGTCTACGAGTTGCAAACCTCTTTTGCTATCGTGGCCGTTGCGTCTCCCGGGAAATAAGTTAAGGTGAGAAAGATACGCCTTGAGCTGCAGAGCCCACCCGAATAAGCCAAGGCAGAATCAATATCTACCGATACCCAGTAAGCCATGTGTGGTCTTCATAGCTGAGGGTTGTGATTCGATTCGCAGCTACCGACATATTTTCCTTGAGAAAGCAGAAAGCGAAGTATGTATGCCATCCAGACCCAGACAAAGAAAGCTGACTTCGCATGACTAGTAGCTTAGCTTAGCTTGTGTAGGTAGAAAATAAAGGGGGTCAGCTACTATATATGGCCAATAGGAGGGCCTTCCACACACCTTAGGGAATCGACCCGAGCAAATCCAAGTGTTATGAAGCTATGGGTCGAACGTTCTTTGAAACTCAGAAAGGCGTGCCTGATTTGCTCACCCCCTTTTTCCACTCCCCCTCCCCTAAAACATTAGGTAGGTAGGTAGGTACCTACTGCCAGGTAAGAAGACCAAACGCATCGATGGAAGCTCCCGCCAGCCCGGTTCCCTATCAGTTGCTGGGTACCGAATTAGCCTTAATAAATAGCCTTTCATTAATATAACTTGACTGACTGGCCACCTGTTATTATGTATCGGCCCCCCCCTCCCCCCCTTTTTTTTATTCGGACATTCTCGCTAAAAAAAAAGAAAAGAAAAAGAATAAGAAAGAAAGAACAGCCGATTATTTTCTGTGCCGAGACCCCGGGTGGTCCACCCACCCATTCTTCCAAGGTTTTTACCTACCTTACATACATACATGCCTACATACCTACATTCACACATGCATACACGCATACCCAGGTGCTTACCTACCCAGGTTTCTATGGTATGACAGGTCACACCATAGATACTTACATAGATCTCTAGTTAGATCCATATTCTTTCGGCTGCCTTGCTGGCCTGCCTGCCCTCGCTGTTGTTAGTTAGCGGGTGGCTGCCCGATAGGCTCTTGGTTCCTGTGTGTCTTATATATTTGTGGGGGAGGGAGGGCCTGGACTTTTTTTTTTTTTTTTCCTTGTCTTGTGGGGTTTTGGACGTACTTACTTACCTGCGTTCTATGTTTCTCATCGGCGTCACCGGTTATAACATGTAGGCGGTGCCTGTCTACCAGACTCTACCTAGGTAGGTGCCTATGCATGCGAGTATGACAACCTTGGAAGTCTCTTAACCTCAGGTACCTACCTACCTAGGTAGGCAGGTATACCACGAAAAGTCGACATTCTCCATGCGGCCAAGTTTCTAGAGTCTAGAGAAAATTCACATGACAGCTCTAACTTTCTCGAGTAGGTAGGTGGAATAGGGGGGCTATGTCCAGTCGCCCCCTTCCCCTTGGAGTATAGTGTATAGGTATGCCTTGGAAGTCTAGGCAGGTAAACGGGTAGGTAGGAAACTTGATATTCAGGGGCGTAAATGGTTTTACGACCGTTTATGCCTGGCTTCGAGCAAAGTCACTGATACATGTACGTGATAATGACGATGATGATGCTGATGGTGATGATGATGTTCCGAATCTTTCCATGTCATATCTGCCCACCCATAGTACCTACCTAGCATCTATACCCCCTTTAGCCCTCTCCCGTTCCACGGCCATAAGCTCCAGGCTGTTAATAAGATAGGTACCTACCTACCTACCCAGTATCCACGATGCAGGCAGGTTGAACATCTACTAGCTAGCTACTTAGGTAAGAAGGTATTATGTATGTACCTACTTATGCCACGACATGATCTCGTACTCGGGAATCCCATACATAGGAATGTCGTCGAATCAGCCCTTCTCCTACATAATTCCCAGGTACGCGCGCGTGTAGATACCTATCTAGGTAGGTATATTTTTTTATTAACTACCTACCAAGGTAGTTAGGCAGATGATAACTAAACGTTTATTCCAACTACTTACCGGCTTACTACTACTATATGCAACATCCGAGTCTAACCCCCTATCTATCTCTTATCATCATTAAGGTTTAGCACCCCCTGACCAGGTATGTACATAACTAACTACCTCCGCTTCGGACCCGCCGAACGAACGAACGGAACCAAACGGCGTTGTTCGTATTGGCCCGCGGGACGAGTCCGACGCCCCGAAAGCCGACCTCGCTTCCTTCCTCTTTATTTTTTATTTTTTTTATTTATTTATTTATTTCGTATTCTTTCCCGTGTCCCTCCGCAAAACATACATACCTAGGTAACCGTTCCTTTCCCCGCGTATATGCATGCCCTAGATGATGCAGCATTATAAAAGAAAAAGAAAAGAAAAAAAGAAGCTCCGGATAGCAAAACAACATCGAATCAATCATCTAGGTTACCCAGTTGCTTTCGGTAGCTTGAATTGAGGCTCTGCACCACTCACTCCCCCCCCCCGCATTGCGTCAGTGGTGATCCCCCTCTTCCCCTCTATCCATCCATCCTTCTTTACCATAACTATCATATCTACTACCTTACATACCTACCAACCTACTGCCTACCTGAACAAGCTGCCTACCAACCTATACACAATCTACACATCTCCCTGCGTTTAATCTAATCTAATCTAATCCAGTCCAGTAACATATAATATAGCCTATGCATCTTTTTTCCTCATTTCTCCCAACGAACCAACCCACATAGTTTCGTATTTCATTCAATTGTCGTCGTCGTTGTCTTAATTGATTGATTGATTGATACCCTAGCACGTGTAAATATATTACAACGGGATTGCTATATCGGGTATACCGACCCGAACAGCTATAGCTAATAGCTAATACTACTACTACTACTACTACTACTACTACTACCACCACCTCTCTCAAAACTTCAGCCTTTCTAAGAGTAGGTACCTAGGCAGATATAGACAAGATGGGACGAAACAAGGTGAAAATCACCGAGGTAAGTTACACACACCATTATACCCACTTCCAAGCTAGGTGCAAACCTCCTTGGCAAGGGAAGAAGTAGAGTCAGCCTCTCTTTTTCTCTCTCTCTCTCTCTCTCTCACACACACACACACATACACACATTCACTACGTCATTTCAATACTCACCCACCCCACCCCCTACTTATCCCTACTCATACTCACCTCCTTTCACGCAGTTATACATCTACCCCATCAAATCCCTCCGCCCCGTCTCCCTGCACACAACGCGGCTCCAGCAGGAAGGGCTACAGCACGACCGACGATTCATGCTCCTCAAAGTCATCGACCCTTCCCCACCCTCATCTAGCCCCCACTACAAAAACATACAGACGGCCTATTTTCCCGAATGCACATTGTTCGACCAAGCCCTGGATGATACACACGAGCACGTCATCGTCACGCACCGTAAGCACCAGCGCAGTCCGCTGCGTGTGCCGCTGCGCCCGCACACCGTGGGTCTCGAGACAGTGGAGGTGCGGCTCTTCGGCAGCGCCGCGCGTACCCACCGCATGGGCGACCCGTACGACGACTGGTTTACGTCGTGTCTGGGTTACCGCGCCGTGCTCGTGTACATAGGGGACCACCGGCGTGCGGTGCTAGCACACGCCCCATCACCGCCACCGCCGGTTTGCCGAGAACAAGCTCGGTCTTGGTTTACCTCCATTACGTCGTTTCTCCCGCGAGTACTGCCAACGAGTGGGGGCGGGCTCGGGGAAGCAGGGGAGGGTGTTGATGATAAGGAGGGGCAGGACGAGGGGGAGAGAGCATCGATAGGCGGGTTAACCTTCAACGAAGCAGCGCCATTCCTAGTGACGTCTAAAGCATCACTGCGCGAAGTCAGCGCCCGGTTACCGGAAGGCGAAACCATGGATATGATTAAGTTCCGACCCAACATCGTCGTAGATGACATATCCGATGAAGAATCCGACGACGAAATCACGGAGGAGGAAGGGGGGAGTTGGGGAGAGAAAAGAACAAAAGAGCTCAAAGCCTGGGAAGAGGACTTCTGGGCAGAGCTACTCCTAGCGCGTGACGGGAAACGGCTGGCGCTGACAGCCAACTGCGCGCGGTGTATCTCGATTAACATCGACTACGAGACGGGGCGTCCGGCGTCCGGCGAGCAGGGAACCGTACTCAAGAAGCTTATGAAGGACCGCCGCGTGGACACCGGTAACAAGTGGTCCCCCATCTTCGGGCGGTATGCCTTTCTGCTACCACCGCTGCGCGACCATGTGCTAAATATAGATGACCAAGAAGATGAAATGGGAAGAGGGCAAAGGGAGCTGATAGCTGACGTCGCCGTGGGAGACGTGATCAAGGTGACGAAACGTATACGTGAGAGGGACGTATGGGCTTGGCCGAAGTGAGCCCGCGCGTACCTATTTGCTACAATGTCGTTAGGTAGGGGGGGGTATAACGCTCGATCGAGACGAAGCGATAGCTAGGCGAGCTGAAGAGGAGAGAGGGCTGCACATGGAGCCAGCTTTCTCTACCTGCCTATTGCGATTAGGGAAAAGCAAGCAGGTAAGCGAGCTAGCGAGCTACATACACGAGTGACAGCTGTCATTCGAATCACTGGTGTGCGCACGAGGGTTTGTCGGATCGCGATCGAGTTACATCCGGTCGGGACCAAACTTGTCTCGGGGAAGCAAAGCTGCTGGGGAATTACCGGGTTTCGCTAGCCATCAAAGATCAGAGGCGAGACCGTGATTGGTTTGGTCACACATATATGTATGGTTACGCGTAGATAGGTAGGTACGAGGTAGTGCAAGCATTGTGATGTAGGTGGAAAGATAGATAGATGAAGCGTCATAATACATACTGAAGAGCATGGCATGGCATGGTATGCATGCAATATATGATATATGGGGTCAAGGCTGACCCGCTGTGTTCCCCCAACGTCGGCTGCCGTGTACAAACGACAGGTGAAGGCTGTCCTCCACAACAACCCAATCGATGTTCCAGACATTCCAGAAGCAGACGGGACCTTGCAGACTGCCGCGTGTGCGAAAGCGCGTGTCTCCACGTTGCACAGCGTTTGTAAGTAGCCCTGCCTAACATATCAGCTTTCCTCGTTGGGCCGCACGCAGCAGCCTCAACTTTTGACTTCTGACTTCATTCTAACCTGATATTTCCCCATGGCCCATGCTGTATACGCCAGACCAAACACACATACACACACACGCACGCATAACTGAACACAGCTAAACCGATGTCCCTTGCAACGTGGCATCAAAACTCGGCATATGAGCTTTGCCTTCCCGGCACCAACAACATTGAAAGTATTTTTCTCTATGTGGGAATAAAAAAAAGATTAATGAACAATATTGAATGAATAAGGTAAGTAAGTGTACTTGCGTACTTGCTTTCTTTTTTTTTGGAGCCATGATTTCTTTCCTTTTTGTACTCCTTCTGCGCCATACCGGAAGCAACGTGTAATAAGTAATGAAGTAAGGGGAAAAGACAAGAAGAATTGGCTCTCGACACAATATGACTATTGTTTGACGACAATTCCCTGCACCTGTGACTCCACCACCTTGTATGAGAAGATGAAAAGGGACAGAAATAAAATGAAAGGAGATCCTTCGTAAACCAATGACAATAACCATTGCCAACGCTGAAATCCAGCTTTCATATAAATTTTCCGTTTGTTGTTCCGCTTTTCCCAGTATCCAGTGTACAATACAGTCTAGAAAGGAAATGGGGTTTCCGTGGCGTGAAGGCGACATCATAATTGCCAGTGCGATCCCTGTACGCCTCAGGAACTCCGAAAACAATCATACATACATGAAAATAGGGGAATTAGAAGATGAAAAGAAAAAAGCACCTAAACCTAAACCAAAATCCTCTGTAAATGCACTGTCTATTTGGGGGTAGAGGGAAATCGTATCAAATCATGAGTGCCGTCAAACAGAGCTAGGATGTAGGTACCACATACACCACATACAGCCTGTGACATCGGTGTAACGCTTTGTCGGGAAAGTGATCTATCTCATCGGGATCTGAGAAGATTGGACTAGGATGCGCTGTGGCTCGTTGAGTGGCTGAGAGGATAGGGTAACGTATTGCGTGAATCCCCATCGACAAGACAACGGTCTAGGCCAATAGGATCATATCATGGCTGGTTGTGGCCACGACCTGCAGCAACCTAGCGTAGTTGACAAGGGGGATCCTCCCCGCTCAACTTCCGGGGATCGATGTAATTTTGTCAAGGATCCAACAATTCCATTTTGTTTTGTTTTTTTCCGAATGTGAATCTTTAACCTGTAACGCCGGATGAAGGGTCACCCTTCCAATCGAAAATGAAGTAAAAATAAAAATTCAACCTTGGCTTTGACAAAAGCTGAGGTTATGACCTTGGGACTAGATTGGTTGCCTTGTCAGCATTCCACTCATCTCCTTCCATGTCATTTTTTTTCATTATGTCATGACATATGAAACATGACAGATAGAATGTCCTAACTCACTTCAATAGAGAAGCCTGAGACAACGGCTCAGCCTAACACAGGCATATTAGGCATCTTGCGCCTACACGTTGTGGACGCAAGCCCGGCACGTGTGGATCTTGCAGTATCTACACTCGAAAATCCACCAGTGCGGACCAGAGTGGCACAAGTTACATGTCCATTGGACCAGGGTGTTGTCTGACTTGATCATCTTGAAAGAGTGAGCGCAGTTGCTTCCCAAGGCCATGTTGGATAGAATTAGTCCCGAGTTGTGCTCTAGAAACGGGCTTCTGAGTTTCTGGCGTCTTCAAGTTGACTAGTTGGCTTCTTATGCCTAAGATGCTAGGTGGTGAGTTAGTCATATGAAGGTGATGACCTTTTGTCAAGTTCGAGAATGCTTACAGTAAGAGGGCTGAGAAGAAAAGGAAGATGTAATAGGGGCGTAACTTGTTTCCAGAAGAGTAGAGGGTTGAGTTGGGAGTCAAGGGAGATAGGCTGAGAATGGAGCGAGATGACGAGTAGCTTTATATAACCGACAGTTTACAAGTCAATGGGTGACCCCCTGAGGTCCAAGGAAATGTTGGGTTGTCTTGATTTTGTTTGCCAAATGTGGGCTTCGACACGGGAGGGTAAGTATGAGGAGGGCGGCTGTTGTTTGTAGCGAGCGAGGTGAAGTGAGTGAAGTACGTAGTAGGTGAGTAAGTGAGTGGACGAGTATAGGGCTGGGGGCTAAGCAGGATTTTTCAACAGGCAAGGACCAGATAGATAATATGAGACGAGAAGATGAGGCGAGGCGGGAAGAGGGTTTTATTATTTGGCAGGGTAAAGGGTGAAAGCAGACAATAGCCTGGGCTAGCTTCCCGGAAGTCGTGGATTTAAGAGAGAGAGAAGGTATACATGTAGATAGTATGATGTGTTATGTAGCTCGTTATTCGACAAAATGCCGTTGTGGTTTTGGGGTCCCAAGAGGGAGGCTCAAATTATGTACGAAGTAGAGGTATGTATTGTACAGATCCCTTTCCATGGATGATAACGGACCTTGGCTATGACGAGATGTATTTTTTACTACTCCCCTTAGGTCGGCATGGGAGATATGATATTTACCAGGGAGAGGTATGTGAAGTGATTGACATGACAGGAGTTGAAGTGGAACTGACATTGTCGTTCGAGATTTTTTTCTTTCGATGACCAGGGCAGGTGGGTTTTTTTTTATCGTTGAGAAAGAACAAGACAATGCTCTGCGACATGGGGATGGACTGGGAGTTGAACTTGGACCTTGATGGGGGGTCTTTATTTGGCTTCAACTCATTAACCTTAATAACATTAAGCCTGACACTTGTACCTATGTACCTTGTATTTCTTCACATCAGACTCAACATTGAACTGGACTCTGTGCAATCAATTTGATGTGTCTAACATTGAAGGTTCAATCAAATGTTGGTAAAACATTGAAGGTATTAGATAGGTACCTATATACCTTGTTCGTTCGTTCGTGCCTACCGTACCTACTATTTTGGTAGGTTTTAGAGTTAGCTGCCTGAACGGGGGGTTAAACTTTTTACATAGTAGGTAGTTACATTCTTTTTTATTTCTTCAATTTTCATTTTTATTTTATTTTATTTTTCATTCCTTATTTTCTTAAATTCTCTTATCCTATCATGTTATGGGAGGGTCGGTTCGAAACTTCTTTTACTATGTACAGTTTTCTTCGTCTTCATTTACATTAGCGTAAATAATCCTAGGAATGTAGGTAGGCAATACTTCCATTGCAGGTACTAAGTAAAATATGCGTATATGCATGTATCTACTTTAAGTGTATGTGACTCCCTGTATGTGTTGTTGAGGGGGCCGCTACTAGCTAACTACAGGAAACGGAAAAAAAAAAAAAAAAGAAAAAGAAACCACCTATACCGGCCTGAGAAAGTGCAGTAGAGAAATATTTTTAGCTTAAGAAGTAATTGGAAAAAAAAAACCGTTGAAAAAAGTACATACTATAGGCGAAGGACGAACCACGGAGCCTCTTTAGGATTGATGGCACTGACATGTTACAGGGTTTATGACACGACATGGGACGACATTGAACGGCTATGCTTATAGTTTTGTGGATTCCAATTGTTCCTTGATTAACTTGGACGCTCGCCTCTGATGAGTCTCGATGCCTCTTTCCCCCTCTTCCCTATTGCCCCTTTCTCGACTTACCAACATAACACTAACATAGTACCAACATCATGTAGGCATGTCTACTGCTGCTGGTCTGACTACTTGCAGAACCAAGGCTGGACTGCCGTACGATCTCACTCATTCAATCAAGTACCTCTACATCCGTCCTTCTCTAGACCTCCAAGTTACTAGGTAGGTATGTATGTATGTATGTATGTATGTATGAAGGAGAATAGTCTTGTTAGCATAGTAAGAATAACAGGATAATAGATGAATACAGGTAAGTTCCTGTATGTCAAGGCCGGGGATTGGACAAGGTTAGGTGTACAAAGAGGATCTCTTAGAAATGGTGGTTTTGAGCATTGAAGGGCCAGTCACAATATGAAGCTAGCGGATGGCACATGGGTGAAAACGTATTGGTCTTATCCTTCACCGGTCGGCCCTCGCCGCCAACCCCTACCTAGTACCTTCCATACCTTAACTTCCCTAAATTGCCGAATCGGTAAGTTGAGAGATGCTTACCGGTGGCCGTGTCTCGTCTTCCATGTATCTCGCGTAATAAAAGCGCTCATATCAATATATATAATGTTTAAGCCTAAGAATGAAATAGAATCTCGACCAAAGCTTGCACGTCTCTGGTTTCCGGTTTTCTCGATCGGAGACTATATGGTTCCGTAGAATGCTATAATCAGGGTCAAGGGGTCGTTAGGCCCAATAACTATGTACATACCAAAGTACATATGTGGTTCCTGAGAAGCACTCGTGCGCCAGACGGAATGCGGAATGCGGAATAGTTACATCAAGGTCGAAGAGAGCCGGAACAGACCCAACTCTGGCGCGATTCGCAAAGACCGGTGCGGTTCGCCAAGTGCGATTATCTATTCCTGATTCTTGAGCCGACACTGCCACTTATTGGCTGCTCGAGGAAGAGATTTCATCATTTGCTTAGGTAGTTCTGTAGTACACCAGTACGCCCACGCAGTGTTGTCTTGCGAACGGGTCTGGGGGTTGCATTATGCGCGGGTATAGGCGACTATTGCCCGTAGGTAAGTTGTAGGTACATAGAGCATGTCAAGGTAGCCGTCCACGGCAACATCCCGATGTGCTACCTAAGGGATCTAAGGGTGTACTATATGATGGCGTATCAACTCCATTGTACACATGGGCGCAAGATCTGACTACGACAGTATCAATGAGAATGCTATAAATTTCATTATAGCACTGGAGGTACTTGGCCTTGATATATCCATACCTACCCACCCACATACTCAGGTTGGGTAGGTAGATATAGGCACCATGGTGGTGATCATGTACGCCGGAGTTTATGGTTTGGTGTGGCCTGCGAAGGGCGCGGGATTTGCCTAGACCAAGTTACGAATTCCAAGTTACATACGGGACAAGGCTTGAAGAAACCGAACGTTTGGTTGACGTTGCGAGTTACGAGTTGCGAGTTGCGAGTTGCGTGTAACGCGGGCGACCCGAAGATCCTAGGCGTATTAGCTTATTGGATAGGGGGTTTATAGCTGACTAAATTTAAACAACCCGGTGTGAGAAAATATTACGTATCAATGGATAGGACTTTTCTCCGTACTAGGTAGATGGAGACATATATATGTATAGGTGTTAAGGACCCCACCATCATTTATTCGACCTTGATCATGTGAAGGTCAACATTGAGCATTACTACTAGGTAGTAAAGAAGCATCAATTAGGACGTACATACACTTGTGTACCTGCGTACATATTTTGATTCAATGCTGGTACTAACTATATGTATAGCTGCATCGCGAGCAATCTCTGCTTCTACTGAGTAATGAACTTCCCACCTGGGTTAAGATAGATGAAGAAGGAAAAAGTGTAGGCACTTAGGTAGGTATGTAAAGTATAAGTCACGATAGCAATCAATGATAAGGTCGAAGATTTAGGTAGTTACATGTACATACATTCATAGATACATACCTAGTAGTTGTACTTGAGCGCGGATATCCAAGGCTTTTCCGTTAATCGAAGAAAGCGCGGGGTGACTGACAAGTCAACTCCGCTTACATAGGGCAGGTACAATGGTACATATATACCTACGTATACCCTAGGGATGTATGTACATATCGGCATCCATCATGATTACTCCTGCCACACTTATACATACATATCATGCCTTCCAGTTCATTTCAAGTTATTTTTTCCCCTTTCCTCTTTTTTCTCGAAGTGTGTGCCTTCCTTAAACTATCCAATTAATACGTGCATATTCAGGTACAAGGTAGGGTGACATGATGGCGGCTGACGAACTGCCAGGTGGCAATGCTATCAGGTACATACCAATGGGACGCCATTCCACACATTACATTGGGTATAATGTATGAAGGTTAAACTAACTAACCTAGTAACTATTTTGAACTGACCCAGTAGTAGGGCCAGTACACATGTGGTATTTACTAGGTATTTACTAGGTATTATGTACTAGGTAGGCATGAACAGCAAGTGCACATCATACATACATACCTCATACATG